GATCGACGCAATTGAATCCCGATAGTCATCAGCTAAAGCGCGCATATAAGGGGAATGATACGCAGTATCAACACGCAACTTTCGCGCGAAAAGCCCCTTGGCCTGAAGGTATTCAGCTAGCTGATCAATCTGATTTTCATTACCCGATAGCGTCACACTCGACGGACTGTTAATGCAGGCAACAACTACATCCTCCAGAGACAAGGCATGTAGATACTCTCGGGCAGTCTCTGCGGGTAAGCCTGCTGCTAACATGCCTCCACTGGGCCCGTTCTCAACGATACTCTGTGAGAAGACACCACGGAAGTAGGTAACTTTGATAGCGTCCTCGTGGGTAAGATATCCGGCCGCATACGCAGCTCCTGGAGTAACAGATCAGCACCTATGCATAATAGGAAGGCCAAACAGAACCTACCAACTTCCCCGCTAGAATGGCCCACTACTGCTTTTGGAACGACTGACCAGTCAGTGAGCAAGTCAATCAGTGCAATCTGCAGTGCGCAGCAGACTGGTTGACTGCGATCAGGGCGATTGATACGGCTTGTATTTGCATGGGCACGAATCTCCTCAGCCAAATCCCATGGACATCCTAACCCTGTTAATACCTTTTGGCTATAATGGATGCTAGCTGCAAATACGGGAAACGCGAGCAATTCGATTCCCATGCCAGCCCATTGTGCCCCTTGGCCAGTACAGACGAATGCCAACGAAGTTTGCTGTTCGCGCCGGGCGCGTTGGAAACTTGGTAATCCTCGCCCCATTGCTTCCTGCAGATCAGCTATTGAGTCGGCAACTGCGAAACTGCGAAACCCGAACTTTGAGCGTCGGGTAGCCATGGTATGCGCCAGGTCAACCAATGGGGGGTTTTCTGATGACTCCTCGAGTGTATGCGTCCATTTCTGAGCTGTCCGATCCAAACCAGCCTTGTCGTGTGTCGACACCATAACCAGTTGCGGGACACTAGTGGGCGATCGAGGTATCGCCTGAGGGATAGTGCCTAAATATTGAGTCAAGCTTTCAAGGATGGCGTGTGCGTTGGCACCACCGAATCCAAAGGAGTTGATGCTGGCGCGCTGAGGGAGATGGGATGGCCATGACTGGGTTATATCACTCAGACGCAGTCGCCATTTCTCCGTCTGGATTTTGGGATTCAGTGTCACAAAGCCTGCATTTGGTACCAAAGTCGCTTTCTCCAGACAGAGCACGACTTTGATAAGACTCGCCACTCCAGCTGCTCCTTCCGTGTGACCAATGTTACTTTTCACTGATCCAACATAGACGGGTTCATCAGTCGGTATACGCTCTTTCCCAAAGCTGGCGCCAATGGCGGATAATTCTGTAGGATCCTATCCAAAGTGGCGTGTCAATATCCGGGTATCGGGTTGCTTCACGGCATGAGCAATACCACTTACGCCAAGGGCAGTTCCCGTTCCATGTGCTTCAAAATATGCCGTTTCACGCATTGACAGCCCTACTTGCCGGTATGTAGCCTGGATGAGATCTGCCTGTGCTTCGGCGTTCGGCATGGTGATCCCTGGCGTTCGGCCGTCTTGGTTAGCCCCCGTGGCCCGCACTATGGCACGAATTACATCTCCATCGGCCATTGCCTGGGATAAAGGCTTTAGTAGGACTGCGCCGAGGCCTTCCCCACGGCCATATCCGTTGGCACGGCTATCAAATGAATGGCTGATCCCATCGGCGCTGAGCATGTGCATATAGGATAGTCGTTGTGTAAAGTTGGGGTGTAATATTATGCTAGCACCACAAACCAGCGCCTAAACTTCACGTCAATTCAGGATTCCGGAGTCACCGGCAGTTTGCGTTGCTATGGATCACTTACCATGCGGCATCCGCCAGCACGCAACGCTTGAGTGGCAAGGTGCAGTGCTGTCAGACTGGAGGAGCACGCTGTATCCATCATTATACTGGGCCCCCGCAGGTCAAAGAACCACGATATGCGGTTCGCTAACATTGTTCTCCCGTTTCCTGTGGCGGAGTTGTGCGGCATATCCATGATATCCCGGGTGGAGAGCAACTCATAATCGTTTGTCATACAGCCACTGTAAACACCGGTGGAACTCCCCGGGAGTGATTCCATGGGGACGCCGGCTACGGATACCATTTTTCCCAATTAGCTCGACTCGCTGCACCATGCGACGATAGTAAAGACTCCGGGCTTCTTACCGTTTTCGAAGGCTTCATATGCGACCTCAAGTAGTAAGCGTTGTGCCGGGTCCATGCCGGCGGCTTCCTTTGCTGTGATGGAGAAGAAAGGAGCGTCAAAGCGAGCCGGATCTTCCTCCAAAAAGAACCCGCTGTCATGGTTGATCTAAATGACATGGTTTGATTCAGACTCAAAGACCTTCGTGCCGAGGATTGTTGGAGAGAGTAGAGGGGGAAGGAGGACGTACGGCACCTTTTCGTTCATGGCTCGGATGCTTCCACGCCGCGGCTTGGTATCGGCTAGCGGGCACAGGGCCATGTTCCTTTCGTCCATCTCGCAACATCTCCCAGAAGCCGTCTAACGAAGCCGCCTGGCCAGCAAAGCGGCACCCCAGGCCTATCACTGCAATGGGTTCGGGACATGATGATGTGTTGTCCATAGTTGTAGGCCGTCAAGACGCCGGTGTCACCCTCAATGCACTAAGGTTGTCGCTTAATCAAGTAACTTCACGCTGATTGATTTTCCGTTATTCCTTATAGTGTTCCGCACATTTTTGGAATCACTTCCATCCTTTATACGTATATACTATTTCTACCACAGCCCGCATAATATCCGGATTAGCCCGTTCCCAGCACTGCCACCGCCCGTCAAAGATCTTGGAGTTAGTTAGTCTTGTCGAACTTTCTGCTCCATGCTATGACGACAGCTATGCAAGGCTTGCAAACCACGCAAGGGCACTGCTTGCTTCTGAGCTTCAAGGTAGAGGGCATCAGCGATCCTGACTACGAGCCGCGATGGTCTGCTAGCTGATAGCTTGCTACCTTCCGACTCCAAGTCTCTGGCATGGGTATTACTGCAGGCTATGGTAGTTAGCAGACAAGTCCATGAAGAAGGCTGTGTACTATCTTGACATAGTCTTTGGAGAACGATCTGCGCCCTCGAATATTAGAGCAGAGCCAAGGCAGGTCTATGCAAGTGGCAGTAAAATACCGTAGCAACAAAGATGTTCTCTGCTACTTTAATGTAGTGTGTACGCATGGCCGCTACATTCCTCTATGTTTGTTCGATTCCAGTTAGAGCTCTCAATTGCTGTCTTATAACTTGCCGGCTGCAACGAAAAGGGCATTTTCTCTATTACTGGTTCCAGACTCTGTTCTGAGGAATGGAGCATACATAGTGATACGTGTACAAGACACTGAGCCAATACACAAAGTCAATAGATACTGCAAGGAATGGTTTCGTGTGAGCCCTTTATGGCTGTCTTTCCAAGGGGTGGCTCATCCAGAACCTGCCAAATGCACTAAATAAGAGGGAGCTTTCGGATCCCGTGATCAGCTGCAGGTGGCAATTCTGTTTACAGCTTTATTGCTAGACTCGATTGGTTGCCTCTGTACCGTCACCAACAAAGTCACCAAGGCTAATAGAGCCTTAACCTGTACATACTCTTTTATTGGAAAAAGAACTGTGTCTCAGCCACTTTCAGGGACAAGTTGGAACTAGCACAGTTGCTGTAATGTACGAATAGGTGATTCTTATATCGCTGCTAAGACTAGGCATTGGCACAAGCACAATGTTTGGTAAAATAAAAGTAAGAAAATAGAAAAATAAAAAAATCCACGGCCATGAGTTATATTTACCTTGCCCTCGAGTGCTGTGGACTAACACAGCAAACTGGTCGGCTACCAGGAGCGATTGATCTGACCCCTTATTAGCTATGGCCGCTTAAACCACCTCTAAGGAGCTGGGATTTTCAGCGTTGTAGATAATACGTAGCTGGATTAGTTAGCTCGATCGATGGATTCGATCTCCGAGGAAAGCCTCCTTGTGGTGCAGAAAAGAGCCGATCATTACCCGGCTGGTAGATTGGAGGACCTGCATATACAATAATGACAGTCGGTACAAGGTCTGGATCGTTGTGGATCTTAAGCAGCATGCTTTCCGAAGGGCTTTTTAGGTCACCGTGCATATCGCGCACTTCTATTGGTTCACTTGGCAGTGACCGATTTAGATCTGTAAAAAACAATAAAAAAATAAAAATGAATAGAAATAAAAAAATATTGCAAACCCACCATGTGAGCTCCTCATCCCGCAAACCCTCCCCTCCCCCCTCCCCTTGCTTCAGACTTGACCCGTTGCAGTTAGCCACATGGCAGTTGCCTGGGGAGGTTTGGGGAGATTTTCTAGGTTTTGAGTTGTGAACGGAATACTTATAAAACGCCTGACAACTCATCTACCCTGTCGAGCTTGCATACCTAGGGTCAAGACACTACTCCCTTTGAGGAGGTCCGTCAATGGAGCCGATGTTTTATCAGCAAGCTAAATAAGGTTATCTCGACCAAGGATTCACCTTTACCCTTCCCTGTATCTTAATGTACAACACTGCAAGGAGCCAAGGGAGTAATACTCAGCACTCAGCAGGTTAGCCTTGATTCGTGAGGGTACTCTGGGTCCGGGCCGCATCTACCAGTGCCATGGATCATGGCTTATTTTGAAGCCGACGAATGTTGGCTCTAAATCAATATCCTTGGAATGTAGCTCAGCCCCCACGCTGCACCAATGCAAGTTTTTGGTAACAGCTGCGCATTGCATGCTTCAGCACATTATGGTGCATTATACATCGAAACGCTAACTCACGCTGCCATTGCCACACCGCCCAAACTGCCCGCAATGCTCTCTGCAGGCCTGCCTGGCAAAGTTTTAAGACATACCGCTGGTTGGAAACGCCACAAGTTCAATCACCTCTTGCGTACTACGCCTTGGAAATGTGAAATAAGACATGACTTCATCCAATGACGCCACCAAATCTATTTAATATGACTTCCTTGTTCTCGACACATTACTGCGTTGGCAACTGGCTCTGCGCAACTAGCCAGTCTAACCCGGCCTTAAATTGCCTCAACTCCGACCCACTTCTCGGGATATCATGTCCGGCAGTATGGACAATGGTCTTACGACACCTTGGGTTGCAGAACTTCTCCACTAGCGAGGCACAATCAGACAATCCAGGGAGGTCATTATGACCCCGCAGGTGCAATGTAGGGATCGAGAGGCGGCCCGGAAAATGGTCCGGGTGCAAGGCACAGGGGATTTCTTCGATAGGCCGGTCTAGAAAGAAGCTGACTGGCTCACGAGTAATCGACAGGCCTGCCTTGACCACCTTGGCAAATTCTTCAAATGGTGCCTTGATGGATGCGGGCAATTGTGCAATCTGATCATCCTGCCCAGAACGGATCCGCTGCTGATCTTGCAGGGACAGGCCTCCCGTAATAGAGCGGCAGTAGTTGGGATCCGACGAACAGGGAATGGTTGTCGAGCAGAAGATAGCAAACCGGAATGGGAGTGGCCTTTCCGGGTGGTTGGCGGTCTGTTCGAGGAGGAAGGAGGCAATGATCGAGGCCCCCTGACTGAATCCTAAGATACCATCAAAGGGGCCCTCATCCTCAATCGCTTCGGTGATTAGGGAATGAGCATTCTCGATTGATGGTGCGCTAAAGCTGCGTGACCAGCAGTAATATGGGGGAGTGAAGTTGGTTTCGATGCCTTCGAGCAAGTCAAACAATAGTGGTTAGATCCTCCTCATTCAATAGTGTCTTGTAGGTGGGAATGGCAAACCAGGTGCGGGCGGGCATTCAATCTCGCCGGACAGCATATGGAACTCCCAGCTGGGATCTGCCGAATGAAGCAGGCCCGACAGCTGATATTGGAGGGCATCGGCGCTCGTACCATAGCCATGTAGACAGAGAATGCGCATTCTGGCTGGGCGTTGGAAGCAGACTTGCAGTTTTCGAGTCCCTGGAATCGGAAACTCTACTCCTGATGTTATTTATATACCTGGCCTCGGCGTTATCAAAGCAGCGGTGTCATGATACGCAGTTAGTATACCAGAAACTATTATTCCCCATATCCAGTCCTGCAAGGGCTGTCACAGTACCGACTCATTTTGATCAGGGCGCTCTTGATTAGACAGATAACCGGATGTGCATCTGCTGTAGTTATAGTTTTTCGTGGATAAAGAGTACGACCAGATTTATCAAGGATCAAATTCTACCAAGCATCTTGCCGAAAATTTCCCAAATAAAAAACCTTAGTATTGCTGTGTCTTTATAAACATGTTACTGCATTCAAGAATATGCATGGGAATATTGCAAAGCCGGTCTATATGCTGGACTTATCGAGTGAGATTACGACATGTTCCGGTATTTCTCCAGACAGCTTGTTAAACATGCAATAGATAGAGAATATCTTTGATTCCAGAGATTGCCATTATCTTTCAGTACAATCTAGCCATCCAGAGTCAGTGAATAAATATTTTATAACAACTTATCTTAGAGGCAGCGTCCAAAAATTACCATTTATCCTTCAACAAATTCACAAATTAGGAGAAGGTCACCCAAAGCCCTACATTTGACTCTGAAGAACTTCGCTACGCATCTCATCACACACAATGTGAATTACAGATGCACAATAGAGCACATTCAAGAAAAGACTAGAAAGATATACGCATGCATGTCTTGTCATGAATCACACGTGCGAAAATGCCAATTACCTGTGGCAGAGCTACAACATTCACTCGCTGTCGAGGTCGGTGAGGTCCAATTCTATGAAGAAAGCATGCCAGGCATAATGGACATGTTCACTTGTGCCCAGGGCTAGTTGTCTTGGACCCATCGAATGAAGCCATACGGTCCACACACCATACAACCTGTGAATAATCCAACCGCACCAGAGGCGAAGTGTTCCCTAAAGTACACGGCAAAACTGCTATAATATGCTCAACGTATCTGATCTATGAAGCTTTCGAAGTAGTGTTTTATCCAATGGATGTCGATTTTCATTTCGTTGAACCCAAACCCAATTCCCGCTTGACTATTATGCAGAGACAAACTGGGTCGATCGGGTACGAAAAGAGCTTTTCGAGGAAAGATTGGTTACTGCCTTTCACAACACTTCCTTAAGCCTAAACGCAGTGTGCAGGCCCTTTTTGTACGAACTGTGGCCATAGGCAGGTATACCGTTTCAATTCAGAGCATTACGCCTCGTGGCCTTCTTCGCTCTGAAGGACGTGTCGTTCGACTCGATTGAGCATGGTTCTGTGATGAATGCCACACCACTTACTTGGAAGAACGTCATTTTCACGGGCCGCTCAAAAAGTATTTCATCGTTTAATTACGTCGTCACTTGACAGCGGAGCATTTTCTCGTCATAAGGACGATTATGGTCGAACACCATTTCCGTTGGCAGTTATTTACCGTCATCTTGCGGTGGTTGATAATTAACTTCAACAATGTGCCGATCCCAACACCTAATATGTGTATGGTCACAGGCCGCTTTTATTGACTAAATCAGCAGGCTGTGAACAATTGGTTATACAATTATTAGCGAGGGGTGTTGAACTTATCCCGGTGGACAAAAACGGGCAGACCCCGTTGTCATGGGCAGTATCTGGGAGCCGAGGGATGCATACTGACCTTCTGCCAGAAAGCGACGGTACATTCGGATCTAGAGACATCAATAGAAGCACTCCCGTATGATAGGCTGCTGTAATGAAGTGGTTCAATCTCTGCTGGAAAAGGGTGCAGATGCCAGTTTTCCAAATGTCAGCGACACAACTCCTCGGCCAATGTCGAGATAAAGTGGCCATGACACAACTGTCAAGCTTTTTACCTAGTCTACTTCTCTTGGAATTCGTTAACGTGTTGATTATGTAGCATACGGACAAACAGTCGTCTTCCGTATAATCGTTGACAATCCTCGCAGTGCTGCCAAATTCTACCTCTCTTCCTCGGGCGTGACCGGCGGTCTGTACGCCCATAGTATTAGATTGGGCCAATAAGACTATGGATACTATTGGCTCCAATATTCCGACAATACGTTAATCTGGAGTTTTGAGCTGCTGGGGAAGTCGTGCCGTCCCATAAATAGGACGAGTCGGGATAAGCACTAACGCACAACGAGCGCTGCAATCTTGACAGGGTTTATTTGGTCCGGAGTACCCTGATAGACAAGATACATGGACCACTTGAAGCTGTTGGCGAATGAGTATTATGAGGTATCGTACCTGGCTATGGATAGAAGCGCCGATCACAACATGACATTACACCTTTGTGACAGGGGTTATGCTGGCGACCAATGACTTTCAAACTTGGACACTAGTAGAAGCCTGCAGCTATCGTAAGTCCTAGACTCCAGTGTAAATGCCATCTTTAGGAGAAGGTAAATTGTAATTAGCTTATCAAGACACCAGCATTGACCCATGCCCTCCGATTTACTGCTGGATCTTCTCCGTCTAGCGGGAAAATGAAAGTACTTTAATCTGATTTTTTTATCGCCCATGGCGTTCGACTATATGCCTCAGGTCCTGCCATAATCAATGCGACCGAGTATACCAACGCTATCGGCCGCTTTAGTGGGCGTAGAAATGTTGATCAGGAATGCAGCTAAGCGTATGATGAGAATGATTGCACTTTGTCTGAATCTCAATGGATGATAAGCTCTGCTGTCCAGGTCCCCCATTAGCCAGGGGCACGAGAGAAACTACTCTTTCCCAGCACCGATCCATGTCCTGTCAAATGATCTTCCTATTTCTTCTAGCCAGCCATTTAACTCTTGAGACGGAAACGCCTCTAAATCCTGACGGCTCTCCTCTCCCACCCGCTTCCTCGAATCTTTTGGCTTGTTTGAGCGAAGGAACATCGAGGAAGGATAGCCCAGCGGAAAAAAAAAAAAAAAAAAAAAAAAAAAAGAACCCACACCCGTGGGACTGCGCGCGGAAGAAGTATCTACAACAGGCAGAGGATTTCAAACAGACAGGGGAATAGGCCCCAAGCTACTTCTTCTCCACATTGGTCTCTACCTCTGCATCTTCTTGGTCGGCATGGTAGGGATCCCTATATACTACGTTGCATACTTGAGTCTAACTGCTAAGCGAACGGGGCTTCAATCTGATTGCAACGGCAATTTCGGTCATTACTCCTGAAGTCCATTCTATCAGAGATGTGGGTTGGTATGAGAGCGAAATTTTTATTGCATTGTAAGTACCAACCGGGGATTTATGGAGAGGCTCAGGAAGGCAACAACTTCATCTAACGCTCCTATATAGCTGGTCCAGCCAGCCAGTTGCCGGTAAACCCTTGGGTTTGTTCTCCAAAAAGGTTGCATACTTGAGCTATGTCGCTCTGTTCGAGGTCGGGAGACTTATTTGTGCGCTCGCTCCATCATCACCAGTTCTCATTGTTGGAAGGGCTATTGCTGGCCTAGGAGCTTCTAGGATTATCGCTGGAGGGTTGGTTATTTTAGCCAACGTGTTCCGACTTCATAAGCGCGGAGTTTGCACTGGAACCCCAAATTGGACCCTTGCCATTGCAAGCATTGTCGGGCCCATACTTGGAGGAGCACTCACTCAGCACGTTAAATGGCGTTGGTGTTCTTACATTAATCTTCCTATAGCCGAATTCTCCGCCGTCGTGGTACTGTTATTCTTCCACGTGAAACGGGCTCCCAGGGAAAGTATACCGTTGACGAGAAAAGCTACAGAGCTTGGACGGAGTTGGCCTTTTGCTTTTTCTGGTTCTGTTAGCATGCTGCTGATAGCACTGCAATTTGGCGAAACCTCTCAGAAATACGCATGACGCTCGGCAAATATGATTGGATTATTCGCAAATGCCGGGGCAGTAACGTGCATATTTGGTAGATGGCAACTTCATATGCAGGAAGCAGCTCCGATTCCTCCCCGACTGTTCCCATCTAGCAGAAATAACGTCCTCATCTATACTTCTGCTTTCTTTGCAAATGTATTCAGTGTATCATATACTGGCTTCCAATCTGGTTCCAGGCTGTTCTTGGGGCCTCTCCAACCTCCAGTCGTGTCCGGTACTTGCCCATAGTCATATCGGATGTTCTTATCTCCATATTGTGGCGGGACTGGTGAACAAACTAGGATAGTGGAATCCTTTTCTTATCTTCATCATCGCAACGGTATCACTTGGTGGTGGGCTCTTGACAACTCTGCATCCTGCTATATTCGATGGTCATCGGATAGGGTTTCAGATTTCAGGTGACATTGGAAATTGTCGCCATGGTCAGTCTCCATTGCATGTTGCATTGATCATAGATACTCATTTTTTCCACAGGCCCATCTCGGAGTACAGGCGTCCCTTCTGCCAGACCTTGTTCCTTTGGGCGCGACCACCTTCCTCTTCGCCATCTCCGCAAGCTGCGCCATCCTCCTGGCTATTGGGGAAGCGGTCTTTCAAACCCAGCTCAAGAAGGAGCTTGCTCACGTCGCTTGCTCTGCCCTTGTAAATGTAGTAATCTCCGCTGGGGCCTTGGGGTGGCGCTTCATCGTTTTCTCTGCAGAGATCCCTGTGGTCATTTCCGCGTACAACAGTGCTCTGACGGGGGTCTTTGTACGTTTGTTGAGGCCTTCTCCCATTTGATACTGACGAGCCAACTTTCGTTATCTAGTAATTGACAGCTGCGGCACTAGTCCCATCATTTCTATTGGTTTGTTGTATGCGGTGGATGGACATCGACAAGAAGTGCGAGAGAGAAGGGAAGTCAGAAGAGGAAAGTGCTTAACCTCATAAACGATTCTGTCCACCACCAGCACGTAGACATTTCACTCCAGGCATGACGTTAGTTTGGAAGCAATATACTGCCAGATTACTTCTCAGCCAATGCTCCGACGAACGATAACGGCTCCTGAGATATGCTCTAGAGGTGACCTCGTAAGGCGTCCTGACACAATCTCAGATCCAACACCTTCCCTGTGATCAAGCTTAAGCAAGGTCTCATTTGAGGGGGCCATGAGTCGAGGAAGTAAGTTTATCAGCAACCATCAATGGTTCTGTGAGCAAGCCGACTTTGCCACGTGTCATTGTGGTTTATGAGACAGCGACGGAGTATAAGCTGCAGTATTGTACGTAGAGTGCTAACTGCCAATGATTGATATGTCAGACGGATACCGTGAAGCGCAGTCACTCCAGGTCATGAACATAATAGATCAACGTGCCAACCAACCCCCATCAACCACGATCGCCTCCCCGCTGACATAATTACTAGCCTGGCTAGCCAGAAACACCGCTACCCCTTTCATATCCTCCGGCTTTCCCCACCTACCCACGGGAATCCGCGGTATAATAGAGTCACGGTAGGCCGCATATCGTGGCTCCGTCAGGGTATCAGCAGTCATATCAGTTTCGATGTACCTTAAAAGCAGAGTCAGTGTTGCTGAAAAGAGATTCTGGCCAAGAACGCATAGTTTATCACATACCCTGGGGCAATGGCATTGACATTAATCCCCCTCCCCGCCCATTCATTACTGAACGCACGGGTCAACTGCAGCAAGCCCCCCTTGCTTCCCACGTACCCCGAAACGTTAATACCGCCCTGGAAGCTGGCCACGCTGGCCACGTTGATAATTTTACCGCGCTGCCCCTGCGAAATCCAGTGACGGGCAATATCGCGACAGAGAATAAATGGAGCTGTCAGGTTGGTTTGCATTATCGCTTCATAGTGGTGTGTAGCATAATCCTCTGCTGGACTGCGGTGTTGGATTGCAGCGCAGTTGACGAGGATGTCGATAGAATGAGTGGCGACAACTCGGCTAATCAGTCCTTCAACTTGTTTTCTGTCGGCAAGGTCACATTGGACCACCTCACAACGTCTACCGAGCCGTTCGACGGCTGGTTGTGTGTCTGAGACGTTTGTCGAGCGCTGAACTAGGATAAGGTCTGCGCCGTGCTCAGCTAGCCCGAGAGCAATGGCTTGGCCGATGCCCCGAGTGCCGCCGGTGATTAGAGCAGTCTTGCCGGACAAGGAGAAAAGGGACATCGCTGTGCTTGGTGTAGAGTGGGCAGATACTGCAAGTATTGCACTACCAGACAAGGGGGGAGGGGTATATAAGACGAATATTCCATTATGTAAGTCCTCCAGTTGTACACCGTACTACTCACATTGGGTGGGGTCTCTACTGTTTGGATGGTAGCACAGACATACTGTCTAGCGTTTTCTACGCAAGCAGTGTTTGTGAGGTTTTGAAACCATCAGATAACGTTCCTGGCGAATTCTATCGCCCATCCCTTTTGGGCAGGCAGCCAGCCATACTCTGGTGTAACAGCGCGCAATGTACCTTCTAGAAGCCTATCCTTCTCGGGGAAGCCAACCATAATTTTCATCACGCGTTTCCTTCGTATTATAGGAATAGATTCCAGTGATATGAGTGCGACTTAACTCGGCGATTAATCGAGCTTTTGGAAACATTAGGATTGGTGGGGAATTTGAAGTCTACTAGCAGTCACAAAATCCTGCGCGAGCAAGGTTTTCAGAAGATCTCCCAACATCATAAGGATCCTCAACGGGCGCACTTATATCGTATGTACTGGGTTGAGTTCATGCGTAAGGCCAAAGACGACTGTTTTCTAGTCTGTATACATGGAATTGTGTACGATGTCTCAGAGTTTATCAATGACTATTCCGGGGGCCCTGATGTCTTCGAGAAGTTTGTTGGCCTAAATGTGTCACTCGCGTCTCATGGGGGCCACCATGCTCTTTCTCCGCATGCGGAATCTCGTCTTGCCTCGATGCAAGTTGCTTCAATCAAAGATCTCCAGGACTCGGTTGATGAGTAACCATCTCAGATGCTCCTGAATATTTATTCCTTGAAGGAAGCTTTCTCGTGCGATATCGCGCTCGCTGAATCGCTGATCTCTAAGTATATACCTCTCTTTACTATCTTCCCTTGCCATGAGGCATAAGGAGCTGCTTGGAATCAAATTCGTATAGCTCATATAACTCGCTTCTTCAGTCTCCATAAATCTACATTAGTTACCATGTATAAATTACCTTCAACCCGACAATGGAATCTTGGGTAACATTTTTGGGTTCGATTTAAACAGATACTTGCCATGCAGTGGTACTGGTAGGAAAGATATTCGTCGTACAAGACACGAGAAATTTGAAGCATCATCCTTTTCTGGGAGAGATAAATTGAGTCCAGACAATAAATTCTTCGAGATAATGCGCGTTGCTAGAATAACTTACAAGAAGATATACAAATTACACTATGACTAGCTAGTCAACCAGGCTTAAGCAGTTATAATAAGGGTGCTGCTTCACCATGCCCTCGGCTCGAGCCGACGTAGCTGTTAATTGTGGAATAGAACGAAACCGGTGGAATACCGGTGATCAGGGTTTGAAACGGCGATCCTGAGTCAAGTGAAGCATATGCTATCATCAAATTTAATTTATTCAAAGATCTACCAAATAGATCAAATATAATGTGTGGACACTTATCTCTCCGTCGCCTGGCTGGCTAGACGCGATGTCTCGGTTTTGGTCTAGCGGTCAGCGCGTCGACAGATAATATATGACGGCTACTCCGAGCGGAATAGATGCGTTCCAACACCTGTCAGTCATACAGGAAACTTCTTATGTCTATACTGAACCCCGGACGGTTTTGCGGCATACTAATGCTATGCTCTACGGAGTGCAAATATATATGCTTCCCCAATAGACACTCACGGTGGTCACATCGATTACATGATATTTATTACGGTACAAATATATAAATTATTCTCTTGTCTCTTCTCAGCTTTCTTTCCCAACCTGTTCTTTCCCATCGCCAAAATAGTAACCTTTGGTGGATTGGTTTCAATTGGTTGCCAAGAGGAAGCTTTGCGTACTTCACGAGACTCAAATGTCATGGCATTTGTCGACATATGACTTGAAGTGTTCCGGGAAGTCATCCTTCCACAACTGATCGCTGTTCAGGTATTCGTCCACTTTCTGGCACCTGTCATTCGTAATGTAGGGAAGCAATCCGGGCACCCCTTTGAGAACGGCAGTTCTTGCGTTGCTGTTAACGCAGTCCAAGAAAGGTTGTACCTTGTCTTCATCATCACAAAGGTTCAGACCATCGGATTCTTTCTGGCACTTGGACACGACGGTGGTGTATAGGTCATCAATAGCTTTGACAAATGCTTTCTGTGCTGCCTCATCGTTGATTCCAGTGTAGCCGATACCATCCTCCATCAATTCGTTGAGAATTTCTTCCTTCACATCGCTGTTCCACTGGTCGATGTTTGGTGAGCAGCCGGCTGGGCAGGCGTTCAGTTGAACATTTTGGATGAAGTGACCGGGGATTTTGCTAATAGAGTCGACGGCATCGAAGCAAGACGTCACGAGGGCGAGGGTGGGAGAAACACTAAGGCAAGCAACAGTTGCGATGTTCACGGCGTTGTTGAACTTCATGGTGACCGACTTCAAGAAAATTGCTGTGGCTGTGACAGTGATGTAGATTTCCCAAGCTTGGAAGATGTACCACACTCAGGCACCGCGTGGATCCCATGGTTTTAAAAGGATCTTGGACGGGTAACATTCCTCCCATCATTCCCCATAACCCAGACACAAAGGGTGACTAAAGTTGTGACCCTGTCAATCTCCTCAAGGAGGACATTCCGACTCTAAATTATCGGTATCTTGGCTTGTGTTAGAGCAGATAAATCAATAATTGTGGTGAAATTGCGGGGTCTAGTGTCGAGCGGCTGGGTGTAGAAGACATTCATGTCTTAAGACAGCGTATGTCCCAAAGCTTATTAGTCCGAACCGACATCTTACTCAACGATTCAGCCGAATTATGATGCTTCGCTTGGGTCTCTAGCAGAGCACTCTTTGGTATGGCACGGTCCGGTTTCCGTCCCGTCAGGGAAAGCTCGCGCTTTCTCCTTTCCTTGTAGATCATAGCCACAATAGTCCCCCATAAGCATATACGTGTTTCTGCACTGCTTTTTCTATGGTCATTTAATCACATATCCAGTGCTGTCTATAATTTCCTTTGGTATACAATTATCAACTGAGATCAGTTGAAAAGATTTCGGCCTGCTGCGTTGCCTCGAGTGTTCACCGCTTTGAGCTCCCCAACAGGCTTTTGTGTTCGGCCACTTTTTTTTTTGGAAAAAAAAGTCACACGATTTCCCGTTTATGGTTTTCGAACACCAGAGGAGAACAGTTTGAAAAAAAATGCTTTCAACGCAAGGAGGCGCGTAGGCGATGGAAGGGCTACACGCCTTTATGAGTTTACATGCAAGGGATACTATAGCAATGTACAGCCTTCCTTGATTCCGTTCGCTGACTTGCTCGCTAGAACTTAGACTTTCTTAGACTCCATAATCAAAAGCTTTTGATCCAGCTTTGTTCCTTGTGTATTGGCTAATATCAAAGCTCGTGAGTGCCGGTGGCGGAGAATTAGGAGCTGAAGTGCTATACTGGCACTTCCTGTCTCAGTGCTGGTTTGAACACATCATACCGACCGCCCTACACGGAGCTAAACAATGCCCAAAAACTAGCCAGTGTGATTACGAAGATAGCTCCTTCGTCATGCCAGGGTTTTCCTGGTTATCCGAGAACACACGTGCGATCGTCTGTCTAGCCTTCCTTTTGCCGTTCACTGCATTGTCGCCGATTTTGCTCGTGGGAAGATGCAATAAGCAAAAGATAAATGGCTGGACATTGACCGTGGAAGAAAAAACATAGCAATAAATTATTTTCCTGTCATCGGTCCATGCGTAATCTATGCAAAAATCCTTTTTATCCCGATTATTGGGCAGAAGTTGGTTGGTAGTACGTAGTCATCAAGGGGGGGGGAAGAAAATAAAGACATCTTGACTAAGAAAAACGAAAGCAAAGTACAAGAGCATCAAGACCTAGACCAAACTACACTTTGAAATTGTTGCAGTCAAGATCGTTTCTGATCTCTGCTGACCGCTACTTCAGTGCGATGCAAGATCTTGGGTTTGACAATCCCGCATACGTACATGATAGCTAATCTCGTTCTTTGCGCTAAGTAGTGCGGACTCTGAGTGTAGGTGGTCACACTTAATATGAACTGTGCAACCCACAGTTCAAGACATGGTCAGCTATCATTCAAATTCTCTTGGGTGAAAAGTGTATCCCTTTTCTTCTACCAGTGTCAATCTACCACTTGTACCATCACAAACTCTCAAAAACAATCTGGAAGTCCCTTGCTCTACGTTGATGCAACGATTACCAAGCGGAGAGAATCGATATCAAATCATGGATGGACTTAATGTTAACAGCTCGCCGAATGCCACTCTCTCATACTGTAACGACAACCATGGGCCGGTACAATCAGAGAGTTACAGCGACTGCGAGCCGGTCCCATTCCCGATTGCGATTGTTGGCATGTCAATGAGGCTTCCCGGCGGTGTCAATAGTGAGAAGGAGTTCTGGGACTTATTGATCAACAAGCGCGATGGCCGTTGCGTAGTTCCCGGGGACCGATACAACATTGAAGCATTCTACGACGAGACTCGTCCTGGTGCGATCCGGACCCAGCATGGCTACTTCCTTCAGCAGGATATATCGCAGGTTGATGCTGGATTCTTCGGTATGAGCAAGCTAGAAGCAGGGAAACTCGACCCACAACAGCGAATACTACTTGAGGTTGTATGGGAATGCCTGGAAAACGGAGGTCAGATCCCATCTCGGTGCCGTGGAAAGGACATTGGATGTTATGTGGGGGTGTTCGGTGAGGACTGGTTGGATTTGATGAGCAAGGACACCCAGGCCATCGATCGTTTCAGGGTCGTCAGCGCGGCGGATTTCGCCCTTTCAAACCGAATATCCTACGAGTATGACCTGCGAGGCCCGAGTATCACGTTCCGCACTGGTTGTTCTGCGGCCCTTGTAGGTCTACACGATGCCTGTCAGGCACTATATACGGGAGAATGCTCATCGGCGTTGGTTGCCGGGACTAATTTGATCATCACGCCAACAACAACTAACGCCGTGTCGGAGACTATGGCACTTTCCCGCGATGGAATTTCCAAGACTTTCGACGCTTCAGCAAATGGCTATGGAAGGGGAGAAGCAGTAAACGCAATATATATCAAGCCGCTACATGCCTGCCTCCGAGATGGTGATCCAGTTCGCGCCGTGATACGATCTACAGCTGTGAATTGCGACGGCAAAACACCTAGCATAACAACCCCAGGGTCGCAAGCACAGGAAGCGCTTATCAGAAGGGCTTATCAGAAAGCAAGAATTTCCGATATCAGTAAAACAGCATTCTTTGAATGTCACGGAACTGGCACAATCGTTGGCGATACGGCTGAAACAACGGTAATTGCCAATGTGTTTGGTCAGGAAGGCATACATATTGGAGCGGTGAGTCGACAGCCATAGATAAAGACCAACATTAATAAACCGTTGTCTGATAGGTCTTAGGTGAAACCAAACTTGGGTCATTCAGAAGGCGCCTCAGGAATTACCAGCGTGATCAAGAGCGTACTCGCGCTTGAGCACAGGATCCTTCCTCCCAACATACATTTCAATACGCCAAATCCTAACAGTGAGGCATTTCCCTTTCCTACCCTAAGGAGGACATAGCTCATTCTTTCATTTTTAGTTCGTTTCAAAGAGGCAAAGTTGCAGGTCCCAGTGGATCCAACACCTTGGCCTGCAGGTAGGTGTGAGAGGATCAGCGTCAATTCATTCGGTATTGGAGGTACCAATGCTCATGTATGTGTCCCCGATTCAGCACAATCCCGATGCTTCAGATAATCCAAAGACATCTGCTAATAGTTCAAGGTTGTCTTGGACTCTGCCCTTTCTGTGGGTGGAGGACAGCAGTCCGGGGTAGACGAGAGACCAAGCCCACCACATCTTCTGCTCGCCTCTGCCAAGTCGGCAACATCACTGGATAGCAATATCAAAATAATCAGCGACTATCTAAATGAAACCCCGTCTGCTGCTGCAGACCTTGCATATACGCTTGCGTTCAAACGAGAGCACATGCCACACCGAGGCTTTGCCATAATGGAGAAAGACGGGACGATTTCGACATTCGAGAAAGCGCGTGCACTCAATCCGCAGGTCTGCTTCCTCTTTACCGGACAAGGAGCACAGTGGCCAGGCATGGGGCGAGAGATGATCCTGAGCTCTGAGAAGTTCCGGTTAGTCATACGAGGACTAGATGAGGACCTACAGCGACTGGAAACTCCACCGGATTGGAGTATCGAAGGCAAGTTCTGAACACTTCCTATACATTGGCTCGATTCTAACGATACTTAGAGGAGTTAATGCATACCAACGATAAAAGCCGATTTCAAGAGGCTCGATTCGCACAGCCGCTTTGTACCGCTATCCAGGTGGCTCTGGTGGACTTTCTCCGGGAGCTTGGAGTCGTTCCTTCTATTGTGGTCGGACATTCCAGTGGCGAAATTGCTGCGGCTTATGCTTCAGGGGCTATCACCGCCGCATCTGCGATCAAGATCGCCTACTTTCGTGGCCTGGCCATGGAGTCTGCAAAAGCAAAGGGTGCAATGGCAGCAATCGGGCTCGGACGAGCGGATGTGCAGCAATACCTCAGGGATGGAGTGGTCTTGGCATGCGAGAACAGCCCTGAAAGTGTGACGATCTCGGGAGACGAGCAAGCGGTCGATGAAATGTTGAAAGACATACAGGCACAAGGCGAAGTCTTCTGTCGGCGTATCGCAGTCAACGTGGCTTATCATTCGCACCACATGGAGGAGGTAGGAAAGCTATTCGAGTCCTTACTTTCGGAGATATGTTTCAATGAATCCATGACCCCACTAGTATCCACAGTGTCAAACGAAACTGTCTCCGACCCGTGTGTTCTGAATCCTTCATACTGGAGGAAGAATGTGGAGAGTCCAGTTCTGTTTAACACGGCAGTTGACAAGATACTGAGTGAAGGTGAGCAGGCCTTGACGTTTGTTGAGATAGGGCCACACTCGGTGCTTTCTGGCCCCTTGCGACAAATTATCTCTAGAGCAGATTCCAAGCGAAGCTGTTCATACACACCAACCTTCCTTCGACACACAGACCAATTGAGATGCTTGCTGAGCACGGTTGGCCAGTTATATACTCAGGGAATCTTTGTCGACCTATCGTTCTTAGTCCATCCTGCAGCGACTGTGACAGACCTTGCTCCCTATTCATGGGATCATAATGAATCATTCTGGAGTGAGACCCGCCTAACGAGGGACTGGAGGCTTCGGTCGGCTCCCCACCACGAACTATTAGGCAGTCGAGCTCTAGAATCGAGCGACTTGGAACCTGTATGGCGGAATATGTTACAAGCGGAGAATGTACCTTGGCTATTAGAACATAAAATAGGGGGAGAGGTCGTCTTTCCCGGTGCCGGATACGTGGCAATGGTTGGGGAGGCTATGCGTCAGATATCCCAGGTTCCCGAATATTCGGTAAAGAATGTGTTTATGCGAGCTGCGTTGGTTCTGAAAGAGGCGAAGCTGCAGCACGTTGAGATTATTACGAGCCTTCGACCGGTGAAACTGACCGACAGTCTAGACTCCGGCTGGTATGACTTCACAATCACTGCATATGACGAAGGCGAGTGGAAGAAACATTGCGTCGGCCAGGTTCGGGCAGAGCCAGATGGATTTAGTAATGAATATGGTACAGTATCCTCATACTCACGCAAGGTGCTGGCCAAGGAATGGTACGATGCTTTGGAGAGGCGCGGACTCGAGTACGGCCCCAATTTCCGCGGGCTTCGCGATATCACGGCGAGCCCCACCACTACCGAGGCAGCAGCAACATTATGTGAACCTACCGCGCTAACCGGTAGCCACTATGCTCTCCATCCCGTCGTGATAGACCAATGTCTCCAGCTACTGAGTGTAGCAGGAGCCAAAGGAATTCAGCGTTGCATGACTCAATTGTGCATCCCCACCGCTATTGAGAGTCTATACGTCGCCCGTGGACGAGAGACGATGTCTCTGAGATCAAGATGCGATTCAGCCGGAAACACGTTCACTGGGGATGCCTTATTACTTGCAGATGAGACGCTTGTGCTTTCTCTGAGGCGCTGCTTCTTTTTCGGAATCAGTGAGTCGGCGATAAACGATGAAAATGGCGCGTCCGCCGCAATTCTGCATTGGAAGCCTCATATTGACTTTGTCCCACTGGAGACCCTAATCCCACCAATTCCAGCAGACATAGATCGCGGGAGAATGGCGGCAAAAATGTCGAATATTTTCATACTGGAGGCATACCACCGGACAAAACCGTCGAGACCAACAAAAGAGCATTTGAAAAAGTACCAAGCATGGTTGTCCTCACAGTACGAAAGAATAAGGGACGAGGACCCCAGCCTTATTCTGGAACACTGCGACAAGTCTGACTCCGATACCGCAGGACATCTATCGCAGATTGAAAAATTTGGGGAAAACATTGCACACCCTTTAGTACGCAGTGTGTACACTGCCGCACATGAGGTCCTGTCAAATCTTCAGGGGATTATGGATGACAGCGTTGACGCCCTGGAGGTTGTGAGTGGAAGTGATGCCATCACTAGTACTTATGAGGAGTCCTCTCGTCTATGTCCTGCAGGAAACTTCCTGTCACTTCTCAGCCATTCACGTCCGACACTCAAAGTCCTGGAAGTTGGTGCAGGAACTGGCGGAGCCACCTCGGCAGCTCTTGATGCGCTTTTTGATGCAACAAAGCACGGAGGTCCTATGTATTCGACCTACACGTTCACTGACATTTCACCGGGCTTTTTCGCAAAAGCGAAAGAGCACTTTAAGAATTTCCCTGGGATGATATACGAGACGCTCGACATATCCAAGGACCCTGAAGACCAGGGGTTTACTGTGGGGAACTATAATCTGATCATCGCTTCAAATGTTGTCCACGCTACTCCAAGAATTTCAACGACACTTCGCAATCTGAATAAACTTCTGGCTCCAGGGGGATGGCTTTTCCTCACAGAGCTCTGCCCCACGCTGCCAACGTTGAATTTCATCATGGGCATCCTCCCAGGTTGGTGGAATGCAGAGGATTCAAGAGAAACGCCAATGATTCCTGTCTCACAATGGCATGAAGAACTTTTGGATGCGGGCTTCACTGGTACGGACGTTGTCCGCTACGACAATGAACCGCCATACAATACGAATGCCTACATCCTGTCACGACGACCTGAGGCCAAGGCATCACTTGGTGGAGAAATTGGCTTCCTTCATAGGGGTAAGGTCCCTAGTTTGGCATACACACTTGCACAGGCTTTCACACACCAAGGAGTCAGGGTCAACTGGTTGACCCTGAACGACCTGTCTTCTTCAACAACGGACGTCATATCCTTCCTTGACCTGGAAGGCCCTTTCTTAAGCAGTATTTCCGAGTATGAATTCTGTGCCTTCCAACGCTTTCTTTCTCGTGTGAAAGGCCACTGCCTCTGGCTGATGCCGCCGGTTCAATTCGGCTGTAAAGATACAGACCCTCAATTTGGCCTAACGCTGGGATTGATGCGAACAGTACGGAAGGAGATTTCCACTAATTTTGCAACTCTCGAACTCGACCAGAAGGAACCGTGTGCAGCAGAAAATGTCTCCCTCGTTTTCGAACGAATCTGCCGGCAGTCGGGCAAGAACCCAATCCACGAGGACTATGAATATGTTCTAAAAGATGGAAAAATTCATGTCGGTCGATTCCACTTCAACTACCTCCACCAAATTATGGCTGTCGATGATGGCTTCGAACAGAGGTCTTTAGATATTGGATGCTTTGGTATCTTTGATTCTCTGACTTGGGCCCTGGATGGGCGGGTGGAAGAGCTTGGAGAACACGATGTTGAGCTAGACATCCGTTTTGTCGGGCTTAATTTCAGGGTAAGAAGCGATGTAAACTATATTTCTATAAACCATCTAATAATGTTTCTCGTTTAGGACATTATGATATCCATGGGGCTCATGGGAGACACCTCTGAATTCGGACACGAAGCCGCTGGTATCGTCCGCAAGGTTGGATCGGGAGTGCAACATATTCAGGTGGGAGACCGAGTTGCGTTGTTTGGAAAAGGTTTAATGGGCACTCGAAAAATAGTTCCTGCAGAGTCTTGTCTTGTTGTCCCTGAAGGATTGTCCTTAGAAGACGCAGCAGCAGGTCCCTGCATTTTCTCTACCGCTCTCTACTCCTTGGTGAAATGTGGGAATGTACAAAAGGGTCAAACCGTCCTAATCCACAGCGCATGTGGCGGAGTTGGCCTTGCATCAGTTCAAATATGCCAGGGAATTGGAGCCGAGATCTTCGCTACAGTTGGAAGCCAAGAGAAAAGAAAACATCTTGTGGAGGAGTACAATATTGCCGAAGACCACATATTTGACTCGAGAAGCGTTAGCTTCCAGAGAGACGTGATGAAGGCGACCGGTAATAGGGGCGTTGACCTCGTTCTCAACTCTCTTTCCGGCGAGCTGTTGCATGCCTCCTGGAAGTGTGTTGCCCCCATGGGCAAAATGATTGAGTTGGGCAAGCGCGACTTCCTCGGCCATGCTAAGCTGGATATGGACCTCTTCATGGCAAACCGAACTTTCATTGGTGTGGATCTTCTTCAAATTGGCGAGCAGAACCCTGAAGTTATTCGAAGCTTAGTGGAGCAGTCTGCTCATTCTATAGAGCAAGGAAAGCTCCGTCCTATCCGGCCAGTTACTGTGTTCAAGGCGTCCGATATTGCTAAAGCGTTTAGGCATATGCAGACTGGCAAACACATGGGAAAACTTGTCGTGGAAATGCCTGAAAATCCACACGAGCTACAGGTGTCTAAATTGCAGTCCAAAGGAGCCCTTTTCCGCAGTGACGCTTCATATTTGTTAGTTGGTGGCCTCGGCGGACTTGGGCGTGCAGTGGCAAGATGGATGGTGGAGAAGGGTGCGCGGCATTTGATATTCATGTCCCGGTCTGGGCTGGAATCAACCAAGGCTCGAGAATTTGTTCAAGATCTGGAGTCTCAGGGGAATTGTCATATTCAGGCAGTTACAGGAGATGTCACCAATATCAACGACGTTGAACGAGCTGTATCTGCCGCGGGACGACCAATAGCAGGAATTATGCAGTTGTCCATGGTGCTACGAGTGAGGTCCCCTCTCAGTAATTTGCATCCTTCTAGAATATGTGCTAATCTTCTGTCGAAAGGATCAAACGTTAGATAACATGGCATACAAGGAGTGGACTGAAGCACTCGCTCCTAAGGTCCAGGGCACGTGGAATATTCATCATGCAACGCAGAATTGCTCCTTGGATTTCTTCGTCCTACTTAGCTCAATCTCTGGTACTGCCGGCCATACAGGGCAGGCAAACTACGCGGCTGCCAATACCTTCTTGAATGCATTTGTCACTTATCGTCATACAAAGGGGCTACCAGCTAGTGTACTCGATCTTGGATTCATGGGAGATATCGGCTATGTCGCGGAAACGTCTCATAGGGCCAGGGATATGGTTGAAATAAACTCATGGGAAGTACTAGAAGAGCCTGATCTACTCAAGGCCCTGGAAATACAGATCATGCGGGGTGCTCCTCACCTTTCCATAGGAATGGGAACAACAAAGCCAGTGTCAGAGATTGATAACGGCAGCACGTTTGGGCAGGATGCTCGCTTCCTGGCGTGGCATAACATGCTAGCCGCTTCGGAAGGTGGTAGTGCAAACCAGGATAACGAGCTCAAAGCCTTGGTAAACGCGGTCAAGCGTGATCCCTCTCTTCTGTATGACCCAGCTACCGAGACCAAGATCACTCTCGAAATTGGTCGAATGGTTGCCTCAAACATGTCATATCCCGATGATATGCCATATGAGGAGCTTTGCGAGATTGCAATTGACTCGTTGATGACCATTGAGATACGCAGCTGGTTCCGGCGAAATGTCGGCGTTGAGGTGTCACTCGCTCAGATATCAAAAGCGCAGACCGTCAAAGGTCTCGGCGTGATCACCATGCAGGTCCTCCGCGAAAAGCACAAATCCGGCGAGCTTGAGAACGCGAAGGGCTCTCTAGTCGGTAACGGAAAAGAGGACGTTGATGAGAGCGTACTTTATCGGGCGGACTTGGAGTTGGCCAAATCTCTGGAGCCAATATCAGAGCGCGTTCCGTGTTGGCATTCCGAGTCTGAAGGGCGAGTGTTTCTTACCGGATGCACCGGGTTTCTGGGTGCCTTCTTTCTCTCTCTTCTAGTAAGTCACCCGCGCGTGAAGGAGATTGCGTGCTTGGTGCGGGCACCAGATACCTCAGCTGGCTTGGCCCGTATCAAGGAAACCCTGGAACACTACGGACTGTCACTGGACTCTGAATCTAAAGTCATCGTGGTACCTGGCGATATCACCGATTCTACACTTGGACTCGGGCAAGAGAAGTACGAACATTTCGCTCAGTGGACGAGCATTGTTTTCCATCTCGCCGCCCAATGCAACTACATGCCTTCATATTCGGATCTTCGCAGTGCCAATATTCATGGGTTTTCGAATATTCTCCGGTTCGCCAATACGAAGCGCCTGAAGCCAGTACACTATACCTCCAGTATCTCAGCCTGCGGTACATCTGCATATCTCGAGGGTAGGGAGCTTATCGGCGAAAATGAAAGACCCGTCCTCAAAGCCACGGACTCAGAAAGAAAGCTCGTCGGTTACAGTGAGACCAAAATCGTCGCCGAAAGCATTGCCTGGGACGCCATTGCAAACGGCATTCCAGTAACCATACATCGCCTACCGGTCATATCCGGCCACAGCAAAACGGGAATCGCCAATCCTGCGGACGGTTTCCAACATCTGATGGTCAGCGCCATTCGCGTTGGATGTTATCCCTCTCCACCGGCCGCCCGCTGCCAGATAATTCCAGTCGACTACGCAAGCTCGGCGATCCTGCAAATCGCGCTTAGCGGTCACCACAGCCATGCCTATAATCTTGTCAGACCCGATCAGTCTCACACGCTGACTTGGAACGAGGTCCTGGGCACAGTGGCACATTATTCGTCGCCCCCGTTGAAAGAGGTATCGCCTTCGGAGTGGACTGATATTGTAGCAACACATGGCCAGCAGCGCCTTAAAGTCGCATCATCATACTTGCAGGATAAGCTTCGGGAACAGTTAGTTTACTGGGAGGTGGAAACCATGACGAAGACCGTATACGAAAACGCGCATAGTCGTCGTGTCTTGCTTGAGTCGGCGGATATGCCGGAGTTGCCTTCTATGCCTGACCTGTTGAGTACATACTTCAAGGTCTGGCAAAAACAGGAGCAACACCGGTGAAGTCGGAGCTGTGAGTCACAAAACCAGAGAATGGCGAACCCGAGAACAAAGTCAATGAAGTATCTATCATGAAGTTGGAATAGTTGATTTAGATATTATGATAATGACATGATCATGATCACAGGCATTACATTATAATCATAAGGACAGGTTAACAGTTTATCCATGCAACAATGTGCAAGCAGTCCCGCATGAGTATTTGTGAAACCATCACATGATGGGTAACATTTCGAGTTGCATTCGACTAAGCGATCAGTATAGTCACCAAACGCACAAGAACTGATAGTTACAATACTGGTAACATGCACCGTCAAAGTTTTGGTATATACATTGTCTGCAAGCTGCAAACTCATCGGAGAGGCCATGGCAGCAGTCATAGTGCGGATTTTGGTGGTAAGGAGCGTGGAGGTTGTAGGTAGTCCTGCAGATGCAGAAAAATCAGACAGGTTGCTCCTGTTGGTATTTATGGCGGATTGCGAGACGGTAGGGATGATGTTATTTTTCGGAGATGAAGGCTTATATGATACTGATGTCGATGACTGAGAAATCTCGGATGACTTCGGGCTCGGCAATGCGTGGGTAGATGAGGAGGATACTATATACTGGCTTGATGGTTGAATGGGGACCGAAGAGCTTGGATGTAGGAGCGACGAAGCCGAGCTTGATGCAATAATGGAACGAGATGTTGTGGACACTGCAGGCATTGAACTCGGAGTGTATGTAAAGCCCTTGCCAGATGAAGGAGAATGTGAGCTGCTGGGCCGAATAGCGCTGGAGGAATTTGCGGCTGCGGATGGCTGGTTCGGCATGGATGGCTTTCCCGTGGTTATAGAAGATGAGGAGTCAGCGACAGATGCAGATACGGATACCGAGGAGGATGGTATCACTAGTGTTGAGGTGGATGTCGACGAGGGAGTAGTGTTTCCCAACGAGATGGCCCGAGTGCCTGACATTGCGGGGGCAGAATTGGATACTGAGACGGGGAATGTTGCCGATGGCACGGTTGATGCAGAGCTGGTCTGAGTGAATGATGTATCCAGGATAGTGATGATCGATGTGTATGTCGCAACAGACAGGACGGTTGATGTTTCAGTGGAAAACCCGGTAGAGATAGAAGTCTCCGTAACCGTGCAAGGGTTGGTAGTGAAGCGCATAGCGGCTCTGTAAGAGGCAGCAGAAGTAGAAGTAAGCGAGCCAGTAAGAGGATAGCAAGCATGATTCGCTGTGTTGTAGTTGGCTCCGTCACAAACAGTTTGAGATTGATAGCATAACAACTCGCATGCATATAACGATGCGTAATTTGCTGAGCTGATGGTCGTGCCGCACTCTAAAGATACACCCGAAACACCATTGTTGGAACCAGTTGCCAACGAGCGGCCAAGCACCGTCAGAGGTAAAAAATGGATCGGCATACGATTTAGTAGCACAGGTGGTAGCTGTGGTGGTTAGGGCTGAGGTGCTGGTGATGGTGCTGGTCACTGTATCGGTATAGGTAGATGTCCAAGTCACGACCGAGACACTGGCTGCTGCTTCTGGTTGGACGGTCAGGGCGGCATTCAAATGAGCTAGGGATACCCAAACAGCCAGAGCTTGTGCTATAAATCTCCTCATGACTCTAATGGCTGCGATGATTGAAAGAAAAGAACGGTGAGCCTTGGGACAGAATGGGACGGGTTGCGGTGTGAAAGAATAACTGGAGGAAACGAACGACGACAGCCCGGAGTGTCATCTCCTTCTGTGGGCACCTTACCTTTTATAGCCAAATTCACAAGAAGGATTACGAGGTATTATTGGCAGGTACCTATCATTGAACTGAACTAGTGGATGGAATCCAGCTCCTAATGTGAGGTTCGGACATAAAAGCCGACGAAGGCTTTTAGTGTCAAGCAGTGGCAAAAGACAAGGTTCCAGCCTCAAGGTGAAAGGGGAATAGAAGGAGAAGGACGATGAAACCAAAACCAAAGGCCTTGGAAATATCGTTTGAGAAAGATGCGGGTCTCAATGGGTGGCACAGTCATCGGGCAATAATCATCTAGGGTTCGATTTCCATAACATCTCCGGTATCGCTGCAAGCTACGATGGTGATGGCACCAGTCCAGAACGAATTGCGACTATAGTCACAGTACTGGAACAGGCCTAGCCTCTCAATAACCTGTAAGTAAGCAGCAAGCATAAGTGGCTCGGGACCAAAGGCATATTCAAGCTCAAGCATAAATGACAAGCTAAGTGGGCAAGCTAAGTGGGCCAGTCACCAATGACTGGAGATGTCCACCGGCAGCAAAGAATGAATGGATATCACAAGCATGCAACATTAGTAGTTTTCCGACTAGGCTTTGCTATTCCTTGCATCTTACTTCATCCATATATTAGCTGGAGAATCCTTTTCCGAGATGTAACCATGCCGATCGCGTTGACCCCCTCAGCGAGCGAGCTCCGCCGATATCGGCCCGTCGCTAGCCATTTACAGCAGCTATAAAGGAAGCAACGAATACATGTCAACCCATTTCTCATCAACAATCGTTTTTTCATACTTCAGAGAAAGAGCAAAATGCCTGAGACAGCAACTTATACCCACGGCCATCATGCCTCCGTGCTCCGATCTCACGGACAACGGACCGCCCTCAACTCCGCTCAATACCTCCTACCACACCTCCAACCCCACATGAAGATCCTAGACATTGGCTGTGGTCCGGGCACTATAACCGTGGATTTGGCCACTTATGTCCCCAAAGGCCATGTTACGGGACTGGAAATGGTTGACGATGTCCTACCAGGCGCCCGACAGCTCGCCGAATCGCGAGGCATCCACAACATCGAGTTCGTAACGGGTGACGCCAACAATCTGGCCTACGCCGATGAATCATTCGATGTGGTCGTCTGCCACCAGGTATTGCAGCACGTTGGAGATCCTGTGAACGTGCTGAAAGAAATGCGGCGTGTCTGCAAGTCTGGTGGCATTGTCGCCGCGCGCGAGTCCGATTACTCGGTCTTCATGTGGTACCCGGAACTGCCTGGGCTGCGACGCTGGCAGGAGCTGTACGATCGGGTGGCTCGGAAGAATGGAGGGGAGCCAAATGCAGGTCGGTACTTGCATGCTTGGGCACGTCAGGCTGGATTTGAGAAGCAGAAGGTCGATTGTACTGTGAGTGTGTGGTGCTTTACGAAGCCAGAAGAGGTTCAGTGGTGGAGTGGGACATGGCAAGAACGCGCGTTGAAATCGGCCTTTGCTAAGGGGGCTCTAGATAATGGACTCGCGACGGTGGAGGAACTCGAGGGTATATCTACTGTTTGGCGGCAGTGGGGTGAGGATGCAGATGCCTGGATCTCGATTCCCAGTGCGGAGATCATCTGTCGTAAATAGCGAAATCATGTCTTATCACTTATCAGTCAACGGATAGAGTCGGGGATCTTAATGAACCTTCAAACTCCGAAACTTCCTTTGAAGAATATGTGGCTACCGTACAAGTTATCCATTAAGCACTTGATGTGCATATTCACTCAGATGTATTGTTCCATAGCCAAATCCTAAATTTTGTCATTTGATTCGCCTGTTCGTAAAACTGTGCCTCCCAAGCTTCCACGATGTGTAACTAAGTAGTAAGTAGTTATCTAACATGAGGCTGGATGGGTCATCTTCGTACCTCGGCGTTTCCTATTGGTCGGTTCGCATTTTACGGTCCGTGATTGGCTAGTCTGTAACAGCCCCATCTGTCCTTGGGGTTGGTATGCCTCAGAAATGCTGCATTTGAGTCCTACAATAGGGTCTGATGCTTAAAGAGAAACATCAGTTCCAATAGTTGGTTAACTTCCTCATCTCCCTTGAATGGCATATAAATATCTGCTCAACCACCTCTTCGTCTCGTCTTTTTTGCATCCCTCTTCACAACCACTCATCCATCTTTTAAACTGCTTATAACGATTCAAATCTACTACTACCAAGTCTACTACTACACCAACCAACCCAAAAATGTCTGACCTTCGCAGTCTAGGCCACAATGGCCCCCTCGTCAATTCCATCGGTCTCGGCACAATGAGCATCGCTGGTGCCTACGGCCAACAAAACACTCCGGAAGAGAAGCTCGCCTTCCTAGACCACGCTCACTCCATTGGACAGCGATTCTGGGACACAGCCGACATCTACTTCGATAGCGAAGCCATCATTGGGCAATGGTTCAAGCGGTCTGGCAGACGTGATGACATCTTCCTAGCTACCAAGTTCGGCCTTAGTTATGATGCCAGCATGAACCAAAGTATCCGATCTGATCCGGAATATGTTCGTATGGCGTGCGAGAGAAGCCTGGAGAAGTTAGGAGTCGAGGCGATTGACTTGTATTATTGTCATCGGGCTGATGGAGTGACTCCTATTGAGAAGACGGTGGAGTCTATGGCTCAGTTAAAAAGGTCAGTACTTTCTGAATGATTCTGCTATTGGCCAGGGTGCATTACTGACGTCGGTTGTTATGTGCAACCAGGGAAGGTAAGATCCGTTACCTAGGCCTTTCTGAGGTCTCTGCTGCTACTCTGCGCCGTGCACATGCTGTTCATCCTATCTCGGCACTGCAGATCGAGTACAGTCCGTTTTGCTTGGACATCGAGTCACCCCAGTCCGATGTGCTTCGCACTTGTCGCGAGCTAGGCATTGCGGTCGTTGCGTATAGTCCAATGGGTCGGGGCTTGCTGACGGGTCAGTTCAAGTCAAGAAGCGATCTTGGAGAGCAGGATTTTCGATGCATGATTCCAAGGTACTCCGAGGGTCTGGACAGACTCTTGAAGATTGTGGAGAGGTTCGGGGTAATCGGGGAGGCGCATGGGTCTACGCCCTCACAGGTTGCGCTGGCGTGGCTGCTTGCTCAAGAACTGGATGTTATCCCCATTCCAGGTACTAGGAGTATTAAGTACCTAGAGGAGAACGCTGCTGCGGTCAATTTAAGATTGAGTGACGAGGAGGTCGCTGAGATCAGGGACTTGGTGCAGAAGGCCAACTTTGTGGGAGACCGTTATCCTACAATGTGAGTTGTCCTCGTGATTGAAGAGCTGCTAGGTGGTGACTCTGACTAACTGCGTCTAGTATGCCGATCTTCCCTGATACTCCAGAACTATGATAGATATTTTCTCGACTGCGGAATATGGATTGGTCGAATTTATGCAGATCAGTGGTGACTATTCATATTAGATGCAATCTGTATAGCCAGTTCAAGGAATTCGGCGTGCTGTTATCAAGTCGTCGTGTAGATGCCCAAATAACCGAATTTTCATCCTTCAATTGAAATCGGGCAGCTATTATGCTACCAAAAAAACATGAGTTTCTTATTTAGTTACATCCACCCCATTTTTCAACTGCGACAAAATCGCGCTGTTCCTCAGTGTTTCCTCCAGTGTAGTCAAGGGATCCAACAAAACCTATTACAATGCGAATTAGCAGTCAGTACTGTCCAGAATCAAGATCCTCGAGTTACCTACTTTGTGGCTTTCCTCGAAACCTGCCCCACCGAAGTATCCATACTCATGAATATACTGAGCGGCCTGAGATACACCCTCACAAATGACGTTCGGGAAACCCTTGGCAGCCATTCCAGCCTTGAAGGTCTCCTTATCCACCGGTTGGAAACTTATATCCAGACCCATACCCTTCGCGGCTGTGACGATTTCCTCAAAAGTATATTCCTTCCCGGCGACATTGAAGTTTTGACCCAGCGTCTTGCCGGGGTTCAGAAGGATGCCCTTGACAAACTTACCCAGGTCAGCAGTGGGGTCAATAATGGGTACCGTTGTTTGGGCACTTGTTGGCTCGGGGAATGCTAGCACGTATGAGGGAGGTGCTGTCGGAAGGGGTGTCAGTATCTCGAAGAAAAAGGCAGCATAGATGGCAAGAGTGACAATGGTGTGTGGGATTGAGAGTTCGCGGATATAGTCGTCAACACGGGCTTTGCTGTCAAAGTGCACCACTCCATTGAGTTTATTATTGGTGACTATTTATTTGTTGGTCTCAGCTAACAACAACGAATGTGGCGCAGTAGACAAAAGGGAAAAAGACTTACTTCGCGAGATACCGATCAAGCTACTCCAAATAAGATGTTTGACATCCAGCTCCTGCTGATGTTAGTATAACTCCACAATGCTGCTAATATGTCCTACCTTAGCAACATCAGCCACGTTCATGCCTTGTCTAGTCTCGGCGGCAGCATCAAAGGTCTCCCAGAAGTTGGTAACGGCAAAGACAGCATAAGCATCTTTGAGAGCTAATCGGAGAGAGTCTTTGTCTTCAAGGTCGGCCTATTGTCGTTATCTATCAGTGATCTTGTACAGCGACTCCAATCAGGCATGACCTACCTTCATCAGCTCCGCACCCTGCTGAGCTAGACTTCTAGCAGCCGGCTTCGAAGGGTCTCTGGTGATGGCCCGGACATTGAACTGTTTTGATGCGATAAGATCGGCCAGAATCGCTCGAGCAACCGAGCCACCTTGGATGCCCGTGGCACCGAATACAACGAAGAGCTTCTTTTCTTGGGACATCATGAAAACTAGTAGGGTTTTCGGTAATATGGGGTAGTAGCAATGGTTTGTCTTCCTTTCCGGAGTTTGAAGTGTGCAATAAAGAAGTAGAAGTGCTAATTAATGGTGACTTGCTGATATACAGTTGAGTAGGAGTGTATTTCCTGCTCTAGTAACAAAGGGATGATCTTGAGTGTCTGGAGAGTTTCTGTGGTCAGGACAGGAGCACATATTTATATTGGGCTCGTTATCCCCTACGGATAAGCAAAACCATTCCGTCGAGCTCTCTAGTGGGCCAGAAATCCTTTCACAGCAACTCAAACCATCCTGTATTTCTAATGATGATAAACGTTCCATAGAAAAGACCAGCATTCATGGTCCGACACACAAGACTGAGAAAGGGTTATCACAAGCTGCACTGTGATTGGCTGTTTCGCATTACCTTCCCAAAAGGGCTTAGCGCGGACAGAACATGTGATTGGGCAAGTGCTGCTTATCGAGTCTCTGTCTGTCCCTCCTGTTGTTCTTCCTCATCTTTCTTCTTAGCCATGCCTTGAACATGAATAAATAACGTGTTTGCATCATGAATGTCGCCCTTGTGCAGCAGTTCATCTGTGATGTAAGCTTGCCTACTACCGTTGCGTGAACAACATCGATCTTACCCACGGTCGGTTATTGGTCCAGCCGATACTATCGGAATGGTCCGCCACGGGAGGTTGTCGAGAGGCTGCCAGGTCTGTAGGAAGAGAAAAATCAAGGTACAGTTAGACTCACTTTGTTGAAAGCTTTTACAATTCAATCCTTGTATATTTTGCATCAATGCTTATTTTGTGAACTACAATAGTGCGACCGGGCGCGACCGCATTGCAGCCAATGCCTTAAGTCTGGGTGGAAGTGTCCACAGTATGGTGATTTTAGAGAACGGATGTTTGTCCATCATATCCCGGAGAATTCTGACACGAATAATGTGTTGAAAGCGACTAGCTCCTCACCGGGATCCTGCATAACCCGAAGGGCACGCATTGAACTCCAAGTAAATCTCAGCCCACCAACTGCCGACATACTAGGCGGAAGGATAGTCCAATCTGCGGAATCCCGTGCGATCGATTTCTTCATGTTAGCTCATACCTTCCAAAACATTGGTCTCATCCGGGGGCATTACGAGTATTTATCTGCATTCCCGAACGATGTCATGGCCGAGGAAAGAGTTGTAGCGAGCCTCCGCGCCGTTGCACTGGCAGCTTATGCTACCAAATTCCAACATTTTGTCCTTCTCAAAAAAGCTAGACAGTATTACATTTCAGCACTTCGACATATCAACATGGCCTTGTTATCTCGCCGTGAAGCAGCAAAATATGCCACCATCATCTCAATCTTATTTCTGAACACCTTTGAGGCCCTGACTTGTGAAAGTAGGGACTTCCCTTATCAAAGAGAGACACACTTGAGGGGGGTAGCATCAATATTGGAACTTCGAGGAGTGGAGCTTGTCCAATCTCGTCGCGGTCTCCAATTGTTTCGACAAACTCTTCTTTGCATCTCGGTGACCTGCCTAATGCGCTCTTTTCGAATACCCATGGGACTGGTCAAGCTTCACCGCCACGCTGCTGCTTATATGGATACTGATGATCCTGCGTGGAAATTGTCGGATATCGTAATAGCATTGGCATATTTCCGAGCACTGGTCAAAGACCGTACGCTCTGCGATCCGGAGACAGTAATCGCATCTGCTAAGGATATAGATCGCAACCTCTGCTCGCTCGCAGACAATATGCCCAAAGACTGGCAATTTCAAGTCGTGGAATTAGAGACGACGTCTGAAGTGGTCATGGGAACGCAGTATTACGTGTATCCCGATGCATGGGTCGCAGGTGTGTGGAACAACATCCGTACATGTCGCTTGCTTTTGCATCAAGAGATCAAGCGGCAGTTGGAGAATGTCCTGGACACGCATCTATTCGAAGCCGTCCAGTATCAGCAGTCCGTCATAATAATGCAACAGCTGGTTTCGGACATTTGTGCTTCTGTGCCTCAATACTGCGGCTATAAACCGGAAGTAGTTGATGGTTCCCCAGACACGCCGCAAGCCACTTCGGTAGCAGATGGGTTGACATCTGCTTACCAGTCCAGCAATGGTATCCCCGCTACCGCTGGTATCTACCTCCTTTTCTGGCCTCTTCTATCTGCCGGGCAGATGGCCAATTCGGAAAAGCAGCGAGGTTGGATAATTGATCGCATGCGATATATTGGTGAAACTACCGGTATTCAGCAAGCCTTTGTGTTTGAGGATATACTGAAACGGGCTGTGGACCCTTTTCAATAAACGAATCTTATGAAGCTGGGTAATAAATAATTCTGGAGAGGCTATTTGAAGACATGGGAGGAGTGGGTTGTGCTTTTGCTGGGTGGAATGGATATGAAATGTACTAATTTCAAAACAGTCCGCATAGGATAGAATTCCTTTTAGAGGAAGAATGGACTGACAGGGGCATGTCCAGTCCTGGGGTATGGTTGTTGAAGCCTGCGTAGCGTCGTGATCCAACTCTGCCAGATATGATTGAGCGGCAGTTTGAGTCAAATACCATATAATTGGTCAAAGCTATACATTTGGGCCTTGCTTTCAGGACAGTAGCCGACCATAGCCGACCGAACGAAAAACAAAAAAGCATCTCCCCGACTGGGAGTCGAACCCAGGTCTCCCGCGCTTGTTCCCGAAAGGGATTGACAAGCGGAAATCATGACCGTTAGACCATCGAGGATTGGATGGAATACTTTTTGATATTATGTGTATTATAATCCAGCAACAATATAACCGCAAAATGATTGAAGAAATCAGCCGGTCAGCCTAGTTCGTTCAGTTGTGAGTTCTCTGTGAGCGTACCAAGACAGCCCCCTCCATATACAAAATACTCTCTTATAGGTCTCTTCATTTTCTATTGGCTGGAGCTTGATTTGACGAGTTTATTACACCCATGACTGACTTCTAAAAGGGTTGAGAATTAGTTGCTATCTGTTATTTTATATTGTGTCGACTCCCGTTGAGAAAATATATAGGCGTTCATGAACACCTCCTTGCACCCATAATGTAAAACCTCGAGTAGAACATCCCAATTAAGATATACCTTCCACCTACGTATGGTACCAATTGAAGAAATCCCACCTGTAGCTTCTAGTGGTCGCTGTATGTCTTAAGGTTAATGACGTTGACTGCCCACCCAAAAAAACATATGAAGAGTAAAATGTACCATAATGGTCCATAACCTTGAAAGGAGCCGGAGATTATTTCAGAGTGTGCCTACCAGTGGTTCTATGTCTACCAGTGGTTCTATGCCTTCCTCTCGCTACCAAACCCATCTCAGTTACTCCTTGCAGATAGGTCTGCGAACGGGGATCCATCTAAACCGCGGAAAACGAAACACTGCAGACAACTTCACAGTAGACATGGGAAAGAGCTCTGGACAAATACCACGGGGTGTCCCAGGCGATGCAGTTTGCAATCTATGAATCAGATCCCAAGGCGATGAGAGTACCTCTTTTGCGACCGCGTCGGAGCGTAGAAATTCCACGCTAACAGCAAACAATCTTTACTACCCAGATGAATGCAGAAGTTCCTCAAGATGCCAATACAACTACAGCTCCAAGGGCTCTGATAATTTGCGGTGTTTTACTGCTTACAGCGCTCGCATTGTACGTGCTTCGAATTTACACGCGCTTTCGTCCAGTGTATAAGATCAGAGTCGAGGATCTCATAATCTCTCTGGCAGTGGTATTTCCGCGTGCCAAGCACCAAGGAACAAAGCTGACAATATCGACAGGTCTTAGAAATAGTAGCATACTCCATGATGGCCGCGGCAGCTTCCTACGGTGTTGGCCGACATGACCGCTTCGTCACCCCGGCCAACAAAACCCAAGCCCTGCGCTTCGTCTTCACATACGAAGTGACCGGTGTATGGGCGGGGGCACTACTACGAGTTTCCGTCGCACTAATCCTTATATCGCTTCACCGGGCTAAGATATGGCATGCTATTTTGTGGTGTGCAGTATTTGTTCAGCTCGCAGCAGCCCTCGGTACGACCGTATGCCTCTTTATCCAGTGCAGACCCTTACGTGCCATGTGGGATGTCGTCCCCGACGCTAGATGCTGGGCTCCGCCTCGACTGCATATATATGGGTTTGTGTATACTGGTAATTATCAACCCCAAGTAACAAACAACGATCTATGCAGTTAACAGGATCACTCTGATGACAGGTATCGGTATCCTCACCGACGTCTTATTCGTTATCATGCCATTGCCCTTGGTCTGGAGACTTCGCAGACCCATACGAGAAAGGCTCATAATCGCCTTCCTGTTGTCTCTAGTACTCTGTGCCACGGCTGCTGCCAGTGTAAAGCTATACTATGTCCGGGTCATTGTGCTCGAAGGAGAGCAGCTACGGTCACTAGTGGTGCCAACGTTATGGAGCAGAATCGAAGAGATTGCACTTAACCTTTCGCGATTGTCCTGTTTGATCGTAAGTAGAATTAGTTGTTGGATGGAGCTGGACATCCGTCACGTGCAGTTGTTGGTAATACTAGTACACACGTGCTCAGGCCGATTATTGACAGGGTCCACTTAGTGTATAATTAATAATCCCCAGATTTGGATCCTAGAGCTAGGCCAGCTTAATGAGGCCTCCAGCTCGGTACATCCCTACCCATGCCTGCTGTGAAAGCTTGCTCGAAGTGTCACGGAGAAACTCATTCACACCTACCCCCACTGAGTCTCGGGCTCGATTGTTGCTAGCGGTGCCGCCGGGACTGTCCGGTCAGGCCGTGGATCCTTTGGGTTCTGAAGGGCTGGTCTCACCCGGCATAGCTATGTGGTAATGCGAACTCCTCCGGCTATAAATATTCGCGTGTGTAGTATGACTCCTAATCTCCAACGAGAAGTCACGGCAAGCGATGATGGTGTAGCTGCATACCTTATCATCTGGGTTGTATAAGATATTCCCGAATGGGAACCGTGCAGATATGCATAGGGCGAGAAGTGACAACGTCTCAGGTGTTCGACTGCCTACATAGATGGTGTCAACCAGAGGCCGCTTTACTGTCAACTACCATTACATCCCGACAAGTCCGGTTGCTGTATTCGACCTCGGACTCTGGGCGAATGCTTAATATGGGCAATAGTAAATCTTACAGCTCTTGAATGGTGGTTTGCAGAGCGTGCCTCTCTCCGTGTTGATCGCGGTCCTTGTAAGTGCTTCCTTAGCAAGCTTGTCTCAGTGCTGACCAAGTAATAGGTGCGGACCCGTTGGTCGTCGGCCCATGTGTCGACGAATGATGCTCGTCTGTTGCAGGTGATCGTCAGGTAAAAACCGCAGGGAGCCCCACATCGGGCTCCTTTGACCCCATATAAAGGCTAAACCAACCCGCCATTGGTCTTCTCCCCTCTTTCATGAGACGGCCACTAGAGAAGTGCACCGCCCCTCGACCGCCAGGCAGCGTCCAAGCAGAAGTAGTGATGCTACATCAATGAGCTACCGCGTGACCTAAGTAAACTGACGACGTGCCGCCGTCCAGTATTGGCCGATAAGCTGATCCAAAGGATACTCCTTTATTCTACGGTAGACTGGGGACAAGTATGGAAGACGAACCTGCATTGGTAGACAGTCTATACTCTAGCTGTGCTAACCACAACGAAAAAAGGTTTGAGAATACACACTCGTGTTCCGGCACTACAGCACAGTAATTACAGGGCACGTCATATGGTGGCGCAGTAACAAAACTTTGACATGGTTAATTACCTAGTAGCCTCCGCAGATAGGGGGATAAGAAGCTGTCCCTCACCCAAGGAAACGCAACGTACAATTTTTCTCAACCAATCCACCATAATCGCCATCTACAGCTTCATGGACCTTGCCGCTGGAATTGTCGGCTTTGTGAGTCTGGGACTACAAGTATCCCAAAACCTCCTCACGTATTACGATGGATGGCGTCATTCCAGAGAAGATGTAGACGACATCTGCAATTCTGTGGGAGAAATGCGTCAGATGCTGACGACTTTGGACGAGGCGGTGAAGCGACAGACTTTTTTGAACAGTTGGAATGGAACGGCAGCCTTCGAAGATACATTGAAGCGATGTGACAAGACTATGAGTAGGTTGGACGGGAAGGTGAAGAAAGTCAAGGATAATACGGCGACCAGTGGCTTTGTCGCGCGCGCCAGGTCCGAGTGGGAGAAGGTTAAATACCCTTTGAAGGAAAGTACTATTTTGAAACTTCGAGACCTTCTTCAAGAACAGAAATTGGATCTGGTTCTCATCCTCATTGGTTTGAATATGTAGGTTCACTCGGTACCGTTTCACGGTCAGATATTGATTGATTATACAATGTACTAGTGATACATCTTCTGTTAAAACAGAGACCCTCGCTCAGCACATGTCTCAGTTATCGTGTAATATCTCTCAAATCCGGGCCGATGTGGGAGAGAACAAGAATATTTTAGAAGCATCGGTACAAGGTTCGTGTCACGTTCCATGATAGAGTTTACGAAGACAACATCTGAACCGACTACAATCATCACAGACCTGAAGCACAAAGAGATCCTCAGATGGCTCTATGGTCAAGATCCATTTACGCTCTACCATTCACGGGAGTCTAGGAGATATCCAGGGACCTGTCAATGGTTTCTCAAGAATCAGGAATACCTGCGATGGAGATCTGCAGGGTCACTGCTGTGGGTGAAGGGTGAGGGTATGTATCATAGTGTTTATCCCACTGACTGCGCTGGAGTACTAATTCCATCTCACAGTTGGTTGCGGGAAGTCATTTCTATGGTAAAACCCAAATATCATTATAGGCAGCTAGTCATGCTTTGGAGGCTGGCTGACTCCAAACCCAGCTCTGCAGTAATCGAACACTTGCAAACCTACTTTGCAGCACAGTCTGACAATATGCTTCTACATTTCTTCTTCTCATTCGCTGATGCTCATCGGCCAAATCCGCTTCTGTGCCTCTCGTCCCTATTAAGGCAAATGTGTTTGAATGAACGAGTCCTCCATATTGTTGAGGAATTGTACGAAAGGTTCAACGGATACACAGGAAGCAGAGCTCCGGGTTATCACGACATTGAACTCGCAATGGATTCGGCCATTGCATGCTTGGAAGGATGCAAAGAGATATATATCGTCTTTGACGCTCTCGATGAATTACCTAATGATCCCGACGAGTACCAAAGGAGTCATATTCTGAATTGGATCAGGGCAACTTCTACCCGCTATCGGCACGTACACATCCTATTTACGAGTCGAAGTAACTCTAGCTCTCGAGATGTTGAGGATTTTGCAATTACCATCCCGTCAATACGCATCGTTACCATAGACGCGATGAGCAATCGTCACGACATGTTTTTGTACCTCGAAGCGCAGTTTAAGGAAAGCCGCGTCCTGAACATGGTGTCTGGCCATTCTCTCTCAAAAACCCTCAACGATATGATCAGTTTGTCTGATGGAATGTAAGGACTTTCATTCATTATCAGAAGGCAATAAAAGAGAAATATCGCTCACAATATCCTCGCAGGTTTCTTTGGGTCCACCTTCAGATGGTAGAGCTCACGAAACTACCTACGCCCAGACTGAAAGACATCGACCGTATTTTGAAATCTATGCCACCGAGACTAGACGATACATATATCCGAATACTACAGAGTATACATTACTTGCTTTCAAAAGAAGCAGCAAGGGCCCTTCTATGGCTTTCACTTTCCCTTCGGCCGCTCCACCTAGTCGAAGTCAACGAGAGCTGTATTATCGTGCCGCAGAATAAGCCAGCTATAGCAGAAGAAGACAGACTGGGAGGAGAAGGGATTTTGCCGTGCTTATCTGGACTTGTCCGCCGGACTGGAATTGATAATAACTACGTGGCTCTATCCCATTTCTCAGTCAAAGAGTTTCTTACTTCTGAGGCTCTCAAACGTAGCCCATGTTCATCATATGGGTTTCGCGATAATTTAGCGCATGCTTGGATTGCGGAAAGCTGCGTTGCATATATCAATTATTGTTATTGCAGTGAAAATCGAACAGGTACAAGAAAAGATCTCGAACAGTTTCCGCTTCTTGAATATGCATGCCGCTATTGGTTCGAGCATATGATTTCAGCTGGAAAGCAAGAGCAAACAGAACTGGATTCTTTGGCATCCAACTTACTACAGTCTGGCGAGAAGTGGACATATGTCACATTGATATATAACCACATGATTCCTGATATACCCTTTAGTTGCGCCCATCGACGATGGACTCTTCGTACCCCTCTGGGATGGGCAGCTGCTCTGGGTCTTGAGTCAGTGGTCCGCCTTCTATTATCTCAGAGGCAAAGTGATCTTGATGCGATACAAGATATCAAGCTCAAGCCTACAAAGTGTTTCCAAGTAGAGAACGCGTGTGGTGAATGCACAGCGTTCAGAGTTTCTTACCCCACTCGCGGTACAGCGCTTGTGAAAGCCATAGAGTTCGGACATACATCGATAGCACGGCTTCTCATTGAAAAGGGTGCTAATATAAATTTGTGTGGAGAATTTGGTGGTACCGCTTTGTCAGTTGCATGCAGACTCCGAAACGGCGATCTGGTCCAATATCTTTTGGACAGTGGTGCCAGTCCATCTGATGGTCTAATGGACGCAGTACGTGAATGTTCCTGGTCAATTTGCCAACAATTATTGGACGCTGGAGCCGCGGCCAATGAGCAAATAGAGGGAGAGATGCCGTTGATTGTGGCAGCTTCAATGGGCTATAATCGGGTTTGCCAAGTTCTTCTGGACTTCGGTGCAGATGTCAATCGACTGATAGAGGTCGATGATCCTACTGATGCAACTGATGCACTGACAGCAGCTACTATGCATGGCAAGATCCAGATAGTGAAGCTACTTCTCTCTAAGGGAGCTCATGTCAGGGGTAGCGCTTTGGCGTACTCTCTAACTGGACTGGAAGATGGGCCTTTTGATGAACACCGTGAAATATGTAACATTCTGGTCCAGCATGGGAACGACATGAATCCAGATCTTGGGGGTTCCCATAACACACCGCTCGCTATGGCGCTCTCTAATGGCTGGTTAGATATTGCCAGATGCATGATCAGCAAGGGTGCCCGAGTTGAGCCTGGTGATCCCACCTGCCTTTTAGCGGGTAATATTTTGGTCGAAGCAGTTTTTAGCGTCGATATGACTCGTACAATCCTGGATATTGGTGTTGCAGCTGATTCTCCAATCGCAGCTGTTAAACCGTGGGCTTGGGAGATGGATGACGATGCCTGCAATTTCACTACAGCTCTCCAAGCTGCAGCATACCATGGACATGTTGATACTGTGAAGGTTTTACTCGCGAATGGTGCTAATCCAAACATCCGTGGACCACCATACGGAAGCACCTTGTTTTCTCTTTTTGCAGGAGCCTGTTATGCCATAGAAAACGTCTGGCTCAAGCCAAATGGAGAGGCAGAGAGAGAAGCATATGATCAATCTGTGAGAGAAAAGACAGTCAGAATTTACGAAATTCTGCAGGAGCGAGGTGTCCAAAATATTATTCCATGGGGCTCACTGGATTACGATGCATTTCGCATGTGCATACGCGGGATTAAATATTCATCAATCAGGACTGGTATAACTGCGCCTCGCCCCATCAACCAGAGAACTTTTGCCAAACTTTCCGGAGGAACATTTCGGCGAGTCGTGCGCAGTTAGTGGAATGAAAAACCCTCGATGGAATAACCTTCAGTACTGATTACTGAACGCCGATTAGAAAGGACCCCCATGTTCTACGAAGACTGAAGGGTATGGAGGACTTTTGCTGATAATATCTTCAGGTCCTGTACATACTTACTTGTGTAACGCTCTTAGTTTCTTTTTAGTGTCAGAATGAGATTGCAAAAAGGCTTTCAAATGGCTATTAGGTCTTTCTACCGCAGTAATCAATTATATCTCCCCTTTCCTTACTTTTCTGGTTCTTCTTCAATAGAAACACCTCCGCTTACGAGTGAATAACTATCAATCAGTTACTGAAATAGCTAATGGAGAGTTTATTCGAAGCTGTAAAGGGCTAGTCCAGTACTTTGTTGTATTAGTTTCCGTGCGGAATATATACTATCTCTTATTGAAGGCATAAGATAATAACAAAATCGCATATATAAAGAGGATCTTATTTAGTAACAAATTCCCCATACTCATCGTCATCTCCTGTCAGACCAAAAGAGACCGCGCATCGAGCGACCATAACTGATAACTGGTAAAAATGGTTGCAAGTCATAGGCTGATTGATTACTATTGCCCGAGCCCGTCTACAATATGCATCGGCACTGCCTTCTATGCCCATGCGAATTCTGGGTACGCAGAGAGCCGCATAGATATAGATCTGCCAAGACCAAAGAGCTTTCGTATGCAGAAATCCTTCTCGGAATGAATTAGGTTAATCTGAAACCAATCTGCATTCATTCTGCATACGAAGCTATGTTTCCAGATTTGAATTGAGTGAATCAATCTTCCTCTGGGTCACAACACTGTCCAACGATTTCCGGTCCTACTTGTTAGCCACCAGGAAGTCATTGTCCCGGATTTAGTACCGCAGTGCTTGGATTTGCCAGAATATCGGAACGAATGGTTGGTTTAGCCGTAATAAGTTGATAAGCGATAGCCAATGATGTGGACGGTCTACTAGCGACCGTACTGCTGTCCACATCCGATTGTGGACACTTCAACAAGGTCAATTCACGATCATTGTGTCGTCAAGAACAGTATATTCTATACTATATTGCGCAGCCAGCTGGGAACGCCAGAGTCGCCAACGCCCATATTGAGAGCTACAAAGAAAATGCTCTTGAGTTTGACTTTTGGACGAGTGTTATCTCATACACTTGGAAGGTGCAATGTACGATATTTGGCCTCAGGACTCGGTAGTTTGTCCTGAGGCCACTTCGCAATCAAGCAACTGATTCTTGCTACCCCAATTTGTAGATGTCTGATAGAAAATGTAAAATACGTACCAAATGGCCCTATCTATATATACAAAAAGCACTATCTTTCTTCACTCAGCTACTTACTCATCCGCGCACACCTTGTTCACCCCATTGTAAGCAACATCACCCACAAAGCAGCAGGAGCCCAAGGGCTCAGGTAGCGTTCGATCGTGTTCATCATTCTGGCTTAAGTACGGCTGAGCGGGCGGGAGGCCCCGTTTTCCACACCCTGTGGTCGCGTGTGCTAGTATATGAATGATGTCGGGTTACATTGTTCTGGTTCAGCTGACTGGCCTGAGAAGTTAACCACAGTTCCTCAGTCATCATGGGTGATGTATGTAGATTCTGACCCACGGGAAGCCCACCATCTCCGCTGCCGTAAACCCTCCTATGCTCTTGCAAAGCGTCTGGCTAAGTGGGCCGATAATACAGGTTCTAAGGACCCTAGACACTTATTCAGAATCCCTGAAAGAGCCTTTTTGGGTATCAGCTCAATTGTCCCCTTACGTACTTTATAGTAGGCTTCCCAACTATCGCGTTATTGATATGATGAACCTCTATAAGGTTCGAGGTCAATTGACCATTCACGGTCTCGACCCTGTTATGATAATACTCTGGGCAGGTTTGGAAATTCCATTAATTTCAAATTGACCACTGTGAGGAGAATTGTCCCTATGTTTCCCATGGCGGGATGTAATCTGTACTCTATTGACCACTGTAGCCCGGATGCGCAGCTACCGATGAGCCCACAGGTGGTGTGGTAAAATTGCTTTGGCCGTTGCAAACACCATACATGAAATGCTGGGACGAGAAAGTCAAGAGAGCAGTGCCCTTGTGCAATTGACATTCGCCCCCTCTCACGCTGTAGAGCCAAGACGTGCATTCTGCGAGGCTATCGCAATAGCTTGCGCATTGGGAGCCGGTTTGGTAATCTGTAACAAAGGCGAAGGGAGCACCGCTGAAGATAGCCATTGTGTTTGCAGAAATATGATCCAGGCAGCCGGCAGAGGCGTTGCCGACAGTGGTTAAGAGGAGGTAAATGACAAAGCTAGAAAGCTTCATTGTGTATAAGGTAATGGTTCTAGGTATCGAAGGTCTGTCTGGCAAGAATGCTGGGGAAGATGGCTATCCAGGGATTGTATGAAGGGACTAAATACACCGAATGAATATAAGGACCTGGCAAAGCCCATGGTTGGTGCCCCTCAGCTCTCCTTCTCTCTCTAACCCTCTCAATTTCCATATTACTTCCCACGGGATGAAATTCTCGATGATCTGCCTGATCAGGGCCTCAGCCTTAGCACCGGAGATGAGATCTGCTCCGGGACCAGACTATATGCACAATGAAACCCCTTCCTGTCCGGACAAAAAAGTTTATCCGTACTCCCTGAAAATATATTACAGAGCTGCGGCTCTAGGAGAAGCGAACACCCGTTTGGGGTTGACGTATCGGCTAACATTCAATAGTTCCCTGAAGCGCAACGGTGGCGAGATAAGGGAAATCAGGGTCTCGGACAAGGCCTGTCCTCCAAGTGGGGTCTCGCCGCATCGGCGCAATGCAAACGATGAGCTAGGCGCGGCGCCAGCTGTAGTTGTTATGAGCAACAAGATAACTAGAGCATTGTCACATTATTTTCCCGCCAAATACAATAGAATGGAGCGCAATTTATCGTCGCTGTGGCAATTAAATGAGCCCTGTTCATCAAAACTGCAACAGCATGTTGAGGTGGTCCGGAAAATCTTTTTGCAGTAGCCAAGCGAAGACAAGCTCTGCCAAGGCCCTCAACCCCCGCCAACCCCTTGGCGCTCCTCACACGGGTATCTGGCCGACGCACACTCCAAGAGGCCCTGAACCCTCTCTCAGCCCCCTATTTCAATCCGAGGACCTTGACTCATGCCTCATTTTCACTAAATAAACTAGTTATTCCAATATGTTTCTGCCTGAAGCGGACTCTTCTTACGTTCCAATTTGCCCACTCACAATTGGTGGGTCGGGAATGGTCGAGCATTAGTTCATGTACTAGGGTTGGAGGCTCCGCCTAGTCCTTGCCTCAGTCGGAGATAAGTAGACAGCATATTTGGGCCCTTTCAAGCTAAGAAAACATTTTGTATCACGGAAGTTAAGGGGTCTATAGGCTGGGTTACATTGTCTTCGGATAACACTTTGTGATGAACTTGCAAAACGGGTCAAACACTACCAAGAGCCACACAAGCCAATTGAAGGACTTCAAAGACCGCTTAACCGTCCAAGGTATCCACACGGCCATTTCTTCCTAATGTAATACTCTGGGCCGAAGGGGACATTCTCATCCCCTTGGAATATCCGAAAATCTACATTCAATGAATCAAAATCAGGCCGTAACGCAAGTAGTCTGTCATGAGTAGCAGGATCTGGTGCCATGATTTTCGCGCGTATGCCGTCCACGGACGTTGACGGGTCTTGCTCCCTTGACGCAAATCGGAGATACAGCTTCCGCAAGGAGGGTATATGCATGGGGCAGTGTGTTATCAGAGTCGTCAGTTCGGTGTACAATGCGGATGAGCACTGAAGGAGGCAATGATCGATGAGCAAGTGATTGAGCGAGCATGGGAGAAGTTGCCAGAGCGGCGCTACCGGCTTCATGGTTCCATCTTCAGTAAATTGCAAGAGATTACCCCACCGCATACAAACGGTCTCTAACCGAAGGAAGTCCGAGAGAGGTCCAAAAAAGACCGGCGTGGGGGTCTTTGCATCTTGCCTGACGTTCCAATCACTGAAGGTCAAACTCAGATGCCGGAGCGAGAAACGCGAACTTTGCAGAGACTGGTATAGCTGAGGTAGGTCTTGCCAGTACCGAGTTTCATATTCATGCCAGCCCTGTTGCTGTAGTGTAAATGACATGAGCGCAGAGCATCTTTTGAGAAGATGAGGGAGGCTTGGCAATGCTCTATCAGGGCATTCAAAATCCAAATGGGTGAGTGATATGGTGGAGAGATCCTTTGGTATGCTGAGTGGAGATCGGTCACAAGGATTTGAGACGTATAGCTTTCGCAAAGAAGGAATTCGAAGAAAGGGGAGTAATCGGGTCAGGGGTACCGCATCCACCGATAACCTGGATTCCCAGATGCAAGGCCCGTTTGTTAGTGAGATATGCCTGAGCTTGGTCAAAACCCCCAACTTAGGATGACTGGCCCACGCAATAACCCGCTCAAAATGAGGTGAACGCCTAGGTGGAAACGGTCCGTCCTCATATCCTCCTATCCATACCTCTTCCGGGAGGGCAATCCCGAGCTTCTCAAGATTCCGTAGCTGGACTAGCAACAATGCCAGCCAGGCATTTTCATAATGGTGGAGCGCCCGATGAAAATCCATTCGCTCAGAATATTCCTTGAGGTCTCTGCGCCAAGCGAAGAATTTGCGGCGGTATTTGCGTTTAGACTCCCCGTAGGGTAACATAAAGTGGCGATATTTTTCTTCAGGCAAAGACTCCAAGCGGGGCAGTTGTTCCCATTTCCCTTCCTTACAGTCGCTAGGATAAAGCTCCAGGGATCGAATCAATGGAGCAAGGGAAGGATTTGGAATTATCAGTTGGGTGAATCGACGCACAGGAAGAAGTGATTCGGGCATCATTCCATAGTCTGTACCAAGATAATCATATTCATTGAGAGGGAGTGAGACGTGGTGATAGAGATGCGTAATAAACATAGTGTACCATGCCTTGCAAACAAGAACCAACCGAGTGTAGTCAGGTGGGGTAAGGAAAGGTATGATTTGAAGCAGAATCTCGCTCGGAATTTTAGTGAGCATTTTGGGCCGAAAGGTCGGGGATACGTGTAGCAGAGCAACAGCGGGCAAAGACAAGGTAGACAGGAGAATAGTTCGATGTTTAAGTAGCCGATGCGGGGCGACAGAGCAGCTTAGTGGTTTTCGGAACCGGCTGGCTCAAGGCCCCAGAGCAGGGAGCAAAAATTACAATAATATTTGTAATAATGAGTATATATTATATTAGAAGATAGTATGAAACAGACAGCAGACCATGCAAGGCCTGCTATTAGAACTATTGCCCTCACTTATCTTCACTTATAGATTACTTAAAAATTGCTTTCACAAAAAAGGTCAATCTTCCAAGTTGAGAGCATTCAATCCCATCAGGCAGCGTCTGTGGCCTAGTCCCGAAATTTCGCACGACAGCTTGGCTCTGCGGCCAAAACATTGCGAAAGCAGGCAATGTTCTGTGCTATCGCCAGATGTTCGCGGTATTGCCTATCGTTGGAACCTTTAATCCTGTCCTGATACCGCTTAAAAGGGAAATTTGGACTTGGAAGAACTCTTGGATGCCTGGACGTCCGCTGTCTTGACCCAGTCGATGACCTTGACTTTAGTGTCGTCCACCGTAGTATCCGCATCATAGAGGCTCACACCCACGTATCGTTTTTGAAAGCTTTCTTCCAAGTGGACGAAGTTATGCTGGTATCGTTTAAATAAAGCTGTAGCCTGCTCCTCCGATGGAGGAAACACTGGTAATACAGCCAGTGAGCTTCAGATTGAGTACTGGCCTTACGAGATCGTGCAAGACAAGATCTTCTACTCCGCTCTTCTCGGATCTCAGGCTGATATCACTGTCTCTGTTGGTGGTATCGACCTTGGAGCCACATGGACCACAGTCCCCAGTGGTGATATCGGAATTTATCATGGCAGCGTATCGTTCTCTAGTCATTCCGGTGCGGTGACCATTACCATTAGCCATGGTGGTGCCATAATTGCCAGCATAGACGGCCAATCGATTTCGTCCGGTTGCGCTGCTGCTTCCGATATCGAAAATTTGAATGCCTGGGTTGGGAGCAGTATGTCCTCTAGCATGATCAGTGTAACTCCGGCTACATCCCTTTCCAATGGGACATGTATCGACGGTTGGGGCGCTGGCAATTTTCTCGGGATCTGCTCCGCGGCCTGTTCTTGGGGTTACTGTCCGATCACTGCATGTGTTTGTTCCAAACTCGGTCCGCCACCGACTGTACCGGAAGAGACCGGAGTCGATGGCTATCCGATCTCTGGCGAAGATGCAAGCTACAGCGGACTGTGCTCATTTGACTGCAACCATGGCTACTGTCCGAGCACTGCGTGCGGTACTGTCGAAGTAACTCTTACGTTTCCCACTGTATCCGACTTCTCTGCCATAGCATGCGCGGCTGGTGAGGGTACTGGCGACTTCGTAAATCTTTGTGCCTTTGGATGCGCACATGGCTATTGTCCCATTCATGCTTGCAACTGCACCGCGACTGGGGCGCTCGACCTTTTCTCTGTGGTCAACAGCAGCGCCACAGCCCGTCTGGTCTCTGGCGATGACGATTATGGCCTGTGCGAATTTGCCTGCGGGCGTGACAGGTGCTATGACCAGTGCGAGCTTGGAGACTCCTACTCAGAGAGTGACGAGCTCTCCTGTACGGACTATGACACACGGTCCTGGTGTGAAGTGACGTCGCCGTGCGATTATAACCTGACCATATCCACTATGAAAGACCTGGACGTCGAGAGCGCTTACATGCAGGAGAGTGCATTCCCTATCACATTTGACAGTGTTTTACAACTTGATTGACGAAGTGGTGGCCAACTATACGGAGATCATGGCCGACAATAATTACAACAAGACCTTCAAGTATTACAAGGAATACGTCGAGAACAAGATTATCTCCACCCTCGCTAGTGTCATGGAATGGGCACCTGCCGGACCGGGCCTCTCTTACTTTGACTGTGTCATCATAGGAAGGGCAAGAACGAGTCCGCAACCAGCTGTCCCAACTACAGCGCTACCGGGAACCTAGTGTTGACAGAAATATATATTATTTGCTGTTATACCCGCTAAGAGTATAATGTTCACCTTTGGCATAATATCATATCTGAGCTATCCCAGTTCATATGGATCACCATTATGAGAAATTAGTGCTGATCCTTATGTCATACTAGTGATAAACTAATTCATGAATAAAAGCTTGAGAATTTGAAGAAATGCTGCTGGAGGACTACGGCATCCAGCCGGACTGGTTCAAGTACGGTGTCGAGAAGGATTCCTACCTCTGTGATGGAGAAAGCATCCTAGCCCCTTCGTGCCATGATTCTGTCGTCACATACTACAACATACCCCAGAAGGCCGACTACGTCAATATCACCGGCCCTCGGGTTGTGGTCGAGAAAGCCCTACCTAATCTCGACAACCTGCAGGCCAACCTCCTCGCGGTACAGCTGCAGATCTTGCTGGGGTCTTTGCCCGGGCTCACGGACGACATCGTGCAGAGCATCTCCCTGGCAGTGGAGCTTCTCCTCCAGTCAGTCAGTTCCCATGCAAGAAGTTGTGCCAATCGGGAAGGCAGAAGAAGCCTGGAAGAAAAAGGAAATGATTGAGGATATCATCAGCGCTATCTTCCTGGTGATTCCTTTTATTGGTAAGGCAGATGCCATCAGTGATGTGTTCCTGGATGTCTCGAGCTGCGACAGTCGTTGGAGACACCGCTATCGTGGCTGATAATATCTATGAGATTGTGGAGGACCCTGATATTCGTGTTGCTACTATTTTGTGAACTCTGCTTCTGGTTGGGCAGCGCTCCGCAGAGGAATACGGGACTATGGCAGCAGCTCGGCGAGATATACCGGATGAGACTATTGAGTCTCTCGGGCCTGTTTTCAAGGAGAAGAATACTCAGGTGGAGAATTTAGTCAAGGACTGTGCTGCTGCTTAGATATAAAATGTGAATGAACAAGATATATTGTCGCTTAGGACAGATCTATTGCATTCTTAGACAATCTTAGCAGCAGTATCTCCCAAATCTATGGAAAGGGTCATCATTCCTATATAGCATGATATGGGTTGCCCATTCGTAGAGGAACAACGTTACACAATCCCTAGGTAGTCATCTATTCGACCTTCGTGCCAAGCAGACTCGCCTTTTACAAAACTTACTGTGAATTCCAAAATGGGGCGTTCTAACTTTTCATTTTTCGTCTCAGAACTACTGCGTCCGAGCCTGCCAACTGGAAAAGCGTGAATGGGCCTGGGCCGCCATTACCATAGTTCACCCCAACCACGGACTCTAGTACTCAACACCCGGCAGCTTTACCTCACTCTTGTTGTTGTTGCCCCAATAAGCATAAAAAATTGCGTTTTCGACGAGGAAATCATTTTTATTTAGCGTATTGTATTCTCCTTTTTTTTTTTTTTTTTTTTTTTTTTTTTTTTTTTTTTTTTTTTTTTTTTTTTTTTTTTTTTTTTTTTTTCCCTAACATAACATTTATGTCATGAGCATATTGAGAAGAAGCCATCAGACTAATTATCTTGAGATCCTTGAACTTAAGAACAGTCCAGCATATAGTTCTAGGCAAACCAGGTTTTTTTCCCATCAATACTGTAGTGGTGCCCCGAGTATACTAAACCCTTTAATATGATAAAAAATTCACTTTATAACATCCGCGTAATACTGCATGGGTCACTTGGAGATCTCAGAGGGTGACAAAGAGCGTAGATAGTGATAGAAAGTATCTTGACACTGGCTAATCACTGCTTATAAAGTCGCGCTTCTAGATCCTCCAATAATTCATCCTTGTGGAAGAAAAGTGCACCGTTATGTTGTCCTTCAATTAGATTCCAGTACTCTAGTTGTTCCAATGCGTCCAGACATACATCATCCTTGGTTCGATTCGTACGTTGCTCGACATCTTCAAGATCCACGATAAAGCTGTAGCATATCAGCAGACACCGGAGATACTTCGCGAAGGCCACGTACCATTTCCCGCTTTGGGGCTCCCATATGATATTCTCTCTTCGTGGATCCCATTAAGTGAAATGACGGGAATGCAGTTCCCTATAAGTCCGTTAGCAAAGCTGACTAGGAAAGCTTCTTATATCAAGGTCTTCTGTCCCACGCCTTATAGTGAAGGCATACCATAAACCTTCAATGAATGCAATTCGAATACGGTTCTGCTCGCCTGGTGAGAGTGTGTCGAAGCCATGCAGGTTCTCTCCCGGGACCTTTTGCATCACAATATATGCAATGTACCCGCCTGGCAGTTCATCGCTAGAGATTTGTTTCTCGACAGCGTGACCGAGAAGTTTGGGCGTGCTCCTGCAGTCTTCTAATTGCGATAGGTTGTAAATCTCGCGGTAAACACCGTCACTAGGCTCTTAATAGCCACAGTTACTCCAACACACTATTCTGTTGACGTCAGGCCAGTTCCTTTCCTTGCTTATAGCGTTATGCCTATGACCTCAGTGAATAGTAGAGACGTACTGTTTTTTAATCTTTATAATATCAGGCGTGTTTGAAGGCTGATCAATTCTTGTAGCTTCATAGGCTTCATGTCGTTCGTATGTAAAGCCACCTTGTGGGTCTTCCTGTTGTCGGACTTTACTGGAGAGATTTTTGCCGATTCCCCAGGTCCCAAATTCCAAATCCAGTTTATTATCGAACAATGATTCATGTCTATGTGTACTGGAGCCCATGGCTGTAGCTGTTGAGGAGATATAATAAGAAACATGAGACTGGGGGAGAGAACGCGCACAATCCTCGGCGGACAATGACGTCGCGTGACGTGGTGTTATGATTTCCGCTCAGGGACACCAGAGAATAAGCAGCTCTTCGAATTGTGCCCACCGTAATGTTTGGTTGTTTTGAATCCCATTCTTGAGTTAATCATGAAAAGCATGCAGATCTTTAACTTCCAATTCACTTCGTAGGGACAGAAATCACTTGTTCTCCAGCATGTCAAAAGATACAGGGGATTATACACTCGTCCACAAGATAAATATCAAAATAGGCAATAACGATTCGTGAAACTTTAATAGAGATAGGGTCCTTCATCATCTGTACATTCAGAGCACATAAGATATTGATCGACAGAGTGGCTCCCTGACTTGGGTTTCACAATGCGCAGATGAGAGTGACCAGAAGGATGGGATAAAGCGGGGTGAAGTTACCCATTCTCTGTCCTCTCGCTTCTGCTACATAGCGCCGCCTCAAAGATATTTCAGAACAGTACTAGTTATGGGTCGGAACAATTCATCGTGTCGCTCCATTCATGGCGCAGGCGACCTAATATATGATGCTGGGACATACATCTCTCCGTCTGTGCCCCAGAAAGGCGTATTGTTTTTGAACTTACTGGCTAACACGTTGGCCTATTCTAAATCTATTAACCGCATCCTACAAACACTACACCATCTTCTTCGTGTGGATTGTCAATGGGATAGTACCTCCAGTGACTTTGTGAGTCTGAGCACGACTCATGTGACCTCAACTAGCGCCCGGGCATTAGCAATGTCACTCTGCAGCTTCAATACGCCTTACGCTCCCCAACTCGAGATCCACATCAAAATCCCCGTGTCTCCATCATCGTCCATCTACTTAGCTTGTTTAAAATGGAAGAGAAAACATGGAAAATGCTTGGTAAAAAAATTCTCACCCCTCATAACCTACTTGTTCCACAAGTAGATCCTCACCCAAGAAACAGAGAACAACCCCGACGTCATGAACCAACTAGCAGTAAAGCTAGGCCTATCCCCGGAGCTCCAGTTCTACGACATCTATTCCATAGACGACCCGTCACAACTCACACACATCCCCCGACCTGCTCTGGCACTCTTAGTCATTATCCCACTTACACCAGCCTGGGACCAAAGCCGCAAGGCCGAAGACGCTAACAAAGAAGAACCCTACCCTGGCTCCGGCCGTCCTGACGAGCCAGTCATCTGGTTCAAGCAGACCATCGGCCATGCTTGCGGATCGATCGGGCTATTACATAGTGTGATCAACGGTCCGGCTGTCGACTTCATCACACCTGGGTCCGATCTTGAGACGATACGGAACCTCGCTATACCGCTAGATATGGACAAGCGCGCTGAAATACTGTATCACAGTGAGGCGTTTGAAGTTGCTCATAGGTCAGTTGAGCAGTCTGGTGATAGCGATGCCAATCTAATGGATGAGCGTGACGGGGGGCATTTTGTTAGTTTCGTCAAGAGCGGCGGGAAGCTCTGGGAGCTGGAGGGGTCGAGGAAGGGGCCTTTGGAAAGGGGAGATCTTGCTGAAAATGAGGATGTTCTTAGTCCACGAGCGCTTGATATGGGCATCAGGAGGATCATCAAACTGAATGCGGATGAAGGGGGTAGTCTGCTTTTTAGTTGCATTGCTCTGGCGCGTAAGGCTTAGGGGATGGCTGGATAGGAAATTGACATACTTTGCCAGAGGGCTGTTATCTGCAATCTTATTGGTGATGAAGTCTAGTCTCTGCTCTATGTGATGACTAATAGGCACCTCGGCTGTCGCCGGCTCCACTGGCAAACTCAGCTAGCGCAAGCGAGGACCCACCGCGCAGGTATAAAAGGCGGCTTCCCCCCCGAAAATTTTGGAAATCAAGCGACTCTACGTTAGTTTCCCTACCCCCTACATTGGGCCTCAGAATCATTTGCTAACCACCTTTTTGCCTACAGTTCAAAGAATCACTTTAGAGTAGACGTCCCACCTCTGAGCTCTTCTAAAGAGCCACAGAATCTCCACCCTTGCTGATGACTGCTATGTCCTCGATGCCCTAAAGTGAAGCCGTTTTACTTCCGACTCGACCTTGCATTTGCACGCTCTGTTACAATCTGTTTTCGGATAGACTTGTTTCGGGTGTCGGTGTGATGGTCCAGGGAGTGGTGATGATCTTTACCTTGTCATGATGTCTTGACTTCGGTCGGTCGGACTTGGTGGGTGTCGAGGAGGTCTGAAAGGTGTTTTCCTTCTATCTCTGTTTTCTTCACTTGTTTATTTTACAATCAAATATGAAAATAAAAATGGAAAAATTCGAAAATCAAAAACTCGATAGAATTTTCTCGATATAATTTCCATTGGCTTTGTCTACGATGGTCTCTCCACCTGTCACCCACGCACCTGACCACAACAATAAGAAACCCGTAAATTATAAGTGTAGCATGGCGGGCATCACATTTTGTAAACATCATATTCTCGCCATTGCAATATATGATGTTACAATCCAACAGTGAAATCCTCATTCGAGCAATTTTCGAGTCCGGTCTGGAGAGCCCGAACAGGTTGTACAAATTTGAAAGTCGCGCCAGTATAAACTCACAGTGAGTCGAAGTCACTAACCATAGCATCTATCTACTATCCATAGTCACTCGCCGACTTAGGCATCAATGTCGCGGTAAAGTGAGACATGCTGAAGGCATAGCCCTGACTTCTCCCAGATTATTTCCCTTGTTGACTGTCCCTTGAACGTTTGATGCTGCTCCTTCAATTTCTTCAGAAATCTGTTACCTCCTATTACTACAGCCCGCTCACATACTCTCGTATTCAATCCTCAGTCATACTACTTTAGGAATGCCGCCTGGCCAAATATTGGTGGAAATTCGCTATTCAGCCTGCCCTTCTTCCTTCTGCTGCAATTGATGCTGTGTCGCAATTGGGACTTCATGAAGCAGGCTAACTGAGTTGGACAAGAGATGGACGTCTTGGTTTGGGCAGGAATCCATATTCGAAATTGGCCAGAAATCCGGGTCTTGATATGGCCAGATTCACTTTCAAAAGAGGGTAGAAGCTGAACTGGTACACCCCCTTCCGAGCTCGGGGACGGCAGCCGATTGAAGTATTTCGGCTTGCTGAAGTGGCTTGCTTGGTCCTTCGCCTGCAACTCTTCCTGAGGTTCGTACCTGGGCATTTGCATCTCCCAGAGGTTACGCACGAGCTGCGTATACTGTTTCTCTGCTCATCGTTGTGAGTCAGCTTTCTCGACCTGATTAGTTCGAATCAGATGGGAGCTTTGCTGAGATAGAGCTGTCGGATGAGGTTCGCTTGCAGTATCTTCCACACCTTGCGAAGAACTCCTATTGGCTAAAAAACGCTTATTTGACCGTGTGGGTGGTGAGCGCGGGCAGTAGTGCATGCGGTATGCTTTTGTGTCTTGGATGCTTGCATTGCAAACTCTGCACAATAAATCCAACCGCATTCGCTTAGAAGAAAGAGAGTGTATGTCCCTTTTTTGTCTTTCATGGGTTTCTGCGATGTGTTTTTCAAGATGTCTCTTTGAGCTGAACCGAATAGTAGCTCTGTAACATTGAGGAAAGGAGCATCCAAAAGGCCTGTCGTGCTTGTTCATATGAGATTCTCTTTGCTGGGGAGTCTCGAAGCCTCGATAGAAGAACTCACAACTCATCCTAGGGCACTTATATGACCATAGGAAGAGTACAGTACTCTCGAGTCAGTTCTCTCACTGCCCACGTTCTCTGAAACAGCTCTCTCTATATTGTCTCTGATGCGCGAAATAACGTCGGGTATATCGAGACATTCATTAATGGCGGCGTTCTGAGTGTAACAGCCGATCTGATTCTGCGTAGAGACGAAACCGTTCAGGAATTTCTCAGAAGCAGACTACTCTCCATGTTTTTCGATTCGCCTTTTTAACTCGTGTGCAGAGGATGAAATGTTGATTTCTTTCAGGGGCTATCGGTACTGCGACTCTAAGAAATTTGAAAGAACCTCAATTAATATCATACCATCCTTCTGATCTATGGCGTGCTTGAGGCATTCCTGAAAACGGGAAGACCAGAAGCAGACTGCGTAGTCAAGAACTGCGTAATATCCAGTGCTTATGAGGTCTGCAACGGACTCGTCTGGCAGGAATATTTCAAACCCTGGTAGTGATAGATAGCCAACACAGAGAGAAGCCATCTTCAGCTCAATGAGAGATGCTGTCTGGCTGAATTGTCATTACTGGGCGTCGACACTATCTAGAATAATGTTAATATAAACAATGTTACTATATATACTGGAATTGAACAAAGTTTTGCCCCCCTCCCTCTGAGTGAAAGACCTGGGCGATGAGCCGACATGCTGGAAACATTCATAGATGAGTTCTAGAGCGACTCAAAAATATGCTTGATTGAATGAAGTTCGGTTGCACATATAAAGCTTTTGTGAATGCAATATAATCTTATATGAATTAGTATTTAGAAACTATCCCTTGTTGTAGAATCATTGGCCAAGAAGTTTGTGTTTTAAGTCTTGTTTGTTGGCCTAAGCCAACCATTATACTACTAGGTACCTCTATTTTACACTGTAGATTATCAACTAACCTTGCGTATTTCCTGTAAAGATTATATAAAGCGTACCTCCAGCAGTTAAAACTGAATAATGTATCTAATTAATCTAGTTAGGCTCGACTGTCTCTATCTCCCCTAGCAGAAGCCGGACTTTCGTCGTCGAGCCCGCGATCGCTGCCTGGGCAGGGGGTGCCGGCCGTCCCAGTCATCCCAACTCACCTCCACGTGCGCGTCGCGCAGCAGATGCAAGATTACTGTATACCTTGCCCTGGGGGCCACTGCCAGCACTGTATAGCCGTTTTTGTCCTGCGCGTTGGCGTCCACGGAGCCGCTGAGCAGTAGGCGGATGATGATTGCTCTCTTCAGCGTTGGTCCTACGGTCTGTACGCCACTCAAAATCTCTCAGAAACGGACGTGACGCGGTGAGACTACCTCGACGCATGCCATCACCACCATAAAAAATGGAAGTGTGATCACCCCTTCTTCCCCCCTTGCAATGACCTGCGGGTTGACCACGTATGATGAATGGTTCTGAGGTTTGTCGGGCAATCCTCAGCCAGTGCAAGTTTCGATCGGGCTCCCCGCCCGAGATCTGGGCATTAAGCTCAATCACGAGATTAAAGTGTTGCTTCTGTGAGCGTCTTTTGATATAGTCTGGCGTAGCCTTCTCAAACTGTATTCTCTCGAAAGTGTGAGAGAATAGTCTGCTTTCTCCTGCGTTATTATTGGACAACTTGACGTTGCGGGGGATATTGACTTCTTCAGATCGGTCCGCTGCCTCTCTACCAGTTGCATTGGCGATGAGTGGGAACCAAATTATCTCTTCCGATGCGGCTTCCCTCTTTCGAACTCTTCTAGGTGTGTGCTGTACCAATTTACAGTTTTCACCATCCTTGCTCGCCAAAAGTCTCACGGAAAAGCCGTGTATTTGCTGAAGTTCTGCTCCACCGCGCTGTATGTACAGCCCATTTTCGATCTCCCGAGGAAAGGAAACGGCACACTCAACTGAAAAGTAGTTGCGATTGTACAAAGTCCATTTGCCGTTGACTTCGAAGAAGCCTTTACGAAGCTTTGCATCGAGTATGGGCTGAGCAACATAGCGGTCACTCCCAGTCACTTCATAGAAGACCTCTGGCTTAGCAAAGAGCGGGTTATCTGTATGTCGTTGATCCGAAGAGGGGCACTTTGTGTGGAGCGATCTTCGGATGATGCTAGATGGAAAGGGCTTTTCGACGAGAGGCTGCTAATGAAGTTGCGGTTGTCGTTGTTGCGGACGACACTGTCCGTCAGATCACCCTCGGTGGGCCCCCGCTGGTGGGTGGTAAGGTATGGGCTACTTGCTTCGTAAAGAGTATGGCTAAGGGGCTCGTCTTTGACCTGAATGCTTAAGATGGAATCCATCGAGTGACGAGATTTGTACAAAAGAACAGGAAAAGACTGAGTTTTTTCTGGGAACCCACGCAGTTCTGAGCCCCGGGGAGAAGGGGGATTAAGTTGATTACCCAGAAACAATCAGGCTGGCTAGCAATTGTTCATACGTGAGCGGGTCATTTTCCTTAGGCTAGGTGCTGCTTGATGCAGGAATCCACGCCCGGCCCCTGCTAGGACTTACGTTAGAGTGCCCAATTGCATGTTTATGAACCAGGACGTGTCCTGATTGGCTCATCCTGTCACGACCTCTACCCCGGCGCGAATATATTTAGGCAGCTAAGTAGCACCTCCAATCCACGCCAGATCATGGTCCTCGTCACTTATGCCTATACCTAAGCCTCATCGCCCAACCATCCACCCCTGGCGGATACTCTTCTGTTTCACTTTGCGTTAGTCCAAATCAACAGGGCTGTAGATAATGCTACAGAAAATCCATAGCATAAAGTAAAGTTGCGTATAGAGTATTTGTTGCTCCTCTTGGGAAATGAAAGACACTTAGCTTTCTGAATGGAAGATCTGGACGATGAGCTGACGGGCTGGAAGCGTACGTAGGTCGTTGCTAGTACGGTTTGTGACTGTACTGTGTTCAATGTGATATTGATCTCAAAAACAGACTTTGCTACTGAAGTACAATCCGATATGAAATAATAATATTTGAAACTATCCCTCTCTGTAAGATCATTGGCCAAGGAATTTGTACTTCAACTTCTCATCCGCCCGTAGTCCTGTGACCGTGACTGTCTGAACATCACCCGGAACAATATCCATCGCGCTATCGCTAAATTTGACGCCGTCACGTTCCTCAAAGACCAAGCATTTGACCGGCTTCTCGGTGCTGACCTGAAATACCTGCTGATCAGAGGCTTCAGAAACCCTCTTTACCTCAAGTCCACGATCCGCAAAATCAAGATACTTGAAAGGCTGAGGCCAATCCACGTCCCGCGCAGCAATTTCGCCGTCCACCCACAGTCGAGCAGCGAGGACATGTGGTTCTGCATCAACGGTATGGTCGATGACTCCGTCGGTGATAAGGTTCGTAGTGCCATTGGGCACTATGTCGACGTTTTCTCGCACGATCCGCTCCCGGATTTCTCGTCCAGTGTCCACGGAGAGGAATCTGAGCTCAACTTTACCGGATGTGGGCTTTTGTAGTGAACTCACCACCCAGAGCTCATACTTGCTTGTCTTTGGGGGCTGCGCGTGTGTGATGCTCCAGTCGTGATGTTCCCGTCGTACACCTACGGCGACTGGGTTCAACACACGGGCTACAGCGTAGTATGCCGGTTTGGGCCTCAGGAAGTAGTCCACGATTGCCCATGAGATCGTTGGCCAGCAATCATTCAGTTGCCAGAGTAGTGCACCACCACAGTGTCTTTCGTCTCCCCATTGGCGACGCCATCCACGGTATCCGAACATCATTGTTTCAGCTTGGACAACTTGGGTGAGGTAGATGTAGGTCTATTTGGAAAATTAGCACGTATATGGTCACTTTGGTTGCGTAGTCACATACCTCGAGGTCGGTAGCAGTTCGCAGGTTCTCCACAAGGTAAGTAGCGATGCGACGTTCGTGCCCGTCGGCCTTATTATGGAAATCCAGAACATGCGATTGGGGGTATTTGTCTTTTTCGTTCTCAACGAAGTATTCAATTGTTGGCAGGTGGGGGAACGCCTCCATGCCGAATTCGCTATTGAATCGTCCACCTAGCGTATCGAATATCTGGTATTTCTCCTGCGTGCCATGCCAGACTATAATTGTCAGTTTTGCGTATACTCATGAGGGTGATGGAAAATACATTACCATTCCATTGGTGCATATCGCCGACTGTGGGATCAGAAGTTATTTTGCCATCACCCCACGGACTACCTGGATGGTAGAACGTCTTTGGTGAACAACGCTCAACCACCGATGGCAGCAGCTTTTCGTAGATATACCGGGCTGGAAAGTTGGTCTTTAGCCAGTTCTCTGGGTTTTTATCTTCGTATACATATTCGAGACCGGCTTGTTCCTGGACTTGGTAGTCTTCGTTGTTACCAACATAGACTACAATAGATGGATGATGGCGCAGGCGGCGGACGTTGTAGATCGCCTCTTGTTCGATAGACTTCAATAGTTCGGGCCAGGTTGGATAATTTCCACATCCGAACATGAAGTCCTGCCATACCAAAACACCAAGCTCATCACAAGCTTCGTAGAAACTGTCATCTTCGTAGCAACCACCGCCCCAGACTCTGCAAGTTGTTAGTGATAAATATACAGTTGAGCGAGTGAACAAACCTGATCATAGCTTGGCGGCCCGCAACCACTAACTCGATCCATTTTCGGTATCGCTGCGGAGAAATGTTGGGAAGAAGGTTGTCTGCAGGAATCCAGCATGAACCGCCACAGAATATATCCACGCCGTTGATTCGGAAGAAGAATGATTTCCCGTGCTTGTCTGGCCGCTGCACGACCTCCGCAGTCCTGATTCCAATCTTCTTGGTAACTCTATGGAGTTCAAGTTGATCGGCGTTCAAGGATGCCGAGACTTCGTAGAGAGTGGAATCACCATATCCATGGGGCCACCAAAGGCAAGGCTGATCTATGTTGAATTCCACCTTTGCCCTCCCCTCTTGAGGTGTGGCCTCTGCTTGAGCAATTTGCTTCCCATGTAGAGTGATCGTGAATTTGACTTTGTATGAGGGGTCAAGATCAACAGATTCAAGCTCTGTAAATGCTGAAATGGAGGCAGTTTTGTGAGTGGGGTCTAGGTTGATCTCCGTCCAGAGATCTGCCAACCTTGTGGAGTAAACCTCTAACCTCACTGCTCGCCAGATACCTGCAGTCATGAGGACCGGGCCCCAATCCCAGCCCCAATGATACTGAGCCTTCCTAACACTCATCCTCGCAGGATCTCCGTTAAAAGAGGCCCAGTTGTGGTTCGGGTCCTGTTTTCGAAGTTCCTGGGCACGCAACATCGCACAATCAAATTCAATTTCCAGAACGTGCTCATCGCCGCAGTCCAGGGCCTCGGTGACATCTACTCGATAGGCCTGGAACATGTTACTACTCTCCAGGATAATATTGTTGTCAAGTTTGACTTTGGCAAATGTATCAAGACCATCGAACGCCAGAACGATTCTTGATCCGGCAAGGACAGTTGGCTTTTGCAGTATCTTGCGGTATGTCCATGACTTTTCGTTGACCCATCGGGCGTCTAGTTCATTAAATCCCACGTATGGGTTTTTCAGCCTGAACAACATTCGGTCTGCACGTTAGCGACATGTGCCGCGAAAGATTCCGTAACGGTACGCACTTTCCATTCGCCTGTAGGTCCTGGTGAACGACAGACGGAACCACAGGAACTGGCATCCATGCTTCTGAGGCAATCTCATCTCTATCTCTAAAGTACCACCCTGTTGACAGGGTGTACTGCGCGAATGCTGCCATGATGCGCTCTTGGAGGGGTAATTGATACAGGAACTGGCGATTGATAGTTCGTCAAGCCCCAATTTTGAGCCGGACAATCAGAGCTCAATAAATAAGAATCCCCATACCCTCTGAAACATCCGATACAACCCTAGATAGGGATATAGATGCATTCAGGGTCCCAGGGTGAGGCTTTGCGAAGTGGGTGCCTGGGGAAGCTATGCGGAGATGTCCCCGCCTCCACGTGCTGGCATTTCCTCTTTGGGCGGTCCCCTGACGGAGCACGGGGCCTTTCCCAACTGGGCCTCGCTTCCTCTCCATCCACTTTCACAGTCTATATTCCCTCATCGCCATGTACAGACTACACACCAAAGCCTGCTATCGTTAGTCTCAGTTCTCAGAGAGATTCTGTACTGATAGGCCCTCTCAGACTGGCGCGATTATACTCACAAAATCACTTTCTATTCGAAACCGCGCGGTGTCTACTGTGAGACACCTGAGCGGTTCCTCTCCGACTATACCGGTTATGGCACGGCTGGTGCTCCGCACACTATTCTGGGAATCATCCTCCGGTGGGAGTCCTCCTTTATCGCCCACGATAGTACCTGACAGCTCTCAAGATCTCCAGATAAAACGATCGCCCGTCACCAACTTCCCAGTGAGCAATTCACCTTTCTTTGTCGGCTTGGTTGCGACCACCAAGACGGTCCGGGCGCCCTCCTTCCTAAGCGACCCCATAAAACGGCAAGGCCGTCGCGAGGTGCCATCCTTTGGCCTTTCGCCACTAGCCTACCCCTCGTCGCTTGGAATTACGACTCCTCACTACTCATCCTCTTGCCAAACACCAGGAGCGAGTCGACTGCCTGAATTCTGAGCGCTAGTAACCGACTCACCCCTCCTTTCTCGGCATTTTCGTGCCTGCTATCCATGATACAGGACCTCTGGGTAAAATGGCCCTGGCCATCCGATCAGGTGCCGCGCTCGCTTGGCGTGCATGTGAAAAGGATAAAATGTCTCACTCTTGGCGTTTGGTGAAATTAGCCTGTTCATCGCCACTGCTATTGGAGAGTGTCTCGGCGATTGGCTGTCATCTTCCCGACAAGCCGAAATGATTGTCGTGCACCGGATCCTTTGTCCCCTGAGACGGTTCGGTTCACCCCGAGTCCCAGCTGTGGAAAAATCGACAAGACTGCCTCACAGACGTGATGTGCACTGTCAGTCACCCCAGATCTACACCAAGCGATTCTGGAAGACTACTACGTCTCGTTGTATCGCAGAATGGCATGTGTCCATGAGCTCCAGCGGGCCTTCCACTAGTAAGCCTAGCAAGTCCCCCGACAAAATTGCTCCGGCATCTGACACCTGCACGGGATTTAATTAATTTTGTAAATGAGAACCTGGCCACCTCATGCGGGGTCGCGCTTTCAATTGGCGGAGGCAAATTCTACCCAGCAACCGAACTGGATGAAGACCCTGGAAAGGACACAATAATGAATAAACCTTGATAGCCTTTCCCCCCTTCGGACGACTTGGTGTAGGGCGACCCAGGAACAGTAAGCTTTCAGGTCGCGGATGAAAGGATAGTTCTCCATGAAGCACGCCGATTACATCCGGCGAACCTTGTCAGACACTCGGATGTTCTTACTTCTTTCCTGGCCATTAAGCAATCAGGTGGCACCACAATGTCTGAGCGTGGTGGGCCGGCGTTGCTATACTCAATCTCCCGCACTACCATCTGGAGCTCTTGGACTCAGGAGTAGCCGGGCCCTAGCGGAAGCCCACTCCACTACTCTTTCCTCTGGACCCCTGAGTTACAGGTCCATCTCCCAAGCTCCATATCTCAAAAGCTCGGTGTGGATTGTCGTAAATTCGTATTATAGAGACGGTACGGGGTGTAAGAGCAAAGGTTTCTGATGTGGGCCAAGGCCTCAGATCTATGTGCATCGGCCATATATTGGACAATACCCTCAAGCCGGAACAAGGCCTAGCGTTTACCAGAAATAGAGAGAGCACTCGGAGACTCGGGGCTCGATGAGTGCCAGTGATAGGTGGAAGGATGCACCACCCTCACACCCAAGCGTGTATAATTCCATGCTGGAGAGGTTTACTGGACTGACGAATTCAGGCGCCAGGAGAACAGACCACCGCGTGCTGTTTGCCGAGTCTGTGAGCGCATCACACAACCCTTCTCGTACCCTGCGTATAATTAGGCGCAGGGTTGAATATAGTAGGCAGCCAACAGGGTCTGCAGGTCGGTTCGTCTGCCAGCATGCAGAAACCAGACAGAAACGGTCGCAACCTGCATAAAATAAATTAAAAGGACGAAATGCGGGGGTGGAGGCCATGCTGACCACTGGTGGCCTGCGAGGTTCCTCGTCCAGGAACTTCCGCTGTTGGGCACCGCCTACTTTCTCTCGGTGCAAACCGTGATATTCCCAGCGTCAACGCTGCCGATGATCATCAAACCCCGAGGCTTGCCTGCTCACTTCCCCAAAACAGGAGCTGAGTTCCCGCGTGGATATATTGTGTTTTTCTTCCTCTTTACAATCTTCGTTTGATGGGCCTTTCTTTGCTTTTCGTCTACTTCATACCTCATTGTTTCCCCGGACAATGACCACTGCAGCGACTAACTGATTACCTGCATAACTAACTGACTTGGACTACTTTGCCCGGTCTATTCGATCCACTTGCTATTTTTCCCCCTCCTGACAAACAAAGATCCCTGCTCTCTGGTGCATCTAACCTACTGGTTTCCCTGCGACTCGGTGTCAATGGCCCCTTCGAGTTAATCTCGCCACCCCTAAAGTGTCTCAACGGGTACACTTCCCGACTATCCGTCAAACAAAAACTCCAGCAAACTATCCCCCGATCGCAACGCAATGTTTCACACGTTTGAAGGGTTCGAGAACCCAACTCTTCCGGCTGCTGTGCGCGGACGCAATCAACGTCAACAATCTGTCGGTCGCCGAGTCACGACGCTCCGCGCCTGCACATCTTGTCGGCACCGAAAAATAAAGTGTGATGGCGAAAAGCCATGTGAAGCATGCAGATGGTATAAAAAAGCAGACTTGTGTCAGTACTCTGATCCTCGGCCATCTCGCAGGTGTGACTGTCCCCTTCTTCCATAGCAGCCGGCATTGAGGGACGACCCAAAACTGACAAATGTATCGATCAAGCAGGCATGTGGAGAAACTGTCGACCACACTCGATGAATTCAGGGGAGTGCTTGACAAGCTCTTCCCTGGCATTCCGGCGGAGACCCTGGTCAACTTGCCTCGGGACAAGCTTCTGGAGCTGACAGGCAAGGGGCCTTCCCAGATGCAGACGCAAGCGCCACACCCGGCATCCCCAGCAACCTCGGCATCGGTAGAGGCTCACGCATCGCCAGCATCCAGCGAAGACGGCAATCTCGAGTCTCTACAGACAATACCTGATCACACAACTGATGATCGTGAATTGAAAGGTTCTGAGCTAACGAGTACCGTATCCGACGACGTTAACGCTTTATCTCTCTCGGCCAAACAGCCATCTTCCTATTTGGGTGTCTCTTCCATCCATGCTGTGCTAAAGGTAATAGTATGGCTGGAGCCGAGCTCTCTCTCTCATTTGTCTCGCGCACCCGCCACAGGAGTCCGTCGAGAATCTGTCATGGACATTGCATCTCCAGAGGCCCAGGCCTGGCAGGTTTTTGGGTCACAGCCCCATCATGGCACGTCCACCCATAGCCCACTCCAGGTTCCCGAGACTCAACTGCTCGATGCTTACTTCACCTACTTCCAACCTTTTGTTCCAATGCTGGACGAACAATATTTTCGCCAAACGTATCTTTCTGCGCGCAGGAAAGACAAGCAATGGCTCGCGTTACTTAACATTGTCTTTGCTTTGGGCAGCATAGCAGCCACCCCGGCCGACGACATGTCCCATCAAGCATATTATATGCGGTCTATGAGCCATTTGAATTTGGAAAGCCTTGGATCACCACACGTGGAGACTATCCAAGCTCTGGGCCTCATGGGTGGCTATTACCTTCACTATAGCAGCCAACCCAACCTCGCGTACTCCATGATGGGAGCCGCGTTGCGCATGGCGGCTGCTCTGGGGCTACATAAGGAAGTGTCAGATGGCCAGTATGGCAATGGCAGGAATAGGCTATCTTCAGTTGACCATAAACGTCGGGTATGGTGGTCTCTTTTCTGTCTGGACACGTGGGGTGGCATGACCTTGGGACGGCCAAGCATGGGTCGGCTGGGTCCAGCAATCACCGTTAAGCTACCACATTACAGAGAAACAGTATGTGATACGTTGTGTGTTGTAATGGGTCTAACTGACATACTTAGGGCAATGTGCTCGACCTTCTACCACTTTTGGAAAATGTTCGCTTTTGCAAGATCGCGACACAGATACAGGAGGTCCTGGCCGTGGCACCGCTGACAAAACCTCACGAAATGGCACATCTTGATAGCCAGCTCTTGGAATGGTATGATAACCTTCCTTATATTCTTAAAGACCATGAGCCATGCTCTGAGTCGATTGCGATCACGAGAACCGTCATGAAGTGGCGCTATTACAACCAACGCATGCTCTTGTATCGCCCCACCCTGCTCAGCTATGCCATGCGCCGCGTACCATACATTGTGCTCAGGTCTGAAGAAAGGACGGCAATTGAAAGATGTAGGGAGATTGCCGAGGCTACCATACAAGATGTAGCCGCCAAGGCACAATTCCATCAGATGTCAGGCTGGAACGCAGTATGGCTTATCTTCCAGGCTGCTATGGTCCCTCTTCTAGGCTTGTTTCTCAATGATGGTACGGTTGATGATCCAAGAGCGACAGCTGAAGCGTGCCAGGCTCAAGTGGAAACAACAATGCTTGTCCTGGAGCGCTTGGAACCTTGGAGTCCAGCCGCCAAATCAACGCTCGAGGCTGTTTTCCGAATATTTGAGGCTGGTAAACGTGGCCCCAGCGTCATCGGGGAAGCCCACAGCATTAACAGCGGTAGCTGTGTAACGTCTACTGAAGAGACTCTTGGCGCAGTTCCTGGGGTATCTCCGATGCAAGTCGACTTTGGTCGCGCTATTCCACACGACAGTGGATTTGTCGACCCATTTGAACCCCAGTTTATCAATGATTCTGCTGGACAGTATCTATGGGACTTTCTTAGTTGGAGCGATAGCAACTTGTTGCAGGGTTTGGCTGATATTGACAATGTCAACAATGGACCACTGTTTCCCCAGGAGGAGAGAAATGCAAAGTATGGATCCAGCGACACTGCGTTTTTTGGAGGCCAATTGGGAGATTCAACATTTTTTATCAATTCAGGGCCGTCCTTCTACTAAGCTGTACTTACAGGGTGCAGCCTTATCGCTGCCGGTGTTCACTTTTGTCACATGGTGTTCTATTATTCACTCGCTCTATGTTTGTTTTGTCGTTCCCCGCCATATGTTAGCGATCTCCACATTACAGAATTATTTATGATTGATGCATTTACGGGCGATTCGGAGGATTCGGAGGATTTATGTCGAGAACACGGTATCACGATAGCAAAAAGAACTGCTTCAGCAATATATTTTTGATCTACAAAGTGTATTCAAACTAGCTATGGTTACATAGTAGGTTATGATATGGGTGGGCGCCTCCTCACTATGAATTGAGAATATAAAAGATACTTACGTCTCCGATAAAACCACCTAGTTCAATATCTTAGACAAGAAAGCTAAGGCATAACAGAAAGAAAGAAAATATTCCGAATTTCTTCTCTCATCTTCGAGTACACAGTTTCATCCTAATCGGGCAAGATCATCTCGCTGCTGACTCAGCCATCGATCCGGTCACGTTTCCTCGCGGCCGGGATAGCTTCATCTAACCAACCAGAACCCACGATGCCCACCAAATAGACATAGGATGGTGAGATCAGCCGGATCTGTACATACTAGCCACTACTAAATTGCCCTGGCATCCTAAGACGATCCACCCGGTCGTTGAAGGCTTCATTGCGGAGCTACTATCAGGAGTAAGCTATCACCGATGAAGTAGCTACAACACGACCTCCCTCTACATCAAAATGCCATCCAAAATGGCGTCCTTCTTCCAAACCCCCTCACTAGTCTACACCTCCGCCATAGCTCTCCGCGCCATCCTCCTCATCTACGGCGCCTGGCAAGACGCCAACTCCGCCGTCAAGTACACCGACATCGACTACCTCGTCTTCACCGACGCAGCCCGCTACGTCTCGCACGGCGCCTCGCCCTACGAACGAGACACTTACCGCTACACGCCTCTCCTAGCATGGCTGCTCCTCCCGACCTCCTGGTCGGGCCCATCTTTCCTCTTCTCCTTTGGAAAAGCCCTCTTCGCCCTCTCCGACGTCCTCGCCGGATGGCTCATCGCCAGATCCCTCGTTTCCGCGTACGGAATGGATGCCCCCCGCGCCCTGAAGTACGCCAGCTTCTGGCTACTCAACCCCATGGTCGCGAACATTAGCACTCGAGGGTCCTCGGAAGGACTGCTCGGCGTGCTGGTGATCGCCCTGCTGTGGGCTGTTCTCCGCAGGAGGGTCGTTCTTGCAGGTGTGCTGCTGGGTTTGAGTGTGCATTTCAAGATCTACCCGTTTATCTACGGGGTGTCGATTCTTTGGTGGCTGGATCGGGAACGTGATGGCAGCAGCAGCAGCACATCTAAGAACAATGCTGGCGATGCCAGTATCATCACCAAGATGATCAACTTCATCACTCCCTCCCGCATCATCCTCACCCTCTCCTCCCTCATTACCTTCTCCCTCCTGAACCTCCTCATGTATCACCTCTACGATACCCCCTTCCTGCAACACACCTTCCTCCATCATCTTACTCGCATCGACCACCGCCATAACTTCTCGCCTTACAGTACCCTCCTCTATCTCTCTGCTGCGGGCGAGGTGCAGGGCAATTTTGAGTCGTTGGCGTTCATCCCGCAGTTACTCCTCTCTGTTGTGGTTATTCCGCTTGTGCTGGCGAAGAAGAGTTTGCCTGGGGCGATGCTTGCGCAGACGTTTGCGTTTGTGACGTTCAATAAGGTTTGTACGAGTCAGGTTAGTTACCCCTACCTTTATCCCCTTGCCCATAAGCTATTTGGAATGGGATGGGCTGATAGGGATGGTAGTATTTTCTATGGTACCTTATCTTTCTACCATTCTATCTACCCCGTTCTTCGATGCTGAAAGCTCCGCGGTTTGGGGGGGCAGTTGCGGCGGCGTGGGTTGTTGGGCAGGTATGTGTTTCTCTCTCTCCTTTTGGCTTAACTTTTGTATGTTCCATGTAGGTTGTGTACTGATTGTTTGGTGACAGGCGCTGTGGTTGCAACAAGGGTATAATCTTGAGTTTTTGGGGCTGAGTAGCTTTGTGCCTGGGTTGTTTTTGGCTTCGCTGGGGTTCTTTGCGGTGAATGTTTGGATTTTGGGGATTATTGTAGAGGATGTTGGGGCTTGTTAGTTGGGGTTTTTTTTTTCTGTATGTTATGTGTTAAATGGTGAGGGTTGTGTTGTGTTGGAGGGGAGATGTGTAATTAGTTAGGGATTATTGTGTGCGGTACTAAGTAGATATGTTAAAGTATTGGGTTGGGGTTGAGTACAGTAGAATACTCCTTAAGACTATGTCAAGGTTACAGGATGGAGTTTATGTTCATCAATCAAAAGTCATATTGTTCAAGGGGTAATATATGAATTCATGTTTACATGACTACATTTGTTCCAGGTCCTCAATGGATGTTTGCCACCTCAACACTGAAGTTGTAAGACACACATCTAGTACGTCGCTGGTCAGAATATTCAGCTCAATATCAGCACTTCTTCGGCACAACCACAGTCATGGAAAGACTGGATCGCAATTTGACATCCGTGCTAGTTCATCGTCCAGAAATATAGACCTAAGAAAGGAAGAAGAAAGAAGGGTAATGTATTAGTAAATAAGCGGTGGGCAGAAAGGTATAAGACATAAGCCTCCGCAGCTAGTAGATCAATCAGTCATAACTCCGTAGAATGCATTACAGCTCTTGCTTTTGGCGGATTTCTCTTGGTGGCCGGAAGTTGCCGGACCGCAGCTCCTGCCACGCCAAGTCGAATCGCGCACCCAGTAGCCAGGCAGTGAAGATCTATTCGGGTTAGCCTGATTCAATTAGATGTCAGGTGAGGCACATACCATAACGACCGAGGTGATGAACACAATCACCACCATGAGACCCATCATAAAGTACATGTCCTTCCGAGTCTCGGCGTGCTCCTCGGCCTGCTTCTTCTCCTGTTCCGTCAGCTCGCCAGTGACACGACGCTTGGCGGCCTCAGCATTCTGAGATGGGAAGATGGTCTCGATCCATTTTTCAATCTATAATCATTAGCGTAGCCCAACCAGAGCAGAGGGAAAGAAAAAAACATACCCGTCCACAAACAAGGCTGACCTTGAGGAAGTTAGGGTCCTTGGGTGTGTTCTTCTTGTGAATCTTGCGCGCGTACTTTCGGAAGGCAGCACAGAGGATACGCAGGTTCTGCGTCGACTCGAACATCAGCTGGCAAGCCTCACCCTTGGTGATCTTGATGTTACGCTCGAAGATCGCGGGGTTGCGGAAGCAGAGCTCCAGCGTGGCAATGGCCATGGATTGCGGGATCGCGCAGAAGTTAAACACACTCTGCTCACGCAGGCCAGCCAGGTAAAATAGGCAGTCTTCAACATGTTCCAAAGCGTTCAACACCATCTCGGAGCTGCAGTTCAGTGCAGCTTCGCGGTGCTCGGGCTTGAACAGATCATCGAACTGCTTGACGTGCTTGGACCAAATCTCTTTGGGCCAGAAGCGACGTCCATCATCGTCGTCCTCTCGGATGTCTCGGATGATGTTTGTCTTTTGGAGGAAGAGTCCCATGGACTTGTGCAGACGCGCGCGTTCCAGCAGGGCAGGGTTACCAAACTCGGCCTCGACGAAGAGGCGCGTCAGTCCTTCACCAACCAAGCCAGCGACGTAGTAGCAGTACAGGTCGTATTCCTCGATGGTGATCACGCTGGCGTCATCGAAGGCCGCCTTGCGACAGTAATCGGCCATACCGTTGCCCATCTTGTCAGTGATGTCCTTGATGATGGCCTGGTAGGCGGGCTTCATCTTCTTGAACTCGGTGATGACATTGTGAAACTGAACCAGCAGCTCACGGTCCTTCTCTTCGGGGCGGTTGCCATTGAACGTCCAGCCATCCTGTTCCAGGAAGTCCTTGAAGCCACGCAGCAGGGGTTCCTTTGTTTCCAAAGGAATCGACGTGTCATCTTCGATGGTGTCCAGCCCGCGAAGTGTGAGGTAGAAGACGCAGACGGGCATCAACAGCTCCGGGTGGAGCTCCTTGATGACGGCGCTGAAGCTCCGACTGGTCAGGTCGAGAAATTTGAAGCAGGCCTTCTCAGTCTCGGTTTCGTTCTTCTCATTGCGCTCATGAACCGGGGAGTGCCAGATCTTCCTATGACCACGGGCAAAGCCTTCGTAAGCGTTGGCACAACACACTAAAGCCCATCATAGCCGGTCGAGGACAAGGGCCGGAACCAACCATTGCAAAATCGACCTCAGTTCCGAGGGATGAAAGGTGTAGTAGATGGCATTCGATGCGAGACCCATGGTGGAGGGTAGATTACGATCGAACGGTCAAAAATGACGGAATAGAAGAATTAGGGTAAAATGGGGAATTATTACACGTAATAAGAAAGGGAATGGAAAGCAGAGGGAAGCAATGCGGGAGAATGACCGAATCAACGGAATTCGAGAGGAAAAGAAAGGGATGGATGGTACAATAATGTACAAGCACAGCGAGCGAATGCCTCACTGGCTGGGAAGGATGAGCGGGGAGGAGACGGGGAATCCAGTCAAGCAGACAGAGGAATGTAGGAGTAGGAGGGAGGAGGAGGAGGAGGGAGAGGGGGGTGAGAGAGAGAGATGTAGAGGAAGAGGAAATAAGTAAACAATTGGGAGGAGAGGGAAAATCAGGGGGGGAAGAGAGGAGAAGAGGAGGGAGAAGAGGAATAAACAGAAGACGAAGAGGAAAAGGGAAGAAAAAGAAGAAAAGAAAGCGAAAGAAGGAAAATTTTAAAGGCCCGCTTGGAAGGCGGCGCGGCTAGCGGCTCTGGGCTGGCGGCTGAGCGCGTGCGGGCGCATAACTGGGGATTACGGCAGATTACATGGATCGATGCATGTATTCCGTGCTATCTGTGTGGAATGTGACCACTTGATGACCATACGTGACAACCGCACTGGCTGCCTGCCCGCCTCAGGCCATCCCCCATTGCAAGTGACTGTCTGTCTCTCTCCCCGCCATGACGGAAGAAATCCAGCGGAAAACTAAAAGCCAAAATAACATCGTTTAGGCAGAAAAAATCACAGGAGACACATCTGATCCTGTTGTCGCTACCAGCACATCCTATTCCCGATCACCTTCTATTTCTGTCACACGCCTGCCGGCTGGCCTTGATTTTTCTGCATCGGTGACCGCTAGATTGATTGCGTGGTTGGGTCCTGCTCACATCGCCCGCCATGGTTGCCGACACTTCCTACTACGACGCCCTCGGGGTGCCGCCCACCGCGACCGAACTCGAGATCAAGAAGGCTTACCGCAAACTGGCCATTATCCACCATCCGGGTGCGTGGCACGCTGTCCTCTGGTTGACCACTACTGATCGTCGTAGATAAGAACCCCGGTGATGAGACTGCGCATGCGCGATTCCAGGAGGTGGGTAGATACTGTTTGTTTGTCTGCTCTCAAAATCATGCGCTCACACACACTCTCTACTACAACAGATTGGTGAAGCCTATCAGGTTCTGAGCGATGAAGAACTTCGCAAGCGCTACGATAAGTTTGGAAAGGAGGATGCTGTTCCCGGTGGAGGTTTTGGTAAGACATTGCGTCTCGCAGGCAATCAGTCGGATACTAATGCCCTACAGAGGACCCCTCGGAGTTCTTTGGCATGATCTTCGGTGGCAACGCCTTTGTCGACCTCATCGGTGAAATCTCGCTCATGAAGGACCTCACCACTACGATGGACATCACCATGCAGCAGATGGAGGAGGAAGAACTGGCCGCGTCCGCCGAGGAGAAGCTCAACATCCACGACGAGACCCAGGCGCACGCTGCTGAAGGCACTGCCGAAGGTGCTGCCCAAGCTACCCCCGCCGAGTCGACGACCGCCGCTTCCGAGAAGCCCGCTGCCGCCGCATCCCCGAGCTCCGGCACGAGCACCCCCCGCCGCTACATGGGCCAGCAGGCCATCATGGACAAGTCGGAGGAAGAGGCGCGCATGGAGGCAGCTGGTCTGTCCCAGGAGGAGAAGGAGCTGCGCAAGAAGGAGAAGAAGAAGGGTGGTTTGTCCCGAGAGCAACAGGAGCGTCTGGCGGCGTACGAGTTGGAGCGCAAGAAGGCGCGCGAGGAGCGGGTCAACACTCTGGCCACGAAGTTGGTGGACAAGATCAGCGTGTGGACGGAAACCGACAAGAGCCCTGATATGACCCGCGCGTTCGAGGAGAAGATCCGGCTGGAGGTGGAGAACCTGAAGATGGAGTCGTTCGGTTTGGAGATCTTGCACGCCATCGGCGCCACCTATGTGCAGAAGGCCACCTCTTTCCTGAAGTCGCAGAAGTTCCTGGGTATTTCCGGATTCTTCTCGCGGCTGAAGGACAAGGGCACGCTGGCCAAGGAGACCTGGACCACCATTTCCACTGCCATTGATGCGCAGATGACCATGGAGGAGATGGCCAAGCTGGAGGAGCGCGGTGGAGAGGACTGGACGGATGAGAAGAAGGCCGAGTACGAGAAGAAGGTGACGGGCAAGATCTTGGCGGCAGCATGGCGGGGCAGTAAGTTTGAGATCCAGAGCGTGCTGCGTGATGTGTGCGACCAGGTGCTCGGAGACAAGCGCATCAAGCTGGACAAGCGCGTTGAGCGTGCTCATGCTCTGGTGATTGCGGGTAACATTTACTCCAAGGTATGTTCACCGTTCACTACAATGGGATTCACTACAGGGGTTGGATGCATGCTAACTGTGTCAGGCTGAGCGCGATCCTGATGAGGAGGGTGACTTCATGGCGTTCGAGCAGCTGATGGCGGAGTCGATGACGAAGAAGGGTAAGGAGGACAAGAAGAAGAAGAAGAAGCACGAGCACCACCACGAAGAGCCCACAGCCACTGCCTAGATACCTTGCATAGTCTATTTTTGTTTTTGTGGTTCAGACTGGACATTGGATATATGTTGAGTAGCGAGCCGGCATACCCTGCCAGATGCGTAATAGATGTAAGCAGAATGAATATCAATTAGATTCATGTTACTACTGGTAGGTCATTATAGTGATTACTGTCGCAGCATTTACCACTCACTACTACTACTGGTGACGGCGGTGGTGCCCTGTAGGGCTGAGACGATTACTACTGTTAGTGGTGGTACTAAGTTCACCCTCCGACAGAATATATCTCGGCCGTAACGGTCTCCTGTGCTCCGGTTAATCAGCACCAACCACTACTACTGCGACTAATACCAACTCATGATCCGTTACTGTACCGGATATCGCCGACTTCCAAGGAATTTTGGTTACATGCGGAGTAAGTGACGTCGTACGATAGAAGGTACAACCGCCGACTAACCCTGCAGGTGTAGCGGTAGTGGCTGCGGGGTGAGAGACAGAAAACTGCATGCAGGAAGAAAAGTACTAATTCTGTCAATGGAATATCTTACGTGCCACTCACGATCAACTCTACTGTTCCTTATCTCAACTCACAACAATGATTGCCTACCTACGTTGTTGTACTAGTAGTCAGTATCTAACCTGGGAAGCAGGTCCTACCCCTAACATTCACCGGCGCCCCTCTCAAAAAAAACTGGAGATAGAAACTACCGAACCCGTCCCGCCGTGTCTCACCTTCTGATAAGCTTTCCTACTGCCAGGAGGGATTCCATCTTACAGGCTCTCTGCTGCTCTCCAACCCCGCTTTGGCAGGATTGGCGGTCTCTCTCCGTCTCTCTCTCTCCAACCCTCACGCGACCAATTACCACAATCAGCAACGGAAGGCTTTCCCGCTCCATGGACTTCACCACCACACTATCACTATCTGGTCAGTAGCACCACTGCGTAACCTGGATCCGTTAGCAGATTTCTCCTAGACTAAGCCGGTTTAAAGCTTCGACTCCGCAATACTTGCCTATCTACTACTTCTTTCCTACCAACCTAACAAATTAGCAAACCAGCCCCCCGCACCACATTAGCAGGCTGGCCAGCATTGATACGACGGACTCCGCTCATTTCCCACTCAGTTCTAGCATAGATACAATCCAATTAATTATTCCGCACTGATTTCTCCCATATATAACCACCTCACCTCTTCCCTCCCCTCTACCATCCCTCTCCCCATGTAGTCACACCCCCCACACCGTAACCATGATCCTCCTCTCCCCCCTCACAACGGCACTCCTGTGCCTCCTAACCCTCACCACCGCAACAAACACCACCACCACCCCTTTCAACCTCGACTCAACATGGGGCAACCTATCCCCCTACACCTCGAGCCCAGGCTTCGGCATCCCCCCGGGCACGCCCAAGACCTGCCAACTAACCCAAGCGCACATCCTCCACCGGCACGCCCAGCGCTATCCCACCTCCTACCTCCTCGACGCCGACAGCATGGAATCCTTCGCCCAGAAGCTAAAGAACTACACTCTAGCGCACCCAAACAGCACCCTCGCCACTGGGCCCCTCTCCTTCCTCAATAACTGGAGATACCTGATGGGCACAGAGGCCCTCCTCCCCACCGGCGCAGCGACAGAAGCTACCTCGGGTGCATTCCATTGGTCCCGGTACGGACGTGTATTGTATGATGCCCCAGCGGGCATGGCGGACTGGAGTAATGAGTTGAATGTGTTTCCGAATGGAACGAGGAGGAGCAAGCCCATATTTAGGACGACGTCGCAGGCGAGGATTCTGGAGAGTGCGAGGTGGTGGTTGAGTATGTCTTCCCCCCTCCCCACTCTTTCTCTAATTCTTTCAATTCAATTCAATTCCCCTGGTAGGTAAATAATAAAGAAAGAATGCTAATAAGAAGTATAGGCGGCTTCTTCAGCAACATCGCAGCCAACAGCTCCTCCGATGACTACGACCTCGTCATCATCCCCGAGGGCGACGGCTACAACAATACCTTGTCAGGAAGCTGTCCTAACGGGGATACTTCAGAGGGGTACGCATATCCCATCCCCTTACCCCTATGCCCAAATTGCCCACCTACTAATGAAAAAAATAGAGACGACTCCGCCGAGCAATTCCTCAAGATCTACACACCCCCCATCATCACCCGCTTCTCCCAGTACCTCCCCTCAACCCTAAACCTAACCTATCTGGACATCCTCTCCATGCAAAACCTCTGCGCATACGAGACCGCCGTGCTCGGCACCTCCTCCTTCTGCGCGCTCTTCACCCCCTCCGAATGGGAATCCTACGCTTATATCCTCGATCTGCAGTTCTACGGGGACTATGGCTTCGGCTCTCCCTCCGGAAGGGCCCAGGGGATCGGCTACGTCCTCGAACTAGCATCCCGTCTTCAGGGCAAGGTGATCGAGAAGCAGGTTGCGAACGTCAACATTACGTACGACTCTAACCCGAGCACATTCCCGCTGCATCAACCACTCTACCTGGATATGTCTCACGATGATGTGATCGTGTCTGTGTTGGCTGCGCTGGGTGTGGAGTACTTCAACATCGGGAAGGATGGAATGAAAGGGAATATCAGTGCGAACGAAGTCCCTCTGAATCGCACGTTCAGGTTGAATAGGATTGCGCCGTTCGGGGCGCGGTTTGTGACGGAGATTTGGAGGTGTGATTCTTCCTCTGCTGCGGATATTGAGGTGGATGCGGGTGGGGAGGTGGTTTATGAGAATCCGACGGTTAGTGAGGGGGTTGGGAAGGAGTATGTGCGGTGGGTGTTGAATGAGATGCCGGTGCCGGTGGATGGGGTGTCTGGGTGTGAGTCGGATGGAGGGAATGGGTTTTGCTCGTTGGAGGGGTTCCTGGGGGGTGTGAAGGAGATGCAGGAGTTGGCGAGTTTCGAGGAGGCGTGTATTGAGGGGGTGGGCAGTGGTGGGGGCCAGGTTGGGGATGGAAGGCCTTAGGATTACTACTTACGTGGTTTTTATGTTGTGTGGAGAGAAGTGAGGGTGTGGATGCATGCAAAAGTGGTATATGGTATATAGTATGGTATATGCTAGAAAAAATTCACGCGTATGGGTATCTAGCTCAGAACAGCTGCCGGCCGGCCATCTATCGCCATCAACACGATCAATCAATCAAATAAATCAGGACACAAAGAAAAAGCTAAGACTAAATGCCAGCTTTAGTCGGACAGAACAAATAGCACAGTACACCAGCGACGCCGTATTAGTCTAGATGAGATAGTAGTATGCAATGCAGCTAGCTGCCGTTTTCCGAAGGGGGTTCGGAGTCGCTCCGACTTGATGGACGAGAAATATCCTCGAGCTCTTGCTGCTCGTGCAGCTCGTTGAGCTCGTTCAGCTCATTCAGCTCCTCCGGGGTGAGCACGCGTCCACCCAGTTGCACGTCGTTTACATGGACATTGTATTCGAGTGCGCGCTGTCCCTCCCTAATCAATTCCTCGGTCCATCCCAGACACCGCTTGAGGCTCTGGTTCAGCCGCTGGCTGTCGGCAAGAAGCTCCTGATGCTTCGCCAGGTCGATGAGGAACCGTTTCTCGTCCCGCGCACGATGCTGGGAGTCCTGATCTGCCTGCGAGTCCGGGCTCAGCACCCCGTCTTCCAAGGAGTCTTCGTCGCTAAAGTCCGAGAGTTCTTCTGGCGACCGCACCGATGAGTGCTCGCTTGCTTCCTCAACTTCAGGAGGAATCGAGAGAGCGCCGGACACAGACCGGCTGGACGTCGCCATGGATAGACGCCCTGAGCGACTGAGGCGTCGGTATCTTCGCAGCTCTGCGTTCTGCTTCCGCATCTCCCGTTCTAGTGTGCGGTTGATGGCGAGAAGCGATGAGTTGCTAATTTCAAGATCCATGATCTTCCGCTCCGTACGCGCATTGAGGGCGCCGTTGGCCTGTCCGCTTTCTGACTTGGACGGGCTCTGCATCCCCGAGTTATGCGTATCCACTGAAGCGATGGACCCATTGCTGAACACTCGCGGCCGGAGACCTGGCAGCGGTTCGGATGCAATCGTGCTAGCATCGATCTTTGGTTCTGATGGCGATATGATAAGCGGGCTGGGCCGCAGACCTTCCTTGTGAGGAGGCGAGAGTCCACTGTGGCCAGAGTCGAGACTCGACGATTTAACGTGTCGCACGGCTGGAATCGGTCGCGCTGATACGCTGCTCATAGGTGGACTATGAGCCTGTGACCCTGCTTCAAACGAGTCATCCTGCGACCCGACTACAGACGGCCCATCAGACAGCCGCGGATTCGAGTCCACCCGGGCTGGTCGCAGCCGTGGCGAGGCAGACGGTTTCGCGGACACCACCGATCGCGTCAAGCCAATCGACCGGCGTTTATACGTACCCCCCACCTCACTTACCGGGGACTGCCTCTCTTGCGCCCCGTTCGCGTAGATAAAAGTGGTACCGGATGTTTTTGTCTGCAGCTTCGGGCGGGGCTCCTGCTCGGAAATGGTCGACCGTGCATCGGAGGCGTGAAAAAACATGGGGGCCCCGGCTGAATTATCCGACGCAGAATTAGGCCGGGAAAGATGGTTGGACTCCATCGTCACGGTCCTGGCCCGGGTTGTCCGCGATGGTTCCAGCATTGTCCCCCGAACGGGACTCCGCTCCGTCCGGAGTCGCCCCGTATTTGACAGCTGGCCCACATGCGGTTGTGTCCAGGTAACCTGGGGCGACTGTTGCCCGTTGGTCGGGGTGTTGTTGTTGTTGGGGGAGGAAACAGCTCCATCGCGTCTGCTGTTGCGGGAGCCGGATCGAGGGGTAACGTTGGCACTGAGCAGGGATGATGATGATGGCTCGGGATCCCGCTTGGAGGGGGCGGACGAGGGATGTTCGGAGGCGGCCAGTCGCTTGGGAGTTCGATAACCCCCGGGAGTAGCGAGTCGAGGAGTCAGAGGGGATTTCTGAGAGCGATGAAAGGCGGCGCTGAGGGCGGGGGTGAGTGGTTTGGCGAGATGGCCATTGTTTTGTTTATCGGCGGCGTTCATAGTTGCGGGAGTCGAGGGGCGGAAAGGAGAGCGGCTCATGGCATTGCGACAGTGCTCGAGAATCTGCAAGCATGATGATGGCACCAGCCAGTCGACAGCGGGTTCTTGACCGTCCAGATGAGGAGAGGAAACGGCCGAGGCTGGAAGGGAGGAAAAAAATGAGGCGAGAAGAAAACCGGGTGGGATGACGATACGGTGCGTTGAATTTGTTGTCAACAACACCTGAGAAGAAAGAAGGATAATTAATGTTTGGGTGCAAAACATCCCCCCGCCTAATCCGGCTAGTCTCCAGTGGCCCCTTTCACCGCAACTCACTTGATCCCTTGATGGGTTTCGATCCCAATAACTATTTCCTATCCTCGGTCTATACACGTTCTCACTTCCATCTTCTAATTATCAACACTTGAAACCATTCATATCTTCAAAAATAGTAGTAATAGTAACTACAAACTGCACCCACCCTTGCGCATTGCAGTCCCCTTCACATGGGCTGATGCATCCCCCCGACCATGGGTGAAGTCGGAGCTGCGGCTCCCTCCGGAGGAGTAACCGGACAACCACCACGCCGATCACCCCATCGCTTCCCTTTTCCCCCTACACTACACTACACTACACTATTGTAATCCACGGAACCGGAGTATATTTTTCTGATCATCTGCCCTCTCCCACATGACAGATGTGATTTGATTGATTCATTCCCTGCAAGCCTTATCGGTTCAGATCTCGTCGATCAAAACATTCGTCTCCATGGGGAGCTGCTGTTGACCACGTGATGCGTGACAAACAACTATTCGGGGATGCAAGGGGCCGTCTGCCACGTTGATCTTGAATAAGAGGAGAGGGAGGGGGCTAGATCCACATTCCTGGTTGTCAATGCGGGTTTGTGATATGTGGTGAAGTTTATCGGGGGTGATGGTATTTCTATCGGGAGTGCTGTTGCTTGGTGGTTTGAGTTTGACGAAAGATACTTGGTGAACACTAGATGCGAGGTTGTGCTTTCCAATGTATGATCCCTTTCGTAGTATTATTTGTTGAGTAGCTAAGTATAGAATCGTCAACGAGTGTTGTGGATGGGTCCTCGTTTAACGTAGATACATCGTCAGTACTTAACTAACCCTTAATTAACCTATTAATAGAACCGTCTGGCTGGGTGCCAGCCAACAATTAATCGATGCAGCATAAACAACAACCCCTTCATGCATGCAATACTGCCTTACAGCGATATTATTGGCAATGATATATTTCTTCATCAACGCCAGGTACCCGATGGTTGATCTGTCATTTAGTAGATAGCAGTGATGATAAGGTTCTATCGTTCTCTCCGATATACAAGCCTGCGATGGTAAAGCTATCGTGAATTCCAACATTATAAACAAGCTGCACATAGTGAATTTTATAACCGAGAAGCTCCTTATGAAGGAGGTCGCGAAAACGGGTAGGTATTGACCGTTGGGAATGGATGGTTGTTTCTCGTGATCAGATCATGTAGATCTGATTGATCACTTCTTTCCCGAAAGACTGGAAGCGTCTGTCATGTCGGTGTCAGACGCAATGCCACCGTGGCCGGCATCGAGTGCGGGATGTGAGTTGCAGAGCGGCTGCCATGCCGTTAATCGCTCTGAGAATATTCGAAGTAGACTGACGGTACCTACTCCTGCAAGTTGACCTGGGCTGCAAGACGAGCCCGGCTCTGCGGGAACTAGTATACTGTGGACTATAGAGAAGTCATCACGAAAAGAACAACCGTTTCTGTCGCGGATCCGGTGATTCCGTCGCTCTTCGCTTACGTGTCTTCGATGCAGCCAGAGGCTCAGGCGGAGCATCACTCGAGGCACCTTGGACAGCCTCCTTGATCGTCTGCCTTGATAGGCAGTAGTCCACATGGTCATTGAATGCACGATCTTCCGCCACCTGAGGTCGAGAACAAATCGGGCAATCCCAATATACAGGCTGTGATGCATCCACTCCTTCCTCATCCTGCTTCGATTCTGTGGCCTCGGATACCTCCTGGCTCAGCTTCTCCAAATCATCGAGCTCCTCTTGTAGTTCCTCCCGTGCCGCTTTCTCAAAGGCCTCCTCTGTCTCGATCTCCTGTTCAACCGGAGGATCGGTCGACATGTCTGAAGCAGGCTTCGGCCGCGAAGTGAAGCCGAAGAGCTCGATCCCAACTTTCTTCGTGCTCACGAGGTTGGTGCACCGGAGACCAAGGAGGCGCATTTTCAGATCAGGCATTTCCTTTTCAAGCTTCTCCAGCATCGGAAGTGAGAACGCATACAGATCTTTGGCAGTCGAGACCGCCCGTGGAGGCTGGCATTGTCGTGACAACACCTCAAATGTAGCGAGCTTAACTTTGAGAACCAGTGTACGCCCCTTGAACTCAGTTCGCGCCAGATCTTTCTCAAGCTCCTCGGCTATCGACCACAGCTTGGCTCTGAACTCCTCTTTATTCCCGATCTCGTGGAACGTCCTCTCAGTTCCCACACTCTTGCGCTCATAGTTCTCCACCGGCTGTATTTTCGTTCTACCTAAGCCAAGGTAGCATTGCACCAAGAAATGAAACGCTTTTTCTCCGAATAACCTGGTCAAAATGGCACGCTGCGGATAAATGTCGCCGCATGTTTTAATACCGATCGCATCAAGTTCACGTTCGAAGACACGACCAACACCGTTCACCTTGCGGACGGGTAGCTCCTCCATGAACTTCATGATCGCTTCTCTCTCGTTAGGTACGCAAAATTGGCCGTTCGGCTTATTCTTGTTGGATGCGATCTTGGCTATTTTTGCATTTGCCGCAATGCCAGCAGAGACCGAAATCTTGGTCTTTTCCAAGACCTCTGCCCGCATGCGCTGGACCGCCTCCTCGGGATCAAGCTCATTTTCGGTACAATATGCAGTCAGATTGAGATAAGCCTCGTCAATACTAGCGCTCTCGAATGTAGGATCATATTGTGCGAAGATGGCGCGGATCTCCTTTGCCTTTGCAGTATACTTTTCGTAGTTCTGAGGCAAACAGATCAGCTGAGGACACAGCTTCTTCGCCACGAACGATGCCATGCCGCTCCGACAGCCGAACTTCCGCGCCTCATAGTTGCAGGTCGTCAGCACGCCCTTGCCGACCGCCATAGGGACAGTCTTCAATTCTGGACGGTCGAGCTCTTCCACTGCAGCAAAGAAAGCATCACAGTCGACGTGAACAACATGCTGCGACAGATCTCGCGTCAGTTCTAGCTCAGCAAGAAGCTGGTCGGCGCGTCGCAGATCAGCCGACAGATCTAGTTTCTCGAGACGGGCTTTCTCTTTCAGAATGCGTTCAATCTTGACTGTCAAGACCTTGTCTCGGTTTTGCTCATGATTGAAGAATTTGGATCCTTTGGAGGCATTATAAATGATCTCCGAGACCTGCTAACCTTAGCTATCATCCTAGAACATTGTGGCATACTGCTCACCTTTCGCTGGTCCACGGCATCCTGACCCGCTTTGGTCAAAGACGGTCCCAGCAGTTGATATTTCAAGGTTTCATAGTCCTCAACAGACTCCGCATTGCTGGACGCCTTTGCATCATCATTCGGCTCCTCGCCCGAAGGCTCCATCTTTTTAGGGATGAAGCGAGGTTCTGATGGACCATCAGATTACCCAAGCAGGCAGCTATTGCGACGCCTGATCACGTGAACACGCGTGACGGGCCGTGTTTCACGTGCCGCTGATGTCAACTCGATCCGAGCAGCTGCATCTCGCTGCCAGGCACACAACCGCTCCCATGTGGATTCTAGACTCGGAGGGTGATTTTCTGGGAGGTAATACATCTTCACTCTACCACCTTAGTGGACTTGGCTGATTGTGAAAGGCAAGCGCGTGTGGCTGCGACCGGGGAAGAAGTATCTCTTCGGTCGGATCAAGCAAGATGGAGGTAAGGTGCTGTGATAACGGCCAAAGTCCACCATACTGACCTTTAGTCTTAATGCAGTCCGACACGCCATTGATAACAAGTCGATATCCCGAAAGCATATGATGATCGAAGTTTCACCTGTCAAATCGGGAGATGGAGTACGATAATCCAATTCCTCTGCTTTCCCTGCTAACCGTTCAGTCGCATATTTACACCAGATCGAAAATTGCCGTTCGCGACTTGGGATCGAAATATGGCACCAGGGTGGATGGTAATACTGTTAAGGATGAAAGTAAAGATCTGACTGGTGAGGAGCATGAAATCAAGTTGGGGAGATATGAACATGCGCTGCGGTAATTGCCATCGCAAGGAACAATGTCAGCAGTGACTAACCGTGGTGGTTACTAGGATCAAGTGGCAACCAGTCGTCCTTACGTTCTCCTTTTCCTCGAAAGAACTTAAGGCGAAAGATCCCCTGGCACAAGTGCGCTCTCGTGTCGAGGATCTGGATATCAAAACGATTATTCCCTATGTTGTCGACCACACCACGCACGTTGTACAAAAGAAACGGAATACGGCCAAAGGTCTTCAAGCATTGGTGAACGGAAAGTACATTGTGCAGGAATCATATCTTGACGCCTTGGTTTACGCGGCTACCCCGAGCGATCTAGAGAACCTTGAGTCGCTGTCCCCGCTGGAGGCCGATTTCGACACTGCATGGCCGGATGCAATGGCACATCTTCCCCCACCTGGCAAGGAAACCGTACAGAGACCAAAGGAAGCGTTTGCTCCGAGGCTCGATCGAATCAATGTCTTTGAGGACTACACATTCGTATTCATGGAACCTGCGCAGTTTGGAAACTTGCAGGATGTCATTACAAACGGCCACGGGAAGGCTCTGCTTTACCAAGTGGAAGAAGGTGTCACAACGGCGGCAGAGATCGTACAATATATGAGAAATGCGGCTGGCGACAAAGGTCTGGGGAGCCAACGGGATGGCCCTGGCGGCGTGGTTCTTGTTCGATACGTTGCGAGTGGACGTCATGAGAACTGGTGGGCCGAGCTGGGTAACGAGGTTGCTTTGACGACCGACCAACGAGTGATTCAACAGAGCGAATTCCTGGACGCCATTCTGGGAAATGACGCTTCTGGCCTGTGCCGATCCTTGCCTGAGGCCCAGGACATGGATACAGAACCCACACCAGCACCAGCTGCTACCCCTGATGTTCAAGAAGTCCAAGACTCACAGCCTCCGACGGAAAGCCAGCTGTCAACGAAGAGGAAACCACGAGTTCGAGGATTTGTGAGTAAAATGAAAACGTTCGATGATGGCTTCGATATCAACTCTATTCCTGTTCATGCGCCGGAGAGCGTTGATGACTCGCCGCCATTGATGGATATCGAGCCATCGCCGGCACAACCATCGCAACCACAAAGCAGCCTGCAAGAGGAGGAGGAAGAAGAATATATGGTCTCAAGCTTACTGCCTGGTGCCCAAGCGATGAAACGTCGCCGTGCTCAGACGACGCAGAGGGCTAAAGAAGAGCCCAGTTCTGAGACGAAAGATGAGGCCATGCCGCGGGTTAAACGCCAGAAACTGGACGTACTGGAGGCTGCGCGACAGCATCGGGAGGCCGAAGATGCGCAACGCCAGCGTCGGGCGGAAGAAGCGTCGCTGCAAGGTTCTCTCGAGGACGTCAATGTGGAGCAGCTCAAAGGGCTTGCGATCGTAGAGGAGATGGAAGTGAAACCGAGGAATGGGGGCGAAGAGGATCGTCGGTGGGACGATCGGTGGAATGGACGCAAGAACTTCAAGAAGTTCCGCCGAAAGGGCGAACCTGGGCAGCCTCGCTACCGCATCCAGACGGTGATAGTGCCACTAGAGGAGGTGACGCGAAAGGACTTTGGGATTGGGGACCATTACTGGGTCAGTAATCGCACGGAGCAGAGTCCAGCAGACCGTCCAGCCGAACGAGCAGTCAGCCAGGACGCAGCGGCATCCCGTTCGCAGTCCTCGGGCCGGGTTGAGTCGGAGACGCCAGCGCCCAGGGAGACCCGAAGTCAGCCCCGGGTGCAGAAACGGATGCGAGAAGAGCAAGATTCGGATAGTGATGATGGGCTTCGGTTCCGATTCCGTCGCAGGCGATGACTGATGCTCAATATTTGTATGTTAGATACCTTCAATCATGACCAGTTCGCTTCTCTCAGCATTCGATACATGGGAGATTGGCTGTAGTTGAACGAAGAGTGGCCCACCATCGCATGGCAGGCCATGGGAGTGAATGCGATGGATGTGTTGCCATACTGTGGAGAACGAGATGCGGGGGAGCCAAGTTAGTATTCAGGGAAGTGGGTATGCTGGGTAGGCAGACCGTCCTTATGACGCTGTTGGGCATTCAAGCGGACCACCTCATAGGTGGAGACTGTGAAGTGTTATTCTGATGATATGCGGTCAGCCGTGCATGATGCGAACCAACTTCTACAGTGCAATGAACTCTGGAGTATTGATCGAATCTCGAATGGTATTCGAGGTAATTACATCATGAGAGTACTTTGGTAAGGGGAGAGAAGAGTGAATGTGGACACTCCCATGTGGTCTGTGCCGTGGCTCATCCAAAGTGGCCGGGAATGGAGCCCCCGACCCGCCGGGCTGTCCCCGTTTGAGGTGTGTTTCAACGGGCCCACGGGAACCAAACACTGATTTATGTGAAACAAACATGTATCTTCCTTGATAGATAGATAGTAGTAGATAGATACTCGGTTATCTTGGGGTTACAGGTGAGATGGCGGTCTGGGAATAACAGACCAGACCCATGTACATCATTAAGTAACCGTATGCTATCAGTAGAGAGAAAGGGGGTAGATGCTGCTGCTGCTGTATGCTGGCCGTGGACTATACTGGAAGTAGCATTGAGGTGGTGTGATGAGTCCAGCTGAGGAGAGCGTGACCAGAACAAACCTGGTTTGGGGGACCCAACAAGGCTGTGTGTGTGTTTTGTGTTTTGGCTTGTCCCGTCCTGCCGTAAGAATGACCGGCAACTGTGAATGTGTGCCTGAGGAGCGCCTGGAAGATTCCCTCTCTCTCTCTGCGTGTGTGTCTCTCTCTTCCTCCCCCCCTCAAAAGTCAGTCCGTCATCCTCGTCATCCCATCCCATCTTGTTTTGTCTCATCTCATCCATCCATCCTCTTCCTATTCTTTCGCTTTCCCACTACTCTATTTCCCCCATCATTCCCCATCTCGCCTGGCTGCGATTGCTTTCGTTTCCTCTGCCCCTCTGCCTTCCGATCTACATACTCCGTACAGCCTCCTCATCTACTCGTCGCTACAATCCCACCCTCCAGCTGCCTGACTGCCTAACCGCCGATTAGCATCTCGCCCGCTCGTTCGACTGGCGACAATCTGCCTCCAACGCATCAACATTGGCACCGCCATGGACCACGTCGGCTAGCCCTGGCTGCAATTCATATCATCGCTCGTTACCTCATCCATCCAACGTCCTGCCTATTTTTACTTCTCCTTATCACGGACCACAGAACGCTCACAACTCCTCCCCCCGTCGCCCGCTTCTTTTAGCCTCCCGTCAATAGTATGTCTCGCAGCGCGCAGTCCCCTCCCCCAAAATTTGATCCAGTGCCTCGTTTTTAGACTTTGCTTTGCTTTTTCCTGCCTTGGGTCACAGGTAATTGAAATACTAACTTCCGACCCACCCGCAGCTCCTTGCTCTAACTAACGATTTACGAACTTTCCGACTCTTTCTTCCTGTTTGGCGCTTCCCGGTTCCGTGCTTGCGACCTCGCTTTGACTGCCGTCTGAATTGATATTCTCCCCCTCATCGCCCCCCATGATTTCCACCATCCCCCCTCCCCGTCCGGTGTCGGTCAATTCACTGGCCAGAGCGTCGGCTTCCACTACCATTCCTTACGCCAAAGCGAGTCGCTGCACCAGTGCCGAAATTCAGATTCTCGATGGTCCCATTAATCCCCCGGCGGTGGGGCCTTGTCAGCTGGTCTGCCAGTCCCCGGTGGATACCGAAATGGAGGATGTGCGGATAAGCGTGGAGACGCCTCAGGCCTGCCGATCCGAAGTGTGCTTCGAAGACCTTCCCATCGAGATCCACGAGGCCATTCTAGATCATCTGTTTGGCGAGCGGGCATCGGCATTCACCTCGTGCGCGCCCGGCAAGTCTGCGCGCAGCTGGAATAAGTCATTGCGTCATCCCCGTCGAAAAACCCTCTCCAATTTGGCATTGATCACCCCTGTCTGGCGAGCACTGGTGCAAGACCGGATTTACAGGCACAGTGAGTGTTCTTCCCCACTTTACTAGTTTTGGTCCCCCTCAACGCCGCCATTTGTGTAAACTGGTCTAATTCACTGCTTAGTCAAAATCAAAGGGACCACAGAAGAACTGGCAGAAAGTGCTCGTTGGTTCCGTGCGCATCCCCATCTGGCCCCGTACGTCCGTCATGTCGAGATCTGGATCCCGGTATGGGGAAAACGAGCCGTCAAGAACACATCGCATCATTTCCCTGCCCGGCGGTTGCATGACGAGGATGCCGGCTTGGTCGAGCATGGTGCGCCCCAAGCCATCGCGTGGGACGACTCCGACACCAACCATAGCACCGACTATCGGTACCACTATGCCAGCCACAATGCGACACTAGAGGAGATGTTCTCGCACGTAAAATCTGAATTTCCGGAAGCACGCATCCTTACCCTGGAGGGAGGTCACTGTAAGCGACCGCCAATGGTACGCCAATTTCGCGATGACCCGTGCGGCCACTCCGGACGGCGACGTCTGCCTACGCTGCCAGATGTCCAAACGTTTGTCATGCGTGGAGCTTGGAATATCATGCGCGACTATCAACATTGGTTGAACATGTCACAAGCCTTACCAGGGGTGCGCGAGTGGCACTGCGCCTACGCCAAGCCCAAATTCGAGGCCTACGAGACTGTCGCGGAGATTCTGTCCCGGCTATCCCCAACTCTGGTCCATGTTAATATCAGCCTGGAGGGCTTCTACAACAAGGACAATACACAATCTGGCTGGATTCACGATGGAATCAGCCCACCACATCTCTGCCGCCTGCTTGGCGAGGCAGCCCCACGTCTGGAGTCCCTTGCATTTACCGGGAAGGTCTGCGCCTGTCTCTTCAATGCAACCCGAAGTTTCATGTCCACCTGGCCAGCCAAGTCCAAACTCAAGTCCTTAGATTTGGTGGTCAAGACATGCTGTCGCGAAAAGCGAACGAATCCGGGACTCGGATTTCTTGACGACTTCTCCGGCATCACCAATCTGAATTTTATCCGCTCCTTTGAGAAACTTGTCCTCGGCGCCGTCCACAGCCTGCAGCTGCACACTGCCCTGACCTACATGCGCATTCGCTTCATCGACCTGGACTCCGCCTGTCCGCCACTGAATCCCTACTTCCAGCTGTCCGACAACGAGTGCACCGGTCTATGGAATGAGCGGATTCTTGAGACCTTGCACGAAGCCCGTCCCCAGGCACACTATGCAGAGCTTTCTGATGGCATCTACCCCCAGTATGGACACAACCGGCAGATCGTAGGGGCCGTGTACCCGCGAACTCGACCCTTAAGTATCCATGCATCGACATACAAAGTCATCGCCGATGTATCCAAGCCATAACACGCTGATTGCCATTTGCTTGTAGTTTATGATGGGCGGGATGAGCAGCAGCAAAAGTCTTACTATGTAGCCCATTTACTTATCTATGATACCTAGTCTTTCGAGCCGAGCAAATAATGCAATATTATATTCTTCTCTGACTGATACAGGTACTGCAGTGATGATAACTGCTTAGATAATAGCAGGTGGAGCAGTATTGACTCCGCAAGCTCCATATTCGGGAACTAGTATCTTTCCGCACATACTGCCATAAGCAGCTTATAGTTTGTTACTTCATCCAAAACATCAAGTAGATGCACATTCAAAGAGCCCTTCTTAAAATATACCCGTATATACAACAGACACCAACATCCCAAATCCTACCCCCAACCCACCCAACCAACCCATCAATAAACATACCTAAACCTTGGATTCTGCACCCAATCAGCATACACCCAAACCAACACACACAAAAGCTGAAAGAAAACATACCTCAAAATCCGTCAAATCCTCCATCACCCCCTCCCCCTCCCCTTCCTCGCCACCAACCCCCGTCATAGCATCATCCCTCCTCTTATTCCTCCTAACAAGTACCACCCTCAACACCCCCGCACAAACCATCTGACACAACGCACACCCCAGAATCAACTTACACCCGGTCTGATACACCGGCGCCTCACTGGCCAGAAAGGCATGCGGACCGATGATATTCCCGATGCAGTACGCCAGGAACACGAATGCCGTGGCGGTTACTCGCTTCGTGTATCCGCCCATGTTGCTAGAGGGGAGTTGCAGCGCGAGAACGAGGGAGGTTACGAAGGAGCCGATCTATCATATTCATCATTTCAGCATTAGCATCAATACTCCTTTCATCAGAGATGAGAGGGGAAATAAAAGAGAAAGAAGATGGAGCATACGATATAATACCCAAACAACACCCCGTATTCCCTCTCGCGAGGCAACTTCCATAATAGACAGACTCCGATCACAGTGGGGATGAGGTAAGCTATCATGATGATTGTCCTGATATTTGTGAAGCGAGTAGAGAGGTATGTTCCGGACAGGATGAAAAGGACTTGGAATGCGCCTTGCGGGATACCCAGGACAGTGGTGAGGAGGGAGCTGCTGACTAGGCCTTTGATTATGAGTTTGCCGAACTGGTATTATTCTCAGTGTTAGTAACAGCTTTCAATAGGGAGGACATGGGTTTAAAGAAAGGTGGGATGTACATTAGCTACTCCCCCATTCACCGTCTCGTTCAACAATGTGAAGAGGAATAATAGCCACACTTGGGGGTCGACGAAGGCTTCTCGGATTTGGTACCATTTTATGGATCTATTCAGGATACCCTATTCATTTGTATCTCTCTTGTTAGAAAGAACCATAATAATCGGAGTTATGAGAAGGGTAAGAGTGGGTAAACGAACAGTCTGATTCTTTCGCCCCCTCCCGATGAGCAACACCTTCTCCTCAACACTGAACCGCTTACTGGTGAGGATGCTATTCGGGAGGAATATCATCATCACTACTCCCCAGATGATGGTTGCCCCGCCGCAGATGAGGAAGACGGCGCGCCATACGGGAAAGGTGTTTAGTTGGCCGATGGCGTAGGTGAGGAGACCGCCGACCTGATCCGATTTATTAGTTTGGTTTGTTAAAGGGGGAGTGGTGATGGTTAGCTCACCATCGATCCAACACCATTGCAGCAGTAGAATATCCCCGCGCGGAAAGGCTGCTCTTGTCGGAGGTACCACATTCCGACTATCATCATGAAGCAGGGAGTTATTGGGGCTGAATTAGGCATTAGAGATTGTCAAATATTATGGGGAGTGGGGGAGGGGAGAAGGGAGGGTTGGTACATTCGAAACATCCGAGCAGGAAACGACAGATAGCCAGGCCAGTGAAGTTGTTGCAGCTGGCTGTTATCATGAGGATGGCGCCCCAGGCAATTCTGCTTCCTTAGTGGTGAGCTGTGACGGTAGTTGGGAGCGACTCACACGAAAGACGAGACGACTGTCCCGATGGGTAGGCGCTGGGCGATGTAGCTGGCGGGGTATTCCCAGAAGAGGTAGCCTATAATTGATACTATTAGCTGCGCTGTGTTGTATTCTTCCATGAATATATCAAAACATACCAAAGTAGAATATGCTCGCTAGCCAACTGTACTCGTTACTGTTGATATGAGCATTGGTGAATAGGTCGAAGACGGCGCTGTATGAGAGGGCCTGTTTGTCAATATACTGCAGACAATACGTCCCGCACATCAACGGCAGTAGAATCATATCGATCCGTCTCCGCAGTTTCTTCATCCGAACTGGATCGTCGAGCATCTCTTGCAGCTGATCGTGAGATATGCCATGTTCGTGGAGAAAAATTTCTGCTTCGTCTAGGTGGGTGATTTGGCCGATGTCGACGTCGTCTACTTTGGTAGTGACCGGGATGGTCTTTTCTGGATCTTGGGGCTTCGTGTCTGATATGGTTCCTGTCATTTTCGAGGTTGAAGGTCTGTGTACCTCTTGCAGGATTATGCAGATGGGTCGATGGAGAAATATAAGGCGTGTTTATGGTCCTGGGGTATAGTGTCGCCCCTCTGATAAGCCACATGATGGCAGGCTGTCGATAACATGGCTTGGATTTCTTGGTCTGAGCGATAAGATCAATGCGTCTGGGTTGCTTTGCCATATACAGCAAGATGCACGACAATCTAGGTGGATTCCAGCGTAAGTTGATAATAAGCTATCTCGGAGGGTGTCCGAGATAAGACCAGGTGATAAGATGAAATGCGGGGTGCACGATCGGCATCAGAAGTAGTGCCGAATGAGTAGCTGAATCCAATGTGTGTTTAAAGCGTTGTTTTTGTGGCCCAAAAAAGATGTTGATTGCTTTGGATAAGTGTTGCAGCTTGTGCTGATTTATTGTATAGGCACTAGATAGACTATCTGATAAGCTTGCGGGTGAGGTTGTGCCTATGGTCGTTGGTAGGAAACCCATGTTAGACAGTCGGTTCTAGCAATGATGGAAAACTATTGTGATAGAATGATTACCGAACGTCTGTAGGTTAAATAGGCACACTGCCTAGAATTGTTCCATGATCCGCTGTTTGTATGGGAAGACTGAAGAAATGACACAGGTAGTTACCGCAGCTGTCCTAGTTATGTGGAAGTTACACAGTCTTTAACCTCCGATAGATGAAACTAGAAAGTCAGACGGAGCTTGGCGAACGCCTAGCTCTACCACCGAGCAATCATGACCAATCAATCTTTCATCGCCGTCTTCGAGCCAGTTGCTTGCATCGACCCGACGGACGGCCGCCGCAGTTAGCCCGCATCCCGGCGCATGAAGCAGCGACTACAACTCCAATCAGCTACGACTGAACTGTTGGATGGACATCCAAACACATGTAAATGATCCCAAATTCCATCCAGACACCAATAACATACAATCTATAACCTGAAACGACTTATGCACGTGAGATTATATTTATAAAATAATCTATGTTAATTAATAACCCTGCTTGCTCCAAACCAGCTGCAAACCTAACCTAGCGCTGCTGCACTGCATCTAGTTATAAATATATCCCCCTAATATTACTTAGTATAGTAATCCAACACGTTCTATCTCTGGAAACCGCACTATTCGGGCGATATTAATAGGGTCCAACCACTTTAGTGAACCACGCATGGCCAATCACACCCCCCGGAGATTTCCAACAGGTTGGAATGGATCGTCCGGGAATACGCTGGGATTGACAGCGGTTGCTGCCGCTGCCGCTATACCCATCTATTTCTGGGGTTATGGCAAACATCTATATTCAGCTGCTGCATGTATTCTCCGGAGTGTATGATGGCTTCAATATATAAGTAGTTATGGAAGTTCCCAAGAAGATAGTATTAATTGACAAGCACATACATATAAATTAAAGCATCATTCGGAAAACGACTCTTCGCAATGGCAGCCATCAAATATCCATCCACCCCGGCCTCGATCTCCCTCCGCCATCACCAGACAAACATGGAAGCATCTCGATCTGCTAATGCTGGGAGACGCCAGAGCGAAGAAACTCTGGCCGACGTCCAAGCCAGTCTCGAACGTATTGTCCGACTTTACAACTATGGGAAGCCACTATTCCCACGAAGACTCCTGAAAGACCTTCACGAGCAGATCAGTAAAGGATATGAAAGAGTCAGTATCCCAGACTGGGATGATCAACCACATACATATAGCCTGAAAGTCCCTGAAAATTGCACCAAAGAATCGTAAGTCTAAGCTTGCCGCCAATTGGACATCGTCTTTCTAACGCAAGGACACAGCGACACTTATGTTATCAACTACAGCAGCATCCAGCGCTTAACATATTTCAATCCACAGTTACCCAAACTGCTCTTAGAGCCCCCATGCCCGATTTCCATTGGTTACACACGCAGTCCAAGCCACCCTGGCATCACTCTCAAAGAGATTCATGATGCATTCAAACAGATCCGCCGGGGGTGGCAGGATAGCGAGACGTGTTCAAACCTAGAGGGCTCCTTTGTGCAACCAAGGTTCTGGTCTAGCACAATCACCAGAATCGTTGCATTTGGACTAGGGACCCTCGGTAAGGCGGAATTCGGGAACGTGTCGGTTCGTTCTTATGCACAGCACGCCGCTATGCTAACCATGGCGACTATTTTGAAGGAGAAGCGCATCAGTAAAGGACAGGATGTACAGTGTTTTGCCCAGGACCCGTGGTACGATGAGAAGGATGTTGATTTTCTGAGAGGTCTCGGTATCACGGTGGTGAATGACCCTGAGGGGTTTCTGATGATCGATGAACACACGCTGGTATTCTCTGTCTGTCCTAATATTCCGGTTAGGCAGATTGTGGCGGATGTGCAGTGGCCGGCGGCGATAGTTTGGAATAGTCCGCTTCCAGAGGGACAGATGAATGAGTGGAAGAGCAGGTTGGGAAATGGGGAGGTGTTTTGGACAGGGTGAGTCGTTCTTCTCTTTCGTTCCAACTCTTGGTTCTCTGCTAATATGTGGGCTATGTGCAGTCCGATGATGACGGATCCTGATTCGGAGAGGGTTTGTGAGATGCTTCGGGATTATGATGGTGCGCGACTGGTCGATCATGGTGATTATTTTGGCGATTTGACGGTTTATGCGAGAAGGGTGCGTTCTTAGTCTAGAAGTGAGAAAGATACATCCCGTTCCTCTTGAAGCATTTCAGCAATTAATGTCCACCCTATTGCCACAAACATTTCTATCCAATCAACCCAGCAATTCTTCCTCCCAAATCTTCTGCATCTCCTTCAAATGCCCCGGAATTGTTTACAGCTTCCTGAAAACCTCATTAAAATTATAACACTGCAGCATTTTCCAATGGCAGAGTGATTTGCTGTTGGCGTGAGTGGCACGTAACCGGCCATTTGAACGATCGACGAATGGTAGAGAGCGGGCTGTACAAGGGCCCCTGGCTACTGTATAGACCCCTGTCTATACACCTCCAGGTAATAATCTACTATGCTTGTGACTAGAGAGTTGTTGGATCTCTTTTAAGCTTACTCCAAAGTTATCCTAAATTCTCACCACAGTACCAAATTAAAAGCATCCCTGCCACCACTAGAGATTCGGCATGTCCGTTCTCAAGGACGGGTTGATATTGATGAAACATTCCAAGCAATGTCTACTACAAGGTGCGCAGAGAGGTGGTGATCATGGTATCAGTACATTGTGTTTGATGGATTAGGAAGCTGGTTTAAGCGCTAATATGCAGGGTGACTGCGCCGCTTTCCACGCCAGTGTTGGCTGGTTGCTTGACGAGTATCAAACATGGAGTGAATAGAACTGGGTATTAAACCAAGTAGCTAGTATGATGATAGTGCGTGAAATTCTATTGAGACGGGTACTACAGTACCCTCTCTTTGGTGATGAAATTAAGGGCGAATAGGACTGTAGATCTAGACAAATGTTTATACTTAAGAGATTAGTCGGGTAGGAGGTAGAATTAGATACCCCTGACCAAAACGAGTAACAATTTTTGTATGCAATTCTATGCAGATACCTCGTGCGAGCTAAGATGCCACCAACCACGGCGACTCAACGAGAAGGCATTCCTAACACGGGATCGGAAAGCGGGCGACCACTTATCCGTTGTGGGACAAGTCCGGCTTCACTTTCCTTCTTTCTCCCTCGCACACACCAGCTCAAATACTATACTTTCCGTTTCCTACCATGGAATAGGTGGCATCGTTGAATGCTCCACCGGGCATTGAATTGAGCAACCCGGTTCTTCTGAAACGGGCCCTATGTGCCATCTCTGGGAATGTCACTGAGACTGTCTGGAAACGTCACTCTACTTCCCCGATCTTTAGTGACAGGGTACCGATACAGTCACTCAAGGGTCCACCTGGCTAGCGCTACGGCAGCAGCCACTTCTCTAGAATGGCCAATCGCCAGTTCGATGTTGCTGATACCCTTGGACATCGCTACAGCGTGAGCATGTCCGTGAAGCTGTGCCACATTAGTTGACACAGGCAATCAAAATGCTGTGTTACCATCAAACATACCTTGACATAAGGATTCCCGCTTTCTTCCAAGATCTCGATATCCTGCATTGCAGCCCGTGCACCCATAGAAGGCACCCGAAAACTTTTGAAAACGGCCTCTTTGGCACTCCAACGGCCCGCAAATGTGGAGCGTAGGTTCGGTGCCTGGGAACAGTAGTCCAGTTCCGCAGGTGTGAAATTGCGCTGCAGAAAATTGAGGTTTTCAATGTCGAGACTCGTGATCTCCTCCACGTAAACTCCCACGCTGGTCGATGATGTCGCACCGGCGCGCCCAGTAACATGCTCGAGTAGGGATTGAACAAGCGCAGCCGTGACAGCCGATCCATTGTCTATACTCTCCTTAGTAGAAGCTTTAGCCGGAGTCTCCCCGAAGGAGGAGTCAGCCGCATCTAAACGACTCTCTGGGTTAAGAAAGACACTCTTCATAACATCAGCGCTTTTCCACGGTGGGTCGCATTTAACTTGGACCAGCGAGTTCTTCAGCAGCCGGATGACAAATTCCACGTTGGCTGTCCGCTGCCTCTGTATCACTCGACTTCGGTAGTCGTCAAACGTTGCAGCCGGAACAGCCGCGAAGAGATATCTGGGTGCTACCACCACGGCCAGAGCACCCTTTTGACCAAATCCGAAGGAGGTGAGCATGATTGCTTTCAAGTCGGGCGGCTTTATAGATTCCATGGGATAGACCAGATGTTTGAACTGTCGGAGCTGCTCGTCAATATTGTCCGCGTTACGGTTCCCTGGGACTATTCCATCGCGGAACATTTGTATGCAGCCATTGAGTTGCCAGGCACCCGCAGCTGCCTTGGGATGCCCTGTCACGGATTTCTGACACACGCACAGGAGCGGATTACCTTTACGTCGACCCAGGTGGTTCATTTGGGTGTTTATCACCTCACCTTCATTGATCTCGTTCGCCCGTGTTGAAGTCCCATGGCTCGAAACAACACTTATATCGTCGATTGTTAGGGCCCATGTTGCTAGTGCGGCCCTGAGAGGAGAAATCCCGGGATCTTGCAGCCGGATTCTGTTTGCCCACTGGTGCTGGGCATGTCGTATCTTAGATTTCATGCTGCCGCTTAGTTCGCCCGATGATTGGTGACGAATATCGACTACTTCTTTCTCGAATCCCGCGCGTCGAAAGTCAAGATTCAGTAACGGCGAGTGTCTAGCGTCCTTTGACTCTCGTGCAGCTGTGATAATTCCCTTGCCTGGGGCTGGAATGGATCGGCCAATTTGATCACTCGCCATTTGGGTGTAAGCAACAATACCGTAGATTGGCAGTCCCATTTCAAGAGCAAGATCGGCAGCCATTACTATTTGTACCCCACAACCAGCGGACTCCGCAAAGCCGCTCCGGGAGCTTGTGGTCGGGCGCGAGAATTCGCCCGGCAGACGACCTTTGGCCAACTCCTCTCTGGTGTTCGCAGTGGCCTTGATGCCAGCGAATTCGTAAGCGACCTCTTCTCCATAATCATCACAACCGCCAACAATAGCAACTTTACACTTCCCAGTCTGAATAGTCTCGCATCCACTGTCTAATGATTCTATGGCTGTGGCACATGCACCGACATGTGTCTTGAGTGGACCCGAGGAAGAGAGAAGCAGCATGTTTACCCACGCGCCCATGGAATTAGAAAAGTGATCAAGAATAATGTCCCCTCGGACTGGCCGATCGAGATATCGGTCGCGGTACATGCTCTGGATTGTCTTCATAGGACCACCCCCAGTTCCCAAGCAGTTGGCTACTTCAGAGAGGTGAATGTGCTTATACATCTCATACGGATCTTTGATACCAGCGGACAAGAATGCCTCCGAGACGCAGCAGAGTGCATACAAAGTAGTGGGGTCGGCTTCTTGAACAATATCCCCGGGAATGCCGTACCGCAAGGGGTCCCATCCCCTGGGAAGCCTTCCGCCCACAAGGGGATGGAAAGGAACTGCCTTGGGCACCATTACCACAGCCCCCTTCTTCATACATACAAGATAATTGTCCGAGTTCGAGATTTGCTGGACAAAGACATGATCTCCATGGCGCAACTTAAATGCTTCTGCCGCAGACTTGGAGCTCTCGAACGGCGGCAGATCATCTTCAATCGCAACTTCATGCATGAACTCCATTCGCGAGGGATCGTATCTATTGAGTGCATCGGGCATAATAAAGCGAAGGCCAGAGTTCTCCATAATCTTTCGGTGGCACCTTCTAGGAATCTCGTCATCCGGGATCGGCTCGTTTGTTTCGACATCGATCCACCCAACGTATGGCTGGCCCTTGAAATCGTCTGTGGTGTGTCTGATCAGACCCATCATCCACGCCATTTCAACGGATCCTTCTAAGGAGAATTGACCCTGGCTTTCCATTTCCCATCGTGTGCGTGAGCTTCCCCACGGCCCAAGCTCGGAAAACCCTACTATGACGACCGTTCGCGAAAGGTCAATCATTCCTTGAAGATCAGGAAGCCCGGCCGTCATGTGCTCGTACCTCGTTATTGAGGGGAATCCGATCTTGAGGTTGGCTCGCTTATTTCTCACTTTTAGCTCGTGTGCACGAGGGTCTGTTTGCCGTCCGTGGATGGCTTCTTCTTGGTGTGCCTCCTCTTCCGCCAGAACAAGACCCAAACGAAGGTTTTCGGCCACCGTCTTACGGCTCGCTGCGATGTATTCACTTACATTCCACATGGTCCCAAATCCGCCAGTAAGATCCGCATATACAGGTGTCTCTTCGGCGAGAGCGATGATGGCCGGTGATAGTAGCGCCAGGATATTGAAGGCCATCTCGGCTCGGGTGAAGGTGATGACACCGAGCTTTTCCATCTCCGCTGCTATCATATCCGATGAGTGCATCAATCCAGTTCCTCGAGTCCACCCCATGACAGCTCCACAGATAGTTGCATAAGTCGACCAGCTTTCAGAGTGGAATCGGTTGAATAAGGACTTGAGTCCGATTTTCGCCTCCGCATACAGGCCGTCTCCACCGAATGTCCCTTCATTGCATGACAATGGTAGGATTACCATTGTCGGTCTGGTGTTTATGCGTCGGTTTTCCTTTTCGCGACAAACGAGACCCACCAGCCGCAGGAGGTTCACAAGCATCCCTCGGAGGGCAAGTTCCTGTCGGCCGCCTAACGTCTCGGGTTCACCGGTTTGCGGAATGGCGGCGAACGGAATGATGCAATCCAAATCATTACCAGCAGATGATTCTGCACCGTATATATATTCAATTATAGCCTCACAGTCTTGTTTGCTGGCTTGATTCATTGGGAGTAGCGTCAAACTAGCCCCGCGGGCTCCGTACTTCCTGAACAGCCTCTGGTAAACCTGAGCGTTCGTGGAGACCGTACGGCTTGTGCTGACAAGGACGCGGGCGCCACCGGCGAGGAGCCCTTGGATTATTTCTACGGCAATGGAACTGGGACCAGCACCTGTCACAAGCACTGTTTTACCAACATAACTGAAACCAGTGGTGAGGCCCACATCCAACACCCGATGAAGCATCTCAGTGACCTTTGCGTCATATGTCCAGTCTTCTTCACCGTTGCGTGTTTTGATATGCACAAAAGGGGTGGACGCTGTGGTACCGGTAGGAGAACTACGTCCCCGGCGGATTATGTCCGTGTAGCTGCCTACTGAGCGAACCGTTTCCTCGTATTCCAAACTCCCTGAGCTGCCGAAGTTAATCTTAGGCTTCAGAGGAGGCAATGTGTGAATATGAACAGGATCAGTCGCTTGAGCATGAATCCCTAAGCTCAGGATTTTGTTCAACAGCACAATATGGCCATCTGTCTGAGAAGCTCTAGATGTTGAGGATGATATCTCCAGTCGATCTAGAATGACATCCGCGCAGCTAGAGTCCCAGCGATTCAAGATCCGACGCAGGTGATCATCCTTTCTTGAAACCACGATGTCTCTAGATCCCAGTAGGATCTTGTTAAGCCATTGAAGCAGGTCTTCGCGGACCCAGTTCCACCAAGAATCATACTGTCTGATCTGCTTGGCATTGAAAATAGGTCGGACGCCTTCCAGAAATTCCTCACCAAATTCTGCATTCCACTGTTCCAAGCTTTCTTGCAAGGACAATATATCATCTGCCATCTGTGCTGAATTCTCCTCGAGAGCACTGATATTGATCTGCAAATGATCTGCAAGCAACCTTAGCTGCTTGCGTTGGAGATCTTGTTGTTCCTTTCGGAGTGCCCTTAGTGCCACTGCATCTATTGCTATGGGCTCCATTGATCCATTCTCGTTATTTGAACGTCGTTGCGTTGGCACCATAGTTATCCCTTCAAACACTGCGTATTGACCAATGAGATTGTCGAGATATGCATGCGCGGCCTCTGCATCCGGCAGACGGGATAACGGCTGCACAGTGATGGCAAAGCACATGGGAATCATTGCATCAAGCTCCTCCAGGCCCCACTTCGAATGCAGGTACATTTGTGCAGATCTCTGGTTAAATCCAGCAGGCATTTTGCTTGATATAAACCTGGATATCAAGGCCGACGTCTGTTTCCCAGGTTTGCCTGAAAATATCCCCTGGAGAGCTTCTGCCAGATTGGCCAGGGACATATCTTCCATGCCTTCCGGGACCCGACCAAACTCAGCGACCAAGTCACCTATCAGTTCATTCTGAAGAGTTGACTTTCCTGGAGAAGTAAGTATACAGAGCATGAGGTAATCTCAATGAAACACACCTCCTGACAAATTGCGGATCGTCGTGTCCATAGGCACTTGATCGAAAGGGCATCGCAACTTCTGACCTGTGATGGTCAAAAGAATGTGACGCGCCGAAAGTGAAACTCTGGCGCTGGGTACATGGGCTGAGGTCTTTATACGTTCAGACGCAGGGCTTGACATTGATCCTAGAGGTGGTCCGGCATCTGAGCGAGAGCTTTTTACGACCAACTGAGCTGGAGGCGAAGCTGGGGATGTTCGTTGCATGGTCGATGGCAGCGGGACAGGGTCCGGATACTCATAGTGTATTCTGTCCCGGTCGTCTTGATACGAAAGAAACTGCAAATGCGACCACTGCGACGGAGCATGCTGATCATGACGTATGGAAGCGGACTTTCTGACCATCCTTGTGAGCGTAGCTCGAGGTCCAATTTCAATGAATCGCTGCACTGGCGATGGTATCTTGAGAAGCTCGTTCTGCGTTTCAATCCTGATCACTATCAATGGCTTATTTGCAAACCAATGTGAAATGGAAACTTACCATCTTACCGGAGATGCTAGCTGATACCTATGAGCCGTGTTCAATATATGGCACTTGTGCTTAGGAGAATCAGGGAACCTACGCAAGCAGCTCGATAAACAACCTGTACGCCAAATCCTTCTCTTCATCACCAGTGACAGCCTTGCTGTGAGTGGCAAAGCCTACTATTCCGTTGCAAGCCATGGAAAAAAATTCGATGGATTGAGAGGTTATCAACTCGGTGTCTTTAGGTTTACCTGGCTCCTTGCTAGGAGGCTTAGGGGGTTCCGAAATTCATATTCGAAGCGGACGCATGATAAAGAAATTGGCCAACTACGCTGTCAATAAGCACCATCCTGGTAATAAACGAATACCGGAGCTTCTACCGAGTGATCTAGATCTAAGTATAGGAAAACTACCCCGGATGACCGCACTTTATGTACGTCCACATCTAGGCTGCTAGATGTTGAGCTAAAAATGCCAGGTCCTCAGGCATCTTCTCTACTGGAATTGATTTCCAACCAGTAACAGGGAATATGAGGTGATAGAAGCCTCCGGGTGCCTAGACACTAAAACTCCGTCCGCAAAACTCCGGGGAGTGTAGGTGTGGGTATAGGGCTGGGTCTGTCCAAACTCCGGCCAGGCAGAAAGGTTTCAATAAGATCATGCAGAAGGAAGTGGGCTGTTTCCCGTCGTTGGCTACCCCGGATTAGCAATGCATCTACACGCTAGTGGAAAATATTGCCGCGGAAGGAATTTGACCCCATATCGCGATCTCGGACTGGCCAGGAGCGTCGTTGACAAGCAAAGGAATGAACTAGTGTGCGCTGTACGGAAGACTTCCACCGATTCGAGAGTGATGAATCAACGTGTGGACCATGATAAGCTCCACGATGAATTACTGAAGATTAATAACTGGCAGTATCTTGCAAAATAGCGGGATCGGCATCGCTCTTGAGATTTCTTCTTCCGGTGTGGCATGCCCAGCCCCGACCGATGCCATGTGTGCTACTCTCTCGCCCTCGCCTCCAGTGTCTGAAGCATCGTCTCCGGCTCGTTCTCTCACTGTTGACCTTTCTTTCGACCTTTCAGGCAGCAAGCTAGTTTTACCGATTCCTATCAGGCACTTCCAATGCCTGCAGTCATATAGAACGGCGTTCATATTGCATTTATCTTCGATATCTGAAAGCAATGCATTGCAGGAGCCATCACTTCTATGCTTGGCTTTCATCAAATTTCTTCTCGCTCGAGAAGGTTTCTCCAGAGATTCGGTAGCGGCTGTATTGCGAGCTTTTGAGACTGAATTCTTGCACGGCGATAACGACATACATTGCCTCATCACGGAGTTGACTACGGTCGCTAGCGAAAGGCAGAAGTGGTTAAGGATATACTACGACGCTGTTGAGGCCAGTGATTATTTAACACTTGCACCCTCGCGCAGCTCATTCCGGCCTAGTGCTTTATTTGACCATGTGTTGGCTGGCGAATTTCGCCTGATGGCTGTGTTTGGTGGCCAGGGCGAGGCAAGTCGGACATGTGTGCAAGAGTTGGCAGACCTATACGCAACATATAGGTCTTTAGTAAGGTCCTTTATCGAGCAGTCTGCTACTTTGCTTTCCGAGCTTTCTAGGCTTCCAGTTTCCTGGTTCTCCCGCCGTGGACAGTCATTGGACCTGATGTCGTGGATCAGCGACGCATCTACTATCCCGGAATGTGAATACATGGCCCAGGCTCCGATCAGTGTCCCGGTTATTGGGCTGCTGAGCCTGGCACGATATATGGTGACCTGCCGGGTTCTGCACATGCACCCGGGCCAGCTACGTGGGTTGCTTTCTGCAACTACCGGACACTCACAAGGTTTATTAGTATCAACAGTCATATCCATGTCTGATTCCTGGGATACATTCAATGCCAACTCTCATTTTGCAGTCGAAGCTCTGTTTTGGCTAGGAGTTGAATGCCATCAATCTGCACCCAATAGCTCTTCACGACTGAGCGCGTCCGCCTCGAGTGAGACCAATGCTGTGCCATCGTATATGCTTGGTGTCCGCAGTGTTTCCGGAGACCAGCTGGAGTGTATACTAGGTCGCTTGAACAGAACGTTACCGCCAAATGAGAAAGTTCAAATAGCCTTAGCAAATGGGCGGGACAATTTGTGGTGGCAGGGCCAATTGTGTCCTTGGTCCATATGGATAGTCAGCTCAAGAGCATGAAACGATCCGAATCAGATACTAGTCGGGTTCCCTTCAGCAGCCGAAAGCCCGCTATTCAACATGGATTTCTCCCAATTAGTGCACCATTTCATACCAAATACCTTGCTAAAGCTGTAACAGCCCTGAAGTTGCGGTTTGCAAGACAATACATCAAGTCAGAGCAACTGAAAATTCCCGTCTACCACACGTCCACTGGAGAGGACTTGCGGAAGGGTTGCAGAAATATACTGCACGCTATTTTCGATGCGATTGCTCGGGAGAATTGCGATTGGCCGGTAGCTTTATCTGGACCCTCACGGACAGGTGACAGATGCATTTCCCCATCGCATATCATTGTTTTCGATCGCGGTGGACTCGGGTCAATGGTCCAAAAGATTGTGGATGGTAGCGGTGTTCGCGTTATTCAAGGCGGCGATCTCGATTCTCGCGACCCTGATATAGGTACCATGCGAGATTTGTTCTCTTTGCGCCTGCTCGAATCGTCAACGAGGCCTCTGAGCTGGGTGCAACAGTTTCAACCGCGTCTGATCGCAGGTTGCTTAGAGACCCGGATTTCGAGATTGCTGGGCACCCCTCCGGTGATTGTAGGTGGCATGACACCGACTACTGTTCATTGGGACTTCGTTTCCGCCATCATGAATGCTGGATATCATGCAGAACTCGCTGGGGGTGGCTACAGGAACAGCTCCGACATGACCACCGCAATCAATGATCTTGTTGCACATATCCCCCCAGGTCGAGGTATCACTTGCAATATTATATATGCTAACCCCCAAGCCATGCGCTGGCAAATAGCCTTGCTACGTCGACTATCCCATAACCGCGTCCCTATCGACGGTATAACCATTGGGGCTGGAGTTCCTTCTTTAGAGGTAGCATCCCAGTATATTCGAACTTTAGGACTGCGCCATATTGGCTTCAAACCAGGATCGGTGTCAAGTATCCGACGGGTGATTGACATTTCCAAGGCACATCCTGACTTTCCAATTATGTTACAATGGACAGGTGGGCGTGGCGGAGGCCATCACTCTTTCGAGGATTTCCACGCCCCAATACTTAGTACTTACGGGACTATTCGACAGCAGCGTAATATATATCTAGTAGCTGGAAGTGGTTTTGGCAATAGCGATAGTATATACCCTTACATAACCGGGCAATGGTCACTACCGTTCGGATACCCCTGCATGCCCTTTGATGGTGTGCTACTGGGAAGTCGTTTGATGGTAGCTCGGGAAGCACACACTTCATCGGCTGTGAGGGAAATCATCTTCAAGACACCTGGTGTTCCTGACTGGGAATGGGAGAAAACGTACTCTGGACCCGCTGGTGGGGTAATCACGGTACAGTCAGAGATGGGCGAACCCATCCACAAGATTGCAACCAAGGGTGTTAGGTTATGGGCAGATATGGACCGAACCGTTTTCTGTTTGCCTCGAAAAGAACGGGCTGCATACCTGCAAAAGCATCGGACTTCGATAATACAGCGCTTGACCACGGGATTTGCCAAGCCGTGGTTTGGCCGCAACAGTTTGGGTAACATTGTCAACCTGGAAGACATGACTTACACTGAAGTGTTGGGTCGTATGGTAGAGTTGATGTATGTCAAGCACCAGAAACGGTGGATTGACCCATCATATGTTGGCTTCACCATGGCCATGGCCACTCGAGCATTAGAGCGCCTACTTCGTGTTGATACCCTCGACTCGGACCTCGCTCAGTCGGTTCTATCCGAGAATCCGATGCAGTTCCTCAACGCCTTTACCGTTGCATGTCCTAGTGCTTCCGAGGAGATTATAAATCCAGAGGACGTTTCCTTCTTTCTGATGAGGAGTAAAATGCCAGACCGGAAGCCAGTCAATTTCATACCTGCCCTAAATGATGATTTCGAGTTCTATTTCAAGAAAGACTCGCTTTGGCAGGCAGAGGATATTGATGCTGTTGTGGACCAAGATGCTGAACGAGTCTGCATCCTACAGGGCCCGGTGGCAGCTCAATACTCCGTTAGGCATGATGAGTCGGCAAAGGAGATTCTTGACACCATTATCAGTGGCCTTATTGAACGTATGCAGCGTGATGTCAGTACCGACAGCTCTTCGCCTAGCTTGGGCAGTGGGCTGGTCACCCCGGAGTCTTGGTCTTCAATATCGGGTGCCAAGGACATTGGTATGGAGGAGCTCGCACTCTCATCCACAGCGGCTTCAGAGTCTGATGAACGTTCCCCCTCTGTTACCATTGGCACAGGGCGAAATTGGCCTCCGTGGCTACGGGCCATTTTCGAAGCCAAGGTCATCTCTCGTAATCGACGTCGCCAGAATAATCCATTTCAGCAGTTCATCGCATCATACCCTGCCACGAAAGTTCGATACGATGCTAACCATTCAGAGGCGTGTGTGACAGTTCATGATGCGTGTGGAGCTACTTCTCTCATGAAAGTGTCATGTCTAGACGGTGTCGAGATTAAAGTGGAACTCTGTCCTCCTCAAGTCTCTGATCCACTTGAATTGGTGTACCTAATTCATCCCAGTGACATCCCGTTCTCGATTACTGAGATCACCTCGAAGCGGAATGCGCGCGTGAGGACCTTCTATAGAAAGCTTTGGCTACAGGGAAAATCTGACACCGGCATACAAGAGACTTACTACGGTCGAGAGATGGTTCTCACGCGCGACCTGCTGGATGATTTGATTGCCGCCGTGGGTCCGGCATTTTCGGATTCCCGGCTCATCAAAACGAGCTCGGATTTCCTGCCAATCAGCGCTGGGATAATAATTGCATGGGAAGTTATCACCAAACCTTTGGTAACTGGAGAGATCAATGGTGATTTGTTGCATCTGGTGCACCGTTCTAATACATTCGATTACTGTGCCAGTGCGGGTACATTGCGTGTTGGTGATGGTGTCAGCTGTCGGTCGCGGGTGCAAGCTGTGTATGTGGAGGATGCAGGCAAAGTGGTTGTTATTGAAGCCCAGATATTTCGATCGGGAAAAGAGGTCATGAAGATCAAGTCTACCTTCTTGTTTCGAGGTTCACTCCGCTCAGGGTCGACATTCAGACGGGGACGATCGCAATGGGTACTCCGCCTCGAATCGAACTTGGAAGAAACGGTCCTGCGGAGTCGCCCGTGGTTTCACCTGCACGATACTGCTACAGCCCTTGTTGGTAGAGATCTTGTCATCAGTATAGAGACTCATGAAGTGGACAAGGAGAGTGGCTTCAAGAGTCTTCGTGTGATCGGTACCGCTTGCTTACAAGATACTAGTGGCCTTGGTCAAGAGGTGGGATTTGTTGACTTTGAGTGCGAGCATTGCGTTGGAAATCCCGTGCTGCAATTTCTCGAGCGCAAAGGAGGTCCTCTGAGTAGGCAAATTATGCTACAGAAACCAGGGTGGACTGGTCCCTCGTCGATCGACGTACAAATGCCAGTCAGTAACCAGGCATACGCTGAGATATCCACGGATTTTAACCCGATACATGTGTCAACTATTTTCGCCTCTTTAGCAGATCTCCCGGGCACGGTATGTCACGGAATGAATACCTCGGCAGTTGCGGTAGCAGCATTGGAGCATCTAGCTCTCGAAGGCGATCGCTCGCGTCTCCGACAATTTACAGCAAAGTTCAGCGGGATGGTTATGCCACTAGAAAAGCTGGTGGTACAAATACAGCATGCCGGGATGATCAATGGGCGCATGCAGTTAACAGTTGATGTTGTCCGGAAAGACAGCCAAGAAAAGGTGCTAGAAGCAGAAGCCGTTATTGACCAGCCTGCAACCGCTTATCTCTTCACCGGCCAAGGCAGCCAGAGCAAGGGAATGGGAATGGATCTGTATCAGTCAAGTCCGGTGGCCAAATCTCTGTGGGATGAAATTGATGCGCAACTGTATGCGTCGTATGGTACGTGAACCTGCCAAAAGGCGGCTATCGCTCACAGAAATAGGTTGGTCTGTGTTGGACATTGTTAAGAATAATCCGAAGTCGGTAACTGTTCACTTTGGAGGCAAGCGAGGCCGCCAGATCCGAAAGAACTATCTCGCCATTACTACGGAAACAGTGCAGACCGATGGATCCCGTGTCGAGACTCCTGTTCTGCAGGGTCTCAGTCCATGTTCACCATCTTACACATTTACTGACTCACGGGGACTGTTATACTCCACCCAGTTTGCTCAACCGGCAATTTTGCTATTCGAAGCGGCGGCAGTAGCCGACCTGCGTAGCAAGGGCTATGTATCGCCGGATGCAATGTATGCCGGTCATTCGTTGGGAGAGTTCGGGGCTTTGTCGGCGCTGTCCGCTTCGATCCCAATGGGAGCCCTGGCCGAGTTGGCGTTTTACCGGGGACTTATGATGCAGGCGTCTGTGGCAGGAGGAAACGGGAACGCGTACGGAATGGTGGCGGTCAATCCTAAACGCGTGGGACCATGTAAGTGACACCGAGGCTGGGCTGGGCATGCAGCTGACTGGCCAGTCTTTGATGAAGCAGGTTTGAGTAGGCTGGTGCAAGCGATTGGTCTGGCTAGTGAGGAGCTTCTGGAGGTAGTCAACTATAACATCGAGGGTGAGCAATACGTGTGTTCAGGGACGGTGAGTATTCAAGTACCTTTGCATTGTGAGTGCTAATGTGTTAGGTTACAAATCTCTGGGTGCTTGGGCGGCTGCTAGACTACATCGGAGAGTCTGATGGACCGGAGCTTCAATATGACAGTGTCATCCTTCAGCTATTCTCTGATGCAAAAGCACTATCGCCACCAATCCAGCTTCGGCGAGGGCGAGCCACAATTCCACTGGAAGGCATTGACGTGCCCTTTCACTCGAGCCACCTGCGATCCACGGTGGACCGGTTCCGACAGTGCTTGCTCCGGCAGGGGTTCCTGGAGGGAAACGTGGACCTGGAGGCACTGCGACGGTACATACCCAATGTGATGGCGCGACCATTTTCGGTGGATGAGGAATATATTCGGGAGGCATACGAGCGGACGCACAGTCCCGTCTTAAGGGAGATCTTAGGAAAGAGTGTGTAAAAAGATACCCTAGAATTTCAATCAATGTAGTGGCTAGCTAGTTCCACAAACACCAACGATACTGTCTTTCCACTTCTGCCACCATGGCCTCTACATCAAAATGCCACACCCGATAACTCCTCTTTTTTATATCTGCAAACGCACGATCCATATCCGCCCCAACATCCTCACTCATCCACTCATACGTCCATCCCACCTCGCGACTACTCCTCACCAACCACTGCGACCGCTCATACCTAACCCTCGAATACGCCCTCACCGCTGCCTCCAACGCCCCATTCACCTCCGTCCCGCGATCCACATCCTCCCTTGCCCTCTTAATAGCCGTAACCAGCGCCAATGCATCCTCCACCCCCATCCCCGCCCCGGCCCCATGATGCGGCGACGACGCATGCGCCGCATCCCCTACCAAAGCTACCCTCCCTCCCGCATACCGCGGCACCGGAATATCAAGAGTATCAAACACAGCCCACTTATCCAGCTCCTCAGGCAGCAGATCAATCACGGCGCGCACAAACGTGCCCCATTCCTTGAATGCCCCCACGACTTCACTCTTCCTCGCTGGCGCGGTCATCCCGGCGTGCGACCAGTCATTCCGGTCTTGCACGAACGCAACGACATTCATGAGCTGCTGCTTCGCGACGGGGAAGTGAAGCACGTGTGCGCGCGGTCCGCAGTGCATGTGTTGGCGGAGAGCGCGGTGGCGGCCTAGTTTTTTGATTGCCGTGGCCATGGGGACCAGGCCCCGGAAGGCGAATTGGTGGGTGTATTGTGGTTTGCTCTGGGGGTAGAGGTGGGTGCGAATGAGGGATTTGATGCCGTCGCAAGCGAGGACTGATCGCTTATTAGCATCTTGTCTTAAAGATACTTACAAATATGGATGAAGATACACTTACCAAGATCACACTCCACCCTACCCCCATCACTAAACCCCAATTGAATCCTCCCGGAAGGAAGATACTCATACCCCTCCACCCGCTTGCTATACTCTACTACTCCATCAGGCATGAGTCTCATCACTTCATCCAGGAACTGGCCCCGATGGCAACCTTCAAATCCCCTTGGGCCGGCATACAACTTGTAGACTTTTCCGGAGACATGCACACCCTTACCACCAACGTCATCTTTATCTTCATCTCTTCTATCAGATTCATCATTAACTCTATCACTACCCACCCCCCTAACATCCACACTACCTCCCCCCTCTGAACCCCCCTTCGACATCGTCCCCGAACAATCACCCTCCGTATACGTCCTAAACCCATCCACAAATCGCATACAATAATCTGGATCCTCTGGTTCCCCGTTAAGTGTCGCTACGCGGGCCACACACTCCGCGATGCGGGCGTCCATGAGCGCCATGCATTTCCGCGCGCAGGTCGTGAAGCCGATTCCGGCGCCGAGTTCGTGCGCAGTGGGGGATTGTTCGTAGATTTTTATGCTGAGGGTCGTGCTTTTTCCGCCTTCGTTGGTAGATTGAGGGTCTTTGGTCGTGTTGGGGATGGGGATGTTGAGGAGGCCTAGGGCCAGGACGGTCCCGATTAGGCCGGAGCCGATTATGGCGATTTCTATGTTAATGGGGCTGGTATTGGTGGACATGGTGGTTTGATTGTGGTGGTGTCTATTGTTGGTTTGGTTGTATGGGGTTAGTTATTGTCTACTAACTAGCTAGCTAGATAATTCCTGTGCATTGTTGATAGTATCTAACAGTAGATAGGAGCAAGTGATGCTCGGCTGGGTTAAGCATCCCGCTCATCCTGGTCCTAGATAAAACCAGTGTAATAACAAGATAACTTGGTGGTGACAAAATATGTAAGTACCCCAGGAACTACCCACACCATGAAACTGCTGAACTGGACCAGGACCAGCATCTTAGCCTTTTTGTACTACGTGACACAGTCCGCAGTCCCGTCTTCCGTGCATTGCACAAGAACTAGAACACAATCCAGGATCTCTTTCCCGGAGAAAGGAATATCTTGCTGGTAGGGATAATTTTTAGTGTATCGTAGTCGGGTTTCGAATGCCTCCATCCCCTTGGTTTAGGAGTGCTGTGTATTTTCTTCTGCTGGTTATGGTTGTGGTACACATCTGCAGTGAAGTTCTGAACCGAAGCGCGAAGATTCTCCGCGAGTCGGTAGGGCGGGAAATATATTCCGGATCAACGTAGTCTACGAACATCACTAGGAAGTGGTGTTATGCATTGATGAGTGATTTGATTTCCACATGAAACCTGTTTCACCATGATCCATGTCTGTCACACCTGTTCCTTTCCTTGTCAGTGTTGCACAAATGCACTCCTGAAGAGTATCATTGTGTTATTGTGTTGTGTGTTGTGCTTTGTTGGTCCGGGACGGGCGGCGGATCGATAAACCAAGGGTGGACGGGCGGAAAGACGGGAAGATGAAACGGCGTTTAGATTCCTGCAAAATGCTTAGTTGAGATCTGGGTAGGTATTGTTTGGGGGTTTAATTCTCCGGAAGTCGCCGCTGGAAGGGAGGTAGTTACACTGTGTGTTTTGGATGTGGTAGATGGTTATACGTGTGTTGGGGGAATGAAGGCGGGAGTTTGGTTGACGGGTCGGGGATTTCTAACTATTGTTAGAGTAGGACTGATGGAATAGGACAGGTCATACAGATGCGCAGTGCAGGGCAGAGCTTGGAGTAGGGGGTGAACCGTGCTTCTGCTGCTGGAATTCCGATTTACGGAGTTTAGGGGAGCATGGAAGTGGGAATGGTGGGGGTTGAGGTGCATGTTGCATGTTGCAGGTGGAGTGTGAGGTGTCATATTTGGTATGGACAGTTTAATTGTACTTCACAGAGGATGGGAGATGGTAGTTGAGAAGAGGCAGCGATGGATGTTGGACGAAGGAGGCAGCGGCGATGGATGTGGGAGTGAGATATTTCACACTATTGAAGGGTTATCTTCAATAGAGTTGTTATCTACGACTAACTTCAACTACTACATTCAATAACCAGTCATATCTATATCGTTATCATCGATTATCTTGAAAGGATACTGTCTGTCTACCCAACATACTCCACCCACTCCCTCCACCGCTCATCCTCCCTCAACCCCTCCATCTCCCATCCATCCAAACACAGCAATACCTCAATCCCCGTCTCTTGACGAGTGTCCTCATCTCCAACACTACCATACCAATCCCCAGCTGGTCCTATATAGCAACCGCCCGGCAACACTCCACCTCCCGGGCGACGGACACCCTCGCACCGTCCCAGTGCACCCCCCAACCCCAAGCGATCATAGTCCACGTGAGCTATACTGGAACAACTCAAGTCCGTAGCCGGCTGAAACGCACCGCCGCTGTAGGCAATCTTGCTCTTATCTGGCTGCCGAGCCAGAAACGTAGCGTAGTCGCGCACCGCATCCAGCGTACGTAGCTCGGCAACTTGATCCCGAAGCTTCGTAGCCAGCGTAGCCAGCGGCAGGGAGGTGATCTCGCCCAGCGGCAGACGGAGGGTGGCGGTGCGGATCATGTGTCCCATGTAGGCTGGGGTGAGGTGCAAAGTACGGCGAAGGTCCATGGCGCGGGAGATTTTGGAGACAGAAGTAGCAGAGAGGGGGGTAGGGGAGTGGTGGAGACGAGTGAGTGTTAGTCGTTGCCAGATGAATGCCGTGAGGGCATCGTTCGGAGTGATCTTCCCAGGGGTGTGTGACGGGGAGGCCGAGGCCTTGGCGTAGATCGCCTCGACGGCCCGTCTGGACAAGTGAAAATAAGCCCATTGGAAGGTGGGGAACAACGCTGTCAGGTTAGGGGGGATCTTCGGGATGAACGAAGGGAGGTACTCGCAGTAGTCGTAGCGGAGGGGCTGGCTGTCATCCAGCAGAGGAATCAGATTCCGGCGGTCCAGATTGCCCTCGGTGACCTCGGCCTTTGGAATCGGCTCGCCCCGCGTGAGACGGGCCAGTAGCGAGGCGATTTGGAAGATGCCACTGGCGTCGATGATGTTATGCTGCGCGGCTACGGTGAGCAGGAATCCTCCATTCAGGACGTTGGCTTGAATCTCTAGCACGGGGGCGGGTTCAGTGTCAGGGTAGGGGTTGGGGAAGACCGGGTGGGGAGGGGAGAAGTGGGTGCTGGGCATTTGATTGAAGGGGAAGTGCGCCGTTCGCAGTGAGTTATAGCTGGGGATTTGGGGATCGCAGCGATGGTCGACATAGCGGATGATGGGGGATTTGCGAACTGGATAAGGAACAACTTGGTAGGCACCGGATGAGGTGGGGGAGGCACCCGTGTTGATGACCTGGCCAGCCAGAATGGGGAACAGGGTTAGCAACCGCTGCACGGCGGGTTCCAGGTCAATGGTGGGAGTGGTGGTATGGGAGGCGAGCTGGAAACAGAGGATGGCGTGAGTGTAAGACTGAAGGAGGGGCAATTGGCCCAGAATGTCTTGAGTGTGAGCCATTTGTCAGTCGAGATGAGGGTGACTGCTAGATTGATTGCTCTTGATGACGGTGTTGATGGGGTTGATGTAAAAACCCGGCTGTCAGTGGTGGATCGCCATCGCGACCACGCTTGTATAAATAATGCATAAAACACCAGGAATAAGAGAACTCACTGGTCACTGGCAAGTTTCACGAACCGTCAACCAGTTTCACAGTCAGATGGCCGGTGCCAGGCAGTTTGGTTCTGAATTCCATCCAGCATGGCAGCTGTAGGGACGGTCAACCCACATGCACAACAGAGCGATCCATTGCACAGTGCGCATTGTCCCTTTCTTCTCTGTACTCTTACCCCTTCTGGTATCATTATTCCTCGTCTAATTGCCCTCAGTGACATGGTGGCATTTTCCGCTGAAGGATCCACCATTTTGGCGCCAGTATCGGCCCGTCCGAATTATCAAAAAGCAAGCATCAATAGTGGCTCCATTTTGCAGGCGATCCTCAGCTGGTGATCCACGGACTGATCGATCTCGGCCCGATTTGGCTGTTTTCCTTCCTCAATTACCCATTTGCAGTAATCCTGGCTCCGTCTGGAATTAGTTGCCAGCCAGTTGGGACCAAATTGCAGGAGTGGTTCAATTGCAATGCAGCCAGCAGTGGATGGGATCCACGGGGGGAAGAGAAAAGGAGACGCCACCAGCCCTGAATTGGTCACTAAACCCACAAACTTTGCAGGTTCTCTCAGCTTCCACCATCCACAACGCTAAAATCCACAGAAATTTAGCAGAAATTTAATATAATGCTCATTAATGCCAGACGACTCATCCGCTCGGATCTCGATTCTGTACATACGCCAATCAGGAGGGTGCCTTCCGACCGGCTGGCCCGAGCGGATCCGACTTTCTCTGATCTATCGGTGCGGATCCTGCCACTAGCGATGAACCAAAGCTCATCCCGACAGAACTTTCGCCTCCACTTATTGACAAAATCACCACGTATCCTGTCCTTATTTTCCGTGTGTCGCACAACTCGCTATTTTCTATTTTCTTCACGTCGGACGGTCCCTCACAACTTCCTGATGAACTGCAGCTGCCAGTCTGACACACGAATCACTGTGTGGTTTTCTACTGCCTCCGGTGTGGTGGACAGCAGGTTGGCTAGTATTCTCCTGCTTTCTTCCTGCATCTTCTCTACTACTCGGTCCTTCCCTGCAATCAGCATCTCTCCTGCACAACCGGTGGGTCTGGCCCTGAACAATGGGCCCGGTACTTCTGCAGCTCGTGTGCAGTGGTCCCTGTGGCTGGCTGATTACCCATCCAGAAGCCTCGTAGTCGGAGATCACCTTGGAGAGGTCTGTTCCCACCGATATCATGATGTCGGTGGCTCCATTTTTTTTTATCGTGGATCCCCCGGGAAATAGGATGATTCTTCACTTCCCAAACTAGCAAGACAATTACTCGTAGAGACAATAGTTTGGGGAACAGCAAGATCTGCTGCCAACTTCTGTCGTCCACTTCCTGTCACCCGGCGAGAAGCTGCTGTGCCTTGCTCACCCGGTAGGAACCCGTCCAACTGACAACCAGACCGGATGTCAGGGTCTGTCTGCCTGCTTTCTTGGTTGGCTTATTGTTGGATGCGAGTTGCTTGCTGCACTGCAGGTCGCTGCAGCTGCAGGCCTGGCACTTAGTATCACACGATCGTACAGTAGATCCCCTCCATGGCGGGCCTCTGACCGTGCCTATGAGCTTAATAGACAAAAGCAAAGCAAGCCACGGTGGTTCCATTGCTGCATGTCCTGTCCACTGGGTCTTCTGCCGCTTGCTAATCGCTCGTCTCCATTTCCCTCCCCTCTCAGCACGCTATCGCGGGTCGATCCTCCTCGTTGGATCTTATCACGGCGGCGCCTGTTCATCACATAAGCTGCTGCTGCTGCTGTTGCTCCTGGGTTGCTGCTCTGAGTTTTTACTGGTTTGTTGCCGCTGCAACCTCGTTTTCCTACAGGCTATAAGTGCTCGGCAACACTTCCACCCCAGCCCCCATCTCTCTGCGAGCTGAGAGTTTCCTGTCTGTTTGTCTCCTTCACCTTCAACCATCACCGCTAGGATGGTCTCGACTCCTACTATCTCCCGCCAGCGACCGGGATCCGCTTGTGAAGAATGTCGCCGTCGCAAGGTTCGCTGTGACCGACGACGACCCCAATGTCAGGTCTGCTTCGAGACAGGCATCGAGTGCAAAATCAATACTACGAGGTTACCCCGGGGTCCCCGCAAGGGACAACTACGGACTCTCCGCACACGAATTGGTACGTAGTTGCTTAGAACTTAACAATTCTGAGGAGACTAATTGTCTCAGCCGCTCTGGAACGATGTCTGGCCGACCAGCACCCCGAAATCAACCACCAGATGGCCAGTCTCTTTGACGGCACGGTCATTGACTGTGACAGTGAAGAAGATCCGCTGCGAGACCTGCCACCGCTGCCCGATCCGCTCTCAGGCACGATGCCCGATCAGTCTAGCGACGACCGTCGGACTGGGACGCGATCTCCGCGATCGCCCGAATCTCCGAACCGGCCTTCCAGCCTCGTGTCTGACTTGATGCGAGCCGATCTGTACGCTTCTCTTTAATGATTTGCAAGCTGCCACTAACTGGTGCAGGGACCAACTTTACTTTGACCGGGTGCACCCCTTTGCCCCCATTCTGCAACGCTGGCGCTACCATACGTGGGCGAAGCAGCCCAAGAAGACGGAAGCACAAACCTGCCTTCAGTATGCCATGTGGACGCTGGCGGCCAGTATGTCGGCTCAGTTTCAGTCTCTCCGCGACCGGTTGTATGCAGAGACGCGGCGGATGCTCGACTCCCTGGATCTCCAAGGCCCTCCTACGGATACGGCGCCAGGGATCGAGCCAGCGCAGGCGTGGATCCTCGTCTGCATCTACGAGTACATGCAGCAATCGCCGCTGCAGGCATGGATGAGTACAGGACGATGCTGCCGGTTAGTCCTGGGAATGCGACTGTACGAGCTGGACGACCCGAATAGTCCGGTGACGATGGCACGCGAGCACGAGACGGTGTTGGTGGACTGGATTGGACTGGAGGAGCAGCGCCGGACGTTCTGGATGGCCTACAGTCTTGATCGTTTTATCAGTTTTCACAACGGGTTGCCGTTCACCTTGGATGAGCAGCTGGTGAGTCTGTCCCTTCTATCATTGATTCAAGCAGAGCTAATAATAGTAGATCACCACACGCCTCCCTTGCCCGGAAGAAGACTTTCAAGCTGGGCAGCCCACCCTGACGGCCTACCTGTCCGATGTCATGGCCCCTTCACCCCCTACCTCCCCCATTCCCTCTGCAACTAACACGATACCCTCGCCTTCTCTCTTCGCCCGTCCTCATGCCTCTCACTCTCAAATTCTTCTCCCTCACCCTCCTCCACCCACTCCAACTACCACTCCAACCCTCGGCCTCCCAGATCCCCTCTCCTCCTTTACCGAACTCATCCTCATCGCCACCATCGTCGGCCGCGCTCTCACCCACCGCCAAACGTTGGCCGTCGAGCAGATTCACCCGCCCAACTTTACTCATATCCCCTCTGATAACTTCTGGACGCGTCATAACTATCTACACGAACTACTTACCTACCGCATTGCCACCCTATCCAGCTACCCGCATGTTGATCCCATGCTGATGTTCGCCCGCATCGTGGCCCAAAGCATGGTCCTATTCCTGCAGAGCGTACTCGAGAGCATTACCTGGAAATCCGGGGATCACTTGCTGGGGATTATCGAGTTTGAGCGGGTGTGTGTTCTGGCTGCACATGAAGTGGTGGGGTTGGTGAAGATGCAGGGTCAGCTGGGGTATTTCAAGGTAATTCCTCTTGCCTCCTCTAGTTGTGAATTAAAAGACTAATGGTCTTAGGTGCATCCCCTAACGCCGATCCCTCTCATGATGTGCACCGAGTTCTTTTCGTCGCACGGCTACCTCGATCCATCGTTTGAAGTGATGATGCATGGACTGGTCGAGAGCTTGCATGATCTGGATAGGGTGAAGAATCCAGTGCAGAGTCCGCCGTTGTCGGTTCAATAACAATCGTTCATTTCTTTTTTTGATCTGTTTCACTTTGGTTTTGTCGTTCTTTTGATCATGGGGTTATGGTATGGTATGGTAGCGTTTGGTGTAGTCCACTGGTCGGACTAGGATAAGCGGGGAGTATTTTGGTTTTCATTCCTTGGATATCTGTTTGTGGATACTGGGTTTTTCAAAGCAGTTGCGATATGTCGTCTGCGAGACTTGGCAGAAAGGTTAATACTATACCATTTGCTGATGGTATATGAACTCAATTTGGGGTATCATCCGTGCTGGTTCATGGCGGGGAAGCAGAAGAGGAGAAGGAAGAAGATTTTTTCTCAACTAACAAGGAGAAGTCAAATAGAAAGATAATATAATTCAACAACTATCCCTTTATTGAAACCAGTTTCACCTAACCCCTATTCCACACCGTGTCCTAAAACCCCGTAGTCATAATCATCATCGCCAACAATGAAATGATGGAAACTCCGTCCCTCAATAACTCCGTGCCTTACACCCAATCCAATCCACTACCCAGACTATATCCCCCCGACCGCTCATTAAACAAAAGCCCCGTCGCGTTGCTCGTACAACCGGCCGGATCATCCTAGTATCCTATCCCCTTGATACCAACCGTACTCTTCTATCCGTTTCCCCAATGTTATTAGTTAATATTCTATGGTACGGTTCTGCTTACCCGAAGAGATATCCCGCGCAACTAACTCCGGCCGGCGTTGGCCAAGACAATCATAGAAAAAAGCAACGCTTCTGTCATATCCAACGATATACGAGAGATGTCTTAAACTGCCCATTCCAGGACAGGTAATTGGTTGTTGTGTATCAAACTAGCAAATGCTAACTTAGCTTGATTACGAGTACGAATGCTTAGGTGGCATCTCTATTTCCCAAACAAACACAAACACCCAACCGAATTAACGGGTTAACGGATAACGGATCGACTCGTGAAGTAAAGCAAACTGTTGACCGAAGAATCCTCAAAACGAGGCTATCAATCAGTGATCACCATGCCCGCCAATACTCCAGCCCAACAACCCCAACATACCCTCCTCACCCACATCCAAAACCCCACCACAAACAATATCCTTCTCTTCGGATGCCAATCCCCAACCTTCACTCCCTCCCAATTTCATCTCCTCCGACGAACCATCCACTCCCATCCGGAGAATCACTGGGTGCTTGATGCTTTCGCCTCTTTACCGTCTTATATCCGCTATGCGGAATCATACCTCCCCTTCCTCCGGGACAGACTTCCTCATGCGGAGGAGCAACTTCGCGAGCTGAGGCGATGGGTGCTGAGTACCGATGTGCCGGTGAAGGAGGAGTGGTTCCCGTTGCCGTATGTGTTGCATGCGCCGTTGTTGATGGTCGGGCATTTGGTGCAGTTTGGGGAGTATATACGCCTTCGGCGGAAGGAAGGACATGGGGAAGGGGTAGGGGATGAAGGGGAGAAGGTTGGGGTGGAAATTGTGGGCTTTTGTATTGGGTTTCTGAGCGCTGCTGTGGCGGCCGCCGCGGGAGGGCTGGATGGGCTGAAGGTTTGGGGCGCTGTTGGGATAAGGTTGGCGATGTTGCTCGGGGCGATGGGGGATGCGATGGAGTGGGAGAGGAGGTTTACGTCTGTGACGGTGACGGGGAGTGAGATGGAGGTGAAGGGGGTGTTGGAGGAGTTTCCTGAGGTATGTTTTCACTGATTTATGGTGATATGCCTGGGATACGCTAATAGTGTTGACAGACATACATCACCGTGCACTATGACTCGAACCGCAGCACCATCATGACCCCCCGAAGCAGCCTCTCCCCCCTACTCCAAGCCCTCCACTCCGCCGGGTTCTCAGCATCCCACATCGACTTCAACGGCCGCTACCACTGGACCGGACACAGTGATACCCTCGACGCCCTCTACGCTCTCTGCGACGCCCATACCACCCTTCAGCTCCCGGACGCATCGCATCTCCGCTATCAGACATGGACAAACATAACCGGCAAGCCTATACACTCAGGACCCCTCCACCGCCTCGTCCTTCAATCCGTCCTCTCCCGGCCTTGCATGTGGTATCAGACATTCTCATCCATATACTCCTCCCATCTACAATACACCAATGCGATCGTAATTGAATTTGGCCACGAACGATGCATTCCCCCGTCCTTCCTACGCAGTTTACGCGACCGTATCATCCACTTCGACGACCTACAGCTAGATTTCTTCCCACGCATCGTTTCACCACTCCAGCCGCCTCGCATCTACGATGAAGACATCGCAATGATCGGAATGGCAGTTCGCGTCGCCGGCGCAGACGACCTAGACGAGTTCTGGCAGCTGCTCTGCGCCGGTAAATCCCAGCACAGGGAACTCCCTCCGGAACGATACAAGGACTACGAGACGCCGTGGCGGCCAGATGCTACTACTCGGCCCTGGATGGGAAACTTCATCGCCGACATCGACGCCTTCGATCACAAGTTCTTCAAAAAGGTACCCCGCGAGGTCATGGCGCAGGATCCGCAGCAAAGGTTACTCCTGCAGGTGGCGTATCAGGCGCTGGAACAAGCTGGGTACTTTTCCCATAATAGCAAAACCACCTCCACGAAAGATATAGGCTGCTACGTCTCCTGCTGTACAGTTGACTACGAACATAACGTGAACTGCCACCCAGCCAGCGCCTATGCCGCCACAGGTCTCCTGCGCAGCTTCATCGCCGGCAAATTGAGTCACTACTTCGGCTGGCGCGGACCAGCACTCTGCATCGATACAGCGTGCTCCGGATCGACAGTCGCATTGCACCACGCGTGTCGGGCCATCCTGAACGGTGATTGCAAGGCCGCGTTGGTCGGCGGCGTCAATTGCATCACTAGTCCGCTAGGATTCGATAACCTCAACGGCGCGTCGTTCCTCAGTCCTACGGGCCCCTGCAAACCCTTCGACGCCAAGGCGGACGGGTATTGCCGCGGCGAAGGGGTCGCGGCAATCTTCATTAAGAGGATGAGAGATGCGCTTAGAGATGGGGATCATATTTTGGGGACTATTGCCGGCACTGCAGTCGAGCAGAATGATAATTGTACGCCTGTCGTGGTGCCCCATGCAGGGTCGTTGGCGGGCTTGTTCAGGAAGGTTATGAGACGTGCGAGAATTCATCCAGGGCATGTGTCAGTCGTGGAGGCGCATGGCACGGGTACGCAGGCGGGAGATCCGGCGGAATATGCCAGTGTAAGCGAGGTTATGGGGGGTGTACAAGGGAGGGGGAAGCTTTCGTTAGGGTCGGTGAAGGGGTTAGTTGGACATACGGAGGGGGTATCGGGGATGGTGGCGCTGGTTAAGGTGCTGCTGATGATTCATGAGAGGAGGATTCCGCCGCAGCCCGGGTTTGAGACGTTGAATCCAAACATTAAGGCCGATGAGAAGATTGTAATTCCGACGGAATCGAAGAGTTGGGAGGCGGAGTATCGCGTCGCGTTAATTAATAATTATGGGGCTTGTGGGTCGAATGCCTCTGTTGTGGTTACGCAGGGTCCTATGGAGAGAGGACAGGATGGCGCTGTTCATGGACGGGGTCTCTCACTGCCGTTTAGGCTGTGTGGGCTGGATGAGAATAGGATCCGTGATTATGCCCGACGACTCCGACAGTTTCTGCAGGAAAAAGCGCTTTCTTCACGGCATGCTTCCTCACTGGCGAACATCTCCTTCAGCGCCTGTCGCCAGTCGAATCCGACGTTGGACTGCCAGGTTGTCTTCAGCTGCTCTTCGATAGACGACCTGGAGGTACAACTAGCATCTGTAGCCGACGGGAGGGACACACATTTCATGCGACTGAAAAAGCAAGTGTCCCCCATCGTGCTTTGCTTCGGAGGCCAAGTATCTACCTTTGTGGGATTAGACCGCACCGTTTACGAAACCATTCGCGTGTTTCGCGACCATCTCGACAATTGTGACCGTCTCCTCAGGAGGTCTGACTATCCTAGTCTCTATCCCGGTATCTTCGAGCGCATCCCAGTTACAAACCATGTCAAGCTGCAAACTCAGCTCTTCTCGCTACAGTACGCATGCGCGCGCTCTTGGATGGACTGCGGCGTGCCTGTTTCCGCTGTTGTCGGCCACAGCTTCGGCGAGCTAACAGCCATGTGCGTGTCTGGAGTACTGTCTCTCGAAGATGCATTGACATTGATCGTCCGCCGTGCTCGTCTGATCCGAGACAAATGGGGCACAGATCCCGGCGGGATGATCGCGGTTGAAGGCGAACGGGTGGAGATCGACGGACTTCTAACAGAGTCTGCGAAGACCACACCCACCGACGTAGACCCAGCAGCGATAGCTTGCTTCAATGGCCCTCGTAGCTTCACTTTAGCTGGCCCGATAGTGGCCATAAATGTAGTCCAGCAGACTCTCACGACGCACCATACATTCAATCGCCTGAGATGGAAGCGACTAGATGTCACCAATGCCTTCCATAGCACCTTGGTAGAGCCGCTGATGTCTGATCTGCACAACATAACGCAGGACTTGACGCTCAGCGAGCCGAACATCCACCTAGAACCGGCGGCAGAGCATCCAGTATCCCGTCTGCCACCTAAAAGTATAGTAGCTGACCATCTACGCCAGTCTGTGTATTTCAGCCATGCTGTTCAGCGTCTGGTCGCAAAATATCCCTCCTGTATCTGGCTAGAAGCGGGCTCCGGATCAACAATAACGCTGATGGTTAGTCGCGCATTAGAGGCTTCCAGCGTGAATCATAAATTCCAAGGTGTCAATATCACAGGGCAGAACGGTATCCGCGACTTGACGGACGTCACGATGGCGCTTTGGAAAGAGGGCGTGCCCACCATATACTGGGCGCACCACTTCACGCAGACTCCAGATTACGGGATTGTATTACTTCCACCGTATCAGTTCGAGAAGAGTCGTCATTGGATGGATAATAAGCCGTTGCCGATTGTCAGTCATCAGAAAACTCCTACGCCGAGTGATGAGGAACTTGAGTTCCTCGGCTACCAAGACAAGGACGAGCTCATCTCCAGGTTTCGCGTCAACACTGCCCACCCCAAGTACAGAGAAGCACTATCTGGTCATGTTGGCGCGCAGACGGCTCCGCTTGCTCCTGCGTCGCATATGTTGGACAATGTTGTAGAGGCACTGCGGAGCCTGCCAGAAGGAAAAGACAAGATACCGCAGGTGCGGAATGTAACAAGCGATGCACCGCTGGGGCTTGACAGCCGAGATGTCTACATCTTGCTGCATGCGAAAATTGAAGAAAAGACCATCTGGGATGTGAAGTATATTAGCGAAGATAGCCAGAAAGGTCCTCGCTCTCAATTGGAGCATTGCGTCGCCCAGATCAAAATGTTTGACCCTGACGACGCCGAGCTTTCTGCTGAGTTTGCTCGCTACGGTCGCCTGATAAATCATCGACACTGTCAGGAGCTCCTCAACGATCCAAACGTAGATGACGTGCTGCAAGGGCGTAATATTTACCGATACTTTTCCGAAGTCGTCGAATATTCTGAGAAATTTCGCGGAGTGACAAAGCTAGTAGGCAAAGGGAACGAATCAGCCGGGCGGGTTGTCAAGAAATATTCTGCCGAGACTTGGGCCGACACGTTCCTTTGTGACTCCTTCAGCCAAGTTGGTGGGTTTTGGGTGAACTGCATGACGGACCGGTTGCCATCGGATATCTACATCGCCAGTGGGATGGAACAGTGGATGCGCACACCAATATACGCCGACCCAGAAACACCTCGACCGGAAGTATGGGATGTCTTGGCGACACATGAGCGGTCGGATGGGTTTTATACCAGCGATATATTCGTCTTCGATCCAAAGAGTGGCCGGTTAGTCGAAATATTCATCGGTATGAAGTACTCCCGTGTGCCCAAGGCGATGTTCTGCAAAACCCTTTCCAAGTTGTACTCGGGCGAATCCCAGGCCAAATCCATTATACCTGAAATTACTTCGGCATTGGCTGTGGCTGGTAAGGATCAGGCACCATCAGCAGATAGAAAACAAAACCATAAGAATGCGGACCTGCCTGCACGCATCAAGTCGGTGGTGGCTGAATTTTGCGCCGTAGACCCCAGAGAAATCTGCGACGACAATAACATAGCAGATGCAGGCGTGGATTCCTTGATGGCAATGGAATTGGCGCGGGAGTTGGAGGAAGCCTTCAACTGCACCCTGTCGGCAACGGATTTGATGGAGGCAGAGACATTCCGTGAGCTTGTCTGTGCAGTACAGAAAGCGATGGGATCAGACAAAAATAACCAAGAAAGCCTTGACAGCAGCACTACATCCAACAATGGTGGCCAAGATACTGATTCTGTCGATGCGCCTTCCGAATCAAATACCAGGGCCAGCACGGACACTCCAGAACTGCATTTGCCGGAAGACCTTGTTCTGAAGGCGTTTGGTGAGACCAAAGCCTTGACCGATCATTTTCTGTCAGAGAATCACTGCAGTGGGCGCGTCCACAGCTTCAACCCTCTACAAATGCAGCTCTGCGTCACCCTCACACTAGAGGCGTTCGAGGCTCTAGGCTCATATATACGCACCGCACAGCCAGGCGAGCGTCTAGACCGCATTTGGCATGATCCCCAGCATCAAGAATTGGTCGATTACCTGTACCGACGGTTAGAAGAAGCCCGTCTCGTGGACATGGAAGGGACGGTCGCGATCCGTACAGGGGTTGCAGGGACCTACAAGCCCAGTGCCACCATTCTGGAAGAGATTAATCGCACCTATTCTGAATTCGCAGGAGCTAGCAAGCTTGCCTTCTACACAGGCAGCAAGTTGGCTTCTGTCCTGCGTGGTGACCAGGACGGCCTGCAACTCATCTTCGGAACCAAAGAGGGACAAGAACTTGTTTCTTGGATGTATGGTGATGAGTCGCACAATGTCACCGGGTACAAGCAAATGTTGGATTTTATCCAGCGTCTGGCAAGCAAACTTGACGGAAAGTCAGGGGAACCACTGAGGATCCTTGAAATGGGTGCCGGTACTGGTGGTGGTACCAAGTGGCTGCTTCCTGGACTTGCTAAACTTGGGATCGCTGTTGAGTATACATTTAGCGATATTTCACCTGCCTTCCTGGCTCAAGCCCGTCGGCGGTTCAAGGATTACTCATTTGTAAAATACAGAGTGCACGACATCGAAAAGGCACCAGCTGATGATCTTGTCGGGACCCAGCACATCATTATCGCGAGCAATGCTGTGCATGCGACATCGAACCTTCAAGTTTCGACGCGTCATATGCGAGATGCATTACGGCCTGATGGAGTAGTCATGATGCTGGAGATGACTCAGCCTCAGTTTGCTATCGACATAGTGTTTGGACTTTTTCGCGGCTGGTGGGTGTTCAATGACGGGCGCACTCATGCTATTACCAGCGAGCTGCGCTGGGAGACAGATTTGCATGCGGTTGGGTACGGTCATGTCGACTGGACAGATGGTTATTCACCAGAAGTAAGCGTTCAACGCGTCATTTTCGCTACATGCACAGGAAAACAGAGCGCACGTCTGCCTCTGGGCCCAAAACCAGAAAGCATAGATCTTCTTGCGGGAGTTGACTCTGCAGCTCGTAGAAGAACTGCTGATGGATATATTTGGCGTGCTATTGAAGGTTTCACCGCGCCTATACCGGCTGGAAAGAGTAATCCAGGTTCTATAGGCGTGCTTGTCACTGGCTCCACAGGAAGCCTGGGTGGTCATCTCGTTGCACACTTAGCTCGGATGAAGGAAGTTGGACGCGTTTTCTGTATCAACAGAAGGGGTGCGGAGCAACCGATGGAGCGGCAAAGACGAGCTCTGACTGAGCGTGGTATAATTCTAACCGCGGAAGAATTGGACAAAGTCGAAGCTTTCTCATTGGAAGACGGGGAGGCACTCCTAGCTCTTTCAAGTGAACAGTATGACACACTGAAGAGTAATGTCACGCATATTATCCACAACGCTTGGCCCATGAACGGAGCGATGAGCGTAGCGGCCTTCGAGTCCCAGTTTCGGATGATGAGAAGCTTGGTTGATCTAGCTTCCGAAATATCTTCTGTTCGTTCGGCTAACGATCGCATTGGGTTTCAATTTATATCATCAATCGGAACAGTTGGCCACCGACCGTTATTGACCGGCGAGGCAACCGTGATAGAAGAGCACGGCACGATCGACTGGGCACTGACAAACGGCTACGCGGAAGCCAAGTTTGTCTGCGAGCAAATCCTTCATCGGACATTGTGTCAACACCCTGACCGAATCAACGCAATCGTAGTAAGACCCGGACAAATAGCAGGCTCGTCCACGAGTGGATACTGGAATGCTGCGGAGCACTTTCCGGCTCTGTTAAAATCCGCCCAAACACTCAAGATCCTCCCTTCGTTGGACGGAGTGCTGTCCTGGACACCGGTGGATGTCGTAGCGGCCACCTTATCGGACCTCCTCTTTACAGAGAATCCCCATCCAGTTTATCATATCGATAATGCGGCCCGTCAGTCGTGGTCTGAGATGATAATGTTCCTCGCGCCAGAGTTGAACATTCCACCGGACAACATTATTCCATTTCCCGAATGGCTTCAGCGAGTCAAAGCATTCCCCGGAAGCCGTGAAGACAATCCGGCCAGTGTGATGGCGGATTGGTTGAGAGACAACTTTGAGCGCATGTCGTGCGGGGGACTGTTGCTGGATACTTCGCGTGCACGCGAAAGGTCACCTTCCCTACGGGCACTGGGCCCGGTGGGTGAGGAGGTGGTGCGTCGGTATATTCAAAAATGGAGGCAAACTGGTTTTCTGCATTCATAGAGTGTATGAGATTTAGAGGCTTGCGTCTGTCACAAATGAATCCCATATCGCGTTGTTGTTGTGGTGGGCTCCTGTTATACCCTCCGCCTCCGCTCTAGGAAAGGCTTCACATCATGATCGGTAGGCTTCTGGCCTCTTTGAGAACTATTGCCTGAGGCTGGAGAGTTATTTGTCGGGCCGAACAATCTGCCCAAGGCTTCGTGAGTCTTCCGGTTCATCTTAGCACTGATTTTTTAGTTACGCAATATTGCATTGGCCAGAGCGCGCAAGTCTCTCGCTGGAATCACCCCTATACATAAAGAACACGAGAGGTCCATCTGGGGCATGTAACAAAGCAATAACGCGTGTTTATCTCACTACTTCAACTGGAACCATCAGCACTGTTATCTTGGCTCCCTGGGGTTAGTCTACAAATATTGTTGAACGCCCTGGCAGCGAGACTGAAAGATCAACAAACCTGATAGTATCGAGGACCACCTTCGGTGTGTCTTGAGCCCAAATCACATTCCTACATAGTCCCTCCACGAGTATAGGATCATACTGACAGTTCATGAGTCAAAAGCTGTTGGCAACTGTGTCGACTGGCTGATGCATCGCAGGCGGCAGATATCTACATCTTTGGAACTTCTGTTTCGCTTCAAGCCAAAGTACAGGACAACAAATCTTGGTTGGGTGGAGTTAAGTCGGGATTGGTGATGGACGTTATGTTCATTACGGATGACATGGGGTTTCTTCAGTTGGAATGGGTCTCCGTTCCAGACTCATTTCATCTCAGCTCCCAAGTGCCCCCTGGAAGAAGAAAAAAAAAGCAAATATATATGTTTGAAATAAATGAGATAGGACAGAAAAGGCGGGGTGAAAGGGGGATAAGGAAAAGAAAAGTTCCTCCACATTGATTGTCTAAGGCGTGTTAATTCACTGACTGCCAACTTAAATTCCTGCAGCGAACAAGTCTCTTCTCTCCGTCGTCACTCCCCGCGTTCCGCTTTTGCGATCTCTTCCAACGCCGTCCGTATCATCTCCTGCGTACTTTCTCTAGGGAACTCCAGCTGCGCTGCCTTCAATCCGTCTTTCCAAAGGCGCCATTTTTCCATGTTAAAGCGCCGACGCGGAGGTGGGTCATCATCATCCCCATATACCCGTTCGATTTGGCAATTCTCCCACACACGCTGGCCCGCATGGATATACCAGATACATGCAGTGCGCACAGCCTCTTCTATCAGCGGCCCTCTCTCGAATGCCGATCGGCATGAGTAAAGGGCGTACAGAGATACGTCCATGGGATGGACCAGATGATCCGCCTTCGCGGTAATCTGCGCCATAAACGCGTTCCGATTTTCCCACTCCTGAAGTTTGCTTGGAGGATACTCCTGTTGGGGATCCTCATCGACCTGCTGGGCATATTCTAACAGAATTAGGTGATAAGATCGTTTAAGGAGAATAGACGCGTCATACCAGGTTTGAATCGGAAGCCATACATATCAGCCAAGTATAGTTCGAGGTATGGAAGCTCAGTCCATAGTTTCAGGTCGATCGCCGTGGGCGCCAAACCAGTAGCAGGATCGGTGAGGTCAATACGTTGGAGCTCAGCAATGAAGTCGACAAGCTTCTGTCGCTGGGATACTGAAACTATATTCGCAAGTTCCACGACTGTGAACATTGCATTCCATGTGTGGTTGCCATCGATGCTAGCCGGGGATTCGGATTCCGGTCTATCCCGATGTAGAACCTCGCGCGCCCGCAGAAGACGTTGGACTGCCTCAGCGGGAGAGACATCAGTGTTTTGGACCAGTTCATTGATAACCTGGTATTCCGGGAGTGCAAGGAGCTCTTCACCGAAGGATTCCATGATGAGGGGTTGTTCTGGGTCTCAAGAAAAACCAGAAGCGGTTTGGGTGAGTGCTTTAAATGAAGGGCGTGGGGGCTGACTGAAAAGCGGTCAGCACTAATGATAGACTGACCAACACTATTCCCAACACGCCACCTTCGCTCTTGCGTAGGAGAGGCCGAATTCACCTACTGTGTTGGTAACAAAGATTCCCATTTGAGACGGCCCCCACTTTGCTAAGGATCAGATCCCCGCCTCTGACGGATGAATCTCATTGGAAAGGGTCCTGATGTGCGGCGGGAGGTGCCGTTGGCCCGTATGTTACAGCCTCAACGATGATCCAGCCCCCACTCTGTAGTAGATCCAGATGCAACGTTACGCGAAGGTACGCATCTAATTTTAGTCTAGCTGGTAGCAGTCCGATACCTTTTGGCCCCCTCATGGCCCCTATAGGGACCTCAACGTGGGTGACAGAGGGTGCTCAGTGTATGACCACTGAGACAATTGTTTGGGGCCAAAGAGCCTCTGAGGCCTGAACCTCCTTAGCATGTACAGTATATGGCACAATGCAAACGATGAAGCAGGATATAAAGCTGTTCCTTTCCACCATCGTTCTTGTTCTATTTCGCCATCAACTCAGTCACTCACTCAAACAATTCTCTCGTACTCGAATCCCCAGTCACTCCTTTTCAAGCAAAATCCCGAAGTAAACACATTCATTTCAACCCATACGTCATCTTTTTGACGATAACTCAAGATGTTGTTCAGCTTCAAGCCCACTATCCTCCTAGCCCTGGCCCTCACCGCGGTTGCCAGCCCTATCGCCAACCCGACGGCCGACGAGACCAACACGCTGGTCGCCCGCGCCCAGATGAAAGATGTCAACTGTAACGGAAAGAAATTCGCCAAGCAGGACATTTACAACGCAATCCAGCAGGCTAGAAAGGTTCAAACGGCCAAAGACAACCACGAAACAGGCTATGCAAAATACCCGGAGGAGAATTTCAACTTTGAGGGACTCTTTAAAGTCAGCACCACTCTGTATGAGTATCCTTTGGTCGCAGGGGGAGTTTACAGCGGCAGTAAGTGAACTTGTTCATGTTTTTCCTTCCAGTTTATGTCTACTGGGGCCGGATTGAAGAGGTGCATGTAGGCTAATGAGCTTGAAATTGCGACAGAGCTGGGCGTCAATCCAGACAAATACCGCGTTGTCATGAACGAGAAGTACGGTTATGTTGGGTCATTGTATCACATTACGGGTAACTCTTTCAAAAAGTGCGATAATATTGAGACCAGTCCTACCACCACCACCACTACTACTACTAAGACTACTACCACTGCTACTGCTAAGGCGACTACCAAGGCTAGTAGTGGTAAGTCGGGTCACAAGTCTGGTAGCAACTCTCACAAGAAGGGTGGTAAGAACTAGAGTCAGCCTGTATGACTGCCTACGAAGGCAAGATGTTCCGACAGTGGATTGGCCGCGGAAATAGTGTTGGCATTGCGCATGGCGGGAAGGGCGCACCCATCACTTCTGGGGTGGGAATGGTGATGGAGCTTAGCTCGTCTTGAGTCCTGTATTTTAGTTATGTATGATCGAACAGCTGTCTGACACTACTCCTGGAATATTCGTCTAGTATATACTTCCATAGACCCAGTTGTAGTGCTATAATAGCGGATAATACGCGAAAAACCTTTCCGAACTGGAGTGGGTCTCTGATATATCTTTCGTATCAATAATAGTGAACGGATTTCGTGGTTGCTATGTTTCCTTGCATCGGAGGATCCAGACTTTGATATATAACAAATCTAAGCAACTCCATTTATCGGGGCAAACTGGAGAAATTCAATATCACTATGTAGTAGTATTCAGTCAGCAATATCCATTGTTCTTCCATGACCGCGATAGATCGTAAGCAGGAAAGGGGTTAGTAGCCTTATTTCTTTTTTTCTTGTGTACACTTTTTTGTATACAGATCATCTGGGTATTGCGCAAAAGAATGCTATTCGAGCAATTGTCAGGCGGTGTTACCAGTAGACGCTGCACTAACGCCCCTAGTCTCTTAGATATCAGCATATCCTGTCAATGCTTTCTATCTTCCAGGGCTTAGCGCAAAGTATTGAATGATTGACCAGTATCACACTTTACAACACATGGTCTACCACCGCGAAAGCTCTATTTTTCAGCACAAAAATTAACGAGTCATTCATTCTGTCTATGTTCGACAAGCTTGTCAATTCCGGCACGTCTACATACAACAATAAGCCAGAGGTAATTGAGCAGATCGACGGAGCCTTCGAAGAATGACACGCACCTTATACGTACCCCTATTCGTGAAAAATGGTATTGGTCAAAGTACTTGATAGCACATGTTCTCTTTGTTTTATCTTCTCTGGTAACTTGGATAGATGAATGCTGGTCACTGCCACTTCAACTCTCCTCCCTCGCATCCTAGAAGAACGGAATATCAGTCGCTTTCTGACAAGGTCTACACAGGAGGCGTGCATTTGCATCTGCTTCTATCGTATTCTCCTTTGACTGGCTCTGGTTTACCAAGGGTGGATGGCTGTTCTCTACGCAGCTCATTGTGGTTTTAATGCGAGCACATCCCGCAGTTCTACATCCCGCTCACTATCACTGCAGCCCATGCTACAATCCAAACCCTCCTATTCATATACTGTATCTACAAGTACATTCTCCAACCGCTTCTAGCGTACACGTACTATCAGAAGCGTTCATCAATCACGCAGCCAACCTGACCTTACAAGGATATCCCTGAGCCGGATGCGCCGCGCCCTTGGCCACCATATACGCCCTCTCCCCAAACATAGTCCGCACCGCACCAGACGCCGGATTCATGCGATCCCACTCCTCATACTGACTATCAAAGTCAAACTCCCGCACCACCATAGCGAGTGAGATTTTAATAGCCAGGAGAGCCATGTTCTGCCCCACACAATCTCGCGCGCCGCGCTCAAAGGGCCGCCATCCACCAGTAGGCGGATAGAGCTCATGCCCTGGCTCAACGAGCCAGCGATCGGGGACGAACTTGTGCGCATGGGGCCAGTACCCTGGGTTCCGTTGGATAGCGGTATGCACGATCCAGACGGCGCAGTCATCCACAGGGAAGGTCCGTCCGTCGGAGCTGTGAGTGTCGGTAAGGGAAACACCCGGACGACCGAATCGGAGACCATTAGCTGGGGGGAAGAGACGGAGTGCTTCTTTGATGACGGCGGTGGTGTAGGGCAATTGGTTAGTCTTCTCTGGGTGTTCTTTTATTTGTGTTGCGACGGAAGTGGTCTTAGGGCCGAAAATCTGTTCGTGTTCTGCGCGGATTTTGACGAGGGTGTCCGGATATTTTGACAGGAGGTAGAGGCAGTAGATGATAGTCACGGCGGTCGAGTCGTGTCCGACGAAGAGGAATAGACGGATTTGGATAATGGCCCAGGCCTTGAATTCAGGGTCTAGGGTCGCGGTGTGAGTTTGGCTTGCGGGTCGGTTCTTCATGTATTCAGCAATCACGATGTCCATGATCGATTTACCCCGGGGTTTGGTGGATTGGTTTTGTTGTAAGTATTCCTGGTAACGCTTTTCGAGCTCCAGGCCGATGTGGTGGTCCATGATCTGGCTGTTCCGCCACTGACGGTACAGCCGGTGGATGTTCCAGCGTCGCAGGGGGTTGTTCTCTCCTTCCCGACCGCATTCAAGCTCAATGGTGCTGCGCATTGCGGCGGCGATGGGGTGGTGGCCGGTTTGGTAGTTGAAGCGAGTGTTCCTGTCAGTCTGTCAGTGGCGCTCACCACTCATGTCAGAAGAGGAAGATATTACAATGCGACGTTGCCGACCACATCCATCATATAGTTACACGCAAGATCGTCCATCGAGAATGTATCGCTCTTCTTGGCATGCTCTCGAAGTATCTCAACATAGACCTCTGCTTCCTCTAGAATGTAATCCACGTGCCCCAGCACAGCCGCCATGCTAAAAGCGTGGTTGAACAGGTCACGATCACGCTTCCACACTGCCCCATTGGTCGTGAAGAAATTATCTCCACCCGCCATTGGGTTGATAAATGGAGCCAGTAGCTCGGTTGGCTTGGCCAAATTGTATGTCTGACAGGCCTGCACAGCAAGCGGGGGAGTAGTGCAGACGAACATTGGACACATGAATGGCCAGACATCGATATAGAAGCCGTTTTGCAGGCCGGGATACTCCATGGAGAGAACAGCGAAAGTCTGGGACTGCAGTGCATCACTAGGACACTTTTTAGCGAGACCGGGCATGATTCGCAAATGTCCAAAAATAGGATCCCAGGGAGGCATTGGCTACAGATAGTTAGTCAAAAACCTGCTGAATTAGAGGAGGATTCACATACCATTCCTTGTTTCTTGAGACGATATATGTACAGTCGCACCTTCACCATCTTATAGAAGAACAAGATGAGGCAGGCCGCCGCCAAAGCGATGGCGATGCGGCCGGTGAGGCCTTCGCGTTCGAAGGTAGGACCTTGCATTGGGGAGGAAAACTTGGGCTGCGGGGAGGAGGTGAGAAACAAAGGGGATGATGGGGAAAAGAAAAAGGCAATGGGATTAAGGGATGATTATGATGGGCATTGGAAAAGCCGCTTATATCACTGGCGAACATTTAGTTGGGGTAACTAAGGAGGCCTAGGAGTGTAACTAGCAGGGAATAGATGTCAACGAAGGCCGCTTAGTGGCCGTTTCTAGGGTTAATATCCAGACCAGTGCAGGGAGGAAGCACCGCCCGTATTGTAAGATATCGGTATCAGCCTTGCGCCTACCTCGTGGCCATTATAACATGGAGCATTAACGTCTGGCTAAGCAATACGATGGATCTAAGCGCGGGAAGGATTGGCCTTGCGCCCTAGATTGATCTATCCGAATTAACAGGAAACGGGTGATAGACAAAGATGTCAGTACGAGCCATTGGCTATGAGCCATGAATTTGAGAATTGCTCATTTCCACCACAGCTGAGGCATGGTTCAGGGCAGGAAAAGGGGTATCTGTTTCCTGACGCTAGGAACATTTCCTCTGCGGACAGGGATAAGACTTCGCTAAAATGAGCGCCGTCTGTCAAACGCAGCCGTGACTGTTAGTGCATGCGGGTATTTCACCGACTGTGACGGCCCGCGAAGCCAACCAGCGCCAATCAACAGGTTGGCCCACATTAAATCCAACAGCCATCTCCAAGGCTCGTTGTACAAGCAAACTTGGTTTTTAGGGGCAAAAAGGCTCTTTGCATACATGTCTACGACGTGAAAGATTTAAGCTGTCTGTCTCAGCGACCGTCACTGCACTGGCTGGGTAAACCACACAATTAAAGACTAAGATATTGACTCTACCTATCTAGATAGTATACAGCTGTATACTTAACTAAACAGAAGTTAAAGCTCATCCGCCAATAGGATAAGAATATCTAGTCAACTGAATTTGGCTGGTTCCAAAATAATATAAGGTTGATTCAACAGGATCCAGGGCTGCAATTTACTATTTAGCTAACGAGTGTTACTAGATGGCTGGTTGGTGACGCTCATGCTGACAAATCGACCGGTCATTTCCCCACAGCAGCTAATCCAAGGTTTTCAGACAACAGTGGTCTGCAACCTGATATCATCCATCCAGCAACTCCGACTAAACTATGTAATAACCTCTGGCTTGAAATGGATTCGTCACGGGATGGGAGAAGTAGGGGAAAATCTCGTGGAAAGTATACCACCAAAGCGTGCGAAGAATGCCGTCGCCGGCGAGCTAAGGTAAATCATCCGAGTAGAAAACAACCATTACACCCGGAAGGTACGATCGCTAATTCTTCCAGTGTGATGGGGCTAAACCATCATGCTCCAGATGCATTCAGTGGGATGTCTCATGTCAATATTCAGGTACCGAAGATGGTCGCCGACCGGCTTCCAAGACGTACGTCCTGCTTCTTAGGCAGCGTATCGAATCGCTGGAGAAGCTGTTAGACAAGCACGGTATCAATAGCATGGATCATGGATTCCAGCTGCCTGGTAACAACTTGGATAGCTTCATGGTAAATGACAAGTTAGACGAGGCATCCTCCGCAATGGATAGTCTATGCGAATCTCTCAAAGGCCAACTATCGCTAGACGAATCTTTGAATTTCGACAAAGATGGTGAGATGCGATACTTTGGGCCTACCAGTGGGCGGCTGGGATTCCAGGGCCTTCCATCAAGCAGTCGGAACCCAGATATTTCACAAAATAACCCCCAACCGGATGCTGCACTGGGTAGCATCGACGACTACCTCGGACTTGCAGTGCCTAGCCCAGTGATTGATGAAATTCCTATCTCTCTGCAAAACGAGCTCATAAATCTTTACTTTACATGGGAACAACCGTGGTACCCTATTGTTGACGAGACCCTTTTCAGGGAGAGCATGAGCTCTTCGGGGAGATATTGGACTCCGTTACTTCATTACTCCATTCTCGCCTTGGGCTCTCGATACTCAGATAGCTTGGAAGTCCGATCAGACCCAACTGACCCTAACTCAGCCGGTCAGAAACTACTCACCCGAGCGAAGAGTCTTCTACACCTAGAGATGGAGCATCCTACTCTTGTGACGATTCAGGCGCTAGGGGTCATTGGCATGGTCTACTTTGTAGGTTCCCTATTTTTAGTTCTGGCTGAAGGCTCCTACTTACGCGAATAGGCAATTGGCAAAGATGCTGCTGGATGGCTACACCATGGAATGGCGGACCGACTGTGTCTAGACATGGGGTTGAACATGGATCCTGCAGGCTTTGCAGGGACGGTCACGATATCAGCTAGGGAAACACGCTTGAGAAGACAGATCTACTGGACACTATACTGCCATGACAAGCTTTCCGCTACCTATACGGGGCGGATATGCTCTATGCTCGTAAGTGCCCTTGCCCTATCCTCATATCGTCGCTAACAACACGCAGGACCAGCAAGGAGCTGTCGAGTTGCCATCCGAGATGGACGAGTCCAAGGACAACACAGAGACACCTGTGGAGATCCGAAGAGCTGTGATACCTTTACAAAGAGCATTGATCGGAATCTGTCAGATCACCGAGAAAATTCTACTCTCAGTGTAAGTACCATGCCGACTACAATAGCAAGGTTCTGACCAAGAAAGGTGGGGTCCCAAGCCACTCGTCAAAGGAACAGAGCGGCCGCAATTCTTCGAATCGAGCCTTCTTGCTCTGACATCTTGGTTCTACGATCTTTCTCAGCAGCTCAGGATTGATCGACCCAACCCTGTGCCTCAAGCATACACGCTTCATATGATATATCATACGACGAAGATTCTACTTGCCAAACCATTCCTTATGGACCCTGGCTACTGCGATTCTGCTGATGCAAAGAATGACACGGTGGAGAAAGCTCGAACCGTATGCAGGGACTCCGCTAAGACAATCTGCGTGGTGGCTCAAAAGTACTGTCGCACGTTTGGCAATTTCCGACGTAGTCCGATTTCGGCAATGCACTGCACGCTGTCTGCAGCTCGGGCAATTCTAGAAGAGCCGGACTGTCCTTCCAAGCTCAACCAGTTGCGAATATGTCTGGCTGTACTTGACGGACTTTCTAGATCATGGCATCCCGCACGACATATTGCGAATGGGCTTAGAAAGCTTTGTCCCATGCTGCCTAGCGAGGTGTCACCTGAGAGTGGTAACGTCAGTGCGGTTGACCTTGATATTCAGGACCTTACGCAGAATCCTTCCGAAGTATGTGGCGCTTTCAGTGATGAGGCTATTCCAGAGCTACATAATATCCTCTGGACTGATCTTGCCCCTTGGAGCCAGCTACCCGACGACTACGGATACTTTGACTTGTTGAACCAGGCCACATGGGACCGTGCATGGTAACTTTATATTTATAACGTGATGGAACTATGGTCTGTGCGGGTTTCATTTACTCCCCAGTACCTCTCGAGAGACCTATTTCGGATCATGAGCGACCACCTCAATCTCAACCCTCATATCATCCTCTCCCAACCTTGTCACGCCCACACACGTCCACAGGGGCTCATGATTCGGCATATACTTTTTGAAGTTCCTGACCATTGCATCCAAAGCTTCATTGTTAATCGGGACATGGTACGAGTTCACACGGAAGACCTGCTCCCATCCTTTGCCGCCAGCGTTTTTCAAATTCAGCTCGACGTTCTTGAAAGCTTGGTCGATTTGCGCGTTGATCTCTTTATAAAATTCACCAGTGTTGGGGTCCCAGCCACCTGATTATAATTAATGCTATGTTCGAACTTACATTACACAATAATTCTTGAACATACCTTGGCCGGAACATTCAATGCGATCACCTATGCGTACGGCTTGGCTGTATTTGAACGTTTGTTGGTTCCTTTTTCCGACTCCTTCGTAGTTGTAGTAGGTGAGGTGGGACATTTTGTTGATTTTGGGACAAAGTGATGATCTTGAGAAGAGTACAGCAGATGCTTACAGTTTTCATGTTTTTTGGTTGCTGAAGTTCCTTATATGCCTGCGCCGCAGCGGAATATACTTTCCGTTCGATGTAACCGCCACATTGTGGGTGGGTAGTGAGAGATAAGTTCTTGCTATTGCACAACATTACACAACTGCTGAACATCCAGAGCTTATTGAAAGGATGCATACTCTATTATCTATACATTTATATCCCCAGCAAGCCCAAGCAAAGCCCTTAACACCTTGTTCCCATCCATTGATCTCCACCTGTCAAACCATCTTATCTTATCAGTAGCTGACTCATCACATCCGCGCCATCCGATCGACATCATCACTCGATCCAGACCATAGCAAAAGGGGTCCAGGGGAATTTTCTCCTGACCATTCCCACTGAAACATAATGATTACTAGATAACCCCCATTCCTCAGTGGTGCAACACACCATGCACACCAATACACAAATAAAACGCAAGCCCGCCCCTCAAACCATCTCCCCGGACGGCACCATCCGCGGCGTGATAACGGTGTCGCCTTCACCAACACCACCGCCACAACCATGCATATCTTCAAAGCAACAGCTACAAGTCCAACAACAACCACTATCACAATCACAACCACCATCACCACGTCCTCATCGGCCCCCACCACCCTACACACCACCCCTCCCCATCCGCTCCGCAACCACCCACAATGAACCATCCTATCCAGCCCGTACCCCCTCTCCTCTCCCACCACCACCCCCTCGCTCCGCGACAACCCCAACACCAACAGGCCCCTCCACCGCCCAAAAAGCCTACAACGAAGCCACCCACTTCCTCGGCGGCCTCATAACGCACCCCACAAGCAGCACAAAACACACCACCATCCTGCGCCACTCCTCGGGCATCGTCTTCTACCGCGGCAGCACCACCTCCGTAACCATCTCCATTTTCTCCGACACGCCCCTCCCACCCACTCGCACGCTCTACCTTCAAAGCAAAGGCTGGAGCGGCAAAACCGGCATGAAAACCAAAGCATTCCTCGGCTTTACCGACTCCTGGCTAAACGTCACCCCGACACTCCCCGTGCACGTGCAGCAAGTCGACCCGATCGACGAGCGTGCCTGGCAGCGTGACATTGGCAAGTTTCGCAAGAAGGCAACAGGGCGCGAGAGGCAGCATGTTCTGCGCGAGACGATGGTGGTGAGGATCCCTGTCGAGGCCGGGGATGGGTACTTCCAGCTTGTGCTTTGCGGGGATGGCGAGAACAGGAGGAAGGTTATGTGCTATAGTCCTGTGTTTCGGGTGTTGTCGACGAGTTTGAGTCCCAGTTCGTGTAGGGGTGCCAGTTTGTCGACGATGCCGTTGGAGGTTGGGGCCATGGTGCTGGGAATGTATGTCCAGACTGCCGCCGAGGCTGTCGTTGCGCCGGTTACTGCGGCGGTGCAGAGTAAGGTGCAGCCGTATCAGCCGAGTGGGGTGACACAGACGGCGGCGGAGACGGCGGTTTCGGTTAGTGGGGTTGGGGATAGAGTCGGGTCGGTGTTGGGGATGGGAGGGGACGACGATGATGAAGATGGTGGTGGTGGTGGGAGTGGGAATGGGTTGAGGGATGTGCAGGCGGGGTATCAGCTTGCGTTGGAGGAAGGGCCGAAGCCGCCGTTTCCGGTGGATCTTACAGCGAGGGTGGAGGCCGTGGATAGTGAGGGGCTTTGGTTTAGGGTTGGTAAGGTGTCTGATATGGTACTGGATCGGTATCGTGGGTATTTCTTTGGGTGGGCGAGGGTTGAGGGTGTTGAGGCTACGGCGGAGAGAGGACCAGGTTTAGCCTCGGGAGCGTGGCAGGGTGTCGTGTTCTCGATTGTATACTTTGATCCGACGCAGCAGGAGAGAGTCAATCTCTCGCGCACCATGAAGAAGGTTACGACTGTGCGCTTCATCGACGAGCCTGTAGTGCCGCTGAGAGCTCAAACGAAGCTTCAGATCCGGATTATGGGATTCCTGCGCCCGGATGTCCCTCCGCCCAGAAGCCAGACGGAGAAGGATCTCATGGCTGCGCGCGAGGCAGCCGCTGAGGCGGCTATGTTAGCTGATGCGTGCGATGTGTCGTATGCGCAGAGCATTCTTGAACATCCCGCCTGGGCAGCGGATAGGGCCCTGGTGTCGGGAACACGAGGTATGGGAACCAACGGAGCGAGTGGAAGTGGAAGCGGAGGCTGGATGGATAGAACTAGAGAAGGTGTGGAGAACGTCAAGTATCGGGGGCAGAAGTTGGCAGAGAAGGTTCCCTTGCATTGGATCGGGGTGAGGGCTCCGACGGATGAGGCAAGGGATAAGCAGATTGCCGTGAATGGGTTTTATATAGTTCGAGGGTGATATGACTGTATTTTACTTGTACATTAGATGACGTATATACTTTAATTTTGAAGTTGAAGGGTAATAATTATAATCAGATTCATGTTTTCGAATACCAAGTTCTTGGACTGCTCACTTGCAGTGCCCCATTCAAGCATGAGGCGCATGCTATATACTAAGCAAGGCCTAGAACTCTATTACAGACAAGCTTTGTACTCCCAGTTCCCGTCTTTTGGAAATGGTATCATCTATCAGACCATCCGGAGAACCAAGCGTCAATGTTGATCAATGTTTGGTGGCGGTGCAACAGATGACGGTGGACCGCGGCCCCAAAACTATGCCCAAAAAGGAAAACAGGGTGTTCGCTCCACTCAAGCTTCGGAGTGGACCGTTCGAAGTCCCTTGAGTGTTCCTGAAAATGAGAACGCTCCGTGTGTTTGTAATCTCGCTTCTGATTGCCTTGGCTTCGCCAGCCTTTCTTTTAGCCCTTTTATATGCACTCACGTCCTTACATCATGATGCCTTGTGACATAGCATTAATGCAGAAAACTTCAAAAACATTCACACAATACAACGATCTGTTCCGTAGCAGATGAGTCGTCTCTGCCCAACGACGTACACGCTTACCTACATGGGTGAAGTATATGACAGGTCCAAAAACAGACCAACTCGTTTCCCCCGTCCCTAATCAGTGAATGCTGCTAAGGTGTAACAGAGGAAACTCAGCTATCTGGGAAAATAGTGAATAGGAAATTCGTAGGGAGCCGCAGAGCCAGTCGAAAGGCCCTTGCCCAGAATTAGCCCCCACATCCATTCATAGGCAGCAATAATATCAAATTTCAGTCTCCATCATACAGGCAGTAATAACTTATGACGACATACAATATAAGGTGAATATTCACTTCACACAGTCAGTGGAAGCGAAAAGTCTTATCTGCTTGGCTTTCTGCATGTTTCAGCGAAAAATTGAGCCCGCGAAGCGCTGTGAACGAGCTTGTAGGCCCGGATGTAGTGGGGCTGTGCAGTGAAGTCCTGTCAGCCCTAAGCCAGTCCCGCCCATGGAACAGCCATCAGAGCTCTTCTCTCGCCCAATCAATCCACCGCCCTTGGACTGCGCCACTTGGTGCCTGACTCGCGCTTACTGGGCCAGGTTAGCGGGGTCTCAGGCAGCCCCTCCCCCAACCCCGCACAGCCACAGCTTTCCCGCTTAAGAAGTCAACACCGGCTCTTCTCTCATCTTTTCGTTGTTTTTCTCTCTTCCTTCAGCCCAGCATCTCCTAAACTCTCCTTAATCTTCTGCAGCCGTCCTCAAATTCAGTCCAACCTCACGATGGCAGCTCAAGAGTACTTCGGTGGTAGCAGTGCCACCCCCGCCAACCCTGATCGCCGTCAGCAGAACCCCTCTCCTTGGTCATCCCCGGCCGTCGACACTCCCAGTTCCACCGGGTACGGCTCGTATCCTCCATCCGTCGAAAACGGCCAGGACCGATACGGCGCCTCTTCTCCCTACCCCCCTCAGGGCGCTGGTGGCTACAACCGACCCTACAGCCCGTACCAGCCACACTCGCCTCAACCCGGCTACCAGAACCCCGAATACTCATCCTACGGTGGACGCCCACCCTACCCACAGCACGAGCAGCCTTCGCCATACGGCCAGCCACCCTCCGAGTCCAGACCCTACCCGCCTTACCCTCAGCATGAAGGGTACCCTTCCCACCAGCAACCCCCTCCTTACTCCCCCGAGTCGTCCACCGACCCCGCCGCAGCCGGTGAAGGCGACAAGGGTATCATGGGCGCCCTCGCTGGTGGTGCAGCTGGCGGTTTCGCAGGACACAAAGTTAACCACGGCTTTCTCGGCACCATTGGCGGAGCCATGATGGGCTCGGTAGCCGAAGACGCAGTGAAGAAGCACAAGGAGAAGAAAGAGCACGAGGAAGAAGAACGTCGGCGCATGGAAGAGCGTCGCAGAATGGAGGAGCACTACAGAATGGAAGAACAGCGTCGCAGGGATGAACAGCAGAGGATGTCTCAGCAGCACCACCACCGACCTCCTCCGCATCACGGCGCGCCTCTACGCGGAAACTTCTCCGCTTCGTCCCGGGATATCCGCCTTGAGAGCCACCATGATCTAGTGGCAGCCTGTGGACGGGTCTCGGGAGAGTTGCAGCTCTCGGTACTTCCGTTGAATAGTGTGTTGGCCAACCACTGGGGAAAGTTCGCGTGGGAGCGGAATGGAAACTTTGCTGCGTCGGCTAGGAATGTTCGCTTGGTTGATGGGGGACGTGTGCTGGAGGCGGAGTTGGCGGATGGGAACGATGGCTGGAATCGGACCTGGATACGTCTGGATGAGAGGATTACGAACCAGAACGGCCAGCTGATGTTCCTGGATTAGATGTGATAATGTGGTTTGCTTTGAGCGTTGCTTTGCACGAGATAAAGATTTTATTTTACCCACGCTCAACTTGACGTGGTGATTTGCACTGACTGGACTGGTTTCCACACTTTCAGTTGTCTACTCCATTGCTCTTAGCGCAGTATGCAGTCGCGTCGTTATTCACAATGGATTTAATACTTTGCTTTATCATTACTCCGCTTTTTCTATATTATCGACCGGTCAACTAAGTAAAAACATTGTACGCCTACCCAACATTCTGCTATTTGTAATCCATACCCACCCATCCCAGGGACCTCACGGGTCTCTCCAAACGATGATACCATGTCCCTTCATATCAACTAAGTCACAGCTATGTTGAATCTTACAAACCATCATCCTATATCAGGTTCCGCTCATTTGGCAGTCCGAGAAAAGCTCAAGCCACCCGTAGTGGGGTCTCTAGCCTTAAACAACAGTGGCGCGGGAATGCTGACGGAGACAGAAGCCTCGATCTCACCCACATCTCAACACCATCACCCTTCAACCTCCCACCATCCACAACCCCCTGTCACAAACACCTACTATCAATCATGTCTTCCCAAAGCCCCATCTCTCAATATCTATTCGCCATCCAATCACTCCCACTCCTCGGCAGCGGCCTCTACACCCTCCTTTCTCCCGCTTCCGCTGCGCAATCACCGTATCTACCTCTGCGGGGCGTCAGCATAGGGACTATCCAAGCAATGAGGTAGGCATGCGGGAATATACCCATTTTGGCCGATGAAATATGGTTTTCCTAATGAAAGACAAAGTCTTTCCTCCTTGACGCTGGGCACTTTCTATGCTCTCGTCGCCTATCAGAATAACACCCAGATGATGGTGGCTACGATACCGACACGGTTTCTGGCCGCGGTGGTGTTCTATCAGACGGGTGAGGACGCGTGGAAACAGGTCGCGCCTTTCGAGGCGGTGATGGGGGTTGTTACTGCTGTGGGGGTTTGGTTGTGGGGATAGTTGGGGAATGGAAGGAGGTTGTTATCCTTCCTGGATAGACGTGAGAAAGTGTCATTTATTTATCGAGAACCCTCGCCGAAGATGTTTGTAATTCAAAAAAGGTACGCACGATCGCAATTTGCGTCTGCAGAGAGAGTTGTACCTACTGGCATCTCTCACCCACCCAGTGCACTCCACAGAAGAGTGAACAGCCATCCCAGTTACATGCAATTTTACCCTTATCCAGACACTAGATCTCCACCTAGTGGTCAACTAACAAATATGCCAATAAACATAAGTAGTCTGGTATGCGGTTCTGGAATCAATAAACTGGATATCAAAAACAGTTAGCACGTAGTTTTCTCTGTTTCTCCTAGAGCTGAGGAATCACACGAGTGAGTGTGTTAGAGGGCTGCCATACACATACAATGAGTTAGCAAAGTATAACCTGAATAAAACATTAAAGGCAGCTCATATAATAGGCAAAATGGGACAGTACATGTACATTTCGTCCAGAAAAAGCATCATAGTAATTATATGCGATATCGAGGAAGAAGTTCACCACTCCCCCTAGCTCCACCCAGTCACGAACCATCTCATCCTAATCCAGTCTACATTCTTCGACACTATCATCCTGTATCATGTTATATATCCTTTCGACTTAACTTCAAGTACATACGACCACAGGGTGTGGAAAACAGGGCTTCCCGTCCGCTCAGCCGTACTTAAGCCACACGCCGGGAGGTTAGTAGTTGGGTGGGTGACCACCAGCGAATCCCTTCTGTTGTATGTTTTTGCATTTGTTTTTGTTGATCTAGATAGACTGTTGTAACTCTGCTATTGCCGCTTTACTCGTGTAGAGTAGTGTGCATTGAAGACACTTTAGAATAAAGGGTTTGAGTTTGCTGAGACGGAGTTGAAGAAGCCAACTATTCGGGTCAGTGGCGTGATAAGGAGTATATCCCTACGCAATGTATTTAAAAATCCATTTTCACGGATTCCCAGAGCGCTGCGCGGCAATGCCATCGAGAATGATTGCATTAGCGCTAGCCACGAACTTGCGATTGTCGGTGGTGTGTGAACGTACTTTAGTTCACTGCCTAAAGTACGAAATGAGAGCATGTAGCTCGGCTTCCGACTTATCACGCGTCCGATATGTTGTCCAATAAAAATGGTCTTGTATCTGACATAATCATCAACAATCTTAGTCCTGCACAACCACCAGACAGACTAGGGGTTCCGATCGTTTTACGTCTATAATGGATGGGACAGTTTACGTGTGCTGTTAGTAACATATGCTATCTGCGATTTCGGAGACTTAGTCGGACAAAAGAGAGAAAAAGTATATACACTGATGTCGTATCTAGGAGTGAATCCCAGGGAAAATCTATGCAGATAAGTAGTACCAGTAGAATAGTGGGCATTCTGGAACATTCCCATGCTTATATTGTGTGGGGCACATCGATTTCTGCTTGCCTTTTATCTAGTAATAGACGGGCAGCCAAAAACGTCTGCCAAATAATCTACTTTGCCTGGACTAACCGACTGACATGGTACCAGTGATATGATTTTCAGAAGCTTTAACTCGATATATTTGTCAAATCAATCTTGCCCATCTTGTTCATAGTCAATTTCCTTGGATGTTCCACTTCAATTAAATAGAAGACCAGGCTTCTCTCTATAAGCTGGTGTCAATCTCAAACCCTCTAGTGATAGGTGACGTATGAGTGTGTCCTCTGTGCAGTTTCAGCCGCCGCGTGACGTAGCAAAAGAGAATCATTGGGACCTAAGAGGATTGACATTACGGGGGCTTGCCGTCCTTAGTTCCTGCCTTATGCCCCTTTGCCCTCCCTCCCAAGCTCAATGATGATGCAGATGAGCAGATGGGGAAAGGTGAATTAGCATCCGGGTCGCCTAGCACTGCCACTAAAATGGAGGGCTGCCCAAAAAGCCTTCCACAGAAGTACCTAGCGGTATCCCCGAGCGGGGTTTCTCTTCTGGGTGGATTAATCGCTGAGTGAGGCGATACAGCCAGGTGAAGAATACCTCTCGCTTCCCTGAGCACACTGATATCGCTGGGATGAGAGGACAAGTAGATGTCTGTTTGAATTGAATCAAGTACAAGAGTAATTGATATCTATATAAATGAATAATTGATTTAAATGCATATTATTCTGTATGAATCAACAAGAATCCACAACAATAAATATAAGTCCCAAAAAATTGACTCGAGTCCATGTAAATAAATCATGTAAAAACATGTGATTGAATAAAACGTAACGTGACAGTACGGATACGTTAGTGTGAGGATCTGATTGATCACATCCACTTAGCGAAGTAAGCTTTGAAGAAGATGCGCGTTCCGAGTTTGTTGACTCTGAAGCCTAGTCTTTTAGGTAACTACCGGATAGCTTAACAGTAGTGGATTTTGAGGAATATACCCCTGAAGTGCAGGAGCAGGTTTTGACACGTCAAAGAAGAAGGCTAAGTAGTAGGAGTTGTAGATCGGCAAGACGCCATCTTTCGTTCCATTAGTCCCTGGTTGTGATGAAAGATGACACGACGGTTTGGAGGCTGGGCCAACCTTGGTCCAGGGACCGAAGCTAATCAAAATCAGCCGCACTGCCCAAAACTCTGCTCACCACGAGGTCCTAAATCCCCGATGGATGAACGGGGTATTCTGGGGGACTGCTGTAATCACATAACTTGGGAAGTCATATAGCATTGTCATTTAATAATGTTCTGTTATGGATACGATGAATAATAGCAGGTTAATAGCTGCTACGACGGAATTACTGAGTGAGGCATCATACTTTACTATTTGCCTCCGCTTCAGCATGAAGAGCTGGGGAGTGGTTCAGGTACCCGTGACCTGACTTGGATCTACAGAGTTCCCGCGGCAGCCATAAACGATCCGCCCGCCATTACTCGACAATCATTGGGCTGTGGCGAATCCAATAACGTCACCCCGTGGTCAGGCACTGCGCATCTGCAATGGTGACTTTCCGTCTTGTCTGGTCTCCGTAGCGAAATTAGTACTTTTGTAAACACCCGGAATCCCTCCCCGGCTTCCTGTCTCGTGCAAAAGAAGTACTAACACCTCTCACATCCCGGGGAGCCACCGCACTCGTAAACTCGGCTATCCAATCTTTTCTGTTGTCCCACTTTATGCTAATTCTTCAGCAGGAACATGAAAACAGACGCAGTTATCCAATGGCATAGATTAAAAGTTGCAAGAACAATCGGCCCCATTCCTTTTCATCGCTTGATCTTCAGGTACTGTAGGTGGCAACCATGTTACATGATGGGATCTAGGAACCTCTTTCTAGAAGCAGCAAGCGCCGGGAAAATGTGCATGTCAACGGAAATTGGCTCTAGTAACATTCGGTTAGGAAGTGATAGTACTTTTTACTCACTGGTCACCAAGGTGCCTGCATTTCCTACCATTGGTAATTTAGCAGGCCACGTCAATGCAAGTGAGGCAGCAAGAAAACACTAATTATGGTTTTAGCGCGTGCAGCTTGAATAATACTGGTAATGATATTGTACGGACCTGTGGCTGCTACTGCTTAGCTACATTTCGACATGCCCCCAGGGAAATCTATCGAAACCCTTATCTAGCTCTAGGTAACGGGGCCGGTACGGTGACTCTTGATTATTCTTTGCCCTCTCACCCTCCTCTTATTATCGGTTTTCCTTCCGTTGTTGCCCCATTTCTGCAGGCCGTTGCCTCTTCTAGCCATCATCATCTTGGAAAATATCTATATATCTGTTCGGTCCGTCCTACCTACAACAACCCCTTCTGACTCGCCTGTTTACCTCCGCAGATCCCTTCTCATTTGTCATTGTCAGGAGGCATCGTTCTAATTGATTATCCTTGGACTTTGCGTGCTGCAAGGAAGGATCCCCTGATTTGAACTCAGATGCCAGTCAGTCAAGGTTCACAGTCGCAGGATGGTAAGATACTTTCAGCCCTTTCGAAGCCATTATCGGCCCTCGCACCGTCCCTAACTTCTGCCTTCAGAGATAGAAGCCCACAATCACGTGACAGACATGATACGTCCACGCTGGCTCGCCGTACTCCTTGTTGTCTTTCTACTTTTGGGGGCAGTAATATGGTGGCTGCTCACGGCATTGGTATCCCTTTTGAAAGTACTCCTTGTTCCTTCAGGTCCCCGGAACCAACGACAAGAGTTATCTTTAAGCCCAGAACACAATGACAGATCCAGGCAGATTAGGTCATCGGTAAACGGCTCTCATACACCTGATAAAGAAAGCATGGATGAGGCAGCATCTGTTCGGAACGAGCAGCAGTCAGTGGGGATTCCAATAGATGTAGGGACAATGGAGGGACTACCAACTCTCGCGAGCAGATTAGCCAAAGGACCTGTCATGCACACAAATTCAGGGGAGTCAAGTCCTTCAGTCCAACAGCTACCGAGTAGTGTCTCATCTGGTTTGCTCAGTCCGAGTGAGATAAACAGTGGGCATGACACGACCATCACGACCCCTTTGTTACCGAACGGTCGGCCACAGGCGGGAGACATCTTTGACGACTATGAGCCCTCACGGCTCGCATTCACCGGAAACGGCTTTCTGATTACCGGAAGCCAGAAGAAGAAAGGTGTAAGAATCTCCCTGGATACCCAAGGCGAGGTCAGCATCATGCGAAGTGTTGTCTTCAATAAACTCGGCCTACCACTTGAGCCATGCACGGAGTCCCTGGTGCCCTTCCGCCAAGCCGCGGACACAGCCAGCATCCCTATGATCGGAAAAGTTCGTGTGGACTGGCGCTTTGCGCAGGATATCATGACTTACCAAACGGACTTTTACGTGGTCGAAAACAATCAGTTTGACGTGTTGATCGGTTTGCCCACGATCGTGCGATATAAGCTTCTGCAACCAAGATTCGCCATCCCCAAGGTTATGGCGCGCGATCATCTTGAGCGACAAATAATGCTGGATACGCTCGACTCGTGAGGCTATGCCCCCGACAACTCAAGTCGGCGGGCTGAGTTTATGCGTGCAGTCCTGGAGGCCATGTTTGTCTTGCGGGTTGTGCGTCTGGTCAACTTTCCATTATATCGGGCGCCGGGAGAGGGGGGGGGAGAGGAGGATCACATCAAGTGCAGATAAATGCAATTTTCTTTTTCTACCTTGTCACTACTGATAAGCATGCTCGTCCTATTTGGCATGCAAATGATCATGTTGCTGGGGGTGAGACTGAGTTGTTCCTTCAAGGGGAAGGGCGAGGACGCACCCCATGGCAATTGCACAACCGAACTGCTGACGGTGGGTGATGACTGACCCTCCACATGAGATGATCTTTGTCTTCGACTAGTGTGAAATAATATATACCCGAATACTTTTCGATCTACACCAGCCATTCACATTCGTTCCTGTCTTTTCCTGATGCCCGACATGCTTGCATTAGGGCCCCCGTCGTCTGCATTCAACTTCATCCTCGTGAGCGAGCCGAAATTTTTCATAGCAGCCCATTCCTCCCTATGAACTACTTCGTACAGACGCACATGGACAAGCCTTATCTGGCGGTGACGCTGTTCATCTGAACTGGCCGTGTTCAGCCTAGAGAACCTGTTCGCTCGAGATGCACCTCTTCCACGCTGCATAAACAGGTCCGACAGGAAACGACACTGATACTTGCGGCTCAATCATAAGGCTTCACAATGCTGCTGGCATATAAGTCCGGCAGATTACTCCGGAAGGACCAAAAGAACATTTAATTCGAGTACAGCAGCACCGGTCAATCACCAAAGATAGCCCAAGCAAAGGCACCGCGAAGCTATGGTATAGACCCTGGGTCGCAAGGGCACCGTTTTTCCCTAAACTGGTACCCCAGCTGACTTCTACTAACATTCTGTGGTAGTCTCTAGAAATATGCTGCGACGGACCTCATGAATATGAGTGGACTCTACGGGCATCCTTTGCGGATGAGCTGAGGGTCAACATCCTCACTCCTTTGGGCCGTCAACGCCTCGGGATGCCCCCCGCCCGCGAGGGCTCTGAGATGGGAATCCAAATTACGAAGGGAAGATTTATAACGGTCCGCCAATGCATAAAACTGCGGATTTGGCTTCATAGCTCGAAAATAAGCGAAGAGGAAGACTTCTATCTTCTGGAAGATCTGGTCGCGGGGATCCCAACTGGTGCGCACGCCATCTTAGCACGGAGTAGCTCCATTTATGCGGGGATGGGTTCTGATAGGCATCCATCTCTGTCCCCTGTTTTTTTGTCACCGAAAACTAAGGGTAAGAAAGTGAAAGCATCGAATGAGAATGACGCGAGAAGCTAAACCGTTCATTAGTGGATAAGGAAAAGGAAGACAAAAGGCACGCAGAGGGCGGGGCAAAGGCTTCAGAGGCGGAGCGCAAGAGATGTGAAACTCAGTATGAAAAAAGTCGGCCTGCGAGGGAGAGCAGGGAAAACCAGGGTCCAGGGGCTCAGCGATGAGGCCAGCAAGGCTGAGATTATCTGTGTTCCTTACGGATGCATTCCATTGGATTTCTATCACATTGCGAGTAGAACGAAAGGCATTTTGCCAGCTTTTTCTTAGCTTCCTCATCTATCTCTCAGTGTTTTCTTACACCCTAGACCCCGTCCCTTTCAGGGCCGGGTAGCAGATTGGATCGCGTATGACCACGAAATCAAACCTTCGGTGATGCCCGGTTCAATGTAGCTCGTCCTGAGAACAGATCAATATGATCAGCAGCAGTGGCTGCCGCGTGTCAGGATGTGGTTGGTGTTTCAGCTCCCTTTCGGCCTTGTTATGCGCGTTCAAATGACGAAGACGAGGCTGAGCAGGCGAGCCTGGCTACCAATGATAATTTTTAGCGCCTGCCGCGCCAGGAAGGCTGACGAGGTTTTCTTCGGTTTACCAGGTATTGCCACGAATGCATTTAGTGCATTAGCAAAAATTATTGGCTTCCTATTACTGTACAGTAGGAACCTATGAAATTTTCGAATAAGGCTTAACTGGGATTTGATGAAAGAGTGCTATAAGGCCCCTTCACGCCCGGGCTTTTCTATGTGGCAGTGTTTCTGGGGATATAAGTCCCACCGTTTTATTTTGCACTCAGTCCTCGCTATAATGTCCTGGACCAACTTGGGTAAGTAACCGATGGTTTCAACCTCTCTTACTTAACTCCATCCAGATAATGCTGATTAGAGTTCTTTTGCACTAGCACCCTGGCGAACGCAGGACCAGACTGAGGACGAAAAGCCAACGCCCAGCCAATCGTACAACCAGGAAAACGTAATCAGGGCCCCACAGTGATTTCTGATAGTAGCTGGCTATGCACCGGATCTAACCATTAAAAGGCGCCGTGCCGGTCAATGCGACAGTCGTCGTCTTCAAACGTTAATGAACCCAACAAAATACTCCTGGCTATTTATTCCTGTGGCCGACTACTCTACAAAACTGCATCCGCAGTTCTGCCATCTTTCATCTTTTTCGGAAGCACACCGGTGAGATTTGCAACAACTACTACCTTTTATCTTTTTATCTTTGTATCAGAAAAGAAGTATTGAGACATTCCTAGGAGCAGCAGCGGGACGAGCCATTGCAGCTGCAACACGATGAACAAATAGTGGAGCAGTGTGTTGCCGATAAAAATGACCGCGCATCAATTCATAACGATGACCTCTCTAAGGGACGCGAAGAACTGACAGAGTCACTAAACTCTGCTTTATCACACGATTCTCAAATATTGAAGGAGCTGGATCAGTGCGACTTTGTCTATGATGTCATGGCCGGTCCGCCTGGAAAGAACCAGCTGCGCCGATGTATGATGCTCAGCTTCCACGCAGATACCGACATTATGTCGAAAGAGGCACATCAGAGACTCGGGACGAGCATCGAGCCTTATCAAGGGGCTCCTATCCCAGTTTTGGGACTTCAAGATAGCAAACCAGTTGGAATTGCAGAAGTGCAGTGGTCTTTTTGTGGGCGCAGCAAGCCTTACCGAACAGCGTTCTACGTTGTAGAAGACGTTGAATACGATCTTCTCATTGGAAGACCTTCGATGCGGCAGCACGAGCTGTATCGAGTGGATCCCGCTATTGCGGAAAGGCTTCGTGATTCGTATCGACGTCAGTAGGCTCAATTACTTAGTGGAGGACGGGCGGCCGGACTTAGAGCTTGTCTGGACTCCCTTCTGTCCCACACGTCAATCCAGCTTGCCTTTATATACGTCGGAAGGAGTCCCCACAAATGTTCTATTGGTAGCCTGGGTGCAATTTTACCTTACAGATAGCCGGGCTCTGAATGTCGGGCATGTTCGGAATCCAGGACAAATGCTGGTTTGATATCGGCGTAATGATACTCTTCCTATTTCGGTTGAGTAGAATCGTAAAGACCCACAGTATGCCACACTACCCTATATGTAAGGCTGAAGCCCTGATTGGTGTCCAAAATCATCAGGCTTCGGATTGATCTCGAGGCACCATGCAGGCGATCATATTCCATTGACCGTTCAGATATATAATTGGCAAGGCATCCCTACAAGATCAGGAGGACACATAGCCTCCACAGCATCAGAATAAGTACAGGGTCCAGCGACTTTCTACTTTCGCCATCGAACAGTCGATGTCACTTCTGCTATCAGACCATTCCTCTCGTTCTGTCTCTTCCCTTTCCTTCTCTTCCTGTACCCAAAGACCCTTGGCACGCCTCTTAGTAATTGTACATATCCAACGCCGACAATGTCGACTCCCATATCCAAAGGCTACGATAGACTGGCCGCTCTAATGGCCCGCGACCCCGGGTCCTCCATCTATCGAAGTTTTGCCAAGCTTAATGCAAAGAACCTGCTCTATCTTCAAGCAGAGATTGCCTACATTCAAAATGACCTCCAATATATCATCGAAAAGGACGGTCAATCCGAGGATAAAGCCTCCTTCCCATTCTCAGTCTGGGACATGAAGACTTCAGAGGATCCGGTTCAATGGGAGAAGGTCCTCGAAGCACGCAGGTTATTGAAAGAGTATAGTACGTCCTCAATCTTCCTTCCTTTCATTTTCTATCTTGAAAGTCATGTACTATACTATTATTTTCAATGTTTCCGTCTCCTACTTCCATTCTTCCCCCTTCAAAACTTGCGCAAAAACTTTCTCATTCACCACGGGTGCACGAGGTCTGCTAGTGATTATATATACAGAATACTAGCTTTCATTATATCCTACTGCCAGCATTGTACTAACAGGATCCAACCGTAGACGAAACCCTACTCCAACAAGCTCAACTCCTCCGACTCAACGCGCCCGAGAAAGCCGACCTAGAGGTGTTCCAGGAGTGGCTGGAAGAAGAAGAAAACAGACATATGTGGTTTTCGCCCCCGGACCAATGGCGCGGAGAGAACGAGAGCGACTTGGTAGCATTGAAGAGTCGACACGAGGAGACGGATCGTTTCACCCGTTTTGTCTATACGCGAGTCGTTTCGTGGTTCCATCGGATGGCGGGGGTCAATGATACCGTACGTTATGCTTTTCTACCCTTACTCAATTCTCACTGCTATTGTACCCTGGTGTTGAACCCTACCCTGATAGTAGTTAACTTTATCTACTAACGCACATATTATACCCCAGAAACGAAAAGATATCGAATCCGGCGTCTGGTACTATAATGACCGGACAATCAAATCTTGGACGTATATCCTCAGCTTGATTATCTCAGGGGTACTTCCAGCAACCTCGATGATCGTGTTGTATTTTCTGAAGGATCCGGCGGCAATACTGATCACCATCTTCGTGTATGATATGGTGTTTGTTCTGGTAATGGGATTCATGGTTAAGCCGAGACGCGTGGAGATCTTTGCTGCCGCCACAGCGTAGGTTTCCCTCAGATTCAGATTCGGATTCAAAATCTCTCTCCTTTGTCTCCGTTTCCTCGTGAAAAATGGCGCTTGATTTGCTGTGCACTAACGGGACTAGGTTCGCTGCCGTGCAGGTGACTATGATTACGGCTGGTAAGAGCAATTCATGAGCTGGAAGCAACACATTTCGATATAGACGATTAGATGGATGAATGGCGACAATTTACGCAGATGAGAACGACCGGAGTACTACTATAATCTTAGAAAGCTAAACAGACTTGGGGAAGCACCAGAAGATTAGGTCGCCCTCTTATAACCATCTTTCAGAGAACTTCTCGGTGAAAGCGGACACACGTGGTATTCCGCTGTTCTAAACTGAGGAGTATAACATTTCATGTTATTTGTTTCGGACATCCATAATATTCAATCAATCACAAAATAGTCTATAGAAGCTGGCTTCTCACTAACATCCGGCATATTCTTGAGCAACCAGTCAAGCAAGGCATTCTCGGGGAATTGGAAGTCAAGCACCAACGCAAACTTAACTAAGCAGAAGGACTACTCTCTGCCACCTGCTGCTGCTTAGGACTCTGTGCCTCCCGGCTCGGCCTCGCATCACTGAAGGCAATACTCAACTTCTGATAATCCCAATTCCGGGCAAAGAAAAGAAACATAAATGTCAAAAGCGGCACCATGAGGATATCAAGAATCCCAAAGAAAATAGTGGCTTCTGTGATCCCAATAACATTCCCCCCATCACTCAAACCCCAGGCCACAGGGTACAACAACCAAAGCAGGTTGCACCACCCAGAGAGAATAATGTAATCACGATCCACCCCAAGCCTTTGCGCGGCTTCTCTACTCTCGTTAATAGTGCTCATGGCGAGAATCACCCAGGATAGGGTTCCAAAAGCGAAAAACCCCCATTTGTAGGTTGAGGGCGTGTATGCGGACACGAGGTAGCTGGTGACCCAATAGCAGGCAAGTGCGATATTGCAGATCATGGTCGTCCATGAAACCCCCGAGACGAGACCGAGTGCGAGGGCGAGTGAAGGGAATGCAACAACCCAGTTGACGTATTTCGCCCAGAACATCTGGCGTATTACTCCGTTGTCGAGATTGTTGACTTGTTCCACAGCGCTCCAGCCGAGATCAGAGGCTTGGGCGTAGTAGGTTATTGCGCCGACTAGGAGGAGAAAGGTGAAGAGGTAGTGGAATACTCGTTCACTTTCTTTTCCGGAGAAGGACATTGTCAGGAGGCCAAGCTATGTTTAATGTTAATAGGTGAAATCAGAACTAGAGTACAGAGAAAAAATGACTCACGAATGACACAATATAGATGGCTGTAATAGCCCAAAGCCAGTCGGATCCATGCACAGATAGGGCTTCATCAACGCCTGCAACTGGGTTGACGTTGAGAGCATCGTTTGCTCGCATGAAGAGACTCATTGTGGATTTGAAACTTTCACAGTGAGGAAAAGAGAACGGATAGATTGCTGGTGATAGAGTTTGGGGGAGAGAGTAAGTCTCCTTTTAAAGCATTTCTATCAACAAGCAAAGTCTCAGGAGACAAAGTTTACATTGTATTACATTGTTTAGACCGTGGAAATAGGTTTTTCCTGCACATCGTATATCCAACAGGTAATTGTTCGGAGAAATAGCTCAGTACGACATTAGTTGGGTCTCAAACTCTAACGTCCATGGACAGGCACAGTTTACCCGACTGTTTCGCCGAGACTAATCCCGATGTATATTAGCGTCGAGTATAGCCACGGCCTCGTGGACTTTATAGTCATCTAACTGTGGCCTAAGAGGATGATAGGTAGGTACAGTTCAGCATTCTTGGTTGATACGGGGTTTCAATTTTTTCGGCCCCGACCCTGAACGGAATGCTCATCGCCCGAAGCTTTCTGACACTTAAGGAAATTGTGATACTGTAGCGTGTCAAGAAGTGATATTTGGGGCAAGATACCACGAATTACCGACGCTATCACAAATGATCTAACTACTCGCACCCCCCTCATCACCAAGCCCTACCATCACCGCTGTTTTCAAGATACATGATCGCGGTAGTAGATCCAAGTAGCTTTGCTCGTGATTATTGACATTCTTGAGCTCACGGAAAATGTGAAATAAGTCCTGGATGGGCGATTGGACAGATACTCCATGGTGTATGTTGCTGTAGAGAAACTCGGCGCAGATGAACAATGGCATGGGCATCAAAGGATGGACCTACAAGGAATTATTTAAAGCCGTGCTTTCTGAAGAAAAGTATCTTACCTTAGAAAACGGCAGCTCGGGCAGTGTCCTTGCCAGACGGATGATATTCTTAGACGCTTCTAAGGCTCTATGCTCATACCTGAATTCGCTGCTCTGCGTGAAGTTGCCTTGCGCGTCCGACTGGATCATAGTTTTGCAGTAGTATATAACAGTAGCCTGAGCTAAGATGTGCGTAAATAGTAGTAAGGGGTCATTGGATTCTGTCGGGTCCGGGTAACACTGCGAAAGCACCTGGAATCGGCTCAAGAGGAGTCTGTCCAGCCATTGCCGCTGTTCCGTCCAGTCGAGTGTCATATCCCCGTATGCCTTGGATATTTGACACTGTTGTCTTTGGAAGAGACTGCGACCGCATATGGTAACGAGGATGAGGCACTCGGTGAACGACGATCGGACTTGGAGGGTTGAGTCCGTCATAGCTTCGGATAGGAACGGTCCTAGTTCCCGATATCCGTTCTGGAATTTGGAATCCGAGGCTGGAAGACGGGTGCAGATCTACAAAATTGAATACAAAAACTGGACATAATAATGGGCTGGGATCATTTTTACCACATGCTCGTTCAGAGTGATTGGCCAGTCGCCGCGCATACTGATGATATGGTCCAAGAAGTACGCCATCCAAAACACCCGACGTCTCTCCTCGACCTCAATGAAGTCATCACGCTGAGCATAAGCCGAGCCTCTTTTGCCATCTAGGCTGTCAATCTCATGATAGTGCATGGCTTGCACGAAGCGGAACGCACTCCCGGCGCTCATCCATGCCTGTCGATGATATGTGCGCATTGACTCAAAGGTCACGAGAAGAACCCAGGCTTGGCCGATTTCGGTGTCAATATTACTATCCTCATTTGCCCCAACAGTGAGTTGGTCGAGCATGCGCTTTGTCTCCTGATACAGCGGGTCTATCATGTCTCGGAACTGGGTGGAGAGCAATGCGGCTAGTGTCCACATTGCATACTGTAAGCATCTACGGGGTTCCGTTTTGGTACTAGATTTGGACCAGGACATGTACCGTCGCTGATGGAGGATTGGGACAGAATTATGGACACGGTCTAGGTAAAGCTGGTCTCTAGTCATAATTAGCATTGTGTTTTGATTCCTGATTGAGGTGCTCACAATTCGTCCTGCATAAGACCGGTTATACTCTGTATCGGCGTGCTATGGCCGGATATAATTGGGCCGACGGAGGACCGTTGAGAGAAAGAAGGTACACCGGGTGTCAAGTCGGGTTGTAGAAGCCCCTCGTGCTCTGAATTGGAGGTCACCGTACCCGCGGAAATCCAGGGCTCAGATGTGCCAACTTCAGCCGCATGGCCCGCCCTCACCAAGGGTAGTAGCGACGGATCGCCAGTATACTCGATAATGGCGTGGAGATCCTGTTGCGTATCCTCTGCCGGCACGCTGTTCTCCAGCAAGGCCTCCAGATACACGAGTCGGTTCTTCAGATCGCGCAAGTGACCTTTTTTAGGTCCTCGCGCACTGCGCTGGGTCAACTCACAAGCGACTCCCGTGTCCAGACAGCGTCCACATTGAGGTTTCTGTCCGTCGCAGCGCAGTTTCCGGCGTCGGCACTCGTCACAGGCGATACCCCTACGATGGCGGCGAGTCGCAGCTGAAGGTTGGCTCATCTCCGCGTCGATGTTAGCTTTCAAAACTGTATTCCGGATATGTGCGGATTTTTAAATTATCCTTGTATGGGCAGAGGACAAGGCAGGGAGGATACTTCGGTCGTCAGCTTGTCAAAGCACTGTCACATAGACTAGCGCCTAGCTAGTGCTGACGAGTAGCTGCAACGCAACCATATCTAGTTAGACACCTTTAAAGCAGTGCCATTCAGAACAAGACGCTTAATTAGATATTCCGAGGCTGTAATTAATGTTCCGAATAGAAAGGAACAGGAAAACTTGCCCCTGCATGACGGACAAAAGAGAGATCTAGGCCTGTTTTCTTTTATTTGTATTGGTCTGCATGCCGCTGTAAGTCAATTAACACATTAAATCCATTTTAAAAATGTAAAATGCAAATCACTTCCTCGCCGGCAAGCGCATCGTTGTGGTCGGCGCCAGTTTCGCCGGACTATCATTCATCAACGCTGTCAACCAGCAATGGAACCCGTGCCTAGAGCGACCCGAGACAACGGTCATAGAACAAAGTGAACGCGCAGAGTCAGCTAACACTCTACTCTCAACAACGGCAAAATTTGGGTCTGGAGCGACGATTCAAAGCTGCTGTTCGGCTTTCAGTTCCTCAACTTCCGCTCTAGCTGCCTTGATGATTTCTGTCTTGTGTTTAAGTGTTTCGTTGAAGCTGGTGAAAAACCGTCGGGCATCCCGTTGTTCTCCCCACTGGTTTTGAGAAGTGATAACAATCCAGTTTTACGCTTTGTAATGCTGCAAGCTTGCTATCTTGTTTGCTATGGCAAACAAATTCAGAAGTAAATCCTTGACTCTTTGCACTGGCATTAATAATAAATGCACTAACCTAGTAATTATAATTAGCAGCTGAGCTCCGGTATTCTCAACTTCATCGTTGTACTTGACTCATATTAGATGGAAAATGCCTCGAATATCCTATTGATTAGATGAATGCGAGACTCGAGTAAGCTGTTGGAGAGAGGTTTCGACTTGGGAATTGCCTGTGCGATCGCTCACCCTTCCTTTAAAGCGCAATCACCCCAACTCACCCCCGGTCGCGAGGCCGAAAGCGGCCTCACCCGCACAGCACCACACACCGGAAGGTTAGCAAGCCCAGCACAACTCCAAAGAATACTAAGCTACCTGCTGATTGATCATAAGCTAATTACAATATTATCAAGAAAGACGGAATCAAATATACTATAATAACAGCTTTTTTATATACAGGATTGTCTGTAATAGCAGTGAGTAATCTACATAGCGTATCAAACAATCTGGTTATATAACTGAAGTCAGCTATAGTAAGTAGTCTTGGTAATATTCAAGTTTTATATTACACAGTATCAGAAAGCTTTGGCTGAGATCTATATATTAAAAATAAATAGTCTACATAGTACCAGTCAAGCCATTTCTTTAGTCAGATCCGGAAATCTACTGGTAAATATAGCAAGTAAATATTCACGGACTTTTCATATGATATTTGCATTTCTATTCACACTGCTCTCTATTTATGCTAGCACCGAAAATTTATATATTATAGTTAATATTTTATTTTTCAACATACCAAGTGCTTAGTCCCGGATCAGAAGCTACCAGAGTCTAAATCTCTTAATATTAAGATGAACCAAATCCTTATGTTATAAAAGTCTTTCAATATTATATACAAATCCGGGCACGACTAAAACAAAGATTAGTAAGGGGATCCTACCCGGAATAATAGAAGATACATCCCCTGACTGTCCAGATATAGTTGGTAATATCATTATTTAGTTAGCTGCTGAGTATACGAAGTAGCTAGGGGAGAGGTAAATCAGCTGTCTATAGAATATAGAGAAGCTCAGGAATAAAAGACAAGATCATGGAGATAGACAAGCTTAAAATAAGAATGGCGTTTTAGCCCTGTTGCTCATGGTCTACTACATATGGTCCATGCTACAAAACCTGTGAATTGTCTTCGTATATGTCCTTTTTGTGTCCATATCCGAATCCAGTAGATGGATAAGAATGATAATATTCAATTTAGCTACTCTCTGCCGGCTGTCACTCGGAGCTTGAAAGCATTTTGTTATGGACTGATGAATTTTGTAACTGATTGCATGATTCACTCTTTTGACTGCAATATCAGCGAGATGCGTTGCGACATTCCTGTTGGCGATGTAGATAGTGTCCGACTCAAAAGCACTGTCAGCTTATCGATCCTTGTTGGCTAATCTACGCTCTTATTTTGGTGCTCCTTATTTTACCAAACACAACGGGCAGAGAATATCTAGCTCTGAATATTATCAATCTCCATCTAACAAATTTGTATATGAAGACAATTGAACAACAACTTCGGCGTGCAGAAAGCGTCATTTTTTTCTAGCAGGGCACTGGGTCTTTCTCCACAGCAGTATCAACGCCACGCTAACACTCACCCAGCACAAATACCGCGTCAATGCTGACGTGTTAATTGCCGAGAACTATATCGCGGGCAAGCCGTCGCTCAGCCACTCCGGCTTCTGGGCCGAAGCCCCTTTCTTCGTTCACCGTCAGGTCCAGAGCTCATGGTTCGAGAGTCTTCGGTTGGCTTTCTCCGACGCGCGCTACATCTCCTTCAAGCGTGCAGACTCAATTTCCCCGCCGCTTTGATTCCCCGATTTCCATTATGAAATAGGCTACCATAGAGTCATTTTCGTTCTCTTGCACGAGCAGTATACCGCCCCAAATCGAAAAGCCAATCTCCGCTCAATAGCCAATAAAACCATTCGCGCAGCCTTCTGCATGGCAGCGGCATCATGAGATCAGCAAGGATCTGGATTCGGGGGTCACATAGGGCTATGGTTTCTTCTTGGATAATTCACCCGGACTGTACAACCGGGCAATTTTGGCTAAATCGAATCTACGCCAGTCCCTGCAGTGACTTGGCAGATTACCAAGATAGCGCCAATGCAGGTTGAGCGGGCCGTCCGGCCGTCACTAGGCCAATCCCGACAGACCCTTCGGATTCCATCAGATTCATCTGCCGAAATATATGGTTGCACGCAGCCTTCTTCAGGTATCCGTGATTATTCAGTGTGCTCTCCGCATCGATTTAGGGAGATGTCTCAGCGCCACCGACCAATGGCTTGTTTAGTGCTCTCGGCATCCGCTTATACTTACAACATTGGAGTGATGGTGACAGATGATATAATGCTGACGGAGCCCCTGTCCCAATCCAGAACGGAGTAATGCTTCATCTGGTAAGATTCCTTTGTCACTGAGGCCAGATCTATCTATGTTCAGAAACCAAGAATCGGAGTCAACATGGAAAAGACGGCGCTGCGTCCGAGGCCAACGCGGGATTACATCCGTGAACCAGAGGGAATGACAATATAAAGTCTGCTCGTCCTTCCAAGAACCAGGAGAATGGTTAGAGCAGTCCAAAAGAATTCGAGGTCTTTTTTATCGCCGTTGAGTATCTTCGTGTCAGGATGCACTATACATTGTCTCTCACATTGGCATTTCTGCCATTCGGAATCCAGGCTCAGCAAACCCTTTGGGGACAATGTGGTGGTCAGGGATATTCAGGAGCCACCAGTTGCGTGGCTGGCGCAACATGCGCAACTGTGAATGAATGTAAGGGTTCCTTCTGGGGATTTTGCTGATCGATAGCTGAGTGACCATGGCCATTAGACTATGCTCAGTGTACGCCAGCGGCAGGCACGGGCTCAGCCACTACCTTGAAGACAACTACGAGTAGTACCACCGCTGCAGTGACGACGACTACCACTACTCAAAGCCCTACCGGCTCTGCCTCGCCGACTACCACTGCCAGCGCTAGCGGCAACCCGTTCAGTGGGTACCAGCTCTACGTGAACCCATACTACTCATCGGAAGTCGCGTCTCTGGCCATTCCATCTCTCACTGGTTCTCTCTCCTCGCTCCAGGCGGCGGCAACCGCCGCAGCCAAGGTGCCTTCTTTTGTGTGGCTGTATGCTCCCTCATTCTACAATGTAATCTATAATAGCCTCTTGTTGACATTTGCCAGGGATACTGCCGCTAAAGTTCCAACCATGGGCGACTACCTGGCCGACATCCAATCCCAGAATGCTGCTGGAGCGAACCCCCCAATCGCCGGTCAATTTGTGGTATACGACCTCCCCGACCGCGACTGCGCCGCGCTCGCCAGCAACGGCGAGTATTCGATCGCGGACAATGGGGTTGAACACTACAAGTCCTACATTGATTCCATCCGCGAGATTCTTGTGCAGTATTCAGATGTTCATACCCTCCTGGTGATTGGTGAGTGTCTTCCCACTGGGTTCGGACATGGCCTACTGCATCTGAACGCTAAATGTCACCTCCCCCAACAGAGCCTGACAGTCTCGCCAACCTGGTGACAAACCTCAATGTGGCCAAATGTGCCAATGCTGAAAGTGCATACCTTGAATGTACGAATTATGCGTTGACTCAGCTCAATCTTCCCAACGTGGCCATGTATCTTGACGCCGGTAAGCTGCCTATCCATCATATCTACTTACTCTTCAAGTATCCACGGGGAGGGACCGCCGAGGCACCCTTTGCATTCAGCTTCCCTGGCAAATTTCCCCTTTACATACCCAGCCCAGTCGAAGATCCCTCCCCCCTCCGATTAAACCCTCTTGACAGAATCTGACCAAAGAACTTTAGGACACGCCGGCTGGCTCGGCTGGCCCGCAAATCAGCAACCCGCCGCCGACCTGTTTGCGAGCGTCTACAAAAATGCCAGTTCCCCCGCTGCGGTGCGCGGCCTGGCCACCAACGTTGCTAACTACAACGCCTGGACCATTTCTTCCTGCCCCTCCTACACCCAGGGAAACAGCGTCTGCGACGAGCAACAGTACATCAATGCGATTGCCCCGCTGCTACAGGCACAGGGCTTCGACGCCCACTTTGTCGTCGATACCGGTATGCGCAATTCCGCAACCCCCAGTAACCCTACACCCTGCCCCTGGCTAACATGTATCGCTAAATTCCAGGCCGCAACGGCAAACAGCCCACGGGCCAACAGGCCTGGGGTGACTGGTGCAATGTCATTGACACAGGCTTTGGCGAGCGCCCGACCACCGACACCGGCGATGCGCTCGTCGACGCCTTTGTCTGGGTGAAGCCGGGGGGCGAGAGCGATGGCACCTCCGATAGCTCGGCCACTCGATACGATGCCCACTGCGGGTATAGCGATGCCTTGCAGCCGGCGCCTGAGGCGGGAACTTGGTTCCAGGTATGTTTACCGATCAAGCTCGTTGGCTGAGAATGAATTGGATGATGGAACTGACGTGATTGTGCTCGTAGGCCTACTTCGTGCAGCTGCTCACCAACGCCAATCCAGCTTTCTAGAAATTCCGAGAAGGAAGGAGAGGTGCGCCGGCGGCGGACTTGGAAGGCTGGAGGAGCCATGGAAAGCATACCGCGATTGCTAGCGCCGTGATGAGTTGTATAGTCAGTCTCCGAACACCCTTCGCAGAATGTTTAATGCTGCATGTGGTGATTTCTGCAATACCAAACTAAGTAGGATATGGGAGCCATTCGAGTGCACGGGCTCGAGCATTGTTGAATATTCATTTCCGCGTGTAAAAGCAGCTGCTTAGATTCTGCTCTTGAATTTGCTGTGTATCTCTACCAAGTACTCCGTTGCTTTGCCTGGTTGTCTCCAAGATAGAGAGACGTAGCCTATGCTTCCTGAAGGAATATGTCCAAAGGAAGCATTACCCTAAGCCATGATGCAATTATCCGATAATAATATTCACTAGTGTTTCAATAACTTCTTATTATTAATCGAATAATGGATACTCATAACTTTTGATCCCTTTACTATCAATATTGGCTAAGAGTAGTACCAGTAAGTATCAATATATAGTCCGCCGGTGCTTGCTGCATGTTTCCACTCAGTTCAACACATTCATGACATATACAGCAAATTACAGCATCCTCAAGTTTCGTATTCTGGATTTACAATACAGAAAGGTTGTATTGGGAATAAAGATCCGCACAATGGTAAAGAAGCCTCACCCGCCAGCTCCCCCGGACATACTCACCTAGGTGTCTTTCGACCACGTTCCAGCCAAACACCATCACCGAGAAAACACTTTTTGCAATTTCCACTTGCACCATATAAGTCCCCTAATGTAATAGACAAGTACATACGACCACAGGGTGTGGAAAACAGGGCTTCCCGTCCGCTCAGCCGTACTTAAGCCACACGCCGGGAGGTTAGTAGTTGGGTGGGTGACCACCAGCGAATCCCTTCTGTTGTATGTTTTTGCATTTGTTTTTATCTATCTTCTTAATTCGCTGCAGGAAGTAGAAGGGGGTCAAAAACACCCAGTAGTGTAACGAGCAAGCGTGAGGTTTTTCGCTGGGTTGTGTGGATTCAAAAAAGAGCATCAAAAGCAGTAAACTTAAAGAAACCCCGTCAGGCCTATGTTTAAGCCCCTTGAAAGCGATGAGAGAGACTTACAAGCAAGTTATGCATCATTGGAGTATATAACGAGTGGATTTACTCATCTCCACTCTGACCCAGAAACTCAGGGAGTCTTGCAAACACATCCTCCCATTTCTCCTTACCGTTAATGAGAGACTCGATAGCAACGAAAACTTCCTCCTGAGAGGCGCGGACTTGTTTTGTACTATCGCGCTCCCGCAGCGTGATCGTTCCATCTTTCACAGAGTCGAAGTCGATCGTGATACCGAGCGGGATACCCAATTCGTCATTCCGGGCATACCTCTTTCCAATACTTGCAGAGGACTCATCAGCGCGACAAGATATGCCCAGCTCACGGAGATCCTCAGTGATTTTCTTTGTTAGGAGAACAAAGTCTTGGTGAGTGGAGAGCGGGACAATGAGAACTTTCGTGGGTGCCACCGAGATGGGAAAGGAAAGAACCTGGATGAAACACATTAGTTTCAGATGAAATGAAATAGAAAGGATGGTCCGGCTGAGCTTATAGGAAGGAGTGACATACACCACGCGCGGGATCGTTAGCACGATGCCAGTAAACATGCTCCAGCAGACTGTAGAAAATTCGCCCAATGCCGAATGATGGCTCGATAACATTGGGGATGTATTCGCGGACGTTTTCAATTCTCGTTCTTTTGACGATACTGATGAAGTCTTTGGAAATCTCAACACGTTCTGCCATCTCGGGGACAGTGACTGAAATGATACCTTTCTCTTCTAGAATCGTAGCCAGGGACTCCCGCTCAGATTGAGAGAGCGAGGTCAGCGCCGCTTCCACAGCTTTGGCGTTTTTCTTGAAGACTGGTCCCAGCTTGGGCTTGCTGATGTCGATTTGCCACTCTTCTACTCTCAGCGGCTCGCTCCGGGATTCACGGACGACAAGAGGCTCTTTTGTTTTCTTGGAGTGCACGGTCAAATCGTAGGCGCTGCGATCCGCACATCCGACACATTCAATCCAGCCGTAAGTGGTCTGGAGCTCGGCGTCCCAGCAGTCAGTAGCATAATGGGCCATCTCGTTTGCCATGTGTTGACGGAATCGGACTTTATTCGTGTCGACGCCGATCTTGAGCAGAAAGACGTAGATGCGGCCCAGGAAGTATCCCAGTGTCTCATTTTCTACCATCTTACTAGCCACTGCTTCTCCGATTGTAGTCTTCTGGAGAGTGGTCTTACCACCCAGCTGGGTTGCGCGATCGAGGAAGCTGAGTTGCAGATCTTTGACCAGGTCAAACTTAGGATGCTTCTTTCCACCTTCCGGATCGACGAAGTGCTCGATCTCAGCCATCAGGAATTCTCTCACGCGGAGCAGGCCAGAACGAGGGGAAATTTCATTGCGGAATGATTTTCCAATAGAAGCAGACGCAAATGGCATCGAGTTCTGGTTGTAGTCCAGAAGTTTCTTGAAGTTTAGGAACTGGCCTTGGGCTGTCTCTGGTCGGAGATATCCTGGGGAAGCACTGCTGGGCCCGATAGTTGTCTTGAACATGAGGTTGAAGGGGACGGGTGGTGATACCGGTGCGTCTCCATCAGGCTTCCGAATTTCATACTTCTTGATTAATGTGCCGAGCTCGGATCCATCGTAGTTATCGATCTAGGAAGCCCACGATAAGTAGTAGAAGGGAATGACAAACCCTTATCTGCTCATACCTTGGCAAGAACCTCCTCGTATTCCGCGACGACAGCATCTTCCAACTTCATCGCCTTGATGTCGCTCACACTGGGACCCTTCTTCTTCCTTTTCCCTTCACCATAAGCTTTGTCACCTTCAGAAGCAATGCCTCTGGCTACCTTATCACCCTTCAGTCTCGCCTCAAGAACCGTTTCAATAAGGTGGTCGGCCCGTAAGAAATCTCCCTTCTTCAAATCCTTGCACATCCAGTCCTCGAATTTATCGACATGACCACTAGTCTTGAATACTTCCTCAGGTGTTAGAATTGTGCAATCCAGTTCGAGCATATCTTCCTGAAGGACGAAGTGTTTCCGCCATAAGTCCACAATGTTCGACTGAAGCGCACACCCTGGAGGTCCATAATCGTAGAGGCCCCTACTATCGCCTTTAATGTTTCCAGAGGTTCGGTAAATTTCGAAAGATTCGGTATAGAAAAGTCGACGCTTCAAAAGTGACTCAAAAAGTGTACGGTCGAAAGGATCGCCGTTGCGGGTTGTGAGTTCAGCCATGGCGATGACTCTCGAGGAAGTAATGGGTGGTGAGAGAAGGAAACCCTTCCAGATGGATCGATGACTCGACGAAATAAAAGGCCCGCCGCCAGGCAGGGATTCAGGTGATGTGAATTGTCATTGGGCCAAACTCCGAAAGCGAGGGCCTCATACATGGCGGTCCGAGCGTTGTGCGGCTGCGGCTGCGACTGTTCAACATAGTAGGAAAGACACTTATAGGTACCAAATAAATGTTATTGTGTCTATAACAATTATCTTATCATATAGATAAGAGTAGACCCTCAAGTACACAATAATATACCTATTTAATAACACATAGGAACAAATTACATTACTTAATTCAGAGGCAATTTCCATACATTCGCGCTGCCCCGGTGATGGGGCTGATACTCAGATAAAGCCCAGTCATAGAAGGCATCTGTAATAGCAGAGTTCACTGTCATCTTCGAGCGCCGCATCTCCTTACCAGTATAATGGAACCTGCCGAGTAAGATACGGCGGCATTGCACCAGACAAGACATCAAAATCAATGTGGACGCACCGGAGAGATAATCTGAGTCGTCATTCGCCGCGCTCTTACCTGACCAGGATCTCACAGTGGATACTATCCTTGAAGATGCAGATGACTTGCCCTTCCCTATGCAGTGAGCCTCGCATGCGCCCCAAGGTTGCAAAGCCTAATTGGTAAAACTGGAGAAGATTGGTTCAGGGGCCATAGAAATTACCGATAAGCGGACGGCAAAGCTGTCATTGATGGCTTCCCAACGGCTTTCCATATGCTTGCTGTCCATATGCTTGCTGAAGGGATGCTGATCGAATTCCTGGGAGATCTGAATGTACCCCGGGTAGGGTGAATGGAAATACAGTAGCCAATGACATCCCTTAGAGGCGAAGACATAGTTTCTTTTACCGTCAATAGTTAGTAAAAGCGAGACAAGAATTTCTTGCACATTCCGCACCAAGCACCATCCTCCAAGTTGTCTTCCAAGTCCGACTCACGACGATGGTTAGGCCCATTGGTCTAGCAGTGCCAGAAATGTCCTTTGTAGGGCAGTGGCGATCAGAGGAAACTCACATCCTGCATAGCCAAGATTCAACGACACCCCAAGCCACACCCACTCGTTATTTAGCGTTGAATCTAGTGGTCAACCTTCATATTATAAGTCGGGCTTAGGATAAAGAAGCCAAAAAAAATGATTAAAAACATACAACAGAAGGTGTATGTCGGTGGTCACCGAGCGCCCCAGATTGGCCCGTCGCTGCTTTATTCAGTCCATTCAGTCATCTTCAGGTCGCTTTGGGGGCGCTGTCAGCGTCCTGAGCCGACCCCTCTAAAACGTGCTGCGCTACCGGGATGTGCTGACCGGGGCAGCCAGGCTGACCGGATATTATAAGACCTGTTCTTCTCTTTCACCAGTCGGAATCTGTATCTTCTTATCCTTCACATGTTCGCTCTTCTCTCTGTGCGCTGATGTATACTGCTAAGTATGGTGGTGAAAGGGGTACGCTCAAAAGTCTATCAGCAAGTCAACCTCGACGACCATGACAACTCAGAACGCAAATCCAGAGTACTGGGTCGGACCGAGAACCAGTATGATAGGACTTTAAGTCTTTTTGATGAGTTAGAAAACTTTCTCTTTCTAGGCATGTCTCCCACTTACGGAATCCAGCTTTCTTGAGCTACATCCCAAAGCCTCATATCCGCCCGATATACGAACTTACAAAGGATTTATGGAATTTGTGAGCAAAAATACACGAGGTCGGCTGGGAGTATTTCCTACACCTGAAACAATGGAGGGATTTCGCCGGCGGTTCGAGTCTGCACTCCGTCTACGTCGCGACTATGATATGCCGAATCATATATCCACAACAATTCGAGATTATATCGCGAATGATCTTAAAGAAACTGTCCCACTTTGCGAGGATGAAATGCCCAAAGACTCTGTATCGCCTAACGATCTCATGATTATTCTAACACACCTCTGGTGCCGTGATTTCAAAGAGTACCGCGGGAAATACCCTGACAGGTCGCGAGTCCAGCTTAGCGCCTCTTTGCTGTTATACTGTTTTACGTCAGCGAGGACTGGGGAGGTGCATGAATCTACAGCTCGTCGAGAACTGTCACGGAAGAAGACGAGCTTGAGTACCAGTCATGGTGGTGATGATGGTGATCTTGAAGCTCGTGTTCTAGCAGCATGTTATAAGGTATCTATTCCTCAGCAGAACTTTGTCTTATAGACTGACTCCCGAATAGCACTTTATACTTACTATTGAGTGGGTGGACGGTATCAAGATGCTCGTCCTCACATATTCCCGTGTCTATGTGAAAGGCTACTGGAAGAAAAAGAAATGGCAGCTCCCAATTCATGGGTTCTATGAAATATATAAAACGGAGATTCCTCTTTTTTTCAATCTCTTGACGTTCTTTCTCCCTATGGCATGCGCAGATCGCGCCTTCATGGATTATACGTCTGTCGGAGAGATCATGGATGCAGCTGAAAACATGCAGGGTGACAATGATGAGAAAATAATTGCTAAACTCGAATTCAGACCAGAGATGGAAGACATTCCCATCTTTCGGCCATACGATGAGCAGGCAGTTGAGGATTCTACTGGTCGGTCTCGCGGAGCGGATTCTTTTGGTAAAGAACTTGCAGAACTTGGACATCGTGCAGGCTATACAGAAAATATTACAGGGCGTGCCTGCCGCCGATGGGCACTAATGGAAGCTGGTAAGTAATCTATATGTATTCTCCATCCCTTACTAATGTTGGGCTTACACAGATAAAAGCCACTCTGAAACTGCAAGAATGAAGTTTGCAGGGCATGTCAATAAGGGTACTTTCGGCAGATCATATGCACACCCACTCTCTGAAGTAGATGGCCCGGCCACCTACCTTGGCATTCCCGGCCGTCATGAGCATATACAAAACCGGCGCAGCATGGGAATCCACAGGCACCCACAACTTTGGCAGTCGCTCCCCGCCAAGGCAGAGTTCGAGTTTCAGGAGCGACCGGATATCATTGAACTTGATCGACAGATGCAATGTCTCACTGACGAGCTGAGCAAGCTTCAAGGTCCTATTAGCAAGAAGGAAGTGCAGCTAGGGCAACATCGAATATACAACGAAAAGCAGAGGCTTTATATACAAGAACTCCGAACCTTACAGCGAGCACAGAGGAGAACGTCGGTTATACAGCCGACTGCTACATATGAACAGACACTTTTTTATTACACACGAAAGGTGATGCCAGAGCGCGATTTACTCGCTCAGCTTCTTCCCAGGAACGACTTCCTGCGAAGCCCCACAGGGAGAGCAGCTCTGGAAGCCCTTGAGGCTATATGTGCAGGTCGCAGTGCGAGTACCTACGGTGCAGGAATGCAATCTGTGAATGGGGAGTGTCTTTGTGGACGCTTGCTTACAGCGTAAGTATTTGCTCTGATATAAGTAATATCTACTAATAGCGTAGTCATCATCCTCACCGCCGTTGGTCCCATTTGTATGACTGTCATGAGAAGTACTTTCGCAAACGGAGCCCTGCGGATTTTGCACAGTGCTGTGTCACTTGTTGTCGCTGGTTCACAGAGCCTGAAGAGTGGACATCGCATTGCGAATACCACCTGGAAAGGCCCGATGAATTGCTCCGCTGTGACCTTATAATTTTTCGACATGCTCTGGCTAAAGCAGCATACTGCCCATTTTGCCTGGGAGATAGCAGCCTTAAGCCCCATGAGCGCATGCAACAGTTTCTTGATCGCAGCAAATGGAATAGTCACATTAACTCTCATCTTTCCTCTGAGGCACTATTTAACCGATATCATTGCCGGCACCCAGCCTGTTCCGAGGACCTAGCAAACCTGATGGAATTGAAATGGCATTTAGAGGATGTGCACTGTATCTTGCCCCTGCGAGGAAAGAAAAGGAAAGCTGATACAGAATGATTAGGATTTGTCACGGTGTGGGAGTTTGCAAAGTATGTGGCTATCTGAGGGACTGCCATTAGCTACCGCTTGCCAGTAGATCCCAGTGTTTTTACATCTCCATAAACTCTGTTGTATATAAAATGACATCACTTGCTTCCCCACTCTTAACTAAATATGCTTAGTATTTTACGGACAATCTATATAACAGATGCTGAAATAACGCTCATCCCTCCAGAATGAATGACCAAGTACTAAGGCATCCTATTTCTATAAGTTTATCATGTTGTCTGCATACTTGTATTACCCCATCTACTGTAGTCTTATCTTAGGTATGATATCCTGCTCATGTTGTCTGGCAATACGTCTGCAGACCTCGTACCAAACAACCCAGAAGCTCAGTGTCGAGGATGGTAAGTAGGTATACAAGATGATTGACAGATAATGGATACTAATCATACCCCTTACAGTCTGTCTTATAATGTCTTGGGTATGTGCCAGTTACTGTGAACTAGATTTCTTAGACTTATTCAAATGATGACAGGCTTTTATCATAACGACCCAAGTAATAATCTTATGTGGGGATGATAGATTTTATTTTCACTTTTAGCAGGGCTGACCAAGGAAAAAGGGGCATTAGACCACGCAGGTCTCGGGTGTCACATATGGTACCTGAATGAGAAGACTGTTAGTATATATCAGAAGGTATGTCATGAAAACCGACTATTATTCAAGGTAGATTTGAGGTTAACATTCCCAGCTTCTTCTCTCGGTATTCTGTTCATTTGTTTCCGGGATGTATCTGACCAGGCTTTCTCAACTAATCTTCCTATACCGGGTGATCATTATCTCAGACACCCAATGGCTCCGTACCGTCCTAGTAGCCGTTATAGTGCTGATAACTCTAGGATCATGCACTCTGGTTGCCTTTTTCGTCTTTGCTTGTCGGCCAATATCAAAATCTTGGAATATTGCACATCCAGGGAAATGCATTAACAAGGCTGCCATATTTGTATCAGTGGCAGTGTTCAATATCATTTCAGACTTCTGTCTAATTGGCCTACTTGTCCTGCTGATATGGAACATACAATTATCAAACTCCCATAGAAAGAAATTTTTCATTCTCTCCAGTTTGGCTTGTTTGTCGGCATACCCAAATTCCACTACTAGTGATATAGCTAAGGAATACAGGACATTCATCGCGAGTGCTGTCCGCTTACGATTTACTGTTCCTCTACTGCATTCCGAAGACCTGACATACAAAATGGCACCTGTGGCCTTATTAGTGTATGTTGGAGAATCTACCAAATATTTACGTCGCTAACCTTATTGCACTTAGTGGAATAGAAGCTAATGTGATTATTATCACTGTATGCTTTCCTGCAATAAGACAATCAATCCGGAGAACAGCATTGAGCACTTCCATGCGGTTTTGAATGTAAGGATAATAATGTTAATGGCCATGTTCAGTCCATGTAGTCAAGCTCTCGACTAAAAAGCTGTCCAGGTTCTTGTGATATTCGATCTATTGTGTAGCGCATCAGTGATACATCTCATGTAACGGGTTTATGGCATTACTGTACCATAGAGCGTGACTCCTGAGCATGTTCCGAGTCAAGTGTTTCTAGCTTTTCCGACGAAGCTAACGACTCTCCTGATGACCATTCGAATTGGTGACTCGTCTGGGGGTTGCATGGCGTTTGGAAATGCTTTTTACGCTTGCTGCTATAATCTGCAAGAGTTGAACCCGCATATACCTGATATGCATAGTTTGCAGGTTTCTCCTGGGGTAGTCTCAGCTTCTGCCTTTGTAACCTTTTCTTAGAGCCTATTCATAGTTAATTCTGTCTTCCGAAATGCAAAGTTCCTTGAAGAAAAGATTTACGGTGTCGGCGCTGGGCAAGACGGTTTTGCACTCGTCGTCTTAGAACGGGATCAGATATTTTTCTCCAGTCTTCCTCTGTCTCTATTGCGATATCCGAGAAATGCCCGACTCCGTGTCGACTTATAGTATTGTTGGACATGGTGACAGAAGATAATAGATATTTCACCGGGAATCTGCCCGCCGCAATCTCTAGAGGCCTATCCTCTAGAATATTTCAGGGAAGCAGACCTTGGAAATGGCAATCCATATATAATCACGTCTAGTTACAAGGTTCCAAATTGGTCTTGTCTACTGAACCATCGAATTCAATGACAAATGAGAAATTTTAGCGTAGAGGGGCGGTGGTGCCCATCATGAAACAGTTGCACTATAGCTTATTAACGACGCAAGCATCAGAATTTCCGGTTGAGCCGGCGCGCTGCTGAAGGTCCATTCTATTGTTATTTAGACCTGCAGGCCTTTATGCACATGGCAGTGTTTCGTTTATCTTTTTGCGTAACTGATCCTTGCTAACCATAATCGGATAATTCCAGAGATACGATAGAGCGGTCTACACTTCCCTCATATTCGAGTGTGTGCTGCTACTACACATACAGTTGCAGAAGCTGTATACCATAGAATCCAATTTCCATATTATCGCGCTGTGATCTGATTTACCAAAAATGGAGATAAGTGGCCTCGAGCAAGGCGTGACAGTACTGGATCACCGTTGCAAAATATTTACCAACATCTATTTCCCTCCACCCGCAGCCCGCCAAAGTCCTAACACTCCAGAGGTACCCTTCCCCCTTGAGTAGAAATAAATGAATAAAATAACAATAACTTAAATCAAGTGGACGGCCAAGGGCATGCACATGTCAGGGTCCCATTCACGTTTTCAATAAAGTCATCTGCTCCAGTCAGCATCCTACCGTAACCCGGGAACCAGGGCATGCATACTCATGAAAATGGGCTGGTATGTTTTCCCGGCAAACAAGCAGTCGTTGTATCCCACAATATCCGAGTTCCAGAACTCGCATCCCGATAACAATCTGTCCACATCAGCAACTGCTTGTATACTTGTGAACTGACTCACGCATTGTGCCAGCCTTCAAGTACAATATCACAGGATTTGATAGGCAATTCGCTTATGCTCCAGACTTTACTCTCAAAGTTATAACAGGTTGCGGACAATGTTCCCGACCCATCAAGCTCGGGATTTCGACAACTGGAACTGAAAGACCCGCAGGCAAGCGAGCCGACAACGGTACATGATAACATCCAAAGATAGAGAGCCATTGCTATGGTTGATCCAAAGATTTGAGGAAAGAAAAAGTACTATTGATTCACCACGGCTAGGAGCAAGGTATCGAAGGTTGGTGTGTAAATATCGATAAGGGTGGGGAGACAGTCGACGTATATATAGTACGTCATGGGACGACGAGGATTGTCGAGTGTGGTAAGGCAGTGCGAGCTCATCAACAGTCAGGTAATACTACCTGATACAGCCTGGTTGTGTTTTCAATAAGCGTCTAAACCATGGTCATATAGGCACATGATCTAGATAAAACACCTATTTATCTACTAAAGTTGGTATCCTATAACCGCTCGCAATACCGACCATTGTCTATATAGGGTAGTCAGATTTTGACCCATAATTGAACAGCAGGCCTACCTGAATAGAGAAGTCGATTTATAGGCTCCTTCTTCCTGGACGTAATCATACTCTTCTACTGAGGTACAAGTTACGCTTACAGGACTCAGGACCTTAGCTCCTCTACACGCCGATTGCTTTACGTATCAAGTCCGTCACCCTCGCATTCATTTCCTATTAATGTACAGTCCGCAGTCTGCTCTCTCTCTCTCTCTTAATAGTGTGCCACACGTATAGAAGTCTCATTTTCAAGGTCAACAAAAGCCATGTTTTGGGGCGATCGTTCAACAGTACTGTAGGTACAGGTCACCTATCTTACATCTGATTTCATCTAACGCTTTTTGCAAAGTGTCCGAGAAGGCAAGATACCTAATGAACAAGTCTTAATGTCCGCACACACTCTTGAGAAAATGAAGTTACAAGCAGATGAGCTTTCATGGCTTCAATATCGCGGACATGAACGACCTTTCGTGCCAGTTATAGATGAATCTATCCCATACAGATCTGTTTCAATAAGTCTGGCAGCGCGACAATATCTTGGGATGGATACTGATAAGAAAGCTCGCTTGATAAAGAAGCCTATTCCACTGGTAGGTGCTTATCCTCAGTAACAATTCATCAATCTTACGCCACCAGCATAGGCAGATGAGGTTTACCTGTGTCCAACGGGAACCACGGAAAACCTTAGCGGCAGATTACTCCATGATTTCGTCAATCCATACTTCAGCCGTTGTGCCAGGTTGCTGTATGTCCATGATCATATTATTATCTCCTCAGGCGCGTGTGATGTCGAGTTCAGAGTCCTTTCAATGAAACCTCTAGAATATGGCTATGTCACACAGAGGACAAATATTATACTCTCAGGACTGCGACCATACCGTGATCTCGATATGTTGGAGAGCCTGTCGGACTACGCACGAGAACTACAAAAAGAGCTTGATTACTTATATCCGTCTAACTATGCCAGTTCAATTGCTAGGATTTCCTTTCAATTTGGAAGATTTATTGATCAATTAGAAGCATTGGACCTTCCTCCAATGTATTGAATATGTAATATTGTGCATAATACAAAGCCTTCTCTATCGGACATCGTACCAATTGCTAGTTATTGTAATGGTACCAGGCCGTGGTTAAGTAGACATATCAATTCATCGCGGAGTGATGGAATTTTCTTCTGAAAACCAGCATTGATGGAGAAGTGAACAGCACAGATGTGAACGAGCTCGCATTACTCCCCAACTCATCTGTTGCAGTCTAGTCAGCTCACTGCCGCAAAAACAGACGTGCAAGGAAAAAGTTTCAATTGTTCTGTGGTCCTCTGGGATAAGAGCCTACACACTCCATTTATACTTGTCATTATGGGAATATATTGTAACATCTCATTGGCTCGCATTGGTAATATGAACAGTCCTCAGTACTATTCCGCACAATATATTCAATATCTGTCATTGGCCTTAGGATGGGATATCAGGCCATGTTGAATCTATTCAACTGAGCACGAAGTGCTTGGATTTCCTTTGCCTGCTCGCTTAGTTTTGTATTCATTCTAACTTCATTCCGGAGACTATTCAGGAGCTCTTCGACCATAGCCGCACCTGTATCATCGGGTGCTGCTCGGTCATCAAGCTGCAACGGAGGCTTATCTGCCTGTTGTTTTGGCTCAGCTGCCTGTGGCACTGTAGACTTAGAGTATCCCGCCAGATTCTTGCTGATGTGATTCGGAGCTGGTCTTCTATACTTCCGATAAAGATCTCGAACATCGTAGTCTGCATCAACGCCCCTTCGTATATCGCGATAGTTGGTTAATGTTACGAGATGGGGCTTAGACTGTTCTGGATTGCTTGTGTCCTTGACCCCAACCCAGGTAATATGTTTCGGTCCCTTGTGTTCGAAAACAGCCAATACCTTGTACTTTCGGCCGTTATCGGGATCGCGCTCGAGTCTTGTCATCTCAATGCGTCCTTCCGATGCCATATAGCTATCAACGCTGTCATGCCCGACTTTAGCCCCAGCCCGAAGTTCACCGATGGGGATTTTGTCGTTCTCCAAGACAGCGACCCTATAGCCGTTACCAATCTTCTGGATCCCACATATCAACTCATTATCCCTACTTCTTATCCGTGGCGGAGAAGAACTTGGCTGGGGATTGTGTGGACCAGGTATATCATAAGACCAGGTATCAGGATAGTGATTTTTGGTACACTGAACTTTTATTTCATCATTCACCGTCTCCACCTTCCTCCGAGCCTCAGTACTATTTGGATCTTGTTCAAGGCTCGGAAGCCAGTTTTGCATCGCTGAGTAGGAAGAACGCAATTTTTCTATATCAATAATAATAGAGTCCATGGTGCCATTTTTGTTCTCGTATTCTCCTACCCAGCTATTCAGTCTTTGAAGAGCTTTTAGAGCCTCCTCGTCTCCGGGTTGCTTCTTTAGCTTTTGTATGTGATCATCAGCGAGCTTGTGTAGGATTTCACGGCTGCACTCTGGGCTTTGATCGGGGAGTCGCCATGACTCCGGCCAATCAAACGCTCTTGCAGTGTCGGCCAATGACAACTGATACTGCTGATACACTTTCAACGCTTTTTCATCTCCGGCTTTGATCTCAGTTCCTAGGGCCTCTCTTTCTTTGGCGAGTTGTATGAGGTACGATGACAAAATAGTCAACCGTCCGGAGGATTGTGCCAGGTCAGGATGGTTTTCATAATACTGTGACAATTTTCCTTCCGCCTCTGACAGTCCCTTTTGTGCTGCCTCGTCCTTTGCGTGTTCAAAGAGTTTCAAAACATGGGGAGTCGCTTCCTGGTATATGGCTTTGACTTCATCTGGAGCATTTGCCTTCCTGATTTCCTTTTCAGGGCTCTTGGTTTCGGCGTCTGGTTCTTCATCATCAGATGAGGAACTGTCACCATCATCATCATATGCACTTGGATGCCATGAAGCTGATATATTCAACTCAGTACACTGGTCTTTGTCAAGGATATTCTCAGATGCTTCAACAAGCACTATTGCCTAGTCAGAGTAGATAGACTTAGACTGATATACTTGACCTACTCATAAATGCTGTTCGGGCCTTTCGTCCTCCATTGTTTTTGTCAGGATGAACAAGCAACGCCTTCTTCTTAAATGCTTTCTGAACAGCCGTTTTATCACGTGATCCCGAAATACCCAAAATTCGCTCATAGTCGTTCTCCTCGCCATCCAAGATCCTCTGAATTTCTTTGGATCTCTTCTGCTGAAGTTTGTCTGTCTGCAGAGGGCTTTCGGTTGGTCTCGCATTGTCAGTAGGCGGGCTTGATATCTGCTGGACTTTCGGAGTCACAGAAGGCACATGTTTAGCGTCGCTGGAAGAATGCGGTGCCTTGTCCGAAGAAACTGGGAGTGACAATGCATTCGCATTGTGGGCCTTTACATCATCCTTGGAGCCCTCCTCAGTATGAGCAGCATTGTCAGGCCTATTTGATGTATTCTGGCCTCTTGGAGCCTTGGAAGAGTTAGGATTGTCCGAAGAACTTGTCGCGATGTCCGTCGTCTCAGAATGATCATCCTCATAATAATCTGTCCTAGTCCTGACATCAGTAGCAGGAAGAGCAGGAGTATTGCTTTGGCTCATTGTGGGTATTGATCGAACTTAAACTGATAGATAGCCTGATAATAGATTGATTTATAGTATAAAAGCAGTTTTGGATACAGTTTGATAAAACGTTGCCGAGTCACAGTTTGTTCTGGGAGATTAGGCATATTTATACTTCTGCCAGCTGTGCGTAGTCAAAGATTTCAGTAATTGCCGTCAGCAGTGTCAGAGGTCTGAAACATACTATCTCCTGCTGAAACCATGTGATTATCAGGAAGCCCAACAAATGACGAGTTTTTCACTGACCACTGCTCAGTCTTAGAAAATGGTGTAATGGAGCTGAAGGCATTTAGTTTTCAAAAGTAATTTTGTCTACCTGCCTACTAATGCTAGGGCTGTTCGTGTTACCTTTTGACTCATCTACTGTACATATACTACTGTACTTGCCCTATACCAAATAGACGATTCCTGGAACACAACTTGCCTCCGATCTTCAAAGGTCAGTACTGGTGAGACATGAAAGTCTCGGAAGAATACTCATTTTAAAGGATACTCAACATGCTCGGAATGAAAACTACTTTACTGAGGCCATTTCTTTTTGTTAGGAACTTAAATTCATCTAAGCACGATTAGCTTCTATTATATGGCCTATATACATACACAACTGGCGGAATCATGCAAGTCGTATATGGTGTACCACGGCAATGAAAAGTAATTTGAAGTGACAGTACATGGTGGTGTAGCTTTTGCAGTCGATGATATTTGGTAGAGAGGTGTTCAAACCATTTAAATCCAGTACATATGACTACTGTGGCTTTCTTAGAGACTGTAACCTTTCTTTTCTTGTCTTGAATAGCTCGACCCTAGTCTTGGGTAACTGGCTTTCAGGCACCCATATCTGCATATGGTGCTTATTGCAAGTTCCGTATCTTTTAGTCTCAGTCGGGATCCCTTCTAGGTTTGCAATGAGATTGAGCTCATTTTCCCTCACCCAGATGCAGACTTGAAACTCTTCTCTGCGATTTCTCACGCGTAGATCATTGATGTACCATTGCCGTTTCGACGATAGACCTAGCATATAGCAAGACTTGATAGCTTCTGTATGGACTAGGTCGTTTGGCGTTACATTCAACTTCAGTCGTAACGGTCTCTGAGGCTCAGACCATCGTCGACAGTGTGTGGACATTCTGACCAGATTCTCATCTGCTGATTGCTGTGATATACTCTCAGTATCAGGAGTAGACAAGGCCCAAAAATCCCGGGCAACTAACCTCTGGGGTGTATACTTTTTAGGTTCAAAAGTTGTCTATACTGCTAGCGGGCGCTATTCCAACAAGCAGGATATAAGCAAATGGGACCTTCATATATAATACACCCCCTTCGGGGGGATATAGGGAAACATGAGACTCCCCTTATATGTTATCTTAAGGTAATGCTTACCATGACTTAAAGAGTTTACAAAGGCTTATCATATCAACCACGCAGTTATTAGGCTCGAAGCTAAACCCAGCAATATGAACATGACTTCCATGCTCTATTCATCTAGGCATTCAAATGTCTGTTCTGCTATATGCAGTCCGGAAATTACGGGGACAATGCACAATCATGCTTCAATGTGCATGGCTTCAAGTCATAGGTACAAAGAAACCTATGATAACCGGTCAATGGAACATATTTATTTACCCAGAAAACATCGGCTCAATACTTCCATAATGCCGACTTTATGCGTCGTAAGGATGATACTTATCGGGGTAATATTCATAATTATATTTTATATCATATTCACTTCGCCTGCATGATGGCGCTCCATGATGGACAATCACTCCCAGATGCAAGCTACTGGGACTATATAGGGACATCTGTAAACTAGTCAGGTTTTTACTAGGCTGTTTCATCATATCCCTGACAATATAATCTGAAAGAGCTTGGTAAATCAAGAAGCCAATTCTGCATTTAGTTGTATAATTTTCGGTAATACTATGAAACTGGGACACATTTATGCAAAAGGAGCGAAGCGAAACACAAAGTCTGAGGTGGACCATTGTTTTCATGCAGAAATTCCACGACGGCCTAATAGTGTTATGGAAGACCATACATTTCATAACCATAGATCAAGAAAGCAGTGAATGCCAGTGAATTACTCGGTGCGCCTTGATACTCTTGATTGAAGTGAAAGCCCTGCCGGATGGCGAACACATCAAACTCACGCCGGTGTACAAAAATACCCCGGATACAGTGATAGTAGTCAGGATCGCATAGACTACTTCTATCCTCGTTATCCGGAACCGGCCGTAGGTTCAGATGTTGTCCTGCTAATGAGATTCGTGATAATATGAGTCTTCTTAGAGATAGCGATTCCTGAAAGTACTGGAAAAGTGGGCTCCATGATCCAGAGGTCAGATCCACCTTCTCTAAATGCAGCTCTCTAACACCTTGGTGATTCTGCAAGAATTGTAACAACGAACTTGAAGTTGTATATATTCCCAGCAGCGTAAGCTTACTGAGTAGTGGAAGACGGACGGTATCGGCGATTGTATCAAAAAATCGGTGGTAAGAACTGGCATCTCCTCTAACGGTACGACGTAGACCGAGGACCAATGATTCCAGGTTTGGCATATTTTGCAAAAGACGGGCGACACCATCTAGGCCGTCGGTCAATACTGGATTGGAATCAATCCGCATGGAAAGATCAAGTGCAAGGCATCTTATTGACTGGCCTGTCGATAATGAACATCCTCTTGTATCAAGGTTATCCATGTTAGCAGTTATCTCATTGCAAGGTACTGCGCAGCGAATAGTTTCACGGTAGATAGTCAGATTGTTCATCACAATGCTGCTCTGAGATAGGGCCAACATGACTATGTGGTATATCTGACTTGCTTTAGCCCAGATTATTTGCCAATCACCCTGGGTTCTGAAAGTGTCTGGATGGGGTGCGGTTATAGCGGTAGCCTCCAAAGCAATGGTATCTAACTGCCCAATGTGGTTGAGAATAGCTGCCAGACTCCTTGCTGTATTGTCTTCATCTGCAATTTCAGATGCCGAAGATCGGGCTTCCAGCCATTCTAGATCCAACTTTGCTTGCTTCAGCTCATCTTGAGAACAGTCCCTAGCAGCCAGGTGCGGGATACGTGCTCGGTCTTCACATCGCCTCGTGCGGAGAACTCTCTTTAGAAGCGACGGATCATAGACTTCCGCTATGATAGTCAGCTTTCTGATAGCTCGAGACAGGATAGGATGGCGGGCAAGTGGTATCAAAGACCGGAGGCTTTCGGTAGTTAGATTTGTGACTTGATGGTGAAAAAAGGACTTAAAGTATGGTCCTAAACATAAATCTCTCCAGGCCCTGTTGGTTAGGCGTAATGACTTGATGCTCTTCAGATCAAGATATCCAACAATTGTATCAACTACAATCACTGGAGGGGATGAAAACACATTTTTGGATGAGGGCATGCTGGCTATGGATAGACTGTTGCTGTTAGCACGTGTCATTTCATTCGACGTCCGTCCAGAGTAGTTATCCTTGGTGTTGAGGAAGAGAGCTCTCATCACACTTACAATATGAAATTCGTTGTAATATATTTGATGGACTGCTGAAGAATCGGATATGGATCCGATAGATCTCCAAAGACTTAGAAGCGCTTTGAATATCTAGAAAGATTACGGAAAGATTCTGGAGGATGGCAAAGACATGGAACCTTGAAGAACTTGATAGTGGGCAAGTTTGCTAACTTAAGGGAGCATCAGCCCTGGCTAACCTTGCATACTCATAGAGATTCTCAGATCCTTATAAAGATTTAGGCCGATTTTCTTGGCGGAAGGACAGTGACGGTAGGATAAGCTATGAATCAAGATTGCAGATTGCTTGCTTGAGTAAGTACTCAGTATACAGTATATTGAGCTTCTTTTTCCTGGTAAAAAAAAAAAAAAAAAAAAAAAAAAAAAAAAAAAAAAAAAAAAAAGAAATTCCCTTGGCATCGGACAAGAGCCTATAACGAGGCTCTTCGGTGATGGTGGTGCCGACAGCCTCTCTTTCAACTAAGGTTTTAGACATAATGTAGACGTCTAGCCATGATACGTTATCTTGGAATGATGATAGCAGTAATTGGGCTGCTGGACATCTTGTTTTATCGATTCACGTGGGCTGTGTGCGAACAAGTGAAATATTTAAATGCAGGAGCTCTCGGCAAGGTATGAGACTGAGTATAATTGTCAAACTGATGGATCATACATCAGTTTCCATAGCCTTGATATCAAACATGTTTTCTGGCACCATTACACCGCCAGTAGTGAGCGGGACCTCTATTACCTACGACACAACATCAGTTTCAACCGGTTACATTCGCCAGACAGCAACGCCTTCAATTACAAATATCACGAGCAATGATGCAGAGATCGGCAAGCTGGTAATTCTGCTAAAAGCCGTCGGTCTCCTGACAGTAGCAGTGGGTATACAACTGCTGCATCTTATATGAGTATACGAGCGTACATGATATTCCTTGTTTCGGAATAAGCGCGTGATAGTGGAATACTGATAGTGTCACCAGAAGATCATGTACAAGCCCCCACACCCGTCAGCCGGTTCTAATATCCCGTTGCCGCAGTGGACAATACCAAATTCTTGAATCTCAAGCTGCCTTACACCATCAGTCCAGACTGCACCTCCTTTTGCCGACTGTCGTAAGCAGAAAATCCACTGCGATGACACGATTTCGTATATGTCGCGCTCAAGTTGGAGGATGGCAGGTGACAGAAATGGATCCTATCACATGTCAGTATTAAACATAGCGGCAGTGCAGCTACGCACCTTTAGTATATCTCGCATGAGGGAGAGCAAATGATGTACGTCAAGTGAAGTGTCTTCTTCCATCTTGTAAGGAATACCCTCTTCAAACGCCCCTGTCGAGTCGCAGAGGATACAAATATTATTAACCACACCCGTTATGTCCGGTACGGGTTCAGAAACAGTAATGACGGACATCTCTGCTTTCCTGTAGTCCCGAGAAGGAGGGATTGTTTGAGATGGAGTTAAAAGCTTTATTTCGACTGTTAAGCCTAGTAGATTAAATAGTAGTTGTAGTGGTCTCATGTCAGATCCTGAGCTTTCTACCGCACTATATATACCACTGGCATATCAGCTGTCCGGTGCTATCTAATATGGAATACGTACATTAATGGCGCGGGAGTGCATAGTGATGTTTAGTTCGGAAGTATAAAGTGTGTTTGTGATCAATTCTGACAGGAAGATGAATAAGCTAGATACAAGGCGCGTGGAGCAGAAGACCTAGAATCAAAATAATCCAAAGTATCAGACAATTAATTGAACAACTAATAATAAAGCATATTCAAGTATAGGACATGTACAAATGTTCAATTTCCATCAATGCTTGAGGTACGAGATCAACATAACTGGTTCGATGTTCATTAGGTTCAACCCGAGACCTTTTGCAAGATGCCAATAAAAAAGTCCGACGTAAGTGGCTCTTGTGTGATCTGCTCAGGAGACAGTTTCTCAATGCGATAGTAGGCCCCCGGGTCTTTCATATATAGCAGATCAGTGGAAAGTTCGTCACATGCAGTGTGAAGTATTTTGGACCTAAGATCAGTGTAGAGCTCTCCTAAGATCTTACACTCTCGTAATGAAAGATCTCGGTAAGAAGTAGCATTCAACTTTCGATGCCAGCGAGGTGGTCCGATATTGACGACACGCGGAAGAAGACATAAGATATTTGGGTCGTTGTTTCCAACATGCTCAACAAGATGACACCAGTAAATGGCTTTCTTATCTTTCAGAATAGTCATGATTCTCTCACGTGTGACAGTCTTATGATGCGGTTTCTCACTAAGGATCAGATCCGCGAGCATTTCATGACTTCCAGAGTGGTCTCTCCTCAACCTTTGTAGCTTCCAGCTACCCAGACGGAGGCCAATGGTAGAAAGTGCCTGACTCTTTTGATGCAAACAGTAGGCATCAAATGTGCCCCAAGGTGTCTCGGAAAAGTTGGGACTTGTCGATGCAAGCTGCTCCCTTATATGCCGTAAGCACTCTTGGAGTGAAATCAGGACATCGGGCGAGCCGATGTTCATAGCAAGTTGCATCAACTCACTGGCACGGTCCATGCCAATGGGCATCTGGTTATTGTCCTTGCGCGCTGCAATTTCACCAATCTTGTCCCACAGCGTGGTGCGGAAGCCATGATGCTCACCAAATCCTTTCCAGAATGCCTCAAGGGAGACGGGTGTGCCATCAGGGGTTGGTAAATTTCCTGGCAAACCCAGTCGAAGCAGACCATAACTGCTCTGAGCTGCCTTAAAATCATGCAGGACCTCGCGGGCGAGTCTCAACCGGTAATCGGCAGGCACAGGTTCCTGGGCATCCATCCACTTCGTTCTCCGGCGGGTGACCCAGAGCAGCCAAGACCCGTCGGCGCATTCCGTGGGTATTGCTTGGTGCTGAATATTCCATTGCGGTGTTCTCCTCCTTTCCAGATGCAGTAGCTGAGTGACTTGCTCCTTGATTCTAGGGCAAATTCCGCAGTGATCGTGATCTTCCGGAGGTGTGGTATTTCCACCTATATAATGAATCAATATTTCTGCCTGGCACTGGATCTCCAAAAGTGAGTAGCCAGGATCGTCAACCATCAACAATATGCGCTGTGGACATTGTCGCAACTCTTTAAGCTCGATCCATCTCCCAGTCCATGTTTCAGGAGCGGTCTGTACCGCTGCCAGCTTGCATGCGAAGTAGTCCACTGTTGCTGCCCCGACCGGCTTGTCAGCGCATACCAACTCCCGGAGAAGAGTTTGGACGAATCCACCGTCAAAGGTAGACCAAGTAGTTGGAAATATATCCGACTTGGAGATGTGATCCAGTATCTGAGACCGATCACCCTCATTCTCTAGGTCAAAGGCAATATCATTCAGGTTTGCCGCAAGCCTGATTGAGCTTGGAGTAGCAGAAGTGGACAGATCTGTAGAGAGCCCCATAATCTCGGGAACATCATGCAAATCAGGTGTGGCAGATGTCGGCCCATTCAAGTTTTCGGAATGGGTATTGTTCATGCTAGCAACGGGGGTCTCCAAGCCTATAGGCATCTCAGGGTGGGCCACAGTATTGGACCCCGCCAACCATTCCTCCCATGAACCGGGTGAGGTGGGCGGACGTAAGTCCAAGTTCATATTCGGGCCCGACTGAGGAGTTAACTGTGGTACGAACAAATGATCATCCCCGGGTGTGAATGAGTTCAAGACCGTATCTCCCATATTGTCGACCATCTCCATCAATGTCCCGAAATCCTGAAGTTGAGACCCTTCAGGCACCGGCCCTTGGGGTACCAGGTCCAAATCATTGTTTGGCATGCCCCCCAAAAAGTCTTCAGGAAAGATAGCCGCAAGGTGGCTAGGTGATATAGACATGTCGAGACCATCTATTTCCGCGGGGCCCGTCTGAAGACTATCCAACTGATTCAGAGCGCTCTCGGCACCCGCGGTAGTATCCTTCGCGCCATCTTCTCCCCTGGACGATAGACGCTTGGGCGACGGCATCAAGGCATAATGGTAACTGGTTGAGGCGATCGAGTGAGATGGCGACAAACCGTCCTCATGAGGGCGAAGCAGGCTAGCGACATATTGAATAATCTGGCGAATGTTCGTTCGATCAAGCCTTCCAGGTGCTGATGTCTGTAAGACCGGCCAAACAACATTAATCAGCTCAACCTGTAGACCATTTAGTCTGAGAATCGCTCAATGCGGCTTAACTGTTACCAAGGATTTGGTCACATCCTCCCGACTTCCCCCGTCTTCCTTCCATTTGTCCAGAGCCATGTTAACTGCCCGCTGCGGTTAGATTAGCATTTATACGAGCATAGTGCGCACCTATGACTGACCGTTTTGGCTTCGATCTCTTTCTTCAGTTCAGCCTGCATCTTCTGGTAAGTGATTTAGGTCTTGTTTCAATAAGGAGGGCCAACCTGATATTTCTAAGCTCGACCTGAACCAACAGTCGTATCTGTCGAACGGGATAAGGTGAATGGCCAGGGGAAATCCAATCGCCACAGTGTTGCTGACCCAGAGGTATGGTTCAGCACAGAAAACCTGACTAACCCCTGTCAACCCCCTTCCATAGCGCCAACTCTCCCATTGGTATTTTCCCTATCGACCAGGTCTCCTACCGTTCTGGTTTGAAGGTGCCGTGTCCGATGACACTGATCTAATATATGCAGTATCAGCACCTTCGGTTGTCATATATATCACCTCCCAGTGACCTTTGGCATCCAGGGAATTTTAGTACAAAAGCCTCAAAGCCAACACTAATGTTGACAATGGGCTCAAAGAGAAGCGGACCAGTGAGTTGATATTGTGTGACGTGCTCAGATACAGGATCAGTCTAATGCCTGTCAGTTCCCAAACATGACCAGCCCCATACCGTCTCGAGACCAAGACCCTTGGCTCGTCCAACTGACCGAACAAATGTATTCCTACTGGGCCGACTGCCAGAATCTCCGCAATTATACCCATCTACTGCAAGCGCAGCTTGATTGCAGCCACAGGGAAATGGCGAGATGCCATCAAAACTATATTTTGGAATGCAACAAGCGTGCTCAGGCTGTGTCTGACCTGATGCAGTTACAGGATCAATTTCGACGTCTTAGTGAAATGCTGTCTAAAGGAGCGGAAAACTTAGCAGGCCCCGTTGATCTTTTTTTGGAATTGGAGAGCAGGAGTCGGTCGCTCAAGCAGGCGGAGATTAGGATCAGCCAGCGGGCACGCGCTTTGCAAACAGCTTGCCAGGATCTGGAGAACAGTTTTCCGAAGTGATAAAGATCTCCAATCAGAGAGCATGAGCATTCCCAGGAGTCTTTGAACAGAAAGTTCTAGGCCTATCGATTCTTCCTGAACTCCATCGGGGACCCATAATAATCTAGGACACGGGACAGGGGGAAGAAATAAAAAGTTTACGCCTGGTAACTAGTCCACTACTTTGCATAATTATTGTATACAAGGTGACAGAGATACGAATTGTCACAAAATTACATGATTGTGTAAGAAGGCGATCTTATGTTATGGACCGGTAGGCTTAGATGAAACGGACGCGCTTCTTGTAGCTAGAATCTTCAAAATCTGGCCTAGCCTTCCTGTGAATCCGGAGTTCGCATGATTTGCATTCCGTGCGTGCTGGCAGCCGCGGTAATCCAGGGCACCCAATCATATTGATCCTAAGCCGATCGACAAGATGGCGCAGCGATGAGGGGAAACCACCCAACAGTTGTAATTGATGCGGGTAAAGCTCAAGGGACAACAGAATATTACTGTCTAGTCCATCGACCTCGAATTTGACAGGAACACAATATCTGGCGCAGTCGGAGCAGACGGCATCCTGAAAAGGCGAGATACCCAGCGGGCACGTGCCGAGGACGAATGTTGAGGCTTGTGGATGGAGTTGGCGCAGTACCTGGACTAAATCCTTTCCCCGTAGCCGACATCGGATGGCTCCGCAACACTGATATATACCATCATTGTAGCAAGGAGGGGAGGAGAGTTCGAAGAAAAAGCTAGCAAGAAGCAAAGAGGTTAACGCTCGAGGCACTTGCATTACAGCAGTTTTATCAGCTAATTCCGTCATCCATTCCACCTGAGCGGCTGCGTTCAGGAGAGGCTCCTGATCGGGAAACGTAACATTGAGACGGTGGTAATTGCGCCTGTTCGCGGGGTCCACCTGGCCAAGGAGATCTTCCCACGCTTGTTCCGCGTCCATTGACGCTAAGAACGAGTCATAAAGGCGAAGAGCAAACCCGCGTGGCCACCGTCGGCGGCGCTGTCTGCCGGCCTTCCCGGTGCCCAATGAAATCAAGGTACCAGGCACCGGGTTTGACGCCCACATGAATGGCGTTTCAGCCCGACAGATCAAAGCTGGATTGTTATGCTTGAGGCCGCCGTCCGCACAGCTTCCAACGCCAGGAATCTCAATAGGAGGGAGTAATCTGGCTTTTCTGTGAGCTTAATCCAAACCCTCTCGAATAGGAGACTGACCCTGGTGCTGCAGTTGTTGCTCTTCCACTATGACGGAGTCAGCTTCCTGCTTTAGTTGAGTGATTGTTGACCTACCATTTCCATAACTGAGGCTCATGTTCCGGATCTGGTGCTGTGTAGACCCGATAGTAACCACCTGAGTGGGCCAATGGCGCAACCCCAGTGGTTTGCATCGCATCATCCAAGCAACGTTGTCCCGGGGGGTCGACCACCCGCCGGTAATTAATCAGCAGCACTGGCTGATCGGCCACAGCCGTCACAGCAACTTTAGTGCCTGAGACCGGCTGCACGTCAAACATGCCCTGGTCGACACCAAATTCCTTTTGCAATAGCTCATCCCATAGGCCGGCGTCATACCAACCGTCCTTCCACCAGCAGCGTATGGTTTGGATAAGTTTATTCCATGTGGTTCGTGGAGAAGGATGACCTTGAAAGAATCGCACTATAAGATCAGCTAATGTTTGCTGGCATTCGCTTATAGGTCGGCGTTGGCGGAATGCTTTCAGTACGGCAATTCCCCCTGTGTGCCATTAGTGATTGATTTCAGATAAGACCTGTTATATGATCCTACCACCACTTGTCCCAAACGCTACATCGACCATGTCTTGAACAAGACACCCAGGGCCAAGAATCTTTTGCATATATCCCAGAAACCGCAGCGGCATGATAGCCCGGACGCCGCCTCCGTCAATAGTGATCGCTCGAACCGACGCAGTAGGTGGTAGCACTCTGACCAAGATATCGGTAGACATCTGACACAGGGCACAGCGGCGGACAGAGTACTCATACTCCGCTCCTTCCACTGGAGAACCGTACCACGCCGCACATACATCACAGTATGCATGGCCACATGGCAACGGATGCTGCGGGGGGTGGCTAAGACATAGTAAGCAGGTGTGGCTAGTAGCTATCATTCGGAAGAGCCCACGTCGACGGGCGAGACCCTCTTCATGGATTCGACGAGGGGGCCCTTTTCCGAAGAGAAGGCGACTTCGGAGGCGGGCAAAGTGATACTCAATTGGTTGGCAGCATGAGGAGAGCTCTGCCGATAGTAGAGCCTCCTGGCAGTGGTGACGATACAGTGTATCAAAGACGGCAGCTGGGCTAAAGACTACTCTGATCAGTCATACTTCTCACTAATATTAGCCTTTACTTACAGTGTGATCCAGGGGGATACGCATCAATGAGAAGAGTTGATGCGATATGAGACGCTTGGTCTTCCAACTTCCATCCTCTGTCCCGAGTGACAACGAGGAAGTCTCTCAGGTGAAATCTGTGGGATTGGCCCACTTCAATCCCAGCTCGTGCACCCCTGACGAAATCGAAGGGTGCTTGGGGTGCCCGGCAGACATGATCTAAAGCGGTCTGAAAGAAAAAAGCCATATGCATCACTGAAAAGAGGTATCCCTCCTCTTTCCTATCTCGTCGGCTAATATCGGTAAGTTTCAGTAGGTCATTTTTCAGCGAACAATGTTGGGCTATATCAGATAGCGCCTGACCGGGCAAGCGGTGTAGACTGGGCGTTACGAAAACCTCAGTAACATTGCGGTCCTGTGCAAGCATAAAGAAAAAATCCATTTCGTCTAGAGTTTCGTATGTAGGGTGTTTATGATCAGTCTCCATGACAATCAACACACGCGGTCGGTATTCTAAGCTGGACGCATTACGGCCCACCATTGCCCACCTGGTCAGCATGTTCCGAACAGCATCCAGACCACCCAAATCATCAGCAAATATACAGATTACGTCTGTAAACATGAACATAGCACGACTGAGAATAATATCCGAGGCATGATGGAGATCAATAAGTGGCCAGCGTAGTGGTATCTCCTCATAATCTCTGGGTATGCGGTCGGTCTTATGAAATTCAAGTTTGGCATCACAATGAGAAAAAAGCAGTGGGTGGTCTGCGAAGGTTGTGCGACTGTCAACGTCTAATTGGATGTACGGTTGTCTTTGAGACAATGTATTGTCTGGAAACAACGCACGGAGGGCAACATCCTTCTTTCTGTTGCCTAGGAAGACTATAAGTGAAGGGAACTGAGTCTGGGGGGAGGCAAGCTGGTCTCTAATCTGAACAAGGCGTCTGCTATGGTGTACATAGGCCCCCCCATGGCGCTCAGCAGGCTGTAACCATCTATGGCTCAACCGATCAGACATATTGACTTGTTTGGAGACCTCGACGGACTTGGGATATGTTTGTTGATTTTATATGCGCGAGACGATCATTTTGGAATTCTGACCTGATTACCTCCGGACTTACCTTGGTCAGCTTTGATCTACATAATTTTTGAGCATGACTACAGTACTACTATTGACGGAGTCCAAAGTACAACATCATTGCATATTTGCGAAACGTAAAACTAAACTGTATAACAACACTTAGTACAAAATGTGAACCATAGCATCACAGCGCTGGCTTCATTTCGCGGAGGCACCCAAGCCTGTGGGCGTGCCTGCTGCACCTTTCCCTAAATGCGTAGGACGCACCTCAGATACAGTTAACAGCCTGTCAAACCCATCACTCAGGCAACTGAGGAGCACGCTTTTAACATTGTAAGCCCTCTCCAGCTCTTCAAGGTCTCTCTCTGTCCCTTTCAGCCGTGCCCGTAGTGCGTCGCATTCCTCTTGCAGCATTTTCACCTTCTCCCGGTCATTCTCCCTGCCCAAGTCGATGGCCCCAGGATGCTGGCGTACACCCATCGGCAGATGCTCCGGGGTGTCATGGAGCTGCTGGATGATTTGATTGAACTCCTCAGCAGTATATTGCGGAGAAGTATTATCTCGTAAACAGCCACAAAGATCGCAGGCCTGCTGTAGAGTAAGCAAACCAAATATCATGAATTTGTGCGAGGACGTACATCTGTAGTAGTAGACATAGAGGTGTTGAACTCTGTTTCGGTATCCATTGTTTTCGCCGCTTGTGTGCCAACTACATCCATCATGGAGCGGGACATGATTTATATCATAGGATGTCTTTCTCCACCCAGGGCTTTAACAACACTATGTGGTGTGGCGTCACGAGGAAGTTGCTTCGTATGCCGATGGCCATAAATATATCATGGCGTTAGAGCCTTCTAACATAAGGTCTATGTACAATCTCGAAGCCATGCAGGTGAATTCAACTGCTAGAGACCGTAGTCCGTCGGTGTATTCTCGCTCGGGAAACGCGTCTCCGAGTCGCCCATCCACGCCCAGCTCCTTTGAATGTTTTCTTACATTACAAGGTGGTCGCAGCTCCGCAGTGGAGGCATTGCCGTCGACTATCCAACAAGCCAAACAGAAGCCCCTGACAGAAAGTGAAGAGTATCAGAGGGCGATTTTTGACGCATCTTTTCTTAAGGCTGAGAATGAGTGGCTTCGCCGATCACGAAAGTCGGCAGCGGCGCTTCACGAGGGCACAGTTGTACCATCAGCAGAACTGCTCAATCTCAGTGCGAATGACATCCAGGAAGCCCTCACATGTTTTCACATCGGCTTTGCGGCTGCTGAACAATTAATTCACCACTTCAGGAACCCCGCAGCAGCTGAAGTCGCAACCACACTACAAGAGCTGATCCCTGCATTCGAACAATGCCGAAGGGGGCTGGACAGCTTACGCACTGCTGCGGCGAATCTTGGAGAGGGAGGAAGGGTATTTTCTACACAGATACAGAAATCGAACCGCAGCTACGCTGACTTTTTTGGTATCAACTACGATCAAAGCATCGCTCCAGCAGCGGGACCACGGACACGGAGGACTAGGTGATAGCCGCAGTCGCGGAAGTCAAAGTATGGCAAAGGCTTGGGTGATAAATGACGCGAGGAACTAGCTTCTCTGGGCTTTATATTCCGAACTAAAAGTCATACTACACTGCAAATCTCGTTTCATCCTCTCGCCCTCATCATGTCTAAAATCTGCAATCCGCTAGCCCACACAGGGCTACCGTTTGCCAGTTACAGTGATCTGCGAAATGAGCCTGCCCCCCAGACACTGTTTTGTTGTTTAAGAAATCCTTGGTTGCCGGCTTACTAAACAATGTCCCTTGCAATGATTGGCTTAACAAAGTACATCTTCAATATAATTGGCTTAGCGTTCGCGCCAAGAACCCTTTAAATCAAATGAGAAGTATCTTGCTGGGCAAGCTGATTTCGCAGCTCACTAAGCTGTTGATTCCAAAGCCAAACTTATCAGAGCTGGGGTAATGGCATATAATAAGCGCCTTTGGATATATTTATATATACATGTGTATATATATATATATGTATATGTTATCTAATGTGACGGTGTTAACGGAATGGAGATATCGTATGATATGTTATCAGATAGTTTACTAAGAGAGCCGGGGATAAGGGATCCTAGATGACAGCCATGTTTCAACGCTGTGTTGTAGTTGCTGCTCCCCATTCGACTTCCGCAGGAACTGGTGCTAATGAAAGTCAGTACTTCTCACTCTTAATTGGATAGTGGCTCTACCTGGAGAAGGGCGGATGCGGCCTGTCTATTACGTAGAGCCTGAAGGAAGTCTCTTAGTTCAGCATCGTCAGCTTCATGGCCCTCAATCAGCCTTCCCACAATGGACTCAAAAGCTTCGATATCTTTAGTATATCTCTGGTCAGACTGGAGTAAGCAGTCTCCGATATTTGCTTTGACTATGTTAGTCTACTGTAAGCTGACATTCAGAGAATGCTTCCCTACCAATCTTGATTGTACCTGTCCAGTGCAGACGAATAGTGTCCAGGGATATATTGCCATGTGATATACCCAGAGGTCCATGCATATACTTCAATGCACACAATATACCGTGACACACTGCCGCGGTGTCGGCGAGGCCCCAATGAGGCCTAAAGCTTAGAATATCTCTTAAGGAGGCAACACTCATCTCATACACCATGAATATAGACTTTTCCTTGGTGTAGATATGCTGCAGATGTAAAAGATTACGGTGAGGTGCCGATCTTAGTTGAAGGATCCTCTCTGATGAACAGCACGTCTCTTTCACAAGAACGGAGGAGAAAGGATAATCCTTCATCATTGCATAATAGTACCCGTTTTTAAATTGTGTCACCGAAGTATAACGATCCCAAATATTGGCTCCAGTTTGCTTGAACGAAATATCCTCAGGACATGCGGAATGGGACGGGAGGACGGAAAGAAGATTCTTAGGCAATTTCCTAGAGTCGGACTCGGCGGCTTCGCTAGCCTTTCTGCGCTTGTTCATCATCTTCAGTCAAAAAAGTGATTCCTAATGAGTAGGCCGTGTATTCTGCTGTAGAGAAGGTAGCATGACAGACGTGGCACAGCTACTATTACACCAGTCGATGTCGAGCTATGTTGTATAGATAGGGTTGCCCTGTAGGAAGAGCTATTTTTCACCATAGATGATAAAGATGCTGAAAGTACCCAGCTGGGTATACCCCGTGGGTATACCCAGCTGGGTACTTCTTTCAGTGTCTAGATTATTCCATACTAACTGGCGGCTTTTCCTTGAGGCGCCAAGAAAAGTACCCAGTTGGGTATACCCTGTGGGTGTACCCACGGGTATTTTTTTCAGTGTTTATATTATTCCATGCTAACTGGTCTCTTCCCTGAGGCGCCAAGAAAAGTACCCGTGGGTACGCCCCCGTGGGTACGCCCACGGGTACTTTACTACTTACATCCATATACGTCATATCTTTTCCTAAAGGAGGGAAACCCCAGAAGAAGTACCGGTGGGTAAATTTGATAAGAAAGTACCCACGTATACCTCAGCTAACACGGTAGAATGATCTTCCGATGTGATTTCCGACTGACTCACGCTTGACTATGGTCGCACACATCTCACAAGGTTCGTCCGCCTACTGTACAGTACCTCTGTAAACTACTCATCGATTTTGTAACATAGTAGCGTACTGCATTGACAGGAACTATATGTGATGACAGCCGAATGACTTCTATAGAAATATCTAGATCAAAGGTGAGATGTGAACCGGCAGTGAAAGGTTTCATTACAGTATTGCTCAATATTTAGACACGGGCTACTTGCCAGACTTCCAGATCTTGCTGTCGCAGTGCCGAACCCTTTTTCGTTCTAACATTGATTTGTTGCACTATATTCGATGCACATCGTTTGGAGATGGGAATTGATCTGTTCCCTAGCCCTGTAGGGCGCTCAATATTTGCCTTATGTTTACTTCCTGCGGTTGTTGTTTCGTGTGGTGATTATCTAAAAACATGCAAAGATACAGCAGTCAATTCCAAAGGTATACTTATAGGCGAGTGTTATGAAGCTGGGCAGTGGTTTAGCAGTAATCTCAATCTTAGTGATTGTGATATTTCTACACCATGGTGGAGTCAACGGTATGTTCTTTATCTTGTTATTGAACCGAGTTTGGATAGGTATTTTAATTTTGTGTGATAGCAACGGCGATGGCTGTCAGTATGAGTATCACGCAGACTCCGGTATTTTGAGCAACACTTGTGTCTTTTCTAGAACAGGCATTGCTGACATTCCACTATGTAAGTGATGCTTCTGTACTATCTAAGAAAGTATATAATGCAAGTGCTGATTTAATATGATATTCTAGATTTCATTGTGTCTAACCGAAATGGCACGCTGAGTTGTGATTGTTCTTGGATTACAGACTTTAGTTGATTACAGAGCGTGTTATTCTTCGAGCTCAGCTGAATATCGGCCGATCCTTGCGATCTATGTTTAATGGATTAAACCATGTTGTTGCTTAATTAACAGTGGGCTATATTATAAGCAGGCTCTGCGTACGTCTATAATTGGCCTTGTTATACTATCCTGTATGAATACGGATAGTAGAGGGTAGACATAGTGGTACTGTACCTGCATATTACCCAGAGGTCAGCCAATGAACCCAACATAAAAAAGTATAGCACCAAGATCTGTAGGACCAAGTCCGACCAGTACATCCTGTACTAAGTACTATATACATCACTTAAAGTAGTCATCTTGCAAGGCCAAAAGTCATTCTTGGTGTCAATTACGTACTTGTTTGGTTGGATATGTGAAACAATCTTTTCCATCTCGGCATGATTATAGGAGCACAACTTAGTGGGAATGAAGATCTAAACCAACCTTGCCCATCATACTCAAAATGTGGCATGGACATCTTTGCTGGTGCGTAGCCAGATACTTTACTTGGCACTTTAGGGGAATGATTCTAGTTGTTCCAGCATGAAATAATCAAGGTAACAAGGCGAGTACCCAGCTGGGTATATCCTGTGGGTATACCCAGCTGGGTACTCAGGCGAAGCGACATTACATTCCGAGTATCCCGATTTCATTCTACTTTCAAACGAGGGAAATAGTTCTAATTTTCCTTGACCAATCCCAACCTAATGTTTGGTATTATACGCTATTCATTAGATATTTTGTGCCCGATGTGGCAGAAGAGATATCTGCAGAAAGTCATGCTTCCCCTGCCTATTCCACAAACCCACAGTTTCATACATGCATACATACAGTTGGTTGCAAAAATGGCGCAAAAGCGCTACTCTTTCATGCTCTTAAAAGCGGGCCCGCTATTCTCTAAATAGTCGGCGCTTCTCGATTTCACCAATTAACTCTAGCCGAGCATTAAGCTACTAACCTGTTCTGGACTAGCAGCTCCGTTCTCAAGGAAGAAGAGAGTATAGTCTTTTGCGCCATTATTGCAACTAGGTGTACCAGGGTCTGAGTCTACTATCTAATGGTAAAGTAAACAAAACCACTTTCACGTTGTATTCAGATAGGTGCTCTCCACTTAACACCATGGAAGACAGGTAACGAATTACATGAGATGGAGCTTTCCTTGCTATGAGCGCATAAGCGTGACTAGATAAGATGATGTGAAATAAGCGCACATCAATCAAGCATTAGCTAAAATATTTACGAACCTGGCAACTTCCAATTCCCATATATCACTCTTATAGTAAGAATTACAAAACACACCAAGGCGGTGCAGAAAACCCGGACCAATTCTATGCCCGTATCTTGCCTTTCTCGTTTCCTTCGCCGATAATGTTTTGAAAAGCCAGCTGTGTTAATATATCAAGTCACTCTTGCTTTGATGGTCCGGGAGACCGAGCATAGTGCATATAGTGGTATCATAATCCATTTAAATGCGATAAATTAGCTACAATATGCCAAACGCTATCGGTATGTACGCCATGAGAAATAAGAGGACAAGGTTATACAGCTTATACTTTTAGGTATCGACCTTGGCATCTCGTATGTTTCCATTGCTGTCGTCCAGGATGGGAATGTCCACATCATCCCGGACATACATGGTCGCAAGAGAATTCCATCACCGTACCTACTGCGCACTCCTGTCACTCACAATATCAACCCCGCAAATGTGAACCCGGTGTGCAGACCTCTTCGTTATAGCAAGGAAGATGCCAGGGTCATCCTTGCTGCGGCCAAAGCCTTAGCCGAGTCCTATGTTGGTACCCCTGTTGATGATGCTGTTATCACCGTGCCATCATTTTATAATGATATGGAACGTGTCGAAACAAGAGATGCGGGACGTCAAGTCGGACTCAAGGTCCATCGGTTATTGAACACTCCAACGGCCGCTGCTATAGCCCAATGGGCTGACTTCCCAACGTTTGACGCCCATCTCATGCTAGTATTGGATATTGGGGCCCGAGGAGCTGAATCTACTATTTTGGATGTTTGCAACGGTCTTTTTGAGGTCAAGTCAAGCCACGGCGACTGCCAGCTGGGCGGACACTCGTATGATCTCAAGTTACGCCGTTACCTTGAATATCATACGCGAGATCAGATTCAAGGCGGAGATCTGGAATCCCTTCTTAGCAGAACCGAGGACTTGAAAAGATCCTTATCCGTCCGTGAATCAATATCGGATGCGAGCGGTGTTGTTATTACGCGGAAGGAGTATGAGGACGTCTGTAAAAGCAACTTTACAGCGACTGTTGACCTCGTGAAGAGGACTCTCCATATTGCCAAGGTTGAAAAATCTGATATCCAGGAAGTGGTCTTCGTTGGCGGTACTGCTAGCACACCGATACTCCAAAAGATACTAGCAGACTTCTTTGGCTGTTCAAGAAGAGACTTATACTGTCCTCAAATGGCGGCCGTTCGCGGAGCGGCACTGCAAGCAGCATCTTTGACAGACCGTGTGCTTTTTCCTGAACTGCTTATCCTAGATGTGGTTCCTGGCCCAATTCATATTGAGCTTCTACCAGGATTTTTATTGCAGCTCTGGCCCCGAAATACTACACTGACCCGTGAATCCTCAATTATTATTGAAGCATTGTCTCCTGAATATCTCCCGCGATTTGTCAAACTTATAGAAGGAGATAGTAGGTCAGTCAGGACCCTCGGTATCTTTGATCTCCGGTGCCTCCAGCTACCTTCGGACTGTCAGGCTACTATCGAAATCAAGGTCTCCATCGATTTGGATGGTATTGTGGATGCAGATGTAGCTCTACGCCACCCGGAAAGCGGTATTACCATTCCATTGCAAAGAATGCCCGTGGCGGATAACCAACCAAATATGGATGATGACACCAAATTGATACAACCAAGTGAATCACCGTCCACGGCCTTATTGGAGTCGTATATCAGCTTCCTTCAACTAATTGCTCCTAAACTCTCGACTGAATGTCAAAATACCTTAAGAGCAGCCATCGTTCATGTAGAATCCACAATGACACAACAATCTTCAAAAACAGGTCAGGCAAGAGCCATGGCATTGGAATATCTGATTCGGTAATATTCTCAGCCTGCTAATCTACACGCCAGCTATACTAACTCCTGAACAGAACAGCTGACCGACTAATCAACAACCAAACTGTTCCCCATTTTAACATTCCAGATTGATGGAGACAGTATATAGGATTAACTTGGTACCGTTAATGTCTACTATTTCCCTCTTTCTGTGTATCATCCTGTGACTACATGTCGTTTGATAGTACCCTTACTGGTCTTAAAAGGACCGAGTACAAGCTGTGGAAACAACCGCTTGAACAGTGTCATGCAGAACTATCTTCCTACCCAGAGCTTTTCCTGACCCTTTTCCCCCGCTTTGACCTGTAGCTTTACTTCATGCATTTATTCAGTATATAGCGTTTCTTGCTAAGTGCCTCAACTAGACCCTGCGTCCTAGTAGCAACTTTGAAGTATCTGATTGCTCCAAACTCAGTAGCAGCGTTGCAAATAGATAGCAGCATTCTCTATGATACTTCAGGATATTTAACCCATTTCTTCTGCCCCGAGTATTCATATTCTCTGATGCAAATACTGATCGCCCTCATGGGCATGGCACATGAGTATGACGATAACTTTGAACCAATCAAAGTTACCAGAGATTGACACTGCTTTGTAGTTAACTATATACTGATACTGAGCCACCATCTACAGTACAATTCTTTCCCTATTCGATCATACTCGAAGCACAGCGAGTAGGTTCAAAGGCCCTCCAGAAATCCAGTATCTCGTCAATCAGCATCTCGCCCAACCTGAACCCGTATGACAACATTTCCCATACCGGTCGCCAAGTCCTTGCTATGGGGATGTTAATATTATTAAATGATACTTAACAGGTGTATCACTGATATACCTTGCAATAGTAATCTGGCATGCACCAACCCATGCTTCCATCACTTGCACATTTTTCCTTATATCCCAAGCGATTCTCCGCAGTGTTTTCCGCTACTGGAGTCGCTAAAACTGCGACAAACAGAGCAGCCATGTATGCAAGGGGTGTATAAATCCGCATTTTGCACGTTCCCTTATGCACAGAGATCTTTCAGAATGAGTAATAGCTTCAACTAGAAAATCCGTAGTTATAATGCACACTGGTGTTTCCACTATAAACAGACAATGAGAGAAGGGAAATGTTTTATAATCTCTTGGACTTACCTTATGGTGTGTCATCCTAGTGTTTGCTTTCCATCCCCTCTATCATTTCTAGCAGGGCTGATGCCTAGCAGTGTGGACTAACAGCTGGGACATTAGTTTACCAATCAGTGAGTCGGTGCGGTTGTTTACAATGGCTGTGCATTTCATTGTTGCCAGAAGTTTATTTCATCCAGAAATGGTTTGCTTTTCACCGGGCATATTAATGGGTAGGTGGAATAATGATTCTAGCTATTCACAGACCAGGAAAGATTTGAAAACAATCTGAAGAGCTATTTCAAGGGTGACACTGCTGCTGCAACCCAATTATCCTAGCTTATCTAACTGCATCTTGGCAGCGCAGCACATATGATATGAGTACCTTTTATGTAGCTCGTCGTGTACAAGACAAAGCACTTAACGCGCAGTATGCTTTCCATGTCTGAAATGTATATGATTTGTATACATGAGGAACCTATGGAGATGAGAACTCTATGCTGCCTCATGTATGCCAACACCTCCATAGACAACCAGGAACGCTTCTGCAGGTCATTGTGAAGACCAAGTCAGCCATTGGCCATTAATAATAATAGTAGCAGATAGATACTGATATCTCTCATTCAACCCAGCGCCTGAGACCCTTGGTCCCAGGAGTCAGCCGTTTCTTTGCGAGCATATAGTCGGCCTACATAGACTATATTCCGATACATCTCTAAGTTCCTCAGTCTTCATCCGTTTCCCATCGTCATATCACAATGGACCAGACCTCTTTCGCCGATATCCAAGAAAAGGCTTATCTTGGAGCTGCTAGAATCTCCCTCGACAATATTTATTTTGCTCCTCATGCTAGCAGACTCGACAACGACAGATGCGAAGCCCGCCTCCTAAATCTATTCCGGGACTATTCATGTGACAGAGATGCGTACGAGAATCGTATTCCTGTAGCGGTAAGCCAGGAGCTATTGCGGCGAGCTTTAGAAGACGCAAGGATGCCTATGTCATGTATTCGTGAAGCTGTCCCCCCATTTCTTCCTCTTCCGCCAGATACAAAAATATTGGCATTGCGCGGTAGGCATCGCTGGAAGGCTGCAAAAAGATTCTATAACGAGCCGACAGATAGATGGTGGACCGTTGTCTTGTTTGATGCAGAAAGTACGCCTTTCTGACTACATACCTGCAGATAGGAGATACTGACATGCAGATTAGAACTGCCCCTCGAGTGCATCAGCTTCATATCAGAAGCAGATGATAATTCATCACCATTCTTTGATGGAGAAATCTATTACAAAATCCGAATGAGTGATCTGCAAAGTGACAAAATCCGTCTTCAGAGATGGATGAGCCGAATGGGCTCCCACTGGAAGCAAATTGACTATACCAGGCTTCATAAGTCAAAGGATTTTAAACCATTCTGTGATGCAATTGATTCTCTTCTACCATTTCCCGCTCTTCTCTTCTCGTTTCAGTTAGGGAATATCCGGCGGTTCTTTCGTATGAAGTGTCCTGAAGAATTAGCCGCATATGTGAAGCATGTATACGCTGTATGGGCGAGGATTATGGACGGGTTTGATGTCAATGCACTTACAACGTCTGACATTGAATGCCTACAGGGGCGCTCACCATGCTGGTCCTCAGCTGACAAAGCCTTTATCGAGAATGCTTTCACCAGCGGGAGGCTTTTCACAGATATCCTTGATGAAGGACAACGTGCAGTTCTGAAGAGCCGTATAATAGCTACAGATGGTATAATTCCATCGATGAGGACATTCCTGGAAAATACTAAATTCCTGGAACCTGCCGCGATACTACTTAGAGCCTTGCTTCCTAGGAGGTTCCGTGGGACCGTTCGGAGCGAAATGAAGAAATGCTTCAGGGCCGGTCAAGAACAGACAGAAGGGCGATTCCAGCTATCGTATCAGCATCTATGGTTAACGGCCCTCCGCATATTTCCATACATTACCTCATTCAAGCCACTGCAAGATAGAAGGGGACGTGAAGTTGAATTCAATGGCAACTACTGGGGCTTTTTTGCAACATCGGCAGCCCGATGTGGATTTTCCTCGCGTCAAATAGACAGTCTTTTACAGTTATATCCGCATTATGACCAACTCGTGGAGTCTAGTCAATACCCTCTGTCCTTGATCAATGGTGACAAAGAGTGGAAGCTGAAGAGCAGGTGCGGTATGCCAACGGAGACTGTCTTTCAGAGCATAGCACCATATCTCACTCTGAAAAACATCCATAGCCGTTTACAATGCCCAGCTGGTACCAGCCATGTCACACAATTTGCTGTGGCCAGGGACATGGTCCGGTCCTTTTTTTCGGATCAGAAGATCGGTTCGGGATTATCAAGCACTCGGCTCTCGGAGGGGCCCCAACCTGTACAGGACGTCGAAATGTCCGCAGAATCCGTGGCACCTGTGGCTTCCGAAACAATACAACTGCCAGGTCCGGGACCGTGGCATTCATTGAATGATACGCAGGATGTTGATATGATAACAGGGCCTATGGTTCATGATACAATAAACCAACCAGATCCAGTGTCACCATCCAATGATACGCAGGATGTTGATATGATAACAGAGCCTATGGCTCATGATACAGTGCAACAGCCAGATCCAAAGCTACCATTGAACGAGACGCAGGGTATCCATACGATAACGGAGCCTATGGATTCTATGCCTCTGTTAACTTCGGAAGAGACACAGGCCAACGAAGGACAGCTGGCTCTGACTGTCATACCTCGCCAGTCAGTTTACATGCCCGATGATTTCCCAACAACCCCCTTCCCACCCACTAGGTCGAATATAATGCAGCCCTCGCTTGCAGATACTGTAAATTCATCCAGTCGGAATACGGATACCGAGCATACGAACCTCGGTGATAGGCAACTGGCGTTGTCTCTGGTTCCTGGTCGGTTACTTTCAGTTCCGCCTGATCAACCAACCCCGTTTCCCCCAGTGATCGGATCCCAAACCAGTAGACAGCAAGCATCGTCAATAACCCAATCCCAGCCTGCAGAAATTTCTCTATGGGATAAAAGCGTGCCCAAGGACGAGCAAAAAAAGACCCTTCATGAGCTTGAGGAATACGTAACCACACAAGGATATAAGCATACTCTTTATGTCTACGGAACTTCACAGCTCTGGGTGCCGGCATCTGACGAGGTCCCCCTCATTCGGCACTTTATTGATAGTCATGAAGGATGGTGCTATCTGGTTGTCCATGACAATGATGCACGTCAAATTGAATATGATCAAGTTCAGCAAGAGCTTCTGAATGGACGTCTGATCGTCTGTGTGAAACAAGATCAGATCTGGCAAGCTAAACGAGAAGTGGAAGAAGTGGAACTATAAGCCTGATTCTAATTACTGGTTGACACTACTTCTGACAGTCTACACTGGCTGTAAATAGTTTACTGAGCAATATCATGAGTCTGTTGCCGTAGTGTTCTGCTACTAGCCTATGCCAGAAGATACAAGTATATTCAGAGAAAGCTATTTAATAGCCTAGACCTACATTTATTTACTCGATGAACCTAGGCTATTAGATAGAATAAGCTATCTGAAAGCCTGAATACTTTCTAGCATAGGCTATTAAGTAGTATAAGCTAACTATAAACCTAGGCTTTTGAATAGAATAAGCTATTTGAAAGCCTGAGTATTACTGGGAGTATCTTATATCCAAGCTACTGGCTAGCCTGGGCTTATAAAGGGCCTATATTATCTGTGAATACTTCCTAGCATAGGCTATTAAGTAGTATAAGCTAACTATAAACCTAGGCTTTTGAATAGAATAAGCTATTTGAAAGCCTGAGTATTACTGGGAGTATCTTATATTCAAGCTACTGGCTAGCCTGGGCTAATGAAGGGCCTATATCATCTGTCAATACTTTCTAGCATAGGCTATTAAGAAGCTGGCTATAAGCTTAGGCTATAATATACTGTAAGCTACCTGGAAGCCTAAGTATTAGTAGAATATCTTATAATCCAGGCCATCATCCAGCTACTCAATAGCCTGTGATAGAATGTTAGATAATAGCCCTGGGTTATAATAGTAATGCTGGCTATAAGCTTAGGCTACAATACACTATAAGCTATCCGAAGGCCTGAGTATTAGTAGAGTATTTTATAATCCAGACTATTATACAGCCTAGGCTGATAACGAGCCTATATTATCTATCAAGACCTTCTAGTCCTATAAAAGTCAGCCAGATCCATGCCTTGAGGCAGCTTATATTATTTTATGGCATGACCCTACTAGTATACTTGCTATACATTCCACCAGAGTATAATATCATTTACTAGCTTGAGCTTATGGCTAGCTTACCTTGTTCTGGACATACGGCCCTTCAAGTCTCTTGATAAAAAGAATGCTGTTCGTTGCATGCCAATGCAGCAATCCTATACAGACGTCAAGGACTGCCATAACCAGGAGTTTAAACCTCCAGTTGAAATGATTTTCAAAAACATCCTATCACGCCAGTTTGACATTCTGGAGAATCCGTATCGTAAACCTTGACGTTCTCGTCCGACATTGGAGTGGCTTGCTATAATTATATGGTCAATTTCCAAGGAAAGGTGCCAGCGTGCATAGGCAATAATATAATAAGAGTTCACTGGGTTGCTGACAAGTATAATGTGTTAAATAGAGAAGCTCCCTCACAGTAAAAGTAGTATGGAACTAGCATATTCTAAGTTATAATGAAGGTGGTTTACATATTCACCATTACTATTGGTGGTATGCTTGCTTTGTTACTTATAAGGTCATTTTATCTATCCCTTCAGTCCAGATGGCCGCCACGCCCTTTAGCAGGCTTCCTCCATCAATGGCAACTTTCATGTTTTGTGACTCGACGTACATGGCTGCGCCGGATAAGTTGGGGAGAAGCTTGTCTGCAGTTGCTCTATTGGAGCAGTACACTAGTGTGTAACCGAGTTGCTGTCAACTCTTCTAATGACGCCCAGGCACGAGCAGGGAGTCTTGCAGTCCTGCAGTTAACCTTTCTTTCAATGGGCTCTCGACTTCACCTAATTGCAGATGTTTTGGGGACTCCGTTAGGTGTTATCCTCAGAATGCATCAAACAGCAGGGTGGATGGCATTGTTGCAAACAGGCCTCCACATCATTTTCGTGAGCCAAAATACCCAAATTCAATGGAAGCAGATGGGGCACCGTGAAGGCATCATAGTAAAGACTACCAGCGCCCCCCCCCCCCCCCCAATATTCTCTACTCACTTCATTTTAGGCATCTTCTGCTCTTGCAGTAATGCTCCTGTTACTGCTTCCGTCTTTTCGGAAACACATGTACGAAGTCTTTATCAAATTGCACTACAGCCTTTCAGTATGTACCTTAGTGTTTCTGTGGCTACATATACTGCGAGTCACAACAGCCACTGTAACCCAGCCGACATTTAGTCTCATATGCCTTGAGGTGGCCACTGGTCTGCTTATCATCACCACACTTGTACAACTAGGGCGGGTAGTTTATTTCAACCTTCCATTGGAACGGCCTCCGACGATAGTGGCTGTTTACCATATGAATGAGCGAAGGGAATCAGAGGAGCAAATGGGCTCAGATCCTAGCACAGAAAGTAAATCTGAATCTCCAATCAAAATTCGGGTGGATATGCCAAGAGGGTGGGCATTGAAACCCGGTCAAACGGTTTACCTCTATGTTCGCACTATGAATCCTTGGTCAATCACGCAGGGACATCCGTTCTCGGTGGTATGGTGGCATGAAGAGCCCAGACTTCCCACTGATCCATCAAACGATGAAGAGCTTGGAAGAGAACTTTCCATACTTGGACGGAGTGGCACGGCAAGTGCAGAGAGCATAATGGAGCCTATAACTGAAAGACCATTCACGTTCTGGTTACTCATCCAGCCACGGTGGGGTCTAACGAAACATCTTGCTGCCTACGGGTCCTCAACAAAATTACGAGCCATTGTTGATGGACCTTATGGTGGAAACTATGATCTCAAGGAGTATGGCCATGTCATTATGTTTGCGCAAGGTATTGGAATTGCGGCCCAAATACCCTATATACGTTATCTCTTATACGGATCGCTACGCGGAGAGCTGCCGGTCCGTCGAATTTCACTGATATGGGAAACGCATTCTTGTAAGGATAACATCTACAAAGCATGCAGGAGCATACTAAATGAGCAATGTAGGTAACTTAGCCACAGTCTCTCCGTGGATGAGACATCTTTTAATGGAAGATTTTGATAACTATACCAAGACTCTGGTGAGATATGGCGGACCACGATTAACTGACCCTGGCTGATGCGTTATTTAGATGCTCAATATCAAACTATACATCCCGGACGTGATGAACAATGAACAGTACGGTCGTCGTGTGAGAAGCTTTGCGCATCGGGTGAATATCAAGGAAGTCTTGCCAAAGGAACTCCAGCATGATCGGGGAAAGATTCTGATAACAGGTTTGCACTGTCATCACATCCTGGATGTATCCAATCTAATGAGAAAAGCATCCGCAGGTGAGGGATTTATGGATTCACTCCGGGATGGACTGCTGAAAGTGGAAAAGGAGGGACTTATTCATCAAGACTTCAAGCTCCTATGTCTTGATTTCCAGCCTGCAGAAGCTACCCATGAACCCCACGCATGAGGTAACGCATTATGATACTGCTAATTATTTTATAATGGTCTTCCTGCCTGTAATACTACCTTCGATGTTTCAACTCAGTCAATCTCAGTGATGCTATAGTCTTCATCGCCAAACCCTTTCTCCTTTGAGAATGTCTACCTTAAGCAGCTTTGGAGTATGCCCAGATTCATTACATGCTGCATCCGGCCCGTTGCCATTATTAGATTATCACAGAAGGCTACACGTGCTTGCAGGTCCCTTAATCCTCGAGACTTTTTACGCTGTTCAAAATAATGCAACAGAGGGCCACAAGGCAAAAGCTGCTCTGCAACAAATATCAGCCATCAATGCTCAAATCCGACGGGGAAACTCTGAAAGCAACCTACAAATTGAACTGGGTGTTATCGATATAGACATTTTTACCTATGCGTGGTCTGGCCCGGGCCTTGGGTACTACCTATACGATTTCTGCCGGCTGCAACATTACCCTGTTGAGTGGGCACGCCAACCTCCTCAGCTACATTGTGTGTACCGACCTTATAAAAGTCGTTACTGGGACGATTGCAATTGGCACACCCCAAAGCTCTTATTCAGCTTCGTCTGGCAGTTGCGAAAAGCCCGGGAAACACCAGAGATCATCGATGATCAAGAGACTATAATTCTCCAACATGGGTTGACGTTCAATCGACTAGTTGTTAAACTTCACTCGCTACACGGAAATATAAATTCAATGGTGGGACTCATACAAACCGACGATATTCTCCAGTATCTCAAGGATCTAGCAAACTCCCTCAATAGCGAAGACCGGCTTGGATATGAAAAGATACGCGATGATCTCCGCAAGACTTGTATTTTGCACGGGTATCCTTGTTTGTGGATTCCGGGCACATACTCACAGGAAACTGCAAGCAAAGAAAAGCCTCTTACGTTGGGAATATTCGCAGGCCTCACATGATTGTTATACCTGTGTTTGACGCTGAGTGTATTTTAGACGCAATACTATGTCGCACTGCGGAACGTACAGATGAGAGATCTCTAGTGCTAATACAAGTCGTTCTAACAAATTCCATATGCGCACGGTGTATGCAATAAGGTTTACTCTAAGAGATGTACCACGGAATTATCAACATACAGCCTAAACCTGTGCTCTCGAGCCCACTGAAATCGCATTCAGACTATGTCAGCCTTACGTCGGTGCTACCTTACATAGGCAAGCAGCAGCGAGTGACGACTATTTAAACCCGAATGGTTCACACTTAAGTGAGGCGGAAACATTGATATATTCTCTGCGCCATAAAGAAAATGGCTGCAACGAATAAGGAAAGAGGTTATCGAGAGATCAGGGACGTGGTCCAGCTTCGCCTATACCATCATCACAAGTATCAACGAGCCACTAAGCATCTCCGTGACCTATACGAAGCCCACAAAGATGGACTACTTGAGCCGGCGAAACATGCAATAAGCGAAATAGAAGTTATCAATTCACGGATTCGCATTCTCAATGAGGAAAATAGTCTACCGACGGACCTAGGGACGATTGACTACGGAACCTTCTTGTATGCCTGGGACGAAGAGAGAGGCAGGTATTATACAAAAGTCGTCCTTGAGGAGTTCTGCCAACGAAAGAGATATATCAAAGGATGGAGCACCCTCCCCCCCCGCGATGACTTTCGCTTCTTTGAGGAACCAATTTCCTCGCCTGGTGAAGGCCGACCACCAATATGGGACATACTGAGTTCATGGTTGATGCTATTCTGGAATCTATGCAAGCACAATCAGGAGCAATTCCTTGCCAGCGATTGCCAAATGCAGCTGCTGAATTATGTGAAGAACGGGGGCTTTTCATTACACTGCAACGGTATAAGGTATCGCCACCACGCCCTTTGTACTGTCGTTGTGTGCTTGAGGGAAATGAGCCAATACTTGAACAATTGGAAGATGAAACAACAGTCCACCTTCTCGGCATTTGAGTATGGGATTCGAAGGGAAGACATACGAAGGATATGCGAGTTTGAAGGGCTTCCGATTGGATGGATCCCCAACAATATTGATGTAGAGGGACAGGGTCAGACAAAGGTCCGCATCAAGGGCTAAAACATGCATCATAGACCCGGTGTTTGTTGTCTTGCTAAAGATTGGAAGTGAGCAATTGTGTTTATGGAGCATGAGGCTGATTAGCGTTGAGATCTCTGTGATAATGTCCACAATTTTTCTACAGCGAGCAATACTTTCTATTCCTCCGACCATGACTGGCCAGCACCCAAAGTTTTTCTAGCCCGAATCACAATAGAATGTACCGGGTGGAGGGGGAAAGCCTAGCGTTTGAATACAGCCCACGGGTAGCAGTTTTTTGGCAGTCCAGAAGATGTATATAACATGGCGGTCCCTCGAAACATATAAAATTTGAGCAAACCCTTGGCATACCTTTCTATCGAATATATTTAAAGTATGAACTGGATTAACCGATTTCGCTTGCCGTCCCTTCGTTCTCTTGTCCCCCAAAGTTGGACCGTGTCAAGAGACGATTCTCAGCATGCATCTGAATCGCCGGATCGCTATATTAATATGCTACTCGATACAGAGAAAGTCCCCCTTATTGACAATATTCTGGCGGCGACTTTCTGCTGGATTCTATTGGCCGGGTATCTGGTTTTCCCCGGCACGTTCACGTCTTTGCAGACATCTGCATCCTTGAAGGAGGCCAGCGATGCGAATAATGTAGGCCGAACAGCGTATGAAGCTGTCCAGAATGTCTCCCTTCTTGGTATTGCAGCAACTTGCTGTTTTGTCGGTCTTTGTGGAGCGAGCTGGCTGTACTATCACAACAAGCAGAACTACGTATGGATCGGGCGCAAGATATTCTTGTGGGTGTGGCAAATCCCTATCAGAAAAAAGGGTCACCTAACACTCTCCAGACCTGTTCTCATTAACTCAGCTACTGGCTTCGTCAATACACTTATCAATGTGTACACAGCGCGGGCTAAGACATGGTCAGTCACTGCTACTGTAACTGCCGCAGTGACAGGATTCTTCGCGGTATTGTCTGGAATACTATTCATTTTTTATAATAATTATCTCCTCGCAAAGCTTCAGAAGGACTTCAATACCAACACTGGCAAATAAGGATGGTCAACATTCACTTTCTGGGGACTGGAAAGGGCTATTATTTTGGCTGCTCAGTGTTCGCTGTATCCATACTCAGTTACGTACAGAGCCACTGCCATCTTCTAGTATGAATCTTTCCTAAAACCTGGATATTTACAATTCAGAAACCATACAGTACAATTGAGCAAACTATATTCATTATTGCATTGATGCTGCATAGTGATCAACATCAAAAACAAGTCTATGTCAGAGTGACCTAGGCTTGAAGGTAGTTGCTATTACATTCGACAGTACAGTACCAGTTATACATATGTTCGCAAAAACGGTTCCGCAGAATGATCCCCGGATAGAGTTCTCGGCAACACTGCACAGAGTAGTATACTATTTCAAAAGTTATACTTGAACAACTAAACCACATACATACATTGATACGGGGAATAGATATGTAGAATATTTGATCCTTGGAAGCACACAGGGAAAGTATTTCATAACAGCGCTTTTGTCCATCGATTAACACAGCCACCAGCGACGCGGATAACTACGATATTAAGCCAGGGAAGCTAACCTTCACTCTTTTAGAGCTTCTGAAGACAAGCTTGAACACTGCCCATTGATATGTAAAGCTGAAACATCGATCTCTTGTTTTGCTCATTCGATTACAGAGGTATCACTATCAAAGGCCTTCTTTACTGTCTCCATCATATATAGCGCACTCTCAAGTTGACCTTTATTTTCTGCAAAGCGTCGCTGCAGGCACCTTAACCTCTCAGACTGTCTATGTAGAGCTTGGTATAACTGTTGGTTCTCACTCTCCAACTCAGCTACCCTTTTACAAGCGTCCTCTAAACTTGCTTTGAGCTTCCTCCATTCGGTGTCGGGGGACTCATTGTGTGTCCGGGTAGCTTTGATATCACCTTTTTTAAGAGCTTTCTGTAGCTCCATATACGTTTTTGTTGACGATTCGCTCAGCGGCTTCTCGAATAGGTGGCTTTCTGATTCCTTGTAAGACCATTTGTAACCATCTTTAGGTGATGGTTGCAGTCGTACATCAGAGGGCGCAATCCTATCAGATAGCATATCATCTTCTTGGTGTTAGCTGTGTCAGGCTGAGTACCCTACAACTTACAAATGTGCTTGGACAGTGCTTCACGGCAGTTGTCACGCTCGATGCGGCGTTTCCTATTCCCTGGATTAGACATGATACATATCGATTATTTGACATGATCATGCAGTATGAGAATGTGGAGACGCAGGTGGCTTGATGGCGAGGATTTTAGTACAGTGAGATGTAATAGACAGCTTCTCCAAGCAGGAACGGTATGTAGGGAGATGCCTTATAACCTGGGCAAAGATCTCACCATGGGCGAGCTCTGTAGATATTAGTGTAGTTTATATCCTTGATTGAGTGGCCATACTATGTATTGCATTTTAGATTAATCTTTCCTTTGAATCTCCCGTCAGAGATTCTATATGAGATCGGGGCTCTTCTCGAACGAGTGGCACCCGGTGCCATATGCCGCACTTGTCGTGCCAACTACATGCTTTTCCAGCCACTTCTGCAAATACAACGTGGACGCCAAAGGAAGCTCGGGGCTCCATTGGTCGGTTTAGCAGATCTGTATAAGAATTGCCGTAATATTCCTAGATTCGTACGTCGCCAATATCGATGCAGTGCAGCTTGGAGAACCCTTGCTATGCCGTACCATTAAGCACCTACCTGAGGCTGTCCTGGACTTACTACAGTACCCTGAAATCAACGTCAACTTGTGTACCCACACCGGACCGTTATGGCTCGCAAGCTATAAGCAGCGCTTCTTCATCATCGGGGCACTTCTCATGCGGCCCGATACTGACATCGATAGTCTAGGTGGAGGTTATCACACGCTGCTGACTTCACCGTACGTCTAGGGGATGAAAGATTCTTCCCATTACTGTTGTCCAAAACTCGCATCCAATGAACCGGAAGAGAAGGGGAAGGGGAGGAAGCCTAATTCTCTTGGCTTTTCAGCTCCGCGACTATGAAATGGCTGAGAATCTTGTTCGGGATGGCAGGGTCGATGTGAACAACAGAGGCAATAAGGCCATTGAGTTACACCCGGTTGCAATAATGGTGCAAAAGTCTATACTCTCTTCTTCTTTGAAAAAGAAGCGGCTGGTCCAGAACAGGTTAGTAACTTAATACTCGGCTTGCATTAATTGGTGAAATCGAGAAGCGCTGACTATTTAGAGAACCGCTTTTAAGAGCATGAAAGAGTGGCGCTTTTGCGCCATTTCTGCAACCAACTGTACTTCTAAGCCATACACAGTCTTAACTCTTAACACGACTGTCTCACCCTTGAAGGTCCATTTCTCCAAATGGCTGTTAGGAGGGGCTACAAAGCGGTGGTCACAAGGCTATTGCAGCAGCAAGACCATGACCCTACAAAACACCAAACTACCCTCAAGCACTACGCTTTATGATACATGCACGCATTATTCGGGTTGAGATTAATGAACTGACATAAGATTGCCCTAGGGAGAACGTATAATATGTTGGATATCAATTACTGCGTGAGATACCAGAATCAAGCCAGTGCAGCTGTTGAAAGGGCGTATCCAATGGAATCCAACTGCTGTTCTTCCAAAGAGTATCGCGGGAGTAATGACAGCACCATGTCATTAAAGTCAATGAACTGCGACTGAGAGCATAGAGCTGCCGTTTCGAAGGCCGGGGGATACGATCCCGCATCTGCCCAGTCCACGAGCCACACCAGGCCGTTTCGGTCTAGAATAAGGTTTCGCGGACTGATGTCCTGGTGGGTGAGAACAAATTCGGTGAACTTGAAGGGCGGAAGGTCTGACGACGCGTGCTTGTATGTTTTGCAGATGTCCAACTTGTGGTTGAACCAGCCCTCGAATTCGGCCACGTCCTTGAAAGGCCCGGCACTGTAGTGCGTGAAGAAGCGACCGCGACATGGGCCCCCGCCGATCGGACCTGGCTCCAATAGCTTGGTGGACTGCATTTCAATGATCATCTGGGCCGTCTGCCTCGCGATATCCATCTTTTGTTCATTACTGAGATCTCTCCAGCAGCTATCAAGCGGTTCACCGTCGATGTAATCCATCACAATATATCCCATGGTGCCGAAATATTTCGTGTCATCCTTGAAATGGAGAGACCGATGGACACGAGGAGCTCGAATATTGGACTTTGATGCAACTAGTTGGAGTACATTTGCCTCACAAGGCAGCACATCGCCGCCGCCTTTTAAAACGAGATTCTTGGACAATCGCACCACAGTCGTTTGGCCGAGATGGTGAAGGATCGGAGCAGACTTGAGGAGGTCGACGAGGGATTCGTCGGAGACGCAGTCGAGGTCCTTATCATCCAGTGGGAATGCCCTGTCTGAGGCCTTACTGGCCGGCTGTCGAGGTTGTTAGTGCAAGATTCACTCCTAGGGGAACTGAGTACGGGAGTTATTACATCGGTGAACGGGCGTAATGGTCCTTCCATATTTTCAAACCTTCGGATTTTATGGGCGAGGGTCAGTGAGAAGGGGCAAAGCCGTGTTAGTATAGGGGTGCCATTCCAAGAGGGCATAAAAAGGTAGGTAGTTGAATATAAGAAAGTTGAACATCGCTGATGCTATTGTTAGCTTGGCTGTGCTTAGTCATTGCCAAGGCGCAACAAATCATGGATGGGAATTGGGCACCCACCTGCGATGGGTTCAGAACGGAGCTGGAACAACGGATCAGTCAAAGTCGGAGAAATCCTGAGACTGAATAATCTCATACACGTGATTTAATACTATTTCTAATACTGAATCAGCTCTGCACGTGATTTTAAAATTTTCTAAAAAAACTAGAATAAAAATCTCTGAAAATCCCTCATATCTTGAATATCTTAATAATTCTTGTAAAGACCCTAAAAATATTCTAAAAAATTAGATATAATAGCTGATTTGATTTAGAAAAGTTGGTACGGAGTCAGATGAACTCAGTCTGATGCTGAGTAAGTGAGTATATTTGCACGTGATAAAGCTCATCCGGTGTCGGGATTTCTCTGAACCCGACGCACTAATTTCTAAACCCGTCGCACTTGGGACCCCAGGGAATTGATAGGTGGATCAGGTGCCTAGTTAGCGCTCGAACGGAATCTGGCTGATCAGTTGTGTCTCACCAGTCGCTGGCTTCATCTATAGGACACCGGCTGAGATAATTGTAGATCGTTATATGTTTGGATGAGCATTTGACTTGCGAACGAGGACATCTGACCTCCATTAGCCCCCCTCTCTTGCTGCACTCCCCTGAGCGGTACACATAACGGAAAGATTGATTGCAACTCCGTCAATGATTGGACCCTCTACGCGCTGACCTCAACTTTCAACTTCTAATTATAGGAATCCGGCTTCTCGGGCTTCCATTTACCATGCACATGGCGAGTGCTGAAACAGTCCATCATGATGACAGCTAGTGAGGGGCTTGGGCTGTTTAGAAAGCGGCAATATATAAGGGCACTCCTCCACTGCTCCATGCCCATCCTTTGACAAACCTACGACAAACAGATCCTTCTCGTCTTCCTTGGACTTCTTATTCCAACTGTTACCGCTTTAGGTATGTGTCCATGGCGTCGTAGTGTTATGCATATAAAAGCCTAATATGTACCAGGACTCCCAGACACATAATTCGAAAAATGGCAAACTTTGAGCCAGTCAATTTCATACCAAGGCACCGTCAGGCCGAGATTTTGGAGTTACCGGTGCAGTCTCTGATTGCTGCGCCGCACAGCAAGCACGCCGGCACAAATCATTGGTGTCTCTACGCCTTGACATCCGACGCCACCTCTGTCAGATTCGATTGTCAACCCAGTTACTCCGTCCCAAATACCATTCTCCCTGGAGGCTCCAAAGCCTATGTAATCATCTCTGAGCTGCAATATGCTGTGTCCAGGGATGCTCAAGCACAGTTCATTCTCAGGGTTACCCCAGGTCTGAAAGTCAGACATGTTTACAATTTGCTGATCCAGAATGGGCGCCACAAATACGAATTCGATTCGAACGGAGTTGGTTGCAGATTTTGGACGACGGATCAGATCAATCTGCTGCATCAGCATCGGCTTATCACGGATACTGCACAAGTTACAGCTGCAAAGAACGGGATTCTCAAGCTGTGGCCAGATCAGACGCCCCTTGAACTCGACCGGGGAGCCTACTACTAGGGATGTCAACAGGCAGATGTCTGCTTTGTTGTTCCTTGGATCATCAGGTCACCTATCTTGCGAGGGACATATGCGAGCAAAGCAGCATCTTACGCAGTCTGTCCGATTTGGGATCTCGGACCCGAGGCCAGCTCCCTTTCAGATCCACAATGCCGTTGAAGATTTGTTTATATGCCACGTCATTTTCTGTGTCTCCTTTTTCCCACTTTCTCCTGTTTTTCTGCGTTTTTACTTGCTATCAGATGAAAATCCATCAATCTTTGACTGTAATCTCACCCACAAGTATTCTTAGTGACTCTTTATCCCGCATGAAAAGGTCAGGGCCATATATCAAAGAGTAGGTCGAGAATCAACCAATACAGTTCGTTTCAGGACCGAAGGTTGGGAATTAAGTATACTGTAGCAATACTCCCGCAGTTGTGCCCCGTTATTCCAACTCGTAATGTTCAGTATCTACGCAAGCATAAAAGTGGATAGACGCCAATGAAACACTAGCGGGTAACTTGGTCTATCTTTTCCAGTCTTGGTGTTTCTCTTGCGGTTTAATTTGCCGGAGATGAGAAGAGCTTCCACGAATCCAAATGCCATCGGGCTACTGCTAGTGTGGATGGTGTGGCTAATCGTTTCCCATACCTACCCATCATAAATCTAAAGGAGAGCACATTTCGCGCCCTTGTTTTCAGGCGACGGGTAGAATTTGTCTGTTTCTATATAGAAATGAAAATGTAGGCCCTGGTCACATCTAAGTTACGGCTCTAATCATCTCTCGCATTCTTACCACTGCAAGGTGCAACTTGCGACATTGATAGGCTGGACGTCGACCTCAGATTCAATTGTGGTATTATGCCATCCCGTCAAGGTCCCTTGTAGTGTGGGCCCCGTACCTTGCCTGAAGATGACAGTGCACGAGTACATACATAGTAGAGGACTTGCATTGAATGATACTGTAATAATGTACCATGAAACTGCAAACATAATAGGGTTAGATGAATACAATCGTCGGTACAGCAAGGTACAATACTGTGTATTTACTGTCCTAGCTTTGTAAGCAATAACAAAGTTCGAGGAGATACAACCCAAGACAAATCTTTCTAGTAGGGGCAAAGTGTATGGATTAGCAAGAGTAAATTCTGAAGAGTATATGGTCTACCAAGAATGAACGCTTTGTACTTGCATACTGCATCTTGTACTTAAATATGGGGCCTTATCCTGCGCCTCCTGGTAGGTAGTAAATTCCTTTTATTTGATACATTTTAGATAAACAGCAATATTATCACCAGTTACAGTACAGCATCAGCAACAACGCCAGTCATTCTCGATGAAGCTCTTTAGCATCCCACATGATATTTGGTTAAGCATCAAGGACTTTCTGGTCCCAGCAGATATTGAAAATATCATGGACACCGGTCGCAGCCTCTGGCTGCAGATCTTCAAAGATTTCTCTTGGATTGATACTGCCGTGCAGTCTGGTCAAGGTTCTCCAGTTCTTATTGGCCATAACCTGAGTTCCTTTCGCCCTAAAAAGCCTTCAGATCGTCTCTATCTTTCTCTTGTTATGAATGATTCTTCAGGTGATCTCCGTGAGACTAGTCAAGCCTTCTTTTCTACGCTCCAAAACGGCTGGCGATATGATGAAGGAAAATTTGAAGTCTACTTCCCATCTGGCATAACCTTGAATATCTATGATATTATCGAGGGTGATGAGACGATAGAGCTACCTTTGGAGAAAATTTTTGCAAATACAAAAAAGGGCCCCTACACGGAGTACTGCTACTACAATGATCACTCAATAAAGGAACTGCAGTCATCCGATATTATAAAATGGGATCCTCACTATAAAACCGCCCCACATGCTCCTCTTGGTTGGTGGAATGGCCCTTCAAGCAAGGGTAGAGATCTAAGTAAGGGCTGTAAACTTACGCTTCTGGATGGGAATACTGAAACGGTCTATATTATACGGCCGAGGCGCGTGAAAAGCAAACTATGGGCGAAAATATCATAGGAAAAGTGCGGTTGCCTGTCGTGCTCACTTTGCTTCTGATTCCTTATTCATATTTGCTCAGACTTTGCAATATCCTTAATGATTACTTCAGAATATCCCATGCTACCCTACAATGAAAAGACAACGCTGAACCAAGGTTTTCTTTGAAGACGAATCATACCAGCCTTCCGATCCCAAGTATTCTGAATCTAGACTACACTAAGTACAGTATACCATCCGGCAAAAGTACGAGCAGGTGACAATTTTTATAGAACTGGTTGATACAAAGAAATATTCCGTAACCAGCATACTAAGCCCTATCCAGAGTATCCTCAGACATCTTCCGTTGAGAGTCAAGCATCTCGAACTCTTGCGAATTAATGAAGCCGGTCAACTTTTTCGCGAGATCATTTGATATTCTGCGTGATTCGATATTCAGAATCGATCGCAGACCCTCTAAGGGCTGAGATTGAAGAAAGTGATTGAATATAAGTTTTGCCTCTGTGAGATGTGAATAATAGTCTGGAATTGGTGAATGATATATACGTACCTTCCTTTTTTAATTTACTAGATCGGGTATACCGTACACTTTCTGGCCAAAATTCCGGCTTCCCTCTTACCATTGGCCGACTCCTTTGATGGTTAATCCAATCAACCCAATATGAGATTATGATCCGGAATTCCTCACGACTAAAGCTAACATCAGGTAAATTTGTCCATGTCTCTGCAGAAATTTTGTTCTCGATGTCTGCAGAATCATTGCTAGGGACAGACTTCTGCAACAGTTGAGGATCCACGGTACTTTCAGCCAAGCTATCATCTAAAGCTCGGCACTCTCTGTGACCTGAAGTCCCTGGTATGTTAGTCTCGAGAGACAAGACCCAGAGGTGCTTATAGTGAATGTTACCTTGGTAAGAATGACATATAAGACCGAAAACATGAGATTTCAACATCTCCAGGGAGGGCCACACGACTCGGGCAGTCTCCAACGTTAACGTGCTCAGTTGCTTATCATTAGTACAATAGATATCGAGGGAAGCACAATTTTCAAAGGCCAAGCCTTGTAAGTCGGTGCAAAATCTTTGGAATGTCGCACAGAAGTTGTCATAGTAAGAAGATATATAGGGCGAAGATACCTGTTGGTCCATTTGGTACAACAGTCCATAGAGTGAGTGAATGCCCCAAGAAAGAGGCCCGATCATCCAAAGCCAATCTGTAGTGAGAATTTTCAGGCTGGCAGAGATAGAATGCACAATGGGCCACATCCGCAGTACATTGTCCCTTCGGATAGAGGGAATAGCCATTGTTGCGAGAATTGAAATGTCTGTTAAGAAAAAGGATGTCGATATAAACGAAGGAAGAAGCAAGCTGTATGCTACCTCATGCCTTTCACCCCTGCATCTCCACAACGCATAGGCCCGCAGGAAGTCAAGGTGGCCTGACACCTGTGGTATATAAGCCTCACGTTGGCAGGCCTCAGCTAGCTCCATCAGCTCTGCCGGAGCTATAGCCGGCCACACTTCCATAGCAACAGAAATAAGGTATCCAAGAATTGCAACAATTTCTCTTTCGACCTCTAAAGCTGCCCGACCTCGTATGGCATTGTGTAATCTTGCTAAGTTTACACGACTGCTATCGACGTGGACTTCTGCCAAGCCTATATTTGGTGATAGTGATATTCGGATGACAAGTCCAGCAATGAAGTCGGAAGGGTTGTCACTCTCAAGAAGCTCATGTGAACAGTCGGAGACTGTTGTTGAATCGAGATACTGCGGAATATTCTTAGCTCTTAACAATCGAGTTGTCAAGAATGATTGCCATTTTGGACGTAAAAACTGCGCTTGTATGGACGGGTGCCTGGACATTTAGTCAAATAAATAAGAATGTTCAGGCTGTTATCTCACATTGTATTCGTGTGGAGTTCGGTCATATCTTATTTTTCAAGGTGTTATGTTCTGTCTAGCGACTGTAGAACGGGTGCTAGGAGTACGAGATAAGTGAAGTTATTTACTGAAAGGGTTACTAGGGTTTTATATTGATACGGCAGTGAACGATGCTGTAAGGGTAATTTATCCTTTCTTGATCTCTCGATCATCTACACCGATGCACACCAAATCTCCTAAGCTAATGATTATTTTGTGATTGGATGGAGGCACATATCTGGCCACACCTAGTCTATACCAGGATGTCTGACTGGCACTATTTCGCAGATTACTGCTGCAAGAAATGGATCTTCTAGGCAACCAGCCTAACTATAGGCAGAACCCTGGAGTTCTGTTTTACGCTAATTAACCTCATGCAGCATCTGTCTAACATCCCGAAACAACCCCATTAGCTCATGTTTTCATGGCCAAAAAAAGAAAGCTCCCGGGAGCTAACTTAATCATCCGGTATTAAGCAAATTGCCCCTATAAATATGTCCTTGTACGCCGCACCTGACATATCTAGCACCTTCCATTTGCGCTCATCAGGCAAGCAGCTGTAATTGAGCCACCTTTAAACAGGAACATGTCCATACAGAACATATCTGTGGAGCTCATCATCCTGGTTTTTCAAAGTTTGAACAATATAGATGACTGTTTGTCTTTCTCTCATACATGCAAACAGTTCCATGGGATATTCAAAAGATTTCAAATCGTAATATTTGAATCGGTTATAGTACGTCTGATTACTTCTCCCTGAATATAACTCTTGCTAAACTCATTCTTCCTACTAACATACCTGGGCAGATCAATGCAAAACATCATCAACACGACATCGAGCTAGGCCTCCTTCAGGATATCTATGAACGTCACAATATAAAGGAAACATTTCTCGAACCCGAGACAACATATGATGAAGTCGAAAAGCCTGTGGTCTCTCAGATAAAGGTCAATCAGGTAATTGAGGTTGTTGTCCGATGGCATGCCATGAAGATCCTTTATGATCTATACAGAAGTTCCTCAATACACTCCCATTTCGTTCGAGCGAATACAGTGATTTATCCCGCTATGAACGATAGGCTCCGTGATTGTGCTACTGAAGAAGCCATGCCAGAACCCAAGGATTTCAATTGTACGCTGGACTATGGGCACAGATATGCAGAATATTCTCGATTTTACCATGCGTTGACAGCCCACTGGGTGCTGATTGAAAAGATCTGGCTTGCGAAGATGACACACTACAAAAAGTCCTCCACCCGAAATGATCGCTATAACCAGCTTTGGCAGCTATGGGCGGATAATCCGGACAGGACTCTTCGGGAGAAGCTGGATTTGATTGAAGTTGTCGAATTTATATGGGGATATTTAGGGCGTAATATCTTCAAAGGGAGGTTCGCCCAGTTATCAGACTGGGTTCCCCAAGCCGATCTAGCACAATTCACTGAAAATGAAACTCCTGACTCTGCATGGGCATTTTTCATCGCTCGGGTTACCCAGGAATTGCGACCACCGCACATCATAGAGCTCCTTCTACTTTTGATTTGGAACTCTGAGATGGCATGGAGAATTGATCGGCCAACTTACCTGCGCCAGTTAGGCTTTCTTGTGGAGCCTCAAAGTGTGGAAGAATGGAATGACACAGATTGGCCAGACACACAATTCTCGTTGAATATCTTGGATGAAGATGTTATCAACAGCTTGGTTGATATGGTTGGCAGTGAGGATTCTTATGACTTATGCGAGAAGCAATGGTACAACTATAAAGACACGCAGTGGCAAGGCAATATGCAAGGGCGTATACTCGGATATGAGATGACATCACAGCAGCTTTTCGAACTTATCATGTTTTCTGGTGATGTATAACGCACAAAATGAGACAGGATTGAGACTCACATGTTGGTCCCCTCGTGGTATTTCGCCCGTATATTCCAGTATAGTTATTTTCTATTTCACATCTAAAGTAGTACCACTTACAGCCTGATTGGGAAAAGAAAAGAAAATACCTGTCTTAGCATATGCCTGGGTTGTGTGTCTAATGAATCTAATTTATTAATTCAACAATTTAGTATGGAAGTAAAAGTTAAACGTTGAGACTATGTACTCTAGCTATTCCTAACTACTGAGATATTGGTAAGCCTCTCTTTTCAACTGGTCCATACTTGCATATCCGCCACCCCAGCATTTCCTAATAATCCCCCCCCATAAAACATTATCAACATTTGGGAGTGAGTCTGCTTCTGGCCAACGGAGATCTGGGTTCTCAGGGCCAAAGAAGTAGTATTTATGAACATGCCAAGATGAAATAGAGTAAAGTATCCAGCCAAGATGGAGTATCTCAATCTTTGCATTCAGATCATTTTCGGTTGCAGAAGTGATATCAATATCAAGGGGTAATAGAATAGACTGGCCGAAATCCGCAAGTTTGAGCTGTTCATCCATAATCAAGATGTTCCGGAGAGCGATGTCATCCACAAATACCTTGCGAGAATGAATATAAGAGAATGTCTCGATAAGACTCAATATCCAGGTAATTTTGAAAGAGTCTTCACGCTCTGGATAATTCTCTAAATAGGACTCGAGATCTCCTTGTGCAAGGGCTAGCTCAATCCCATATTGTGATGTTTGAAAACAGGGAATAATCCCTTTATAGCTGCCCAGACGTTCAAAGGCCCGAATCTCTTTCTCCAGAACTTGCTGGTTTATTCCGTTGATATACTCGGTATCATCGTGGTTTTGAAGGGGCTGAGACTGGTACTGTTTAGCTTTTTTAACAACACGATCTTCTCCTAGTTGAAAGATAATTCCAGTCATGCCAGTCCCAATTACCGGAAGACCGATATAAGGATCATGAAGAAACGCAGGTGGCTGAGTATTCTGGGAATGTTGGAAGGTGTTTGCTAGCACTATCTTATCTGACTGAGAACCAGTAATATAGCACTGTCCGTCAAGTCGAGGACATCGAAAATCCGAGGCTGAATAGGAAATCTGAAGCTTCAATTTCACAGTTTTTCAGAATGACAGCAAGGAAAAACGAAGCGACCCAATCAAACTCACCTTTGACTCTCGCGAATCCTGGCTCGCAGAAGACCAAATGGCATTATAAAGCCAAGCACGTAGTTTCAGGAGTACCATGATTGAGCAGCGAGCTCGAGATAATGTGTGGAAACCGGAAAGATGGAGACAGAGGTTGCAGGAAGCAACTTGGCAAGGCTGGGAAACGAAGCAGTCAGGTGACCATTATTTTATTACTAAGCATTTCTAGAAATGTCCCGAATTCAAATCATGTGATAACATCCTGCTTATTAAGGGACTTAGCGTCACGTGCATACACTCCGGGTCAACTGACCTATCCACAATAGGTCAGTTGACCTGTGTACACGGGTCTGAGACGCAGTAATAACTAATAATTAGTCATATCACGTGATCTTCTCATTGGAACGAAGAAAGCTTCTGTCCCCCGTAGAGCAATTCAATGTTCGAACAGTAGAAACTTCGAACAGTAGAAACTATTAATTCAGATGATTCCTCCCCCAACTGGCATTGATAGAATAGGTACAGAGCCGTCCGGAACTGGATTCCATTGATCATATACAACGAGTTGTTTTCAAACCCTAAATGCCAAGACACACTAGACTATATATGGAACAATGGTATTGTACTGTATGTTTCGCAGACCAGGTTCTGTGGACGAAACGATCCGGTACTTGAGTCAGCTGTATGGTTCCTGTATTATTACAGCGCTAAACATAAATCAAAACTAGGAGTGACACCGGTTCAAGTATCGAAGTTCCATCGGTGGGAACGCTACTGTACAAGTGGAACAGCATTCCGACGAAATTTTCTCCATACAGTGATGGGGTGGCTCCTAGCTATGTAACATGGTGCGAACAGGGCAGTGAGATTTGATCCGGCTGTGTGCGAAAGAAATAGTTATAGCAAAGGAACTCAACATTATCCATTGTACAGTACCAAAAGCAGATTGGAACTGAACATAGGACACAGAGGGCTATATTTTTTGTCTGGTAACTTCGATAGCTGTGGCTTGATCAGGGATAATGGCAAGAGGCACGGTCCCTGCGTGCATCACTCATTCACTGAATAACTTCAAAACTCCTTCAGCCCAGGTCCTGTAGTCGGGTGGGTTTTTAGGGTCGATGGTATCCCAGATCAGTTTCTCATGAGTCCCGAACTTTTTCACCAGTTCTTTCGCTGCGTGCGATTGTGGGTTCTGATTGACCTGCAAATTCCAGGTCTTGAAGTTGGGTCGATTGTGGACGGTATATCCCGCGTCCATACGGAAGTCCCGGTTACTCCAGATTGTCCTCTGGTCATCCAATATGACCCCTTTGAGTTTGTCATACATCTCTTTTCCTGCTGCATTGAGTAGGTCCTTCATTCGGTTCTTGGGTATAAAAATTGGTTTGTCTAGACGAGGACGGTCTTCGAAGCAATCGCCGACTTTCTCATGGTCATCATCCGAATCGCTGTTGCTAGGGCCCGAGTGTGATGCTGCCGGGAGAGCATCTGTATCATGACAAGCAGTACTAGGCTCCTGCGACCGATCCTGCGACGAATCTTGTTAGTTGTTTTCGGTTCAGTCATGTAAGACGGCACTCTTTCAACGTACCCCAGAGTCATCTGACCCAGCAATAGCAGCCGCCGCCCCAACTCCTACTACAAACAGTTCAGCGAGTACTGAGCCTACTCCTGCTGCTGCTCCCATTCCCGTTGCCGTTGCCGCTGTTGCCGCTGTTGCTGCTCCAGCAGCGAGTACTGATCCACCTGCCACTGCTGCGCCGGCCCCTGCTACTGCGCCAGCGCCCGCTGCTGTTGCTGCTCCAGCAGCGAGTACTGATCCCCCTGCCACTGTCGCACCAGCCCCTGCTGCTGTTCCTGCCCCTGCTCCCGCTGCCAAGAGTGACCCTCCTGCGACTGCAATTTCCGGTCCCAGTGCTGTTGGCATTAAAGCTAATGCCGCTGCCCCAGCCACTGTTGATGCCCCTGAAGCTACTGCTCCAATCACTGCTGCCCCTGCCGATGCTGTGGTAGTAATAGCCGCCTCAGCTGCTGCGACCGCTGCCGCCCAAAAAGGAAGGAGAGGGCTACAGCTGCCATTTTGCGCTTAAGATAGTCGGTATGGCGTCAGAAATGTGTTTGAAGCAGATAAGTCGCGATACTGGTCGCGTTCTTGAACACAGCTTTGAATGACGTTGACGTATGGCATTATATATAAATGTCTAATAGGAGCTGGCATTAGGCAGAAAAATACGCATACGTGCCCAATGAACATGGTAGTACATCTATATCATGTGACTGACGAGAAGCTTCAAGGACTTGACATTTTTCAGGTTTCATTGTTGGGCTGGATATGAGGGGACCATGCTAATGTCACGAGGCAGATCATCCAGAGATAAGGCAGTAAGTGGGTCTCTAGTCAGAACTAAGTAGATCCATATGAGGTCCCATGGATTCCGTTCCGAAAGTTTTAGTCGTCCGGCTCCTGTTTCTAGACCCTTGTATTCATACTGATATATATACGCCACGGTATTATTACAATGTACATACAAAACCGGTGACTTACGGTCAGCCCATATTAGGTTAGTGTATCATGTGATTAGGGTTTGAAAGAGTATATCTCTGTTTCCTGACGTCGAAGGCAATAACGAGCGTCACTGTAATTCTGGCGCTCGGTACAAGCCGATCGAAAAAACGGCCCCTGAGAGGAAAAAGAGGGTTGATATCAAATCGACCGTCGTCAATCGAAATCGTGGTTGTGTTGTGTGTGGCGAGCGGAAACTAATCGCGGCCCGATGGCGGTTCCGCCGGCGGGTGGTCCCGAGAACACCCCGAGGACTCCGGAAAACTCTGCAAGGGACAGGGATGAAGCTGGCCCCCTACCAGTGAGAAAGGGACGAGCAACGCGGGCACAAACTAAGAATGTGACCATCCCGGCAGTCGAGTTCCCGTCCCTTGAGGATGGAAAAACAAGAATCACAACCCAAGTAGTGGGAAGCCTGATCAACAATTTGAAGGACATCATCCAGCACCAAAGCACGATCATCGAATCGACCCAACGAGAGCTACAGCAACTTCGGAACGAACAGCAAATCCTCCAAAACCAGAATCTCCAGCTAATTAAGGAAGTCCGTGATCTGCGAGCACGGTTTGACACCTGGGCAGCCTCCCCCCAACCCAGAACATGGGCCGCGGTCGCAGCCGAGGCAGCAGGCGGAGAGGCTGAACAGAGAATGCCCCGACCCCGAAAAGAGCCGAACTGTATTCGGATCAGCACAGCACGCCCGACAGAAGACGCAGACAACGGGGACCACGAGGTATTCACGAGGTACTTGCCCACCGATATTGCCAACACGCGTATCCGCGCGGCTCTGTCGCATGCGGAAGCCACCAAGGACACCGAGGTTGCGGGAATAGGGACCACCAAAACAGGCTACGTCATTCGGTTCAAAGACGAACAGTCGGCAACCACAGCCCGAAACAACCCCGAGTGGCTGGGAGAGCTAGGCAATGAGACAAAACTCGTAAAACCTCGCTTCGGTGTGGTGGTACACCGCGTCCCGACTGAGGATTTCGATCTGGACCGAAATAAAGGAGACAGCATCGACAAGATCATGCAGGAGAATGACCTAGCGGGAAAAGGATACCAGATCGAAGATATCGCGTGGCTGAAAAGAAAAGAAATCCCCTTAGGACGCTCCGCAACGATGGGAATCTGGCTAAGTACCCCAGAAGCCGCTGATTTTATCCTCAACAATGGGCTTCTGGTGGGACAGAGATACATCGGGAGCGTGGAACCCTATCGGGTTGAACGAAAGAGGTGCCGCCGCCGCCAGCGATTTGGCCACCTTGCCTGGTCATGCACGGAGCGGGTCCGCTGCGGATACTGCGCGGGTTCCCATGACCAACGCCACTGTTTTCCCGGGGTGAGACCCCGGTGCTTAGACTGCAATGAGGAACATCCCACTGGAGATCGGAGGTGCCAGAAGCCCCTCCATCCCCGGTCCTCCCAATGACCTCGCACAATCTCCGTATCCTACAGTTGAACATCATGAAATCTAGGGCAGGAATGGAAGCCCTCATAAACGACCACCAAACGATCAACCTCGACCTCCTCCTAATCCAGGAACCCCCTATTTCCGCGTACGGCGGGAAATAGTGGCCATCAGGCAACCAAATGGCTTTTAACCTCACGTTTTCTCTAGCTTAACGTCACCCAATTAGCTATTATTGACTTTTACTCTCAGCCCGGGTGCGCACTTTACTTTCTCCGAGTTTATAGGTCTCCTGCATGAAATAACATGTGGATTCAACCTTTTCTGGTAGGTTTTATACTGTTTATCACCCATCCCCAATGGTAATCAAGGACAAGCTAAATATCTTAATTATGCCTACTGCGAGAGAGTGGGAAACATCTGCTACTGTTAAATCACAGACATGGCTTGAGACTAACTGAAAGAAACCTAATAACAGAACATATTACTATGAAGTTGATTCATAGTTTGGCTATGATAACCCCAACCAGTGTTGAGTAAGATAGGGTTTTTAGGAATTTAATGAGCCCAGGTGATTTTATGGAAATTTTTTTTTTTTTTTTTTTCCCTACGCGTGTCTAGTTAGGCTGTCTTAGATGGGACCCTTATGGAATTGTGTTGCTCTGGTGTTTTTTATTTGTAATTCACTTCTGCTTTATAACCGTTGAGATTTTTCACTTTCTTTCAAGCAGAACTATATATCTGCCGATAGATGCTAGGCCTGTTCTTTAGATTGCACTAGGCCATGTCTTCTGCGAATGCGTTTTCCTGGTAGCCACCATATATTGAGGGGAGCAGTACGGCTAATCCAGCGCCCCTGCATCGCTACCACCACACGCGTCTCTACGTTCCTAGAGAATAACATTGAAAGGCGTGGAAGGTGCCTTCCCCAGAGTCAGCTCGGAAACATTGTATGGGATTAGGATGTCACATCTTTGAGGCATACAATACAGCCCGGCAGAGAAGTGTGACATGAGAAATTTCCATATTAGCCTTCACCCGTTTGTCCTGTGCTAGAGTACTACACCTGTGTTGCTCCGCTTATTTCCCGCATTGCCCCAATGAGCACCACGGCGATAGAGACAAGAACTCATCGTACATGGCTTTGCGTATAGTATTCTAGTTGCTGTCGCCTCGGCCTGTATGGGACGGTACGCTGCTCGAGTACTGCATGCTCTTGCCTTATGTACAGTTTACGGAGCCAGCCCTTTACAGAAATCGAGATCGAGCCTGATCGAGAGAAAGCGCAGGCCAACGCACTGGCACAGCAATCCACAACAGGTATCACAGTCTTCTCAGACGCTTCAGGAAAAGAGAATCAACTAGGCGCCGCAGCAGTAGCTCTTAACCGCAACCGGCAGATAACGGGGTCTCGACAAATCAGCATCGGCTCAATGGACCACTGGTCGGTCTATGCGGCCGAGCTCATGGCAATCTACTATACTATCGGGCTGGTTTTTCAACTAGCCCAGAAGGTGCATGCTACAACAACAGCAACCCAAGACCCAGCGACAATCCTCAGCGACAGTATGTCCGCGCTACAAGTAATCGCCGACTCATGGAATAAATCGGGCCAGCAGATCATCCAGGCTATTCATCAGTCTGCTGCAGAGCTAAAAGCACGAGGAATTCCGCTGCGATTACAATAGATCCCGGGATACTGCGGTAACCCTGGAAATGAAACGGCAGACCGTCTAGCCAAGAAAACGGTGGAGGCGGAAAAGAAAAACCCTTTCCAGCACCTTCTATCGCGGGAGAAGGCTTTCATCCGCAACAAAATCAAAAGTGAATGAGAACAAGAATGGAAGACCTCTAAGAACAGAGGGCACCTCCGGCACATAGATCAGGCCCTACCCGCATGCCGCACGCGCCGACTGTACGGCTCGCTTCCGCGCAACCGTGCTTACCTGCTGGCGCAACTTCGGACCGGCCACTCATGGCTCGCCACCTATGCTAAGCAACATGGCTTCCGAGATAACGAGCAGTGCGAATGTGGAGCGACAGAAACCGTGGTCCATGTATTAATTGACTGCCCGCGGCTGAATGCCCTACGGCAAGAATTGCGGCGGAAAATCGGAGGCGTGTTTAACAACGTTTCAGATATGCTAGGAGGAGCAGGCCAAGGTAAGGAAGGAAAGTTAGAAGATGCCACGCAGAACGGTAGCGTCCTAGGGGCGGTACTTGATTTTGCAGAGGCGTCGCAGAGATTTCGAAGTCGCGCGTCACGAGGGCGGCAGAACAGAACACCAGGCAACGGCCAACACAGGCCTTGACGAGGCTCCAAGTTCGTCAGGAAAGTAATAGTCTACAGTTCATGGATGTACATAGTGAGTAGATAGTGGTTCCCTGCATATCGCCTTAAGGCGAGGGGCCAGCGTATGATTCATCATCATCATCGTCACTGTACAGTTTAATTGTGCTTCGGTCACACATCCAGGCGATCATTTTTCTGAAGCCTTACGCATTATGGTCTAGTCCGAGAGTCCTAGTAGAAATAGAAAATGGTATGGCACAGGTGCTGCATCTGCAACCAGCGTACGCTGAGTTTCCTTACTAAGCTGGCGAAGAACCGTCTCGTTGAGAGGTTAGACGGTATAAACAAGATTTCGAACTGCTCACTCTCGCAATTATTCCTTGTAACAACACTTTGAACAGCACGCGTATCGACGCCGAGCCTGTATCTGCACCACCAAACCCAGTACACCAAAATTATACACAGAACCATCATTTCAGTCGGCAATTTGGACAGAGATATATACGGTTCGTGCTTGATGCCTTGGAAGTAGACCTTGGAGGATCAGGACACCATGATGGGGGTGATCGCTGTTGCGCTTCGGCGCACATCCGAGGTGTTGGCTGTTCAGGGATGGGGACGGTATGCCTGCATTTGGAGAAGTACACCGGAGCCGGGTCTTCAATGAAGCACATCACGGAAGACTGGTGATGATTTCTGGTTCCTAAAGTAGCTCATTCAGCTACGTATATGATCATTGGGGAAGCGACTTACCAGCAGACAAGCTAAATCAGTGTATCAACTGAGGGCTCCAGCACATTTGATTTTGGCAGCTTGTGAATGACTTGAAGGAGTGATACAGTCCTGCTACTTGAAGGATCGTTGCCCTTCTTATGATTGCGCCTTTACCGGCAACGGGTTCAGTTCAGTTCAATACGCTTACTAGATGCCACCTACAGGCTTGAATCCTCATTGAGTAAATGTTCAGCTGCTATCGATTGGCTAAGGAAGTGCAGGGATCTAGAGGGGTCTAGAGGGTGATAGGTCGGAGTAGTTCAGATATTGCTGCCTGGGTTATTGTTCTCAGTACTTCCTTAACAAGGCCTGAACGCTTGGCTCAGCTCAGACCTCAGTGGTCCGCCTGATCTAGTTTTTCGCTCACCACACTGTCCGCTCGTTACGGATCCCTGCTAGACTGGAGTCAGCGCACAAATAGGACGCCTATCTGCGGCCCGAAACTGATAGGATTTTCCTTACCCCCTCACCATGGATGACGTGGCAGCTGGCAGATGGCAGAGGCGGGCCTGATCGAACCCAGCTCCCCTAAACCCAACTTTCTTAAACCCAACTTTCTTAAACCCAACTCCCCTAAACCCAACTCCCCTAAACCCAACTTTCTTAAACCCAACTTTCTTAAACCCAACTTTCTTAAACCCAACTTCCTTAAACTCAACTTCCTTAAACCCAACTTCCCGAAATCTAACTTTCTCAAACCCAGCTTTTCTAAACCTTAACGCTCATCCCTCTCGTCGTGGTTTTCCCCTACTTGGCTAACCACTATGATCTTTGATATTGACGTGTACGATCATCCGGAAACCTCAGCCTTTTTGAAGGATGAATTATCTTTACTTAACGAACAGATAAGGATTGTTGAAGGGCTTGAGCATGCTAGAGCCCGTCTTCTGGCCAAATCTTCGTTGGAGTACAATACACTATCGAAGTGCGATGTGTTCATGCGTTATGCCAATGAAAGTACCCCTGGCAGTAACTTCGACCTCGAAATCCGTAAGCTGAGCCTGGACGAGCTGGCTTTCTGCTCCATTAGTTTCGAAGACAGGCGCCTCAAACATGTGGTCCACCATTTCAAAGCGGCGAATATCCGGAAGTATATGACGACAACACACGTCTCATGCCTCGAACGGCAGGAAATTTTCAGACGACTGAACCGTTTATGCGCTGAATCTGAGGGGAAACCATTTAAGGAGATCTACTCGTCTGCCTATATGGTATACAACAATTTTTTGGCCAAGGGCTCTATGGAATCGAATGAGATGGATGTTGGTACGGTTGCGATTAATCGTGCAATACCTGCGCTTACTGATTACATTTTCAGAGACTTCACTAGATCCCGAACCTGACACGATGGCTAAACAGCCTGGCTCCTTTGAGTTCCCCACGGCGCGATGGAGCAACATTGACAAAGTGTTTCCTGCACAAGCTGCAAACGCCATCCGCCACGCGCCGCAACGTATAGTAGATCCGGAAATAACAGATTGTGTGCGATCTAAATTCCCTAGGGGTCGGAGTGAAGGCGATGCGATCGTTTGGTTGGACATCGGGTCCAACGGGGCACTGCCATTCCTACCTACATATAGGTCAGGTATCGAAATGGAGCAAGTTCGTGCCATATTTGGGGATGCTATCTGTGATGCTGTTGATGAAAGTGACCTGCGAAAGTGGGAAAAAAGAAATGGACGTTTGAGTACAACAGAATGCGTGAAGATGAAGGTATTTTGTCACATGGAGCTTCGAATAGGATACGACACAACTATAGCGAAGAAATTATTCAATTGATGGAATAATAGCCTTTATATATTGTCGCAGATATGCCTGCAGGAAGTCTCATGATGCCATGACTTTGCTTGGTGTTCCACACTTCGTGATCCGCTTCAAAGAAAACCACTTCTTCGCAATCTCTACAAATAAGTAGCCGATCATTGGTCGCCTTTTCAATCGATTCGAGTGATACATATTCGGTAAGCTTCTTCAATCGATCATCGTCTGCAGGGAGCGTTTCCCACCGTGATTCCTACCAGTATCACATCAGTACTGTATATGATTCTCTTTTAGGAGCCATACCAAGTCGTCTTTTCTGGTTGTCATAACAATCTGAAAAGGTACTCTGAGGGTACAAAGCCTGCTGTAGTTGGGCATCAGTCTTGACCTCCGTCGGGATGGACTTCTTATGGCTTTACCTCCGAAGCAAATGGGTGGTGTGCTGAGAAGTCGCGTTTTGCAATCTTTTGGAGCGGCGCTTTGTTGCATCGCATGGAGACAACTACACCAAGTGAGTCGTCTGAAGCTTTGAAACTTATGAGCGAGCGACAGCCAGAGAATTTTAAGGTGGGGGTTAATAAACTAGGAGGGGCATGTGATCTGATCAGGTTAGTCTTCCGTGGTCGATACCCAAAGCGGGGCAGCGGAGCATCTTCAGCATCGAGGATATTATCACGTGATGTACTGTCCCACTCGCTCGTCTCGCAGTAATGAGCGACGTAAACTCTATAGAACTGTGAGTAAAACATGTTTCGCATATCCTATGTGAGATATTATTGGTGATTGGCTATCTCCATGCAGTTCATTCTGGCCTAACATATTATGAGGCTGAGTAACTTCTCTTATTAGTTCGGTGGACCAGGAAGGCGCTGCAGCCACACTGGCCATAGCCGCACCTATTCTATCAGGTAGAGCTTGCTTTTCAATCAAGCAGAAGCCTCACCGCCTTCTGGTTCATATCCGCTATCTTTATCGTTTGCGTGAGATTTCACATCGCAGGCTAAGGCAGACATTTTGACTTCAGCCCGAATTGATTTAGGTGCCTTGTATAGAATATCACAAACGGTTTCATATGTAAACTTAGAGTAACTTATTAAGCTGTTTACATAGCTTCTATTTAAAAGATTCTTGTTATGTCTTATGGATTTCCCGTATAGTAGGCAGAAAAAGGATGTAGCAGACGCTGATGTGATGTAGCATGGCCGGTGTAGCACTTCTCTGCATTTCCCTTCTCTTATAAAGGATGATAAACGGAGTATACTCTATAAGCTTCTTTCCCTTGTTACCTTCTACACTCGGGTCTATTTCCTATTACTTTATGTAGCTTGACATCAGACCAAGGTATAGCAGGGTATAGTATCTCCCTGGCTTGGATTGGGAGAGTCTGATTCACTGTGGGAAGTCCTAGCGTTTGCCGACCTTGCCCTGGATGAATATAATATCTAGAATCTCAGGACAATACTTGACATGTATATTCATGTTCCCTCAATTTAAAACTCAATCCAGTCATTGCCACAGTCTTTCGCAATATCCTTCACGTTCATACCCACTCTCTTGTTCCACCTCTCGGCAGTCCCAGCTTCAATAAGCTCCTCCACTTCAAGAGAAGCCAATACATCAATTGTCCAATCCTGGCATCTTCTTTTATCGCCCCTAGGAGCAGGCTCATTTGAGATGATCTCAACGACCTTTGAACGGAGTCCAGCGTTCAGACGCGCGATCTTGCACATTCCGATAGCGTGCCGGGTTTTAATGGTAGTAGCTTCACGAACAGCCAGCTGATACCAAAGTGTCGATTGGTCGATCAGTTGCACATGGTAGAGGTCACCGAAGTCTTCTTCCGGCTTCGCCAAAAGGAAGCCCCAGTGGGATCGTTGGTTGGGATTATCTCCATTTTTAAACACTTCTATGTGTAACTCCAACGTCATTTCGCTGGAATAAGTCTGAGGATATTCTCATTAGCTACATAATCCAACGGATTATGCTTGCATACCTTACTTTTGATTTCATACGAGTATCAGGTCGCCAAAAACAAGTATAGAACGCACATATCTGACATGCGGCATCTACAGAACTTTATGTCTTTTCATGTAATGTCAGGGTCATGCTATTCGAAATTACTATATTAGTGCGCCTCGGCATGGTAGAATAAGTGTAGGTATGATAGGCTTCGAAAAGCGTATTGCTTATCCTTCCTGGCAAATCACACCTCATGCAGATGTAATGATTTGGGTGGCATAGGAAGACCCCCGCTTAGATGTTGACCTGAAAGCTAAATTGTATAGCGTCCCATGCACAGCAGTGATTAATGAACTTTTTATAAAACACTTGATTGTATACAATACAAGGCAAGTGCTCTTAGGTTGAGAAATTTAGGTTTGCGGGAGTTGGGTTTGTAGGAGTTGGGTTTGCGGGAGTTAGGTTTATAGAAACTGGACTTGCGGGATTTATATCGGCAGGAATTATATTCGCAAAAATAAGATCTGCATGGAAGTTGGGTTTCCAGAAGTTGGGTTTACAGGAATTGGATTTGTGGGAAGCTACGTTTACAGGAGTTGCATATGTGGGGACCATGTGGCGTGATCTATTTTAAGATATTACACACTGTGCCTTAGACCGTCCGCCTTCTAAAATCTGACTCTTTGAACTAACTTATGCAAACCCAACTCCTACAAACCCAACTCCTACAAACCCAACTCCTACAAACCCAACTCCTACAAACCCAACTCCTACAAACCCAACTCCTACAAACCCAACTCCTACAAACCCAACTCCCACAAAATTGTCTAGTCTGTATAATTCCTTATACACATACACCTGGGATCAATTAATGCTCTGCAGGGCTTCACTCTCATAGTATCAATCAGCTCTGGTACGTCGCAGCTTATAGCTTAGGCTCATGGAAAACTACAGAAGCTTTGATATTTTCTAGGATTTTATCTTATAGTACTGAATATATATGGCCTTTGCTCATAGTTGGGCACTATAGAAGCAATGCTGAGGTTATTTGGGATTCCCATCTGCTATTTTGAAACGTCCACTCACTATTTACAGTTAGAATAGAATGCGCGCTGGACATGCATCAAGGGGAATATTCGGCTAAGGTAATGAATGAGGCCATGTCACGAGCCTGCTACAATATGGAGGCCTTTGCTGCCTCGGCACTACATGCACTAATTCATCCTCGAAAACTATATTGGTCAAACTTTTTTCCTCTTTGATACATCCTTTTTCGTAAATTATAAGGCGGATTACAGTACAGCTACGTCAATGTATAATTACCCCCTGTATCTGGCCTAGGATGTATATTTCTAGTTCGTAACCACATGCGTAGTGTCTCTTTTCTGCTTGTCCTAGATTTCTTACACAGGATTGCAAGCTTATCAACTTCGGGCCGTTTTTTTGACAGACAATCGAGATGACTCCAGTATGTCTTTACAAACGACCACAATTTCAAATACTTATCACAAGCAGGACACCAGGAAGAGAAACAATACAGGTGCAGGGAGGGAGGCTCTTGCTTCAAGAAAGAAGGAGTGTGTCAATGATAAAGAACAGAAGGTAATAGGTAGTAGACCTTACTGAGGACCCACAGACTAACATATACAGGATTACTCTTCCGGTTTGGGACAGTTCAGAAAGGTTGGAGACATACGCAAGGAACACTGGATACCAAAGCCACCTCGTTTCCGTGTTAGGCTATTCTGTTGCCGATGTGATGAAGAAGTAGGGGTTAAGGGTATCTCTTGTGGCTCTTGTTACCATGAGAGGTGTCCGGAGTGCTTGGTCTTGGGCCATGACAGGAGCGCACCCATGCACTTTGCTTAGGGCAAACCCAAAGCTAGAGCTGCGAAGACCCATAAGTGGAATTGATGTCCGGTTGCCTACTAAGTCCTTGCGCCGCGGCCACGGTCTGTAGTCAGAAGGCTACAACATCTCCTAATCACTGCGGATTGACTGGCATATAAGGTTGCCACTTCCCAACCATACAGAAAACTAAAGATGTTGTTTGGAATGCAATCAAATGATTACGTCTATATTATCCTATATGCTTACGTTGCTTGGTATTTGTTTGTTATCCTCGTCCTTTGCTGTTATTATTTGTGTGGCAAGTATCAGCAGAAGCTGCACCGAACAAAGCGCCGATCACGGAACAAGTCAAGAAGGAGAAGAAGAAGACAAAACAAGGCTGGGAGGAAGCGAAGAAGCCACAGAAGATAAGAGGTATATCTCAAAACCAGCTGGTCTTAGGATAAGTCGCATGAAGTCTTCTCAGGAGCACTGGATATTTTGCTCAAAGTGGATACATCTGGACAGTTTGTGACCTGGTTCATAATCGCCAATGTGAAAGGAATGCCGGGACGGTTGGTAATCTCTTCTGAGCACCGTACTAGGTTGGCGCTAAACAATCGACTTATGTTAGGTAGGGTACATTCCGATGCTTCACCAGGACGATCGATCATTTTGATTTGTTCTATGGACGAAATCCTCCTCTGTACGGTCTTAGCTAGCGCTTCTGTGGTGAAACACGACGTAGGAAGCAATATGTCGGTGTGGAGTTGAATATTCGGGCGAGCTCACCATATTATACGGACTAAGTATGAGGCTATGCTTTGATACTGGCGAATTGATGTGGAAAAACTAAAGCATCTTCTAAGAAGCAAATATCTGCTGGTATTTTAGTTGTGCTCTCATGCTGCATGAGTCTCTTATTATCCTCCTATCTTTTGAAGGCACTCCACGGAGCTCACTGGTATTAATTCCAGTGGTTTTGAGGAGGTTGTCATAATCGTAGATGATCAGGCTTTGGATTAAGCAATCCCTTTTTTTTATCTTTCCCCCTTTATCCGGGAAATGTTGGAAGACAATGTTAATTTGCTTCTTTCGGTACTCCGCATGGGCCTCTAGCGTTGAAGTAACATATAAGAGCATTACTTGAAACTATTTAGTCGGCCTGAGAAAACAGCGGAGTGGATGCCCTCGATTCGTGCTCTGTTTCCCCCGGCCCTAGAATATTATTCAACAACTCACAGTATAACCAAATGAACATTTTGATTTGAAGTACGCTATAATGGGCGTGGTATTGTTAGGAGGATGGAGGAGCATATATACTAAGCCTGAGGACTCGGACTCCGAAAGCTCCCACTCGAACTCTCGTGCGTGATCAGGGGCGGATATTGTAGCTAACCCAGCATTGACCTTATCCTTTTAGCCCGCCCCACCTTTACCCACCGCACCAAATGTTCAAAAAGATAGGCAGTCGAACTATATCGTAAACAAGGGTTGAGGTGGTATAACATAATAAGAGGACTTAGGAGCTTAAACACATGATACACCCAAGCAATGGACCAAAAAATTTTGAATCCAACAGCGAATCTGTGGATGGGGTTCAAGAAACCTGCCGGTCGGGTTGGGGTAGTTCAGGTAGCCTGAGCCGAGATTGAACAATTTTATACGGAACATGCACAACCACTTTCCAGACTTTGATGTTCACGTGGGTAAAGGAGATGATAACACATCCATTGCTCCTTACTGGAATATGTCCAATGACTCTGAAATCGCAGCTTTTAAGATGGACAGTATGTGTAAACGGAATCGGCAGACGAGACGCGTCTACTAGGACTGTGTCACTCTCTGGATCATATTCACCGACAATTGCATTACGGACAAGATTGCCTGCAACGACTGCCCAAAGAGTAGTATCGGGTTTTATCTACATGCCTGTCATAAGTGCATGTTCGAAGAAGTACGCAATTTTTACTTACAGGCGGTGGAGGTAATTGGATGATATCAGATGAGCTGGAGAGGTGCTCCATTGAAGTGAGCTCATCTCTCGCGCTGTCAGCGTCGCAGGCACCCAGACATGGAAGAAGCCTGTGGCCTTGGCGTCTCGCGATATTCCAAGATCTGGTGAACCAATGCATTGCTAAACAATGACTTGATAGATGGAGTTAGGACAAGCCTGTTAGCCTCTTGCTATATATACCCATTCCACCTTGTTCCAGTCAGCGCCAATATATGTTCAGTCCTACTGGGTTTCGATAGCTAACTAAAGAGAACCCGCCTATTTGCGTAGACATGTCCTTCTGACTGGTTCAAACGGAGTGTGAAAGTGGCAGGGATCAGATTAGAGATCTGCACAACTTTCCTAAACCCAACTCCTGCAAACCCAACTCCCACAAACTCAACTCCCAGAAACCCAACTCCCGCAAACCCAACTCCCATAAACCCAACTCCTGCAAACCCAACTCCTGCAAACCCAACTCCTGCAAACCCAACTTCAGAAGCGAGTTTACAGCGTCATATTGTATGGTAAAACAAATGAATCATGTCAGCGATTGATTCAGGCTACCTAGACTAAATAACCACTTATACTACTGAGGCAAGAATTCTTTAAGAATTACTTCTATATAAACTCCTAATTCTTCTTTTTTTTAGTACTCTTATATTTTCACCGGTTGCTTATTTTATATATATACCTGGCTCTACTCAAGTCCTGATCTTCTTTTATATTAGTATATTGCTATAATGGAGGAAAAAAGACATTATCTAAACCAGTTTGATAACGGGTTTGTTATACGATCAATATACCTCAAATTCCCTTCTACTAACATATATTTAGACTATATTTAAGAGATTACCTCCGGCAATATTTTCCAGCCTCTTATGCGATACTTGTATCCGAGAGACTCCTATCTCGAACTAATACGAAATCTACTGTGTCAGTCCCGGAAGATATATACTATAATATCCGACTTCTTACTGGAGCCCCCGCGCTCTCATCCTTCATTACAGGACTCGGGATTGAGCTGTGTTTGTTTACTCCAACTATTGAAACAATGAGTCCCCAAAATGAGCCTGTAGGCTACTTGGCTCGCTCTCTCCATGCAATCATCCGGGAAAAAGACGATACAAAGTTTGTTAAAGC